ATAGTTGATATTTGGAGTGTTGGGTGTATTTTAGGTGAATTAATTGAAAGAAAACCAGTATTCCCTGGAAAGGATTGTAAGTTTTTATTTGTTATTTATAATAATATCAATAACCTTAATAATCTAATCAAATATATATCCAATGATGATGATTCAAATATCAAATGATGATGATAACAATTATATAGATATTGATCAAATTAATTTAATTACAGATGCATTAGGTACACCAATAGAAGAAGATATGGAACATGTTAAACATGGAGAAGCTAGAAAATATATTAAAAATTTAAATAAGAAGAAACCAATTCCATTTAAAATATTATTCCCTAAAGCTAAAAAGGAAGAATTAGATTTACTTTCTAAAATGTTACAATTTAATCCATCTAAAAGAATATCAGCAGAAGAAGCACTTGCACATCCATATTTTGCTTCTTTACATGATTTAAAAGATGAACCTGCTTCAAATATTTCATTTCAATTTAAATTTGAAAATGTTGATATTACTGAACAAGAATTAAGAGATTCTTTATATGCTTTAGCATGTCAATATCATCCTGAAATGTTATTACATTAAATATTATATTATATTAAATATTATTAAATGTTATTATTGTTGTTAATAAATAGACTTTTGTAAAGTTTAAGAATAAAAAAATGAATGAAGCAAATTGTTCTTGTTGTTTAATAGAATTACCTAATTATATAGAATGTATTGAAAATGATATTGATAATAATTGGAAACCTTTTAAATTATTAAATTGTTCATGTAACAAACAACATGACAATGATATTAATAATGATAATATTAATCAATCGGAATTATCTACTTCTACCACTACAGTATCATCAAATAATAATAATGATGATGAAATATATGAATTTAAATTTATTGAAAATAATATTGAAAGTGAACAAGTTAAACATGAATTAAATCAAAATTATTTAAAAATTAATTGTATTGAAAATTTAAATCAACAATTTAATAATTTTATTATTATAAATAATAAATTTGATAAATTAGTATTTAATAATTTAAAACATAATCATTTTCATTTATTAAATTTAAATTTAAATAATTTAAATTTTACAAATTTTAAATTTAAAATTAAAAAACAATTATTTACAAATTGGTCATTAATTACATTAAATAAAATACCTAAAAATACATATATAGGAGAATATGTAGGTAAAATAAATATAGAATATTCAAGTACTAGTAATGAATCATTAAATAATTATATTTTTAATTTAAATAATTTTAATAATTTTAATTTAAAAAAATATAAAAAATTTGAAATTTGTGGAAAATATTTTGGTAATTTTTCATCATTTATAAATCATTCATGTAATCCAAATTTAGAAATATATTATTGTTATGAAAATAATATAGATATAAGATTACCTAAAATATACATTTATAGTAATAAAAATATAAATATAAATGAAGAATTAACATTAAATTATGGAATTAAATATAATTTAAATGAATTTAATTGTAAATGTAATTCAATTTATTGTAAATTTAAATAATATAACTATCACATAAAAGTACAATTACTACTATTTATGTATTATAATACCTATCAACTTCATAAAAGTAATATTATAATTTAAATTTATTATATTGATTGATCCATAACATAACAAGATGACAATTAAAGATATTGTGTTGAATGAATAATAATCAATTTAATAATTATTAAAAAAAATATCTCCTCTACAAGTGAGTGTGTTATTATAATTTTGATCATACATTCCGATACATGATTTATATTATACATCATTATTATTATCATTATCCTATATAAATAATAAGAACAATTTATCATCACACAAATATTAGTATAAAACTAATAATAATAATAATCAAAATAATAATATTCAATCATCATCATTAATAATAATAATAATAATGAAATCTATAACATCATCTGAAAATAATCAAAATAATCAAATAAAATCATTTACAATAGAATGTAGTGGATATTGTACACATTCAAATCACATGACAGATTCATCAATATCATATTGTAATAGTCAATCTATTAAATTTCCATCTTTATTTGGAATATTTAAACATACTAAATATGGATATATATTATATGATACTGGTTATTGTAATAGATTTTATAAAGAAACTAGTAATTTACCTTTTTATTTATATGGTAAATTAATACCTGTTTATTTAAATGAAAATGAATCTGCAAGTGAAATATTAAATACTAAATATGGTATAAATAATAATGATATTAAATTTATTATCATTTCACATTTTCATGCAGATCATATAAGTGGTTTAATTGATTTTCCAAATGCTAAATTTATTTATTCTAAAGAAGGTTTTGAATATTTAAATCAATTAAAAAATTCAAATTCAAATATTAAATGTTGTTTAAATGGATTTATACCAAATTTATTACCTTTGGATTTTTTAAATAGATCTATTCAATTATCTATAAATGATTTTAAATTTATTAATAATATTCCATTTAAAGTATTTGATTTATTTAATGATAATTCTATTTTTATTGTTGATTTACCTGGTCATTGTTTAGGTCATTTTGGTGTTTTTTTTAAATGTAATAATCAAAATTTATTACATAATAATACTATTAATAATAATGAAAATATTAATATTGATAGTAATAGTAATAATATGACTAGTAATGAAAATATTAATATTGATAATGAAAAATCATATTTACTTATTGGAGATGCAGCATGGTCATTAAGAGCTATAAAATTAAATGCATTACCACATTTGTTAACTAAATATTTTGTTCAACATGATTGGAATGCCTATTCAAATACTCTGAATGAATTACATAAAATTTATAATGAATCAAGTTTTCATATTAATAATTTGAAAAAGACAAGAAAAGGTCAAGAACCAATTAATCCACAAAAAAAGATTACAAATCATATTAGAATTATACCATCTCATTGTTGGCAAGTTTATGAATCATTTTGTCAACAGCAACAACCACTTGGTAGTGATGGTACAACTCCAAGTACCACCACTTCAATAATTTCCAAATTGTAATGAAACATTGTCAAGTTCAAACATTATTCAAACATTGTGACCTAATAGTAGATAATTTTAAGGCAATACAATCACGATAAAGTATTCAACACACATCTATTAAATATTATTATTTTAATTACATCATACCAATTTGTTGCATCATTTGGAAATATATTTGTTGAATTTCAGTTGGAGACATTGTGCTTAAAACGTGTGGAGGTATATCAATACCCATTTGACGCATATGTTGAATCATCTTTTTAACCTTTTCTTCTTGTTCCTTTTCAATTCTTAAATGAACTTCCTTCTTGATTGATTCAAAAGTAGAAGCAAGATTAGTAAAAGTGATTTGAGTGAAAGCATCAGCGAAAATCTTTGCAGGAGCAGCAAGTTGTGGAGTTTCAGCTTCAGAAAGTCTAAATAAATATTCGCATGGTTCCTTCATTTCAAGTAAATAGCTAGCAATTTTATCTCTTTCAGAAATATCCTTCTTTGAAAGATAATGAGTCAATGAAGCAACAAATTCCAAAATAGCAATCTTTTGTGGTACCTTGGTTTGAATATTCAAAGATCTAAGAATTGGTTTCAAAGCAGTCAACAATGATTCTTCATGTGATTCAAAATCAACCTTAGCAATATTTGAAATTGAAATGACAGCATTCTTACAAATATTTTCAACATGAGAAATTAATAAAGATAAAAGTAAAGGAACAGCATCTGGAATTTCAGATAACATTTTAGCACCCTTTGGTGTATGTGAAATATGTGAAAGAGTTGAAGTAACACCTCTCAAAATTTCAGTATTTTCACTTTCTAACTTGGAAACAAATTTAGATAATGATTCTTCATCAATATACTTCAATAAGAGTGAACCACCTTCTGATCCTCTTGGAATATCATCTTCTAATTCTCTCTTAGCAGCTTCAAATGTTGTACTTGACTTTAATGCACGCAATGATGGCATAACAACCTTTTCATTATCACCTAAACTTGATTCAAACAAAACAGGTAATCCTTTCAATGATAAATTGAAATGACGTCTTCTTTCAATAGCAACTGGTCCGGAAATAATTTCACGAATAATAATTAAAGCACATTGAACAGTCTTTTCAGTATTATCATCAAAATTTGTAAGTAAATTTAAACACTTCTTTAAAGTACCATTTTCATAGAGAATATCCTTCTTTTCTTCAGCTGGATCTTTGGTTTTTTTAACAGTTTCTCTGTTACTAATATAGTCGAAAATGAACAAGGCTGCCTTTTCTCTATTCTCGGCATTAGAATGATGTAATTCATTCAATGCAATATATAATTCTTCTCTATTGTATTTAGTAATAAGATATTCTTCAACAGAAAAATAGGAAAGAAGAGCAAGACCACCTCCTACAAGACACAATGGTCCAAGGTTAATATTATTTAAAATACTGCTCATTGTTGTTGTTTGTTGTTATTAATTGTTTTGATGATGAAAAAATACTCTCTCCGGTTTTTAAAGATGAAGAAAAAGAAGAAAAAACACTAGCGGCGCCGGCGAAATGATGACACTAACTGGTGGTGGGAATATTTTTTTCAAAGGCTTTTTTTGCCTTCCTTCAACAAGGTCTTGAAAAATTTTGGCTTTTTGATTGGGTTTTCATTGGAATTACAATTATCATCAAGTAGTAAAGAAGTTTTTCAATCAATTAATACTCAAAAGATCTAGTTGATGTTTTTATTATTAGGATATGTTTAGGTTGAGTGGAATGGTGAATTGTTGTATAGATTCAATCAGTTTAATCTCGAGATAGGAAATTGGATGAAAAGGAAAGCTACCGATTTGGAAATTTAATACGAGAGGAGAAAATCATTCTTCAAGTCTAAAGCATTTTCTAATCATCTGGACCAAAACCTTAATAATAGTAATGTGACTATATCACAAGACAACATCCAATGAATAATAAAGAGTTTAGTCTACTCTACAACAGCAGTTTTTGAAGGAGTAGTGAAAGAAATGTTTCCTTCAACTTGAATCGGATTAAGAGTACAAATAAAACCTAAAGAATCCAATAATATTCATTCTCATTGACAATATAATTCATTTCCTTAATACATTTCAAGTCGTACACATTCGGAATATTTTCAATGGAAACTCAAATAACACAAACATTAATTTAACCTCCACTAACTGATTCAATAGATTGACTACAGATTCACTCTCATCTACCACCACTCACCTATTTTCACTTTATTAGAAACAAATACTGTATTGGTATGAGCGGTTATTGATGATGCAATGAAGATCTTTCTCAACGTTTATTAAACAAAGAGTCTCCTCCCACAAGAGAATGCAGTGAGCGATTGGATCAATATTTCTTCAACGAGACAAAAATAAATCACAAAAAAAAGCCTTGTACCATTGTTACAGATATTCTATATTTGAGGAGTGTGTTTTTTAACCTCTTGTTGAGACTGTGTGACGCTCTTTTTAACTAACCGATTCAGATCTGAATACATCAATAATAATTGTACTATATATACAGTGTCATCTTTGTAAATAGATTAAAAACTCTAATTGATCAAATATATTTAAGCCTAACCCAAAGTAAATAATAACAAACTGAAACATTATGACCTCACCAGGAAAGTTTATTGGTTCTCCTACAAAGAGAAGAGAAATGGACATTATGAAATTGTAAGTTTTTCAATTTGAATCAAATTATTCAATTCCGATGATTAGAATGATGAGTAATTATAAAGTTCAAATGAATGATAATCATGCTGAATTTTTCGTTAAATTCTATGGACCAAAGGATACTAACTATGAAGGTATGTGTTCATTCTCTTTTTAAACTCTTTAATTGAAACTATTTAATGAAACCATTCAATAACATTAAACTATTCAATGAAACTCTATGAATAGGAGGTGTATGGAAAGTTAGAGTAACCATTCCAGAGAATTATCCATTTAAATCACCAAGTATTGGATTTGCCAATACAATTTATCATCCAAATGTTGATGAATCAAGTGGAAGTGTATTTTAGATGTAATTAATCAAACATGGTCACCAATGTTTGACCTTATTAACATTTTTGATGTCTTTTTACCTCAATTACTTGCCTATCCAAATGCACAAGAAAGCAGCTGCATTTCTAATGAGAGATGCTGAAGCTTATAAAAAGAAAGTTAGAGATTATGTTGAAAAGTATGCAAAAGAAGAAAATATTAAATTTGAATCTCAGGATGATGATTCAGATGAACAAGATGAAGAACAAGATGCTCTATCAAGTGCTTCTGAAGGTTTAGATGAAAATGATTTGGCTGAATTTGAATTGTAATAATTTGTAAAAATTAATTTGTAAAATATTTATAAAGTTTTAACTTCATGAAAGTTTGTTTTCATGAAAATGTTACAATAGTTCTATTGTGTATATCAAATAGTCAAAGTATATTACTATTGAAAGTATAGTAAAGTATAATATATTGAAAGAAAATGTTAAATTACAAAATTTGACATTTTTTCTTTTGTGGACGATTGACATTATTTTGTGGATTGTCTTTCAATTTTTGTTTCATTGCAATTCCAACAGCCAAATCAAAAGCATCTGCTAAATTTTCCATAGTCTTTGCACTACATTCAATATATCCTGATGCTTTAATTCTATCTTTCATTTCATTACCTTGTTCCGAAGTGACAGGTTCAATTCTCTTATCTTTAAGTTTTTTAATATATTCTTCATCTTTCTTTAAATCTAATTTTGTACCAACAAGAACAATTGGAGTATCTGGATTGTAATGTTTCAATTCTTCTGCCCATTTACTTTGACAATTTTCAAGTGAATTTGGATTTTCTAATGAAAAACAAACAAGAAATACATCAGTACTATTATTATTGTAATTATATATTTGGATTATAGAATAGATTTGGAAGATTAGAATAGTTATATTAGATTGGAATAGTTGATCGTTATTAGATTATATTAGATTGTTAGAAATATAATGATGAATATAATAATAGGTCAATGAAATGATGGAATTTTAAAATAACCTACTCTGGATATGACAATGGTCTCAAACGACTATTAATTGTTATTATAATAACAATAACAATAATAATATGTTCATCATGATGAAAATGTGATCAAATGATTATTGTGAAACATATATTCAAACCGTTCCATCATTAACGCTGTTAATAATTTCTAAATAACTTACTCATAACTATTAAATATTGATATTATTATTATTAAATATATATTAACAAAGTAGTAAATATAATAAAACATACTCTTCTTGACCAGCAGTATCATATAAAGCAATACTAACAATACCATCACCATATGAAATATTCTTATTATAATTATCAAAAACTGTAGGAACGTAATCTTCAGGGAAACAACCTGATGAATAGGCTATTAACAAGGCTGTTTTACCAACTGCACCATCACCTACAACTACACATTTAATAGATTCCATATTATTATTATTATTCTTAAAAAGATTCTTCAAGAGATGGGGGAAATGATAGTTAGAAAATTTTTTTAAATATTTTTTTTCTTTTCTGTCAGACATCAATCAGTAGGACGTTTGGTTGCTTGAAGAAGAAGGAACTCTATCAGTAGAAATTTTAAATGTTATCCAAATTCGAGTCATTTCATGTCGTTTTGTTTGATTGTTGGCACAGTGGAAAGGTGTTGAAGAGACAATAAATTTCTTTACCTTTGATTCTCAGTGTGTTTCAAACCATTTCGTTATAATAATAATTGAAATTTATTATATCGATTTTCAGTAATTGAAATCTACTATAATTTTGAGTAACATTGCAATGAACAATCATTGTTTGCTATGGGGATGTGCTTGTTCTAAATTTGAATTAATCTTCACCTTATTGGCCTCGAAGGAAGTGTAAGGGTCAAGTTGTGAAATTTGTGTAATAAAATTAGTGAACTGATCTATTTGGTTTCAACAAGTGGTAGTGAATTGAAAATTGATAATCAGCCAATGGAAGGTTTGAAAGTATTCACATTTCAATTCTCTAATCATCAAATTCTTTTAAAATTGAAATTAGTATTGTTCAATAGAAATGTCAACTTTCTAAATTCATAGATACTATTTTATTTTCTAGAATTGAACTAATTATATTTTTAATTGCTATTTTACCATAAACTCTTTAATTCTTGAATATTTGAATTGATGAATAATTATTTAAATTAAATTCACCTTCCGTGATGTGAACAGTTAGTTCAAAAAATAAAAACTTCAATATTTTATTGTCAAAAAGCCTTCAAAAAAAATTGCCTCTCATTTTTCATCATCAACAAGTCTATTGAATTTTAAAAAAGGCTTTGAAAAAATAGAGAAGGAATTAATCAATAATAACATCAACATCAATATAACAACAACAAATGATTCGTAAAAACGCACGTCTCCGAAGAGAATTCTTACATAAAAAATCACTTCAAAAAGAAGAACGTGAAAGATTGGATCGTAAAATTCGTATTCGTGAAGCCTTAGAAAAAGGTGTACCAATTTCGGAAGAAGATATTAGAAAAGAAGCAGAAGAAAATGAATTTGGAGTTAAAGAATATTTAAATATATTATCAAATAAGAGTGAAGATAAAAGTGGTGATAAAAGTGGTGATAATGATAATCAAATTTCTAATTTAATTGATAATGAATATGCAAATGCAGGACAAGAAGATCCTAAAATATTATTAACAACAGCATTAGATCCATCTGATAGATTGAAAAGATTTGTTAAAGAATTACGTTTCTTATTTCCAAATTGTCAACGTATGAATCGTGGTAGACAACAAACACAAGAAATTGTTCAAGCAGCAACACAAAATGGTTTTACAGATTTAGTAATGATTCATGAAAATAAGGGTGAACCTGATACAATGATTGTAACTCATTTACCTCATGGTCCAACTGCTTATTTTACAATGTTTAATGTTGTAATGAGACATGAAGTTATGAATTTAAGAGAAGAGAAAATGCCACAACAATTTCCACATTTAATTTTCCATAATTTTAAAACTAAATTAGGTGAAAGAGTTGCAACAATTTTGAAATATTTATTCCCAGTTCCAAAACAAGAATCTAATCGTATTGTTACATTTGCTAATGATAATGATTTTATTTCTTTTAGACATCATGTATATATGAGAAATTCACCTGGTACAACACCTCCAATACAATTAAAAGAAGTTGGTCCTAGATTTGAATTACAATTATTCCAAATTAGATTGGGTACTGTTGCTGATAAGGATGCTGAATTAGAATGGGTATTACGACCATACATGAATACTGCTTCAAAGAGACAAGCTTTAGGTGTTAGTAAGAGTGAATTAAAAGAAGAGGAAGGAAATAAATTAACATCAATAAAGTAAAAACAACTTTTCAATTTTGAATTATTATGTACATCTTACTATTGAAATGAAATGAAAATTTAAGAAAGCTCAATAATTTGTTCAAGTCTTGTGGATTTTATTGATTATTCAATTGTTGATTATCCAATTCACGTAGTTGTGAACTACTCAATTTAATGGATTCAGTTGCTGCTTCTGAACGAGGAAGTAAAAGTGGAATGCAAACAATTTCATACATTGGGAAATTCTTTTCATTCTTTCTAATTTCATTTCCCTTCTTGGCTCCATTCAATGTTTCATCACTGACAACTAAAACTTCCAATTGTGGATCAGTTGCAATTGGTCCCCAAGGTTCTGGAAGTGGAAATATCTAATTAAAGTTAGTTCATTAATTTGCAAATAACAATTTTAGAATCATTTCAAAATAACATACATTAATTTGAGACATATCCATAGATGGATTAATTTTAGCAATTGATTTCAAAACATTATCTCTTCTCAATTCATAAGATTGAATTAATTCTTTCAATTTCTTATTCTTCAATAATCCATCAATAGAAACTCCAATTTGAATTTCATGTTTCTTTCCATCATTTTGATTATTTTCTTTATAAAGTAATAGAGCTTGTGTTAATAAAATTTTATGACCTAAATGTAAACGATCAAATGTTCCACCCAAACAAACAACATTAAATTTTCTATAATTTTCTTCCACAGATGAAATTACTTGACTATTATTAAATATTAAATCAAATTCATTTAAAGAATGTGAAATATTACATTCAGGTAATATTTCAATTCTATTTAATACGTTATTTTCACAAATTATTTCATTTTGTAAATTTCTTTTAAATTTAATCCATTGATTTTCATTATTATTCAATAATAATACTTTTTCATTATTAATAGTATTGTTATTAATAGTATTATTATATTGTGGCATTACAACATTAAATTCATATTTATAATAATCATTTACATTGGTTAATATTTCAGAATAATATTCTTTATATAAATGAATCTAAATCATCATCATCATTAAAATATTTTAATTAATATTCAGTTATTGATGATGATGATTAATAAACATACATTTTTAAAAGTTCCGATATTATTTTCTTGTTGATCATTAATTAAAATTCTAAAATCAATGAATTGATGATGATTATTGTTAGAGTTCAATTTAATATTTTCATTGAAATATTGCAATGATTGTCTAATTAATGAGAGATTGCATAGAAAATCTTTAATGGATTGAATATTTTGTGTTTCAACTTGAATATTTAAACAAGTATTTGACATTTTTTTTTAAATTAATAATTTAAGTTTATTTTGTAATCAATTAATACAAATACTATCAATATATACTATCTATTAATTAAAATATATATTTAATTGAATAAATTTAATCAGCTTTAAGAAAATTTCTATCCTTAATTTTTTTATAATAACAATAACCAATAATAATTCCTAATATGGTTAATAAAATGATTGAACCAAAAGGTACAACAAGTCCAATAATTAAATTAGTATAATCAGTATATTCAGGTGGTTGACGATCTTTAAAATCCAAGAAAAGTCTAATATTATTCATTGAATTTAAACCACTCACTTCACCTAAAATAAAACCAATTTCTCCATATAAACGTTCACCTGCAAAAAAATCATTTGGTAAACTTGATGGAATAAATGTTGTGACTTGAATTACTTTTTTACCAACATATAATTCACCTTCTTTAAGTGGAACATTAAATCTACCTCTCTGATCTCCCAATCTATTGAAATTATAAAATTTTAGAGTAAAATTTTGTGAAATTGGTTGATAGAGTGCAAATTGTGGATTTTCATCTTGACTACTCTTAAAGAAATAGGTAAATTTGTTTCTTATGGAACCAACTGTTGTTTTTTGTCCATTTGAAACAATTGTAACTGTTGAATTATTTGTTAAATTTGAATTAATAGTTTTCCAATCTGGATCTTCTGCAAAACTACAATTTAATAGAAATGAAAATGGAACTGCTTCTGAACTTTTATCCATAACATGACATGGAAAATCACCATCTAAACTAATTCCACCATAATGAATTGGTGGTTTTTGACATTGTGGAATTGGTGTTAACATTGTACTTTTACAATCAAATTTTCTAACATTTTTACAATAATCACCTGTTTTTTCTAATGGACAAATACATGCATAGTGTATTGTAGTATTGGTATAACATTCCATTGTTGAGTTAACATCATTAATATACTTTTCATATTGATTAAAACTAACAATTGTTCCATTACAAGTATAATAAGGTGTTTCATATTGAACAAATATAGATCTCTTATCACAATTATTCTTTGGTTTAGTTGAATTGGTTTCTTGAATTCCTCTCTTTAATTCATTCATTTCAAAATTATCATTATCATAATTATTATCATTAATATTATTAATATCATTAATATTATCATATTCATTTGAATTAGTATTCATGATGGTATTTTCATTAATAGAATTTTGAATATTATTCAATACATTATTTAATTTTGTAATGAAAATATCAGAATTAGAACCTTCCAAAGTATTTTCTTCAACATAAATCTTTCCAAACAAGTATAAATCTAATGATTTTTGTAAACTTTCTGGAATATACTTGTTAAATTTAAATTCACCAGGTGAATCAGGATCTTCAACTTGAATTGCTAATTTTTCTAATAAATGATTTAATAAAGGTTTGTTGAAATTAGAAAATTCTTGTTTAAATAATGAAAATACATTTGTCCATGATTCAAAAGTATGATCCTGATCAAGAATATAATTTGTTGTTGGATCTTGTTTCGGATACTTTTCAATTAGCCTTTTAATATGATTCATTCGTTGTTCAATTAATTCTGAAGGTACATCCATCAATTTATTAGTAAATGAATTAATAGATGATGGTTTTAGTGGTGTTGTTGTTGTAGTAATGGTGGATAGAGTTGATGATGATGGTAATGATAATGAATTTGTTTCATCACCACTGGATAATATAAAAGAGGAATGAACAAGAATGGTCAATAATAATGTAATGATTGTTAATGATGATGGCGATGACACTCTTCGTCGTAGTAGTAGTGGTATTGAAGAGTGATGGTGTGATGAACCTTTGAATAAATACATTTTTTATAATGTTGAGTTTGAAGAGAGTGTGCACTATTATTTGATAAGCGGATTTTAATAGAGTCCGTTCTTCTTCCATGTTATTTCTATTTACTCCTCTGTGATTGTGATGAAGATGAATTATTAACTGACTCGGCATTATCTATGCCATCATCACATTACTAAAAATCGTTCCATTTCTAATATTGAAATTCTCTAAATTATTGTTATCCAATTTTTTCTTCTCATTCCAATCTTCAATTATATTTCCAATCATCATACTGCACATATTCTCATCATCAACATCAATTGATTGTGTCACATCATTTAAATAAATTAATAAATTTATTGCTTAGAAGAAGCATCAAAGCCTAATTGTTTCATTCTAACAGCACAATCGAACAAATAGTGATAAACTTCAGCATGAGTCTTGGCTTCAACCCAATCCTTACCCCAAATATAAACACCGTGTCTCTTAACTAAAACAGCAAAAGTGTTTGGATACTTTTCTAAGGCTTCCTTCAATGAACCAGCCAATTCATTTTCAAAAGCAGTGTTTTCAATGATTGGAACAACTAATTCATCATAGAAACCATGTCCACGAATTCCTTTAATCATTTCCAAATGAGTAACTTTAAATTCCTTATCATAAATTAAAGTAGCTAACATTGCAGATAAAGCATGAGAGTGAATAACAGCACCAGCTCCTCTAACATCATAACACAATTGGAAAAGTGGTTGACAAGCAGAAATCTTGAAATTATAACCGTTATCATTTGGTGAATAAACAGTCTTTAAATGTTGGCATGATTGAATATCAACAACTTGAACTTCTGGGTCTTGTTCCATAACAAAGATTTGATCTTCTTTAATTCTTTCCTTGTGAATTCCGGAAGGAGCAATATAAATTTTACCATCTTTTTTCATTGAAATACCACCACCAGTACCACTGACCCATCCTTGAGTATAATAAAGTTTCATCAATTCAACAATAACTTGTTGAGGAGTATGAGTATCATTTAATTGAGTATGGTCAAAGACTTTAACAGCAGTGGATTGTTGAGACATTTTTCTTCAAGAAATTTTTTTTGTTTTTTTGCATTTTCGCTTGAATGCAAATTTTGGGTCGTGCTGGAACAGCGGAGTGCATGAAATGTTCTTGGAAAATTCAAATAATTATTTTCAAGGCAAAGTTTTATGGAGGAATGATGATGGAGTATTATTAGTAGAATGGGTTTATGTAAATTGAGAGAGTTGAAATTCATTTTTTTATATTTTTTTAAAATATGAAAATCTTAATTTAGCAATTAAAATTTTATTTTAACAACAATTCTAATATTAAGAAATAAAATTTATTGGAAAAGTTTCTTTGCTTGTTTAAAAACATAATTAACAGATCCAAAAGGTGTTCTAATCATATTATTTTGATTCATACCCTTTGCAGTATTAGAAAGTTCACGATCTCTTGTGACAATACAAATCTTTGGTGGATTTTCAATCTTTGATAAGTTGTTACATAAATGTTCAAGAGTTGAGAGAATGGCCAAATCAGCTGATTGAGGTTGTAAATTGGTTTGTGACATTTGTAAATTATCCAATGAATTAAACTTTCCAAAAATGGTATTCTGATAGGTATTTCTCAAATTCTTATATTCTGTAATAACTTTCAATGTTTCACTATCTTTTTCATCAATTTTTTCATCTTCATCAATAATAAAATTATAACAATCGAATACTTTCTTTGCATCCTCCTTTTTCATTCCCTTCTCATAAATATAACCATTATAGAAACACCACAAATACATTTTAGAAATATCTTCAGTTGTAAATCCAATATTTTCTAATTTCTTAAAATCTAAACTTAATTCATCTGTTGCCCAACTATCATAATCAACAAGAAGAATAACTTTAACTCTAGATGAATCAAAATGTTTCTCAAATCTCTTCAATTCACATTCAACACATCGACATGGCATTACTTTTTCAATATTAAATTCCATCCATTTAGAATTCATTGAACCCCAACCTGCCATTTTGTTTTTAATAATATCAACATCTTTGGCTTTTTCCTTCTTCTTCTTTGTCATTGTATGATTTCCAAATGGATTATTCATTGTATAATTTTCCTTTTTAGTTTTCTTTTCCTGTATAACACTCTTTTTACAAGGGGAGGAAAAGAAATATCCAACAGGATTTTCACTCTCATATTCCTTAATATTTTCATTCAATTGTTTCTTGTAGAAATATGAAACTTTGGTAAATTTAGGCTCAACATTTTCGTGAATTTCAACATCATCCATTGTACCTTCCTCTTCTAAAACAACATCTTCTTGATCGGAAATGTTATCCTCCATTTCTTCTTGTTGTCTTTTTATTGTTTTTTCCATAGTTTCAATTTGACGTTCAAGTTTCTTCTTTGCTTGAATTTCTTTAATCTTTAACTTCATCTTACTTTCCTTTGTAATTTTCTCATCAAATGGAACAATTTCAAATAAAGAAGATGATGATTCCTTTTGTTGTTGATTTTCCTTCTTTTCATTGGATTTCTTTTTATGAGACTTCTTTGAGCCTTCTTGTTTCACGCCCAAATTCAATTCCGACAATAATGATGTATCATGATGAACATTAATCTTCATTTTTTTTTAATTTCAAATTTTAATTTAAAAATCTGACATTCAAATATTTGTAGACGATTAAATATTTTGCATGTTACAATTCTAGTGGACGGTCGATCTAATGTTTTAATGCTCAGTTGACTAGTGTTATAATTGAGTGTGCATTATTATGTTGTACACGCATTATATAAAAAAATTGCCTCCAACATAGCTTCATTATTGAAGACAATCAAAGCCTTCAATAATCATCTTTTCCATCACAATAAGAAAAACAATTTAATATTATTCAGTTGTTGTTATAATAATAATTATTTTGAAATCATAATGACTAGGAGAAGAATAACAAGAGGAAGGAATTCAACACCGACCAAACAAGAAATCAATACTGATGGTGATGATGACAATATGATACAAACACCAATTGTTACTATTAAAAAGGAAGAATTAACATCTCCAATGGATTTAACTCCAATTCCATCATCATCATCATCTGGTAAACAATCAAAATTCTTTAAAACTTCTCCATCCTCTTCAGCTTCATCCTCTCAAGACAATACAAAGAAGGAAGAAGATGAAGATATTGAACAAGCAGCTGATAAATTGATTTTATTTAATGAACAATATGAAGCTTTAAAGGAATATAGAAAGAAGAATCTAAATGCACCAGTTGATACGATGGGTTGTTCAGTTCTAGCTGATTCAAATGCTGATGAAAAAACTCAAAGATTTCAAGTTTTAGTTTCACTCATGTTGAGTTCACAAACTAAGGATCAAATTACAGCAGCTGCTGTAAGGAAATTACAAGAAAATAATGTTTTATCAGTTGCAGAGATGAACAAATTGTCTGAGAAGGAAATTCAAGATTTAATTTATCCTGTTGGATTTTACAAAAGAAAGTCAACTTATTTAAAGAAAGTTTGTAAAATATTATTGGAAAAGTATGATAGTGATATTCCTAAAACAGTTAAAGAACTATGTGATTTACCAGGTAAGTTTTCTTTGGTTCTCCATTCTCATCTAGTAAACAGGTGTTGGACCTAAAATGGCATATTTATGCATGAGCTCAGCATTGAAACAAACTGTTGGTATTGGAGTTGATACTCATGTTCATAGAATTAGTAATCGATTGGAATGGGTTAATACTAAAACACCAGAACAAACAAGAATGAAACTGGAAGAATTTGTACCACAAGAAGAATGGGATGTTATTAATCACATGTTAGTTGGATTTGGACAAACTGTTTGTAAACCTGTAAGTTTAATTTCTTCATTATATTTCAATATTTATGAATGTAAAGATTGGTCCAAAATGTAACGAATGTCCACTTAATAAGACATGTGCTTATTTCAAATCAAACAAATCTTCGAAACCATCTCCAAAAAAGAAGGTTAAAAAACAAGAATACTCATCTGAAGAGGATGAGGAGGAATCAGAAGAAGAACTTTAATTGCTCTTTTCTTTTATAGAAAATGTGGATATGCTAAATATCTTTAGCCAAGAATAATGTAAACCCACTGCACAGTAGAATGAGACAATCATGAGAGGAAGGAATGGAAGTCTATCAGAGAAAATGAATTGATGAATGAGTACTTGATAAATTTCAATAAGAATCAATCCATACAAGAATAATCTTTCGAATGTGGAGAATAATCTTCCACTATTGTTGAATTCTGGTACGGAATACCAAATGTGTCTCAAAAATAAAACAAATGATATTAATACTGTCCATCTAATTGGAATTTCCTTAGTTTGGAAAAGTAAGGGGAAGAGTGAGAATGTTCCTACAATTGATGTGAATGAAAATACTCTGAACCACTCTCTAGATAATTCCGATGAGGAGAAACAGGTAACCAAGACAGAAAGTGGAATTAAAATGCTTAGGACTGCCTTTTCATGAATATGCCATCCGAACATATAAAAAGCATAAACAGAGTGGACAATGGCTAACAAGATTGTCTGAACTCCCTTCTTCTTGGTCTTTCCAGAAAGTACAATCAGATAAAAACAAACTGAGAATGAAATTCCCAAACAAAGAATGATAGTAATGAGAGGAGTAATACTTGGCAAAATGGTATGGGTACCTTGATTCAAACCTACTAAACCACCTGTTAAGGAGGCTGTCTTTTCATCAATAGCTACAACCTTGAGTACTTTTCCTAATACTACTGTCAATAATTTGTCCAATGTATTGTAAAGAGCCCAAAAGTTTGGAGCCCAATAGGCGTGTGTCAAACCTCTCTCAAATGGGAATAATCTTGACATAATTTGTTGGAATTCACTCTTCATACCATCAATTTTGTTATCAAATTGAGAGGAAGAGCTAAGAAGGAATGGTAAAAAGCTAAGTAGAAATACTGAAATTACAGAAATTCCTAATCCAAAGATTCTCTTAATAAATGATGTAACTTTTCCATCAGCTAAACAGAAATCAAATAGTAAAAAGAAAAAGTATGCAGGTGCCATATATAAATTCAAGTGTTTCATATTCAACAAAATAGAGTAGAGTATTCCACATCTAATGTAATTTCCTTTCTTCAATTCTACTAATGACAATAATAAAATTCCAAAGAGTATTCCATTATATTGAAAATGAATATTATCAATGAATAATAATTCAGGGCAAATATAAAGTAATCCTAATTGTAAATCTTTTCCAATTGATTTGGAATCATTATTTTTGACCCAAATTAAGCAAGCAATAAAATATATCACATCAGAGATAAATATTACTGTCAATCTTTGAAATAGCAGAAGAGGATATGATTGATAGTTAACTCCCTTCACAACGTCACACCATATTGGTTGAGAATTTTCTGTTGTAACATTTGAGTAACTTGTCTCTAATTTCCCCCAAAATGAATTACATCCTAAATAACTAATTAATTTTTCAAAAAAGGCAAAAAAAGGAGGATAGTCCAATGTAGCATTATCAGAGTTTGTATCATGATACCACTTGCTTAATGGTAAACTGTTTGTAATGGCCATCCAATTTCTATGTACTTCAAAATCTGTACTGCAACTATTTTCATATTTAATTTTCAAATTAAATCCCAAAACCTACTAACTAGGAATTAATAATATTTTCAGTGCAGTCAGGGAGAGAAAAATCAATATCACCCATCGAACATTCATTCCGATCATCATCTTGGATGAAGTTGGTGAAGGCTGCTGTTGCATTTTTTTGATTTTATTTTTAAAATTGGCGCCAAACAAGTAGAAAAAAAATGCAACAAAAGAAAAGCCTAATCACAGTTGTTAATGAAGAGGAAACTGCAAATTGTGTTGCGGAAGAACAAGCTAAACAGACAATAATCAATGTTGATGAAGGACAGACATCAAGTGTTAATGAAAATGAAAGAAGTACGAGTAGTAGTGGTAATGTGGATAATCCGATAATAGAAGAGGTTTCTTCTTCTACCAATCATCAAGAAGAGGATCATAGTAATATTGAGAATGATTCGGAACAACAAACATCGGAACATAAATGTTCGCTTCAACCTCTATTGGATAAAATACGAAAGGAACTCATTAGTACTTCTTCAGATGAAAATTCTTATAATGTAAATAATGTGTGGCATTATGTAGAGGAAATTGCATATGCTTTGAAAAAGGAAAGTGAAACTCAAGAGGTCTATGCCATTTCTTCCCTTAAAATAGCTGTGGAATTAATAGTTGTTTGGGGAATAATACCTCGATTGTTAAAAGGAGTTGGTGTCTCTGTAGTAAAACGAGTAGAATCAATGTCACAACAGACGAAAGTTTCAATTAACAAACAGAGTGAATTAGCAGAAGATGAAAAGAAAACTGGAGCAGAATTGACAAAACTTGTAAAATGCATAAGAATTTTATACGAAATTTCACAATGGGATGATTTTTACAGAGGCCTAGTTTTACAAAATTATTTACCAGATATTTATGCAAGTCTTTTTCAAGTACTCTTCTTGTGTACGTCTTTGAAAAAGACTCTTGAACAAAAGTATTCTAGTAACCTTGCTGAAAAATATGGCTTGGATGAAAAGGATAGATTATTCTGCTCAGAGTTGTTATTCAAATTACTGAATGAAACACATGAGAGCATGGTTGTCCATAGCTTGATTTTATTAATGTCTCAATCAGCTACACCACAATGGCTAAAAACAAGATGCACCACATGGTTATCCAAAACTATTCAAAGACCTAAAGGTGTGTTTGGAATAATATCTGTGCTTCTTGACAATGTACCTGAGTCTAGTTTTAGAAGTTACGATAAGGTAGTTGATCTGATAATAACAGTACCTAAAGAAATGGAGACAGTGACCTACTTTGGGATTATTTGTCCTCAAATATTGAAATTATTTCATTTAAGAGGAAGAAATAGCAGCCATATATTACGTTCGAGTGCATTACTATGTGGTAGGATAATTGAGAAGTATCCTGAAATAGCCAAGAAATTACTTCTTGAACCTGTTCTATCACCATTGAGAAAGTTTGTGGATTTACAAAAATCATTAGACAAAAAATTCGAGGAAGACAAGATCAAATCAGATTCAGACAAATCACTCTTGTTTTTAGAGGATGAACTGCCCTCAAATTACAAGGAAGAATTACTTTGCAATGAAAATGATTTAGGACAATGTGTGGAAGATATTCACAGACTCTTGTTTGGTAATTCACCAAATAGTGTAATATTTAATTCTATAACGCCAGTGATACCTGCTCTTTTCCAATTATATTGCTTTGTAAGCAAAACTAAACTAAATTTGAAATCTGCCTGTGAGGAAATAATGACAAGCTACTTTAAACTGAGTGATGATGCACTGGCAGTTACTAAGAGACTATTAATATTTGATAGGAAACTTACAACTAAAAGCTTTTTAATATTTGCTCCTGGAGAATCAGGAGGTGTATGTATGAAACGAGTATCAGAAACAAAGAGAGATTACCTTTGGGAAGCAACATGTATGATTAATTTATTCAAACTAATGAAGAATCATACTGTAGCTGGTGATTTGTTTGTTCACTTGATTTCACAATATAGTGCTATGAGGCAACATATGAGTGAATTAACACTCAAAGAATTGGAGCAAAATCCTGAAAATCCTATTATTTATGAACAATATATACCTGAGAATAGTATAATTCTCTTACAAGTTATTCAGCTTTTAATTACTGAAATGGGATCCTCAATCATGAAAAATACTTCCCAAGCTATTGCTTTTGTTAAATTTTTATTGTTAAACAATGAGAATAATCAATCAGAGGATGCCCTAGAATCAGTTGTTATGGCACTAGGTATTTTATCTGCCATTTTATGTGGTGGTATTTCAGTTAACACAATTCAAGACGAAGAAAAATTAGAGGATTTGAAACCTATTTTAAATAGATATAAATCACACGAGCAACAACAAATTTCTGAGATGGCATCAACTGCCCTTCTAAGTATTGATACTAAGCAATACAGAGAAGTGCATGGTAATATAGAGGAAATATCAGAAGATGAGAAAATTAAAATGAAATTCGATCAAATTTTACAAGACTTGAGAGATCCACTTCTCCCAATTAGAGCTCATGGTGTCATTTCTTTGAAAGATTTAGTTTTGGAACAGAAAAAGAATGCAATTATTCAGAAACAATTACAAAATATTTTCCATATTTTGCAAGCTCAGCTGAAGGACGAAGATACATATGTCTACTATGGAGCTATAGCTGGTCTATCAGCATTGGGAGATGTTTATCCAGATGAAATTATTCCAATTTTGACGGATACTTATCAAGATAAGAAACAACAAGTTGAACAAAGATTGAAAATTGGAGAATCTCTTTTGGAAATAGCTGAAAGGTGTGGACAATTACTCCCTAAATATGCTCACTTCTTTGTTTACTGCTTTTTGAATAGTGGTAAAGAAACAAGTCAAGATCTAGAATTAGTCAGAGCAAGTTCTCTATCTAATATGGCTACTTTAGTCCAAATTCTCAAATTTGGTGTTCATCCATTCCTTCAAGATATTATGGATTGTGCATCCTACATTTTAAAGTTTGACTCTAGTGAGCAAGTAAGACGAGCTGCTGTTTTCATTTATCACTCATTCACAAAGACATTCAAAACTGATTTAAGTGAAATTTTGGATGGTAAAAATCTCAATCATTTCAAACAATCCTTGGAAAGAAGCGCCTTTTATGACAAGGATGAAATTGTTAGGATTAACGCAAAGAGTGTACTAAGTGAGGTAGATGATAATGATACTGAACTCTTAACTCCACAAACCTACATTCCAGAGGCAAGTAAGGGACATTTCCTGAATACCTTCCTCAAATTCACAAATAACTAGATCATGGATAAAATCTTAGAAATTACAGCACAAGTTTTTATTGTACAATTGCCACAAGTTATTCTGTTTCTTGTTTGGATTCTACATTGTCAGATGACTTATTTTCAGCTGACTTCATGCACATATCTCCAACTCCTGTGGTGTCATAGGTGAATTCTGGCTCTGATAAGCTTCGTTGAGTAATGATGTCCTTTGTGCGCTTAACACCTTCCTCAATGGCTTTGATGAACTCGAGTGCGTAGGTATGAGTATCAGATTCCTGACCTAAACCCGTTGAGGTAATGATAAAGAAATGTTCACCCTCTTCATTCTTCATCTTTAAAGAAACCATATCTTTGTGAACAATTGGCTTTTCCTTACTATTATTAGCTGCAGCAACAGTTGTTGAAGCACTTTGGTTAGATGAAGCTAAAAGTGTCAACAGATCTGTTTCTTCTTCTTCATTATCAAAGTTATCTAATTCTGCCAAAGGAGAAGCGCTAGTTAACCTGCAATATTCAATACCAATAAATGGGAATTCATTCTTAATGGTTCTACCAGATACTTCAAGCATTGAATCTGCAGTTAATTTTATCAATCTCTTAGCCTTCTTACTTGTTCCTTTGTAAAGAAGTGAATTAAACGATTGGTATGTTGTACAATATTGGGATCTGACAACAGTTTCAAATATTTCTTCTAAAACTGCTTCTCTTTCTTGTTCAGAATTAACAATATACCTTCTGAAACCAACTTCTGACTTTTTCTTCTTCTTACCATTCATTGGTGTTTCATCATCAGTATCATCATCATCCAAATTATCAGGGAAGTATGGTATTGGTTGATCAGTTTTTGGAGTGATTGGTCTAAATCTCATGTGAATTTCCAAATTGGAAGGAGGTGCCGATATTTCTTCAATTTCAGAAAGTAATCTCTCATTCTTAATAGCCTTACTCTTAGGGTCAATGTTCAATAGAGACATCATGGTAACCTTGAGCAACCTTTCTTGATGCTTTCCTTTTGGATTAACCTTGATAATCTTGTAAGTTTTTGGAACATTAAATTTGGAAACTTCTGGAATCAGAATATCTTCCTCTCTTCTAAAACCATGAGCAAGTAATTTAGAATAATCTTCCATCATTACAATCTTTTTAGCATAATCCTTTTGCTTCTTTGGAGTGGATGCCATCTTTGTTTTAGCAAAATGTTTAATCAAAAATGATGGGAAGGTAATCATATTAGGAGCATGTAAAACTACAGTTTGATAAATTTGTTTTTGTTGAGCAAGTGTGAAAAGTCTTGAAAATTTGTGTAAAAGAGTAGCTAAAACTTTTTCCTGTTCTTCTGACATGCTGATGAAACTCATATCAAGAATAAGCATAAACTTTTTAGAATACTTTTCAATATCTGTTTTGACTGAAGGAGGTCTAATATTTTCTAATGAAGGTCTCAATACCTTAATAAAATGGAATAAAATTTCACCTAATCCATCTTGGAGGAAATCCAAATCTTTCAAACGAGTTCCAATCATGTAATACACAAGTAATTTTTCCTCGAATGTTGTTAATATATTATTACCTCTATAAAAGAAGAATTTGCTTTCAATAGCTGATCCATCAATTTTTGTTGTGTGTTTCCAAACTTGTAAGCAAATTTTAGAGAAAATCTTTTCAATTTGAAGCGTAACATTATCCAATACGGTATCCTCATCATCATTTTGTGGTGTTGGAGAAGGTGTCATAATTGGCATTGATGAAATTGGCTCGCCTAGTTTTTCTGTAATATCTACAACTTCAAGACATCCGTTCATTACTTTACAGATTGGCTTGATTTCCTTTGTTATACCTTCCTCTAAGAAGAATTCAACAACTTGTGGTGAATATTCAAAGAAGAGTTTGTACAACTTATCCAAATCTCTCTTTTCAAACTTGGACATATCAAGAGCTTTTGGATCGACTGTAGTATTCAATTCGCTCTTTCTTTCAAAAGGTAAGTTTCCTGATTCGTCTTTTGTATACAGTTCTGAACTCTCATCAACTTTCTCCGAGTAATCAATAATAGACATTAAATATTCTCTCATGATATCTTTCTTTTGTGTTAAAAAATCATTCATACAAATCATAAATCTTTCCTTGTTTCCAAACAAGACATTATTGGCCAAGTTTTGAATAACTTTTGTAATTAAAATAAAGTTTCTTTGTGAAACTTTTGTCTTTTTCTTTGTTGTTAAATTCATAGCATCAGGAGTAGCAATGGCAGGATTGAAAAAACGTAACATGATATAACCACCAATTAAAACAGGTGTATCCAATTGTAAAGAATCACTAACTTGTCCAATAAAACGAGCAATAAGCCTCAATTCTTTTGGCATCTTATCTATTACATCTGCAGACATCATTCTATCAAGAAACTTTGCACTCCATTCAGTTAGCCTTTCTATATTTTGTTGAAGTTTCTTCTCTGGGTCCTTTTCCTCTTCAAGAGCCTTCGGATCAATTTCTAAACTTTTAGCATCTACTATAAGATCATCACAAAGTGTTCCTATTGTATTCTTTAAATATTGGTAGCCTACATCACGAACATAAAGGCCAAGCGCTTTGCTGTTGTTATTGTTGATGAAATTTAATATTTTCAAAGCCTATTATTGTTTTTACATACCTGGCCAATGAGTTACTTCTGAAAATTGTTGTTGGCATATGTTGATATTTGCTAATTTCAAAATAGATAAGTTCCTTGATGAGTTGTTGACTTCTATTGGTAGCATTGGCAATATCAAGAAGTATTTTGGCTATAGTAATATTGAATATGTAATATAATATTATAACAATTGATGAACATTTCATATAATGTTATTAGTTGGGTCAAAATAGGATGGATGTATTAAAAACAAACCTAAAAAGTCAATATCTGATGATGAAGAAACCTCTGACAAAGCTCTAGCATAAGAGGCACTTGATATCAGAGAAGCAATAAAATCCCTATATCGTTCAACAGAAGCATCGGTAGTAGAAGACATGATGAAATAACAGTTAGGAGAAGAGAATGATGAATAATAGAAGATGATTTCCTCACTGAAAGATCCTATCACTGATCAATAAACAAGAACCGATTAATTGTTTTCAAAAGAAACAAATTTGCTCAAAAGAGACGACTGTTGAAGTTGTTGTTTGGTTGGAGGGAAAATTATTGTATTTTTTTCACTTGGGGAAAGTACAGCTGATTTGAACAAGTGAAAAGTGAGAGCATCGTAAAGAACAACTCTAAAGATAAGATGAGAGTCCAAATAAAAAACATTCGATTGTCCTTAATGCCCCTCCAAAGTAAGATAACTTGAAGATCAAGTTGTTCTTGTAAATGAGCACAATGTTGATGATAATGATAAGAAGTTTATTATATTTGAAACTTGGGAATTGCCTAGTGAGTAATCATCAAAAATTATAAGAGGTTTGACAATGACAGCCCAAGTTGTGTTACTCCTTCCATTTTCAGAGATGAAATTTGCATCCTCACGTTTATTCTTTCATTTTCAGATAGATTTAATGTATTTGAGGTCTTTATATTATCAATTCTTTCAACAACAGAACCTTTCACACATTGGTTGAAAGAAGAACACAGTAAACAAAGTTCTGTATAGGATTTATTTCCCGATTTACAAGCTTCATCAATATACTATTTGCATTAAGGAAATCAAACCTGATAAGATCTACATGATATTTTCACTATCTTCTCATCAATGATTGAATCGAATTTGATTTATTACATAAAATGTTGTGATAGAATGGTGACAGAGTATTTATATTGGTCAAGTGTTCAAATCCCATCCAATGATCGATAACAACAATAAAAAACCAGTCAAAATCAATTTTATTAATCGCACAGTTAATTAAAAAATTGCTTCAACAAAAAATGAACAGAATTACTTCATCAGCCGCTCATAACACATCCGTCATCACAAAATTCTTGAGAAAGGCTAAAAAGAATCAGTACATCTTCTTCTTTCCTTCACCCTATACCACCAACAGATCCTTCCACACACAAAATAAATTATTCGATGGTCCTAAAGGATTTTCTGACTTGTTCAAAGAACATTTAAAGAGAAATATCCAAAACAATGAATCTGTGCAAAAAGCTATTTTAAATTATCAAGAAAGTTTACTCGGTAAAGGTGTTGAAAAATTAAAACCAGCTTTAGAGAAAAGTAGAGAATCAATTAACAAGACATCATCAGCTATTGATGAAACAACAGAAAAAATCCTTCAGTCAGAAACAATGTCTAAAGTCGGAAAGGCTGTAGACTCTGCCTATGATGTTCTGAATCAAAAAGTTGGTCTTAAATATATTACTGAGGTTGCAAGCAACAGAATTTCCGAATTGAAGAGAGCTCCAGTTTTCTTCTTTAGAACTAAATATGCAAGAGAATTGGATTTGTCTCAAGGTTTTGTTTATAACCCATTCACTCGTTCCTTGGTAAATATTACAGAAATTATTAGTCAAGAGGAATTGGAAACAATGGTGCAAGAAATTAAAGAAAAGAACGAGTTAAGATCAACAAGTGAACCAGAAGAAGGTACAAGTGAAGAATTTGTGGAACATGAACGTCAAGAACAAGAAAGAGAAGAGCTTATTAAACTTTTGACAGCAAGAATGCAAGAACAACGAATTCAAGAAAGTGAAGCTGGAAAACCAAAAGTCAACCCAACAGATGCTGAAACAATCAAACTTACACGTGAAAATTCACCTGTTATTTCAACATTAATTGAACCATATTATATTAATTCAGGATTTGTTAAGAAAACACAAGCTCTCTTACAAGATATTCTGTTCAAGCAAACTGGTAAAAATCCAAGTTTGTTATTTAGAGTACCAGGAATACTTAATGCTTTGAGCGAAACAATCTCATTTATTGATGCAAGAACTGCTCAAGAAAAAGTTAAGAAGTCTAAGGAAGAGGATATTCCTGATACCGAAGCTGATATTTCATCTACATCAGAAAATGCTTTGGCTATGGGTGCATTCAAGAAACGTGATCCTAGATTTGATTTGGATTTGTTGTTAGTCACAATGGAAACTTTAATTATTCCAGAAATTATGTCTGCCTATTTTAATGATGATGCACACACCATCAAGAAATTTGTTTCCGAATCATGTTATCGTCAAGTTTTCTTCCCTAGAATTCAAGAAAGAGTTCACACAAAGATTAAATATGATGCCAAGATTTTGCACGTTGAAGATGTAATGCTCTACACAACTAGATATGATGCTGGTAATCCAGCCCTTGTTATCAGCTGCGCTGTTCAATACATTCACTGTATGAAAAATGAAGCTGGAGAAATTGTTGAAGGAGGTCCAAAGGATATCAGAAAGGAAAACCAAATGTGGATTTTGAAACAAGATGAATCACAAGAAACAGATGACTGGTATGTCAGTGAGGTCTCAATGTTAAACGCTGATGCTGTCAAGATCGTTTAAATTAAATTAAAATAAAAATTAAAAAATCGTTATCAAAAATTTGGCGCCCAAATTTCTTCAAAACAAATTTAAAAAAAATGGTTCAAACACTCAAATCAAAAAAGCACAAGTCTACACTCTTTCAAAAATCATCTAGAGGAACCCACATCACACTAGGATCATCAAGTGATGCCTCTAATAGACACAATTGGAAAAGCATGTATCACTTACCTCCGATGGGAGAAATTACATTGGAACAATTTGAAGAATATTCTTTCCAAAGATTGAAGTTGTTGAGAATGATTGATACTTGGAAGGCTAGAAATATCTCCGGAAAAGCTTTACAGGATAATATAATAGAGGAATCAAACAAAGTTTTTGATTTGAGAATGCCACATGATTTAGACAACTGTGAGCCAGATTGGATATCTCATCATGTCTTGAGATTGGCCTTTGCTAGAAGGTAAGTATTTCTACAATACTACATTGTACTAGTGGTAATTATTAGTGAAAATTTGAGACAATGGTTCCTGACAAATGAATGTGCTCTATTCGAAAGTAGATTGATGAGTGATACTCAAGATGCTCACATTGAAATTTTACAAAGAAATGGTATCAATGCAGAACGTGTTTCTGTGGAAGAAAAGAGAAAATATGAAGGTGCTCTTCAAAAAATGTTTACTAAATTATACTTCCATTTACAATATCAACAACAAAAGAATGAAAAACCACAACAAACAGATTCTGATGCACCTGTTTTAATTTCACACAACAAGTCCAACTTTTCAGATATGAGATTTAATGTGGAGGATACTTTAGTTTTCAAAGTTGATTTTGTTTCTGTTTTACAACTTGTTTCGAGCAGAAGTGTGTTCATTCAAAACGGAAAAGCTTATTTATTTGCACATGATTTGACCTCTTTAATCAAGCAACATTTTAGAGCTAGTTTAGTTCTTGGGCTCTCTAAAATTCAAGCAGTATATCCAGAATATCTCAATGAAGAAGAAAAGGATAGACTTTTACCATTCTTGAAAGATGTTATTCCAGCTGCTAGTGAAGGCAAATCATTGTACTCTAATACTCAATCATTCATGAATACAGGAGAAGTTAAGGCTGAACAAATTGAATCACTAAGCAAGCAAAGCTTCCCTCTCTGTATGAGAGTTCTCCACAAGGAATTGAAAGAAAAACATCACTTGAAGCACTATGGAAGAATGCAATACGGATTGTTCTTGAAGGGAATTGGTCTTAAACTAGAGGATGCATTACAATTTTGGAGAGAAAACTTTACAGCTAGTGGAATGACAACAGAATCATTTGACAAACAATATGCTTACAATATTAGACACAACTATGGTAAGGAAGGTAAAAAGACAAACTATACACCATATGGCTGTTCTAAAATTATCAATAATCCAGAATATGTTTGTCCTTTCAAGGTATTCAAACCTGAAGAATTGAGACATGAAATGAGGTCCTATGGTGGAGGTGCAACCTTTAACGAAGATGAACTCCAAGAAGTTATTGAGTATGCTCAAAATCATCAATACCAAATTGCTTGTAGAAGATTTTTCGAAGTGAGTCATGGCATTTCCAAGAAGGCCAACAATATTCAACTCATTGATAAGGAAGACGATGGTTCCTCATTCCCTCATCCAAACACATATTTCTCTCGATCAATCAAGTATCTCAAATCAAAGAATGCCGGGGACTCTGAGCAATCTTCTTCGAATACACAAGCCCCAATAACACAACAGGATACTCCTGTGGATCAAGAAGATGAAATGCAAGACGAAGAATAAGTTGCAACTGCTGTATATACTAATATTTAATGTAATTCATTGTTAATATCGAAATATGGAAGTAATTGATCCCTATCTTCAGATTTGACTTTTGACTTAATAAACAAAATACCATCACTAAGTATCTTTTTTGCTTCTGAAACAAATGAATAGGTTGTAATTGGATACTTGGCTAATTCTTTAAGGAATAGAGCTGTCTTTTCCATCAAATCCAACCTAGAAATATCATTAATGACTTTAAGAACAAAGTTCTTCAAGCTATCGTCTTGTCTTGTCCAGCAATATTCGATTTCTTCTCCTATTACTGAAATTCCATGATCTGCAATCATTACGTTTAAAAGTGAAAACATAAATTTGCTTAATACTTGTTCATCTTGCTCGGTATGCATTATTTTTGTAATCTTTCCTATAATATGTCTATCATTGAATTGTTTCAACGTGTTTGGTTGATTAGAACTGAGTGCAGCTAGAGAAGAACCAACTTTCTTTAAAATTGCCTTTCCTTTAGAACTTGGATTATCCAAAATATCTGCCAAATAATTAAAGAATTTAACTTGATAGAGGTCATCAGTTTGAATGGCTGGATTATTATGAAGGCAGGTGCAAAGTATTTGAAGAGAAGCCAACTTAATTTCAATTTCATCAGCTCTTTCATCTTGACTCTCCGAAGAAAGGAAATGGTCAAAGATATATTCAGTTCCTTTCATTTTGTGGAAATCAGTAGCAAAGTCAATTTTTCCAACAATTTCATCAATTTGATCCATAGCATCTAGAGTATCATCAACTGATGAAGATTCATCTCTAATAACAGCCAATGCCTTTTTAATGACAGTATATGGATCACTTCCTTTCATTTGAGAAGCAATATATTCCAAAATTTCCCTTTTTTCTGGTGTTAATTCTTGTGGATTTCCTGTTGAATCTGCTGCTTGTCTTCTCAACTCTTCGGAAGATGAATTGGCAACAGCCCAATTAAATAATTCTTTTAAAGGATCACCTCCTCCTCCTTGTGGATTCATATTTCTTGTTGATGTATTTTTTTCTAATTGAATTTTCTCGGCTGAGTTACGTTTGGTATTTACCTTTGTGTTTTCTCCACCTAATAATAAATTTCCTTACCATTCCGAAACAATTCCGTATTTGTTCCGTCCTTTTTTAATAGCATAACTTGTTATTAAAGAATAGATTCTGATTTAAAATTGATTTAATTAAGCTAAATAAAAGTTAATTAATAATAAAATTAAATTTCTGATTATTAGAATTATTTCAGGGTCAACTTCAATAAAGAAGTATATATCTCATATTTATTATTTAGACAGTGTACTAATATTTAACTGAATTACTTGAAATGTTCAAGATCGAACTCGTACAATAACAAATTACAATACGGTCGTTATTTTTTTATTTTTCATCTTAAAAAAAATTAAGCAAACTGTTTCATCATGGAAAAATTAAGGGAGATTTTGAATAATTATCCAGACTCTACAGAGGTATCACTTGAGAAGTGTAATTTAACTACCTTGGATGATGTATTGGATTATTTGGGAAAATTAGGAAATCTTAAAGTTTTAAGGCTTGGTAATAACTTCCTCTCAAAGCTTCCTTCAGATATGAGCAACATGAAAAAGCTCGAATATTTAGATGTTAGTAACAATCCTTTTGGGGATTTGGAAGATATAATGTCAGGCTTGGTTTCTCTCCCTTCCCTAAAACATCTCTACATTTCATTGAACGAAGATGATGAAGATAATTTGATTATTAGTATGGCTAATTTGCAATCGTTCAATGGTACACCATTAACAGATATTCCTGATAATGATCCAGCTTTATACAATGAAGAAGATGCTCCTGGTGAAACTTTTACTTCAAATCCACCTCAAGACTCCTATGCTAACACTGAACAAAACGAAAAAGTTGAATTCAATGAAACAGACCTTGAAAGTAAGTTGTTTTATCATTTTCCTTAAGGTTGATATTATTAATTAAGGTTCAAGAAAGGTTTACGAAGCATCCTGCTTATTCTTAGGACAAAAGCCTCAATTTTCAAACTTTGCTGCAGATACTATTGCACATTTAAAGAATAATTTAACAGAGGAAACTGATCACGTTAAGGCAACAATTACCATTTCAAATGCTAATAAGACATTGTACGATAGAAGCTTTGAGGATATTATTGGTGTTATTGCAAAATCCGATAAGAAATTATCAAGTGTTTTGGCTATTGTCAAGAGCTCTTACTCTGGCCTCCTAGATGATTGTTTCACTTTGATGGATAATACTGTTCTTGAATATAATAAGAGAGTTAGATCTTTGCAGAAAGATTTAGATGCAGCAGATGTTGAAATAGGACAACTTCTTGAAGCTGCTGAAGCACTTCAACAATCAGCTTCCGACAGTGAAAGTACTAAGAGAAAAGTATTGCTCAGCTGGGAGAAGGAAAGAGAAAGTTTGTGTGAAGAAATAGGATTCTTAAAGACTGAATTAGAAAGTAAGTTTCATAATTTTCATTCAATATTAACAAATTTTAGAATACAAGAACAGACTTACACAATTCCAACTTAATAGACAAAAGATTTCCACACAAATCAATACTTCACCATCCAAACTACTTAAAACACCACAATCACCTTCTACAGGTAATTCACAACTGAGCAGTAGTACTTTTAAGCTGTCTCAAATTACTGTTAATGTGAATACTAAATCCCTAACTTTGCGTCAATTAAAGGATTTGATCGAAGAAATTTACGCATCTAAGCAAAAGTTTGATGAAAAGTGTGCAGAGAGCAGACTTCCCAGAGAAACAATGGAACAACATTTATATACATACCTCAATCAAAAGTATGGTCTTAAGAATATAATTTTGGATTATGCTTCATCAATTGTCCAAGGTATTAAGAGGTACTCTACTGAAGATAACGATGTTGCTGTATTTGGAAAAATTTTAAGAAATGAAATCGATGAAGAATTTAGATTTGTTCAAAAACAATTAAAGGATACTGTAGCTGAATTATTAAAGGTTTTCCTTAGAGGAAAATATACTAAGAAGATGGATTCTGAAATTCAAGCAATGCTTCAACAAAGAATGTCTGGAGACATCCTTGAGGAAGAATGGGTTGATATTGTTAAATACATGTACAATAAGGAAGATTCTGTGAATGTAATTATGAAGGTAACTGAAGCTATTCAAGCCATCCAAAACAAGCTCAACAGAGGAAACAGTAGACAAATTGGGTCAACATCTCCAACTAAAAGTATTCCAAACAATCAAAATAAGGTTCCATTCAAGATTTTCCTCAAAGTCTTGTTGACATATCAATTGAAAGGTCACGAGCAATTCTTGTACAAGTTTGTCAAGTTGTTCAGAAAAGTTGATGGAGACAAGAATGGTATCTTGAGTGAAATTGAATTCAAACATTTACTTCACCTTATTAATCCAAATAGATCGGAAAGTGATTATGCTCAATGGTTGAACTATGTAGATCCTTACAATAATCAACATATAACATTTACTGAATGTGTTACTTTCCTTTCTTCAGAACTCTTAAAGTTAATGGGTGAAAAGTCTCAAAATGATTCTGTTGATGAGGAAAATGCGGATGAGGAATTTGAATATGAAAATAATGCTGAAATGTAAAATAATAAATGGTTTACTCTTTCTTATCTTTCTTTCTCTTTTCCTTCTTTTCCTTCTTCTTTTCCTCTGCTTCCTTCTCTTTCTTTTCTTCCTTTTCCTTCTTCTTTTTCTCCTTCTTTTCCTTCTTTCTCTTTTTCTTCTCCGATTCAGAATCACTGTGATCTGATTCCTCTTCCTTCTTTCTCTTCTTTTCTTCCTTTCCTAACTTTTGTGAAAAATAGTCATCACTACTGATCTTACTAACTTTGGAATGTGGATCTGGTGTTTCTTCCTTTTCTTCCTTTTCTTCTTTCTTTTCTTTCTTTTCTTCTGTCTCTTGGTTTGGATTTTTACCTAAAATTGCAGCCAAATCTTCTTGTGAGTAGTGGCTTGTCATCTTCGATCTAGCTCTTCTATGATGGTGAATTCTATTTGTTTTGGTCTTTGTGACTACTTGTTGTTTTTCATCATCCGATGATGAACTACTTGAGTCCGATGATGATTTATCTGTATTTGTTGTTTTAAGTCTATTCAAAATATCCGAGAATGATGATGTTTTTTGACAGACAGTTCTTTCTTTCTTTGCTTCTTCTGTTGCTCCAATACCTGCAGTATCTGTTTTAACTGATACTTTTACATGTTCCGTTATACCATCCTTTCTCTTTCCCAAACCATCACCTTCCTTCCAACCCATCTTTTCTAATAATTTGAATCCGAGTCTTGATTTATCTTCTGCCCATCTCTTATTGTTTGGGTCATCTTTAAACATGAATTTAGCACTCTTGTACTTTGGCATTTTTTTTATCTTCAATTATTTGAGGTTAACATTCAAATATTTATTTGATCGTGATGATTTTCAATTTCATCACGACATTATCATTTAAATATATTACACAGTTAAAGCTCTATCCATGTTTCTGAACTGTTATTGGAATGTGTTGAAGAAAGTCACAACAATAAATAATATTAATTAAAATTAATCGGAGGTTTTTAATGCAAGACTTGGAATAAATACATTTTCAACAAGTGGAGATTCATCATCATCGTCCTCATCCTCATGATCTTTCAAGTATTTGGTAGAGTGTAAATTTTCATCATGAATATAATTTCCTAAACATGCATTTTGTAAAAATTCTAATAAATTATCACAGACTGCAGTTGGAGGTCTTACATCACCTAAAGTTTCATCAACTTCAATTAAATAAATTGATTCCATCTTTGTTAAATTCCATGCATAATAGAGTGTTTCTTGAATTCCATCCTTGGCAAAAATTACAAAATTCTTAAATGTAGATTCATAATGTTGTTCCAGAATTGTTTCTGCTGAATTTTCTCTTTCTTCATCGTTAATCATTCTTAAGAAAATATTTTGAATTCTCTTTGTTTGGAATTTAATATCGAATTGATAATATGTTGATGATGGATAAATACCATACAAGTGTACTCTTCCTAGTTTTCCACTTCCATATTTTGATAGGAATTGTACATAATCTTTGATGATTTGATTATCTGATGGTATATTTACACTTTTGAATTCATTGATCATCTCCTCTTCAGATGGTTTTGGGATCGGAGAAAGAGAAGGAATGTTTCTCAATCTAATCTCCACGTTGAGTGTTTCCATTTTTTTCTAAGTGAGTTCATGTTTTAGAGACAACAACCAGTTTCCATGCTTTAAAAACATGTCCCTTTTGTGATCTCTTTCAGATATCCACTTGTCTAACTGATTCTGGAATGCATTAATTTTTCCTTGTAGGATCTTTCTTCTCTTCTCAGTTTGTTTGAAATAATTATGCCATTTTGTTGAAATCATTTGGTAAGATTGAGATGTTTCATCTAGATTAGTTTGATCAAGTTCTGGGAATATTTTCTTGTAGGCCTTGTAGTTTTCATCAACAGGTGGTTTGTTTTGGAGCTCAATCTTTTTATGGAGAAGGGCAAGGTCTTCCTCAATTCTGTTCAATATCTTGGCAAGGTGAGACTTGTTTGTGTCAGAATCACTGCTGCTACTGGTAGATAGACTATTAGGGGAATCAGGATCTGCAGAAATATATGATTCAAAATGGCTCTGATCAATAATACTATCTTCCAGTACTTTGATTTTCTTCTTTCTTAAAGCAATCAGGTTTTGAATTTCATTCACTCTCTTGACATCATTATTCAAGCTGTGAGCTTGCTTTTCCAAATGTTGTTTAACACTCTTCAATATCTTATTCATGTTATGCTGGGATCCATCCTTAATGATGCTTGTATTCAACATATCAGTCTTCCATTCCTCTCTGGCTTGTTCCAACATTTCTTGTCTTGCTCTAATCGTTTCTTTTTCTTGAGAGCAGAATTCTTTTGCCTTCTTTAATTTAAGCTTTTCTTCACTAATCTTCTTTTCAGTTTTTTCCTTATACAGAAGGAATTCAGTGTTTTGTTTAGCTAATTGTCTTGGAGGGGTATTTTCCTTGTCCAAATCAGATATAGAAAGAGGACTTGGGCTTTCATACTTGTTAGATTGCTTAGGTTTCTTAGTTTTAACCAAAATTGGTTTAAGAGGTGTTGCTAGAACAGGACTTTTTGGGCCCTGTTGGACTGGTATTGGAGACAAAGTTATTGTCTCTATTTCTACATGCTTATTTGCAGGTAATTGAATGTCTGCTTGGAGACATTCATCTCTAGTTGTTTTTTCTGTTGTCTGTTGTGACTGGTCAATAGTTACAACTTTCTTAGGGGTAATTTGTCTAGGTTCACTTGTTTGAGCAAGCATATCTTTGAATGTTTTGGTTATTGTGTTCACACCATCAGATGTGGTTTTGACTCCATCTGTTTGACAGAGACTTGATATTGTTTGTATTTCAGTTTGAGTTGTTTTGGAGAGAGAAGTCTTCTTTCTCTCAACTTCCACAATCTTTTCAACTATCTTAGGTTTTTCAACAATCTTTTCGACTACTTTTTCAACAATCTTCTCGACTGGTTTCTCTACAATTTTCTCTATAATTTTCTCAACAGGTTTTTCGACAACCTTCTCGACTATCTTTTCTACAATTTTCTCGACTGGTTTCTCTACAATTTTCTCTACAATCTTCTCAACAAGGACCTTAGTATCAATTTTATCAGTTTGACACTCGATAGCCTTAAACGTCTTTGCTTCAGTTTGTGCTTGATTTTTCTTCAATCTAGCATTTTCCTCAAACATTTCATCTGCTTCTTGTCTTGCTAATGCTATTTGTTTCCTATTTTCAATAAATGTATCTTGGAGAGTTTGCTTGTGTTTCTTTTCCATGATATCTTTTTCGGTTTGAAGCTGAGTTATTTTGTTCCTGTACTCAACTTCCATCTTATTCTTATTCTCTCTAAGATCATTTTCTAGTTTTTCATTCTCATTATTCAAGTGTATTATCTTTTTCTGAAGTTCAATCCTTTCCCTGTTTGATAATTCAAGTTGTTGATCTAGAGACCTTATTTTGTCTTGTAATTTGATAAGCTCTTCATTGTTTTGCGGAGATGAAGAACTTGATTCTCTAAGCTTCTTTACAGATGATGAAGAAGACAAAGTAGTCATATTAGTAAGAGAAGGTATTTCATCTGATGATCGTAAAGAATTGAGCGGATCAAGTTTTGTTGTTGTAATTTTCTTCTTTTTCTTCTTTTTTTCCTTTTTCAATTTTTCCCTTTCCTTTGCCACTTTTTCCTTATAATAGGCATCAAGTGGATGATCCCATATTGATTCTCCTGAATTAAAATTAAAGTAATAAAGTTGACCATCGGACTGACAAGGTCTCCATCCATCAGGTAAGGGAGCTTTTATTCCCTCCAAAGCGATTGGTATTAACTCCTTTTCCAGCACAGGATCAATACCAAGAAATTCTGCATATTTTAAAACATCCTCTTCAGTAGGCTCTTCTTGCTCGATGAAGATATTGTCATCATCAATAGAACTCATTTTTTTTCACAATATTTTAAAGAGAAACGGTTTTTGTAAGAAAATTGGCGGGAAACTTGTGAGCGCCACTTTAAAATGTAACGATAAAGTTGTTTGAGAATTTAATTATTAATAAATAGGATGAGGACCTCAATCTTGAAAACACTTAAAAATAATATTTTTTGCAAAAACAATGAAATTGAAACTTTCAATGCTTTACAACAACATTCCACTATGCAAAATACTTGTCAAAAAACAATGCCAAAACACATTACGAATGATTACATTAAATTCAACTCACATCTCTCCTTCATTATTCACGATAAAGAGTCAGAGAACAACACTGATGATATCAACACTGTGAACAATCACGAATCATTTTATGATGATTTTAAATTTACAACTAGAATGATACCAATTATTGTGATTCTCTATTCGGAGGAGGAAGGAAAGTACATTTATCATGATGATGTGAGAAGAGTATGTCCTAGGAATACTTTTCCAAAGTATTTACTTGCTCAATTGCAGGAAATGTTTGATGATGATCATGGGGTTTATTCAAAATTTGCTTTGATTAAATTGGGTAAATTGGGAATTAGTTTAAAGTGGAGAATATTGGATATTGTGGAAGAATTGGATGATGGACAGATTGTTAGGAGTGAAAGATATGATTCTGAAGGAGAACCAATTATTTCATTTCAAAAGATTAGTAATAATGAGCTTGATATTTGTTTATCTGATTTTATGAATTTATTTAATTTGAAAATTGAATTGTGTCAGAAAGATATTGAGAAATCACAAGTTAAAATTAAGAAAATTGGAACATCCCACATCATGCCAATTCTTACACAGAATATGATTACATCACTTTTTGAATCAACAACAATTTCGCCTAAAATTAGACGAAATGGCCAATGTGAACATATTGTATCTTATGCATTATACAAAAACACATGCCTCTCCTATAACTTTAAACTATTCACGTACGAGAATAATGAACAAAAAATTAAGGACACAATTGAGTTTGAGTTTGATTTTGGTCAATCACTTTTACTAGTCAATCAGAATACGAATGAGATTTATCTAATGGTTTATGGAAATGATCATGGATTTTTCAAAATAATACCAAAGGGGATCGACTCTTTGGAAAATCATCAAATGGAATTAATTCCATTTGAGAACTATATAGATTTCAAACCAAAAGTGTGGAACAAAAATTCTATTCTGTCATGTCCGTTAACAGCAAGCAAATATTTGGTTCTCATTCGTGAGGTCAACAACAATGAACAATCAAGTAATAGCTATCAAAGCTTATTCACCAATGAATTCAAATGGTTGCTGGTTGATTTAGACTACCATAGAGTAAAGAGAGTCTACCCAAGAGTTTATAAATTGCCTGAAAATGGAGTCAAAAAGAAGAAAGGAAGAGAAAAGTTTCTTTTCCCAGACGGAGATTTGAATGCAGGATACAGTGATGCCTTATTATTGAGATACATTTCACGATCGAAAGAATCAAAAGAGATTTCCTTCTCTAAAATAATGAATGAAACCCATTCCTCATTAATTCCAATGCCAGAAAAGCAAACCCTTGAGAATTTATTTGCATTTAGACCATTCCCAGAAAACCCAGAACTATTCCAAGTGCATTTATCTGTTTCTGATCGTCATTTGATATCCGTTAGGAAGAAGAATAAGAATTTTACACATGGAAAATTCTTTAGGTTTTACTTTAAATTCAGAGATGAGGCTACATGTAAATATTCACTTTTATATCTACTTAATGAGAATGGTCAATTTTCAGATGTTTCAATTAAATTTTTTGAATAAGTGGTTTGAGAATTATTTATCAATATTTTGATCTCTTAATATTAGGATAAAAAACACAATTCCACTCAGGATTCCAAGGAAGTGCCATGATGATTGAGTCAACAAATAATTTGTCTGAAATTGTTTCACCCAATCCCAAGTACTCTCTTACTTTTTCACTAGCTTTTGTTAAAATTAAATCACCTCCATCTGGTAGCTCAACAAAAACTGTACCTCTCTTTTTCGCTTCTTTTGTTACTGTCAAAGTCCAACTAGTTACACATCCCTCTTCATCATATGCATCATGGTCAATAGTAATGTCACCAATCTTGATTTGTGCCTCGTAAGAGTATCTATAATCCATTCTTGTCGATTTAAAAGAAATAATGGTGCACTTTCTGAATATATTATCTTCCAATTGTTTGGCAATAGCTTTTCCATGGGTTCTCTCCACATCATCCAAATATGAATTCCAAGCTGCCATTTTCTCCAGTGTTTTGGTTTTTGATTTCAATTTTGCTTTGACCAATTCCACAGTATTCGAAAGTTCTGAAACTGTTTGTATAAGCTTTTCTTCATATGAATTCAAAGTCTTTTTATCTTGACCTTTTCTGACTGTTCTTTCCTCTTCTTCATCATCAGATCCTTCATCTTCTTCATCTTCCTCATCAGCATCATCTTCCTCATCCTCCTTTTCATCCGATTTCTTTTTTGCCAAATTACTTGTTCGAACAAAAGTGGAAAGGTCAACTCTCTGAACTAATCTTTCCAAATCTCTCTTTAATCGACTAGAAAGAAATAAAGAGTGATTCTGATAGAGTGAATTGTACAATTCTCTACAGGTAAGAATAAAATTGGCTCCATCAAGAGTATCATCGAGATAATTTAAAATTTCGCTATGAATTTCCGAAGGTAATTGACAAATATTATCATCATTTCTGCCATTGGTCTTGATCAACTTCTTGGAGGGGGATGGTTCAGAGTTGTTGGAATCATCAGACAGTTTTCTTTTCATTTTTTTTTCTAATAAATGATGGATTTTGTGATTTGCAGGAACATATCCCGAACTTTGCGAATTTGATGTAAACCAATATTTTAATTATATTCAGTAAAATAAAGAAATCAACAAGATACTGGAAGGCAATTAAAAGCATGCTATGTTGCCTGTATGCTTCTAAAATGATTAAGCTATTAAAGATTGGGATTCGGATTTTTATTCAATTTTTTAAAATTCTTTTCTCCCTCAATTACGTATCATTGAAGAGAATGAATATTCAATGTTACTGTTACAAAGTTACACATCGAGTTCTGTGATAATAACTGTTCAATCCCGTAATAAATTAAGAAAGGAGATACTGGACTTTAATCAATACAGTGAATAACTCTTGTTCTCACGAACACAATCTTCTTCAATCCGCCTTATTTTGGAACAGTTCCATCGTGACTGTTGGCCTTAATTATAAATCGCATTGTGTTTTATTGGAAAATATGATTCTCTTAGTTGTAGAATAGACAATAGAGGTTCGTATCTTTGAACTGGTTGCTGTAAAAATTTCCTTAATAGCTAAATACCGTTTCCAAAACAATTCTCAAAATTTCGCTTTCTGGTGTCTGATCGCGATCTAATACTTGAACAATGAAGCGGGACTTCTTTGACCTTTTCAAAAAAAACGAACAAACACCAACAATAACAAGATTGGAAGTCTTGAGATTTATCGCCTTACTTGATAACCCTTGCGTGCATGTACCAATCAACTTCATCATCATCTTCATCATTAAAAGATCGTACTCTCACTCATAAAGTGCTCATTGAAAGATTGCTAAAAGGTATGTTATTTTGTTGTATTAAGGGTTGCTTATGTGATGAACATTGTTATAATGCTGCTACTGCTACTAATAATTATACAACAATTAATAACATCAGAATATTGCTCGCAAACTTATACCTTCAACGATCAACACATTGCCCCTTCATCACTTGTTGACTCTTCTTTTGCAATGATGCCAAACAATAACAACATGTTGTTTGGAGGAAATAAGAATGGCAATGGTTTCTGTAACAATTCCCTCAATATTAACAATCAACAGCAAACAAACAATGGTACTTCTTCATTTCCATCATCAAGTGGTAGTTCTGGACTACATCTTTCTCTCAATTATAACGAACTAACTAACATGCAGTATCCTCAAACCTATAATGGAAATAACATGTTCAGTTCATCACCACATGCAACAAACTCCATCAATATTCACAAGACATGCTACGATAATAACTTCATCAGATCAAATAACCAGCATCAAGAGAATATGATCTCTCCTCTTGATTTCTCAAACATGTTCAATGTACAAAATAATAATTCATCAAACATGAATAATTGCAACATGAGGAACGGAAATCAAATTTCAAACAATTTTCACATGAATCAAAACAGTCAACAACATGTAAATTTCAACGTGGTTCCTCAAAACTCAATGACTGGTCAATACGAACCACTAGTCCAATCATTTTCAAATCCATTCCAACTAGGTTCCGCAAACCAAAGAGTATCTGAGCCTTCCTTAGCCCTTGAAGATACTTGCATTTCCCAGTTTTGTAGCACAGAGGCCCTTAACAAGAGGAAGCAAACGTTATCTGATTTCCAATTACAGTCAAACAACTCAATCTCAAATACCATAGAGTGTTCTTCAAGCATATCTCCACAACCATTCATTGAAAATAGTCAAAATGCAATGAATTTAGTTGAGAACTCTTTCAATACACATCTTGGAACGACAAACAAAATGCAATCATCATTTCCTCACAATAATAACTGTTACCTTAATAACAACAGCAACGACATGCATTTTGGGGGAGAACATTGTTTTGATCCTTCAGATGATGCATCATCTAACGAGCATGTATCAAGTCCAAAGAGTGGAGGAAAGGAAAGAGTTGTTGCTTCAAGTGTAGGAAAGAAAGTGAATGGTAGATATACAAAGCTTAGAAAACAGTTAAGAACATTTGGAGGTGATTTCACAGATAACTACTTTGTTTTGGATATTTCTACAGCAGGAGAGAAGAGACCAATTAAGGGAGGAAAGAAGAGAAAGTCATCACCAACCGAAAATGAATCAGAAGAAGAAATATTACATAACAATAGAAATCACAGAAGTTATACCATCCATTCTTCAGATTATAACAATAATATCAAAATCATACCAGACATGCAAAACACATCTGATGAATGTGTAATTGACATGGACTCAAGAAGACGTTCTTCAATAGGACCAATTTCTCAATCATCAACCAATCCAGTCATTATGATAGATTCAGTCAACAATAACTCATTCAATCCTCCTCCATCCCTAATAATTTCAAACGATTCCATGTCGAGACCATACTCCACTCCAAACAATACCATTTCCCCAAGAAGCTCCAACTCTAGAGATATAACACCACAAGAAGTTGAACAAACCGACAATAGATCTGTACAGATACTCCTCTCTCTATTAATGAATTCGGTTAATCAACAACAAGCAACTAAGGAAATATCAATCAATAATGAATCAGTTCCACCACAATCCAATCCTCAATTCAATTTCAATGTAAATACAAGAAGTCAATCCCTTACCCCTCAAAACTTTGCCAACAATGAGGATTTTTCATTTTTGAACATGTTGATGAGACAGAACAACAATAAACAATAACAAATCGCAAATATCTACTTTTCACATCATTCAAATGTCATCACAACAATCAAAAAAAAATGAACGACACAGAGAAGATTGTCTTGATTTTGTTCTGTCTGTTTTTACCTCCTGTAGCAGTTGCTGTTAGAAAGGGATTGCACATTCACTTGTATTTGAACATCTTCCTGACCTTGCTTGGATTGATTCCTGGAATTATTCACGCCTTCATTGTTGGTAAGTTGTGTTGGAAATTAAATTTTATATAATTTCATAGCTTTTGGAATTTTGTAAATTGAATAAATAGGATATTTATCTATCATTCCACCAAATTACACCAAAACAATTCTCAAATGCTTCATAAGTCATCCAGAAACAACCATCATCTGTGTTTTCATGTTTGAGTGATTTTTTCACATCTGGATACTTGTCCCATTCTGAGCTATTATCGGACCATGGTCCATTATATTCAGTTCTTCCCCATGTATTTCTCAAATTTACTAATTTTAAATCATGTTCTGGGAATTTTCTATATCCAAGAAGTGAATAACCATGATAATTAACAAGACCTTTCGAGTTGACCAAATCAGATCCTTCTTCACCTGGCATTGTTGCACAAACTGGAACACTTGTAGCACTGTCTAATAACTTTTCAATTAAGGGCCAAAAAGTACCATTCTTCATCTTTTCTTTTGCCTCTGAATCTCTTCCTGTGAACCATTCTAATTGTTTGGCTCTACCACCAAATAGTAAAGAAAGAATATTCGAAGGGTAGATCAAGTGAGCATTCATCAGTGGATTTACCTTTTCATAATCTCCAACCTAATGTTAATTCATTGATTTTACAAGATCCAAAAGAGAATACTTACTAGTTTGGCTATTGCCTTTTCAATTAGAGATATCCACAATTCGCCAACATCATCTGAATGGGCAAACTTTAAACGACCATTTTCAGCAGGAAAATAATCATCTATGAGGAGAGTCATCTTCTCATTGTTTGGCTCTAAATTGAATGTGAGTGCATAGAGACCTAGTTTTGATCAATCGACTCACAATGAATGAATACTCTCCTTAATAGATTTGGTCTCAATGCTGCTCCACTTATACTTGAAATTAAAAAGCAATCACCCAAACTTCCTTGAATTGCATCCTTAACAGAAATATTCTTAAATACTGCCGGTTTCTTGAATAGGTCTTGTGCTCTAACACAATCACTTCTTGGAGGGAAATCCTCATCAACAAATTTCAAGTTTCTACTCTTTAGTTCACCAACTAGATCATTTACAATATCTGGTGTTTTGAAACCAATTTTACGAGGACCAATTCTCTGATTGGAATGGCTCATTAGAATATTTCTACAACTCGACTGTTTATCATCCTCTATACATGCTGGATAATCCACATAGGTTGCCTCAATAATGTACATGGTTGGTTTTTCTGTTACTTTCAACACATACTCAACTTGATCACTTTTCTCATCCTTCAGTAAGAAATAATGTCCACTATATGCAAAAGTTCCCCAAAACGTTGAAATAGGAGCGCTGCATAACCATGAGAAAAGTGATTTCCTTCTGTATCCACTCTAATGACATCAAACTTTCTTGTTGTATCATTTTTTATCCAAATATCAGTTTGATTATTCGAATCGAAGGTTGACTTGAGAGATTTCCAATCAATATCACTTGCGTTAATCAAATTACAAGTATGAATATTCTTTGAAGTATCTTCCTCAATTGCATTCTCAAATTCTTCCTTCCATTCTAATTGATCTTTCTCTTCCTCAATTTCATTACATTCTCGTCATCATCTGACTCTTCTCCATAAAGAACTCCATCCTTTTCCTTATCATACACAAACATTCCAGGCTGAACCTCAAAATAATCAATTGTCTCATCAGTTGGAACAAATATTGCTAGAATTTTCTGATCCCGAACAAGTCTCATTACAAATGGATGAGTGGCTGCTGTTTGTTGACAACACTTCTCTCCAGGATTTAGTGAAGGGTTGTTCCTTTCCATCATAATCCACCCATATCATTTGCACAGGTTCACCCACTGTATTATGGAAAACAATTCGACAAACCTTATCCCATCGCTTAGAACGAAGAAGTTGCATTTTTTTATTAGGGAAGAAAATTCTTATCTCAAGTTTATGTTGATGATGAATGATGTTGGGTGATATTGACAGAATTTACAATTAAGTATTATGCTTCTTGACTGAAACCTTGATATTTTCATAGGGAATACTTCGATTTTTGCTTCAAGTTCATGAAAGTTTTTTGGCGGTTGAATCTACTAATTAATTCTAGAAAAAAATAACATTACTCAAGGGAGGTAATAATTTTCTTGTTGATCGGAAAAAGTTGCAATGACAACACTTCAGTTGAATGGAGAATGGACAGATAGATATGGCAAAATTTGGAGATCTTCACAAAGTGGTAATACTTTTAATTGGGTGGAAAATACTACAGGAAGAGTGGCGTCAGGAATTGTTGTTCCTTTGAGTGGGGGTGTTCAATGGATTGTATTTGCAACGTATGTATTAATATAGTTCCGATCTGTATAAGTTATTTAGATTTGATGGAACAAAACATTTGAAATATTCAAGCAACAATGGAAATCAACTAATCTCCTCAGTGGACACATTTACTAAGGCTCCAAGTAATTCTTTTCCCACAGATTTTAACCAATCAATTATCAAAAATGTTCCCTTACTGACTGGGGCTATGTATCAAGATTATTGTGGAATGGTATGTTAACATAATTTGAGGATAAACAATCAATTACGAAGATTTGGAATTGTTCAAATCATGAGGGTGGTCACTTTGTTTTGAGTAATTTAACTGATGGAAGAAGCTGTGATGGATATGTAGTGTTTGATATTTACAGAAACGTATTCATTATTTATATTGTATTTGTTAGAAATGGTGTGGAAAATGTCTTCAAATCAGAAGCAACAAACCTGAACGAAATGGATTTATCTAATGGAGACTATTTCAGAAGAGTTGGTGGAAATACACCACTTCCTCAACCAGTAGATCCGCCTCTTCTTCCAACCACAACTCAACAATTACCTCAACCAACTCCAATTCAAATGCCACCGCAACCAACAACAAGATACTACAGAATTGGTGGTGGAAAAGATGGTGTGTCAACATGGACTAAATGGAATGGTTTACCTTGCCTTACAGTTGTTGAGGGTTGGGAAGTGGTTTTTGAAGTTGACCGTAAGTATCTTTATAATAACAATTTAATATCAACAAATCCATAAGAAAATGGAAATATTTCTGGAAGCAATAGAACTGATTACAAGAATACTATGTTAACAAAATACTACAGTGGGACTTTCAAAAATAATGTCTTTGATATATCAGCAAAATTCTCTGATGGAAGAGTAATATCATACAAGGTTTGTTGTTGTAAAGTTATGATAATTAATATGTTACTTATATTATATTAGGGAAGCTTAACAGGTAATAAGGTTCGAGTGGATTATGTAATTCTTACTCCTGGAAATCTTCAGGGAGGCACGATAGGCGATGGTGGATTCAATGTTGGAACTTTGTTCGAAACATCAGCCCCTCCATGTCAGCCAAAAACATATACTATTAATGGAAAAACTTATTGGAAAAGATATAATGCACTTCCCAGTGTAAGTAATTTGAAATTAAGTTGCTCACAAATTTAAAGAGTAGCATTGTGGATGGTTGGATGATGAGTTTTAATGTTGACAGTAAGTTCTCTCAAAATTGAAATGTTTATAAAATTTCATTAGAATATGGAAATATTTCTGGAAGTAATAAGAATGCTGGTCAAGCATTTACGAAAACATACAGTGGCACCTTAATTAATAATTTAATGGATGCAACTGCCAAATGGGATGATGGCAGAACTGCAACATACAAAGGCTCTATTACCAACAATACCATAAAACTTGATTTTATCATTACAGCACCTGGTACTCAACCAGGTCAATCTGGTGATTCAGGATTTAATACTGGAATAGTTACAAGTAATTAAAAAGAATTCAATCCAAACAAATCATCCGCATATTCTCCTTGTCGTAATTATCCTATTAATAATTTTTATTATTCACCGTTTACCTGTAACTGTTAAATGACGTTTAAGATAATAATAAAAAAATAACAAGATGAGCTTCTACCACAACGATCATGATGTAGACACCGAACAAGACGATCACAATCACCTCACAGGTGATGAAGTTATTTGGAGAATAATACAAAATGATCAGGAAAATATGCATGATCATCAAAGTGGTGGTAAACCTCCAGCCTCTAAAACATTTATGAGAAATATGGAAGTTATTTGGTTTGATCCGGAAGATGCAGAAGATGCTCAATATAAGGATGAATCATGTCCTATCTGTGGAGAGGAATATAAGAAGGGAGATCAGTGCCATAAATTAGAGGACTGTAATCACTTCTTTCATATCAAGTGTTTGAAATTGTGGTTTGAAAAACATAATACTTGTCCAATGTGCAGGAAAGATGTTCTCACAGATGACCCTGAATATGAAGAACAAAAATTGGATCCTTCCAGATTGAAGGATAACATCCACAGCATGTACATGTAAATATATCGGATATCACAAATTTTGTAAATAATTTAATAATTTGAACAAGTAAATTAATAGAATATGAATTACAAACTAGTAATAAATAATAGAATTAAATTTTGATAATTAAACATTCCGATTGTTGACTAATTTCATCAACTTCACCTCTTGCAAAAAAACTTATCAAAAAAAATGCTTCCAAAGAAGAGTACTACATTCTCAAAGAATGTTCAACCAATTAGTGATTTTGATGAAGAGGAGGAGGAATACTATCGAGAGGAGGAATATCAAGGACCAATAGATGAGGATGACGATGAAGAAAATAATTTTGCCTATCCCGATGATGAGGGAAAATCAAAAAAGCCTATTAAACAAAGACAACAATCAAAGAAGAAGGCTGTCAAATTTGAGGAAGAAAAACAAAAGAAAAAACCATCAATTCCTAAAAAAACACAAAAAGCTATTTTAGTGTTTAACAAACTTGTTGATGATGCCATTCAAAAGATTATATTTTCTATGGCTGATCAGGAATATGTATCCGATATTTATTTGGATTATGTTTGTCAATTATTACAGCCACAACATTTTGAAGAAGTTTTGGAAGAGAGAAATGCATCTGGTTTGTGTGGTAATCCTACTTGTTCTAATGAAATTGATGATGAATTGATTGGAAGAAATCCAAAGTATTATATTGATTTCAATAGATTAGAATTGGTGGATGTTTCAAGTTTTGCAAACAGATTATTTTGCTGTGAAGTTTGTAAAAAGAAATCCTTCCAAAAGATGAATGCTTGCAGTACATCAATTCCATATACTAGAGATTGTAAAAAATTACTTTTCATGCTTTTCCCTGAAATTGGAGAAGAAAGACTGACATTTATTTTGGATCAAGTGAAAGAATCTGTCTTGACAGATCCAAAAGCTACATTGGCTGTTAAGGTCAAAGAAAATGAAAATCCTCAATTGCCAGCAGTTGGTGCAGAAGATGAGCTTGATTGTGAAACAGATAATATTGAAGGATTCATTCCATCCTATTCAAATGATAAAATTAAGAAGGAAGTTAAAAGAATTGGATACTTCTTCGAGCCATGCAGTGACAGTGATGGGACTGGTGACGGCATTGATCCTTCTGAACTCAAATTAGAATTATTCCAAGAGTTGTGGACATTCTTCTCCAGAATGGTTACTAAATCCACTGTCCAATACTTTAAAGATCTCAATAACCCATCTCAAGAAGCAGAAACTTCCCAAGAAGTGCTACCAAAGAAGGAAAAATCAAAGATTGACTATAGTGAGTTAAAGGTTTATGAGGATATGTACAAGGAAATGGGCATTGATATTTCAAATGATATTGAGCAATTTAGGCCAACAAATGAAGAATTGTATAGTGAAGATGGAGGTGTCATAAGAGATGAAGTGCACATGGTTCGTTTCAGATTATTCTTGCACTCCCTTTATGAGCTTATTCCAACAATTTGTGACTCTATTGGATATACCAATCATTCCAAACTAAGACTTCAATTCGAGAAAATTCTCTCAACATTCAACTATGAGTATGCTCTTCCATCTTTGGACCTTAAAAGATTGAAAATTATTTGTACGGTAATTGTAAAGACATTAATGCTAAAAGATGAAGAATTCAAGCAAGATTTAATTGAAATTAGCGAGAAACCTATTGAGTTTATCATTCTTGGTCAAAAACCAACTACACCAGTTCAAACCAGAAGAAAAAAGATTACAAATGAGAAAGATTCATTACTAGAGAAAAGTACAGAAAATATCAATAATCAGTTGCTGAAAGAAGGAATCAAGGAGGTACAAATTAATCTTTTAACAGATGTTATTATATTTGGGGTTTACTAATTTACAAAATTACATTATTGTAATAAAAGCTCAGTAGCAAGATGAACATCATTACCTGCTTGTCGTAGAGCCATTTCACAATCTTGTCTCGAAAATCCCATTTGCATTAATTGTTGAATATTTTCTTCCGATGCATCTCCACCAGCTCTAATATTTGGTTGTTGATTTTGATTATTATTCAAATTATTCAAAACATCGTTCAATTCTTGTTCGGAAATTCCATCTCTTTGATTGTTGTTGATATCATTATTTACACTATTATTGTTGGCATTTGTTGTATTTACAGGACTTCCTTGAATGGTTTGTTTGATTTGATCTGCCAATGCAAGTACAATCTTTGGGAATTTAATCTTTCTATCCAATTTCAAAACTCTACACAAAATGTATTGATAAATAGTTCCAGCAAGAGCTCCACTAAGAGCTGGAACTAGAGTTTGTGGGAAGCTACTCAAAATTAATTGGACAAATACTACGTAAATTGTTTGCTTGTCAGTAATTGGAATCATATTAAACAATTTCAAATTGGCTGTTGATGGAATATCAATAATATAAACCAAAAGAGCAGCAAATAAGAATCCATAAGGTCCACTAATTAACATCTTTCTACTAGTCAATGATGACGTAAGAACATATTGCAATATGAAGGATGCATAAGTAGTAAACAAATAGAATTTCTATAATTATTATTATTAAATCAATTGATCACAATCAATCAATAGCAATAGAACCAACATATTCATCGGAATAATGATTATTCAATCCATTATTGATTGCTTTCATTAAATATAAAACTACTTACAGCAAACTTTTGTGATCCCCAATGCCTTTCAAACAAACGGAAAAAGTAAATTGCAATACAACCCAATAACAATTCAATATTAGTTGAAAAAACAAAATGTCCAGTAAATCCATATTGTACTATCGATCTAAAAACTGATAATTTAGGAGAAAAATCCAATCGATCCCTTCCGAGAAGAGCCTTCATAAAATTCAATATCACCACAAGTCCTAGTATAGATTTAGAAAATGGAGCATTTGTAAATCCTGATGTTGTTCTCAGTGAATGTTGATGTTGTTGATGCAAGGCTTGGAGATTTGTTGGTCGTTGTTGATGATTATTAGCTGCTTGTGGAGGAATCATTTTTTTCTTCTAATTGAACACGTGTATTATTAATATAATTATTAATATAATTATCAACAATACAAGAAAAAGGAGTTTTGTGTTTATTGTCCTTGTAAGACCGCTGATCGTATGGAGTTGCCTTCTTCATCTGCTTTGAGATTAAATCTTACTGATCTGTGCTCTACTACTGACCGCATGTTCTCAATTGTTATCACACCATTCATCTCATTAACCTCAAACCTTACTCAATGTAAACAACTCACAATCGGCTGCTGTTTCTTGCTGTTTGACTATTTTTTTCCCGCTGTTCAAAACCGTTACTCATTTTAAAAATATGATTTCTCATCAAGCATTGTTCTTCTCTCCATCACAAACTAGACCGCTTTTACCATCAATACAACAAAAGTAGTACTCCAACCACTTCAAATAGTCTTGTACTGCTGTACTCTTCTGTTATTGCATACGGAAGAGCAGTTGAAGTTGTTTTTAAAAGCAAGAAAAAAAATGTCCACAACAGCAATCTTTAGGGATGCACCTAATTCATCATCAACCATGATGGAAGCATCGTTTTCATCCTCTTCATCATCAGTAGCATCTCCATTCGCCAACTCTAGTCAGAAATTATTTTGGATATTTAAAGAAAAGGAGGAAATGATTAGAGTACGTGATAATGCTAAACTTCGGGTTCAAAAAGAAATATTGGATCTTCAAGAAAAGTATACTGATAAAAAGTTGGTTGCTGATGATCTGCTAACACCAGAAGAAGAATCTATTATTGTACAAAAATATTGTGGAATTTTGTTTGAAATTTCTACACAACTGGGTTATCCATTACACGTAAAGGCAACAGCTTTATCCTTTATGAAAAGATTTTATTTGAAACATTCTGTTATGGAATATGATATTGTATTTATGATGTTAACATGTATTTTCTTGGCAACCAAGACAGAGGAAAAGTTTGTTGCTCTTGCCAATTTTTTGGAAAAGGTGAATGAAATTGTTTCTGATGCTTCAAGCTTAACTACACAAATCATTTTCAAATATGAACTTGTATTACTTCAAGGATTAGAATTCCATTTAATGGTTTATCATCCATATCGTTCACTTTATGCATATGTTCACGATTTACATGATGTTGGAGGTGATGCTATTTATATGGATGCTCAAACAAAAATTACAGAAATTATCAAAATGACAGATGCAATCTTTTTATTTTCTCCTTCTGTGGTTGCTCTTGGTAGTTTGTATATGACACATCCAGATATTACAAAGAATTTTATTTCAAAAATGTTTAAAGAACAAGAGGTTCAATTAATGAATCAAATTAATCAATTGTGTGAAATGGCTGCTACACCTGTGGAAAAATCAAAAGTAAAGACAGCCGATAAGAAATTAAAGAAAATTAGAAAGTTCTTAAAACCTCAATTAGAAGAATTAGAGGAACAATACAGCAAACAAATTGCAGAAGAACAACGAGTAAGAAGAGAACAAAAGTATCAACACAGAGATAGACAACAACAAGAGGAACAAAGAAAATTTTTGTAAACATTTCAACTCTTTGGTTTGGAATCAAAGAATAAAATGTTAACAATTAATATCAATATCAGACAGCTGATTATTCACACATTTCAATAGCAATCTATCACCATAATATGGAGAACGTTTCAAATGATCAAACAATAGGTACTTCAATGAATAGAAAATAAGATCGTGTAAGCAATTATTTCCATGTGTAAATCCATAGAATGGACCATATAATAATTTCTTTGTTTTGTGTAGTACGAGAGAGTATTGTTCCTTCTGTGTTGGATGCTGACCTATCCATAACCAATCGTCAACATTTTTAGATTGAAGTTTGTTAATTGATGAAAAGGCCGAAATTCCAAACTCTAATGTTGTGTTGCATCTATTTCTTGATTTTGAATATAGATTAAGAAATTGATCAAATAACTCCACTCTTTTCAATGAATTTAACAATTTCACATTAAAACGCATTGAAGATCCACTACATGTTCCATTCTTCAAATATCCCAATTTAATCGATGCACTACTTGCTGCAAACATTATTGCAATCTTTTCTCTATCCACAAATTCTCTAATTATTTCACCAAGTTTTGAATTTTCCCAATCATGCTCAACTTGACCAGATTTCAATGTAAACAACAGCAAATCATATTCTTTTAAAATTGATCTGATTTTCGATTCGTTTGATTGACATAGCTCAGCTAGATCAACTTTATCCAAACTTTTCAGTATAAATTGCTTGTCATTGGTTGGATAATAGCAACATTGTTCCGATTGATGAGAATATTTGACATTTCCAACATGATAGGGTGGTTGTAAGAAACACATTAGTTTCTCTTCAATGCATTTTAGGAAGTGGTCGGAGTCATGAGTTGCTGAGAAGATGATCAGGGCGTTTTTCATGCAATTAGAAGGTTGGTCACTCTTTCCTAGTGAGATTAGTTTAACTTGCTTTTGTTTCGGCATTTTTCTAATAATTTATTTCATTAAATTGTTAATAATAGTTCCAATAATTCAAATTAAATAATTAGTTAACACAACAATAAAAGTGAAAGCTGTGAAAATGGCTATCAAACAATAACCATTTTAGTTTCCCATTCCAAATAGTCTAATTTAAACTATTTAAAAAAAAATAGACGAAACAAATGCCATTCCGAAAAGACTTTCTTCGTTATACAATAGCCAAAGTTAAAACAACCTTTGATGATAAATGGAGTGAACGTCTCTTTGTCATTACGAGAGAGGAAGTACTCAACACTTCCATTTCCATTGGAAGTCGATTAATTGGTGCTTCTTCATCATCAAGAAATTTAATGGGGGGTGGAGTTTCGAATAGTGGTAGTGGCAATAGCAGCAATAATACATATTTTGTTTATTCTGTTGAAATTTATAGATTGAAAGATGAGGCAATAATCAAGATGGCTATTGCTGATTATGAAAATCATTCCAATAATAATAATAATAATAGTAATAATAGTAATAATAATAGTGGAATGTTGAGTCATTCTAATTCGTTTATTGGTGGAGTTTCGAATAATGGTAAATTAATTTCATCTCTTTCACCAAAAACCAAGTCAACACTTCACAGGGATATTAAATTAATGTCAGCAAAAGAATTGACCAATAGAAACAATACTATTATATTGTTTTTTGAAAAACCAATTTATGTGAATTTTAAAACTGAAAGTGATTATGTGGATTGGTATGAATATGTTTCTAAAATTATTGGAAGTGAAGAGTCGAGTGTTAAGGAGGGAATTGGAGCAATTATTGAGAGTATTACTGATGCTTGTGTTGTGAGTGATGCTGATGGAATAATTACTGCTTTTAATACACAGGCAGAGAAATTGTTTGGCTATTCGAAAGAGGAAGTTATTGATAAGAATGTAAATGTGGCAGTTTTAATGCCAGAAAGTTATGCCAAATACCATCAACAAATTTTAACAAGATATAACAAACATAGAAATAGAACAATTATTGGAAAACCAAGAAATTTATTGGCCAAACATAAACTTGGACACAAAATGCCAATTATTATCAATGTTGGTGAAGTTCAAGACTCAAATCCTCAATCAAAATACAGATATATTGCCATGTTTCGTGATTCAATGTGGAGAGTTATTAATTATATGAATCAGGGAGCTAGTAGTAATGATGAGAGTTCATCAACAAGTGATATACTTCCAAGTGTTGCAATGGATCCATCATTCCACGATACTCATAGAAGCGCAGAGAAATTAAAACTTCAAATTCAAAAGAGGACAAAGACTGAAATTTCCAAATTTGAGGAAGAAAGTTTGAGAATGGTGGAAGAATTACTTAAAATGTTACAATCAGTTTCATCGACTATTAATATTTTGGAAACAGAGAAGGAAAGACTTGATATGTTATTTTGTGAATTACAAGAGAAATCAGTTCACACTGAACAAGTACTGAAAGAAGCTCAATCAACAAGTCAAATTTATCAAACCTATCGAAAATTGTTAGATAATTTCCTTCATTTTGACAAGATAACAGATATGGCACAGGATCAACTCTCTAGAGATTGTCTTTCTTGTTGGAAACAAATTCAAATGTTCAAGAAGGCAAGTAGAGCTTTTGATCAACAACAAAAATTCAAAAATATGGTTTCACATGCTGGAGAGATTACAAGAAGAGCTAGAACAAATTCAGTTTCATCTGACGCTAAATTGGAAAACATGTTCTCGAATATTACAAAACCAGAAATTATTTCATTAGCAGTTCAACTATTCGACAAGTTCTTAACTAACTATGAAAAGGGAGAGGAACCAATATCCAAACATCACTCTACGAGTTATACATCTTCAGTTATTTCAGTAGTCACACCACACGTATTACCAGTCATTAAGGGAGCACTTATCAAGTGGAACAATCAGCTATCGAATAGTGGAATTGATTCGACTAGTATTTCTCCTGAGCTATTCTATTTTGTTGAGAAGGATATTCTTGATTTTTTAAAGAATGATCCGATCAAAAACTAGTAATTGATATTGTAAATTAAATAATAGTTAAGATTTTCTCTAAAGATTTCCTTGGCAAATGGGGTAGAATTAGATCTCAATAAGCTAAATTAAATGTTGTTGTGTAACGTTGATTTGCATTGTTTCATGAAAATGAATGGCTACGGCCTGAGGTTGGAGACAACTTGGGAACCTGTGGTGCTGTAGTCTTTTATCTTAAAATTGATTTTCTTCATTTCGTTTTGTGATTGGAAATTTTCCATCAAAAAGAACTGGGGTTGTTTCACCAATAGAACGTGCGTCGTGCCTTACTTTTTTAACAAGAAACAACAAGGAATTTGACTTGTTGTTTCAGCTTTAAGCTTTTTGGAGTGATCAATAGTATAACCAATTTCTGGCAGTGCACTTTTGCTTCATTTTTTACATCTTTTTCTGTTGAACAACACCATTATATGATTCCGTTGACAAAAAAAAACAAACCATGCCAGCTGACCCACCATTAATTCCAACAGTGCGCTTTGATGTTACTTTTCCGTCTTCTGCAAGCTTAGTAACAATTAAGAATGTTAAAACAAAGAATATGGCAAGGTTTGCAAATATTCGGTCTGACTCAGCCTTTAAATTTAAAACTCTTCAAAAGGGGTTTCCTGACAGACACGGATATCAAGTGTTTGTACAAATGGAGAAAGAAAAAACCAACAAAGAGGAACTAAAGGAAACCAATTCTCACATTAATGCAATTGAAGATTATTTGAGGCTTGAAGGCGTGCACCATCATACAAACGGGGTACAAAAAACATCTGGCCTAAACATGGAGTGGGAATTGTTGACTCTAGACCATATTTCCTCTGTTGTTGTAAACAAGGAATATGATAAGTATCTTTCAGGGGAAATTTATGAAAAGAATTTAACAAAGATACCAGAGCTAGCAGAGATAACAAAAGAAGAAAGAAATGAAATAGTCCAACTAAACAAGAAAGAAAGAGCAAAGAATAGAGCTAGCAGTGAGCAAGAGTCAGACACAACAACACCAAAAAGAAAAAACTCATTCCACAATCCAATTTCAAAGAAAAGCAAATTAGAGAACAATTCAACTATTGATGAAAAGATAACAATGATGTCAGAATTGATAAAGGAGAACCACAAAAAGGTAGATGAATACATGAAAAACAACCAAGAAACGATGAATTCAATTAAGGAGCTTTTGGTTGTGTTGGTAAATAAGCAATAATGTAACATAAATTTGTAAATAAATGTAAATATAATAGCAATTACCTAGTAAGTAGTGTAATGATGTTGATTTGGGGGAATGTTTAGCTGTGCTGGATAGTTTACTAACTTGAATTAAATTAATTCATGTTTAGCTGTGCTGGATGGTGTTGATGTAATTAGTTGACAGGATAACTTTGTTCCCAACTTATCTGACCTCTAAGGATCAATTATTTTAATTTTACTTTTACAAATTATTTGCAGCATTGTTGCTCGATTGAACTTGATAAATTTCATGCCAATGTTGAAACTCTGATGTCTCTACAAGTCTACTCAATGTATCATTCAAATTAACAATAATTTCATCAGAGAATAATTCGTATAATTGGATGGCAGTGGATGAATTGGTTGTTGCATTCTTTTTCATTTCCATGAAGGAACGTCTGGTGTTGGATGGAATATTGAGCTCGAAATTTGAGTTGGCAGCAATGAAATCATCATTAATTTCATCAAGTATTGAGATTTCTAATGTGGAATTGCCGAATTGCTTTTTGAGTTGAGTAATTTTTTCAAAAAAGAATATATTTTCCAAACTAAACTCTTTGGAAGAAAATTCTTTGAAAATTAATTTGAAATTATCATCCTTGAGGAAATTTTCCAATTCTGAAAGGGTTTGGTGATTTCTCTTTCGTAAAATGGTGTGAAAAGTTTCGAATATTAATGCGAAACCTCCACACATGAAAATAAACAAGACACTCTCAAAGAAGAAATAAACTCTCAGATTCGAAGGGTCACAAACATGAATAATCGCCACAATCAACAGAAGAATCATGGAAAGTAAATCCACTCTTACCTTAAATGGATCATCATATTTCAGAAAGCTGACTAAACCTTTCGTCTTGATCTTTTTCCAATTCACAATACAATCCACAATAACAGTTGCAATTCCCAATGAACATCCCACAAGAATGTAAATTACAAAACTAATATTTGTAACTGAGAAAACTTCCTCTTCAAACATGAAAATGTCAAAAAACATGGCCATTCCATGAAGAGAAAAAACTACTGAGCTAATAGCCGAAAGTAGAATAATCAAAAGAATTGAATTCAATGGTGAAACTAATCTTTTCACAATTGATATTTGACCAATTTTCTTATTGACCAGAAGTGGATTATTAAGCAATGAATACAAATTTCTCAACATGTAAAATCTGACAACTGTCAAGACATAACTTGCAATAATCCAAGTAATGACAAACATTCGAATATAATTAATAACTTGTAAGCAAGCTTTGTTAAAATAATATGAATGAGTCAACTCGAAAAAGTAAATAGAAATAGGTAAATAAGGAACAAGTAATCTTCTCTTAAACGAATCCTTTAGGAAAAATCTTGAACTAAACAAGATAATAAAATACAATGTTACAATAATGAGAGTAGGAATATTCCAATAATCTTGATTGGCAGAAATATAATCATTACATGTACTCTCAGTGCAAAAGTGATATTGTGAAGAATAATAATTCGAATAAACATTTTCTAGACTAAACTGTTGAGGAAATGAAGAAACATTTAGGAATTGAAGAGTTTTTAGCATCATTTTGTCAAATGCCAATGAATCTGACGTGAAATTGACGGGAGAATTACCATAGGTAAGTAATAGATAATTGATAAATTCAAGATCTTGTGTTGTGACCTTTCCAAATTCGAAATATTGATTCAATGTAATTATATCCGAAACGTAGTAAGAATTTTTGGGATTAAATGTGGAATTTCCCAACATGAAGAAAGGGTACACATCATATTCATAACCTACATTGGAAGGAGCCAATTTGATTGGCAGAAAATCAGACGGATTGATCAAGGTTGTTTCGTTCCATTGACTTTCTGTCAGTTTCTCAGATGAAACTTTTCTCTTACCAGTTGATTCTCTATAATAACGAATGACATCAAAAAAATCTCCTGGTAGTGCAATTATTACATCAAAGTCTTCAAATACATGTCTTGGTCGACAGTTTCGTCTGTAGAATAAGAAAGGAGAAATCGAATAACTTTTTCCTTCGTGAGTTGTTTGTACATCCATGTCTATTCCATGATATTTGAGTAAATTACTAAACAACAACACTTGATGTCTGTCAATGCCAATCTTCAAGATGTTTGTGCCCATGCTTGTATTATTATTCCTAATGATACTTATCAAATCGTCCAAGGAAGATATACGAAACTCTTGGCTGATTTGATTCCATATGAAAGCAACCAAGTGTTGTTGAATGAAAACAATAGGAAGAGATGGAGAAAGATATCCTTTTCTAATATAGTTAGAATTCACATACGAATCATTCCATTTAAATTGATGCAAATTATAGTGAACTGACCAGTCCAAGACATCTTTCGAATAGAGTTCAGCTGAATGGATTAGCGCACTAGTTGATAATAGAAGTAAAACAACAACTTTAACCACATGTGTGGTGGCATGAGCTGTTTTCATTTTCTTAATGTTTCGTTCAGTTTACACATGTGTTTAATTCTCATCCTTTCTTCGACTCGGCTAATAGGTTACCAACAACAAATTGCGATAGAAGACCACAATTCAGAACCTTGACTGAATCTCAAAAAGGCAAGTACTCAATAGTGCATGTGGTTAGCAACGTAATCGTAGCATGCTATCTTGGACACATTACAACATTTTGAATGAGATTTAGGCTAATTGCAAAGTATCGCTTTTCTTCATTGGTATGTTAACCGCTAGAATCTCTTTTCTGGAAGTTGAAGCTCAAATAATCGACATTTCTATTGGATCAGAAGTTATACAAATAATTGTTTAGGCTAATTGCATGAAGAAGAGGACTGATGGTCTCTCTTTGCTATCATCCAAACACGAAAACGTGTGGTGAAACATTTCAAAAAAATGGTCAAACTAAACTATTTGATATTTGCAGTTCTTATTTGTTTGGCAATTGTTGTTTCTCAAGTTAGATGTGGTGGTCAAGATTGTGATCCTTCCAAGGTTGGTTCTGGAATCCATACTCTTTATGTTGAAGATGAAGAAATGCTGAACTCACTCATGAATAAGAAACATATTGTAAAGTTAACTAAAGCAGGAAGAAAGAATGTTTACAGAAAGCTTACTCGTGGAGGAAGAAGAAACAGCAAGATGTTGAGAAGATTAGTTAAAAGACAAGTAGCTCGTAAGATTTCCCATGAAAAAACAGAGAAGAGAGGAAGAATTGGTCATTCGGTCCATAATAAGGTTTCCAATAACAACAAACATGCTAAAACTAAGGTTTCCAACAAAAAACTCCATTCTAAAGCTGTTTCCTCTCCAAACAACACCAACAAGAGAGTCTCAGACGTTAAACCTCGTGAAACAAGAGATATTGGAAAGAGTGAAAACGAAAAACCTGCTCCAATCGAAACCAAGAAGACTCCAAAAGATGTTAACAATATGACAGCTCAAGAAATCATCAACCAATCAATTGCTACATTTGACGGTGCAGTTGGCCCTAGCAATAAGGCTCTTCCAAACAGAAGAATTCTTACAAGCAAGAAAGGTATTCTCAAGGAACAAGATGAAGATTACAAACGCCAACAAGAAAAACAAGAAATGTGGGAACCAATCGACACTTCTTGTGTTGCTTGTAGAGTTGACTGTATGAAAACCTATTCTCAAGTTGGTGGCAGTATTTTTGAATCATGCAAATTCCAATACTATTACTATGGATGTAAATATCATGACGAATGTTTTATGGCTACAACTACATCAGATGAGAAAATTAAGGGCATGCTAGGAATTTGTTTGTTGAGAAATGGATGTAAATTGAAGGGTGAATGGAATTCCTATGGAGTAGATGACGCTGTTACTGGAAGATTGCTTGGAAAACTTCGTGCATCCAATGAAAAACCAGAATAAACTGTATCATGTTTGGTAATGAAATGGAGAAGGAAAATAGTAATTAAATTCTTGGTTGGGAAAGAGCAGAAATGGCTAAAATCAAATTTTGAATAATTAAGGAAGATTCAACTATCAATAGAGAATACCTTAGTAAAAGTCCTGCTGCCTATTTTAATATTTTGTTGATTTTAGTACAGAAAACATCAGCTGTTGTTCTTAGAGAAAGAGATGATGTAGGTGGTGATCCAAAACAAGATCTATATTGGCATCTATTACCATAAAAGCCAAAATTACAATCACACTTGTCAAGTCCGTTGCAAATTCCATTTCCACTACAAACTAAACCATTATTGGCATAAATTCCATAACATTTAGAATACTGACAATAGGTACCAATTGAATCAGCACAATTAGAACAAGTTTCTGGAGCTATACAGAGTCCTCTGCCAGAACAAACTGTTGAATTGGAAGGAGAAATTGAATTACATGTATAATTGGAACAAGTCAAACCAGAATAACCTTCATCACATAGACAAGAATTTGGAGATTGGCAATGGCCATGTGAAGAACAAACAGAAGGGTCTGTAGAATTCACACCAAAACATGTATACTCTTCTCTAGTAACTATTGCTGCACGACCATCAGAACAAGCAGTCAAATATGGAATTCCATCAAAGTATTGTCTTGGATACAGTGCAGGTGTTGAAATTGTGGTAGAAAATCCTTGACTTGGATTTGTTTCATAAGCATTGTTAATTCCTGCAGTATACAGATTACCCTTTCTACTAATAATATAAAATCTTCCAGAATAATCACATATATCCACAACATAGGAATCACCTATTGGTAAACTAGGTTTAATTGGTGATCCGTAGACATAATAAAATTGTCCTGTAGTGGAAATTAGTAACAAGTTAGTGTAAAATCCAATATACATTTTCCTAAATTTGATGTTTCCATTCATTCTTACAAAAGTTGGCTGATTTTCTAATCCACTATTTGAAATAAATCTCTCAGACCCTCCATTCCTACCACATCCATACACGTTTCCTCTATCTGTTAAAAGGAAAACATTATTCTGACCTGCCCTAATGTCAACAATTTGTTCATCAGGAGTTAAGAAGGAAGTGGTATTAATTTGAGTAAAGGAAGTGAAGGTACTTGTGGGTGCAGAGCTTCCTAATCCCATCTGATAATAATTGTTTGCACCAATTCCCCACAATGTATCATTGTTAAATAGTACATAAGTATTTGCACTACCAACAGCTACCTTTTTTACATCATTTGCAAATAATACTGGACTATTGATGTTCGAAGATACTCCATTAAATGCTGAAGAAAGACCCCAACCATACACTTCTCCACTATTTGTAAATGCTATGGCAGTATTATGTCTGATATCTATTGTTGAAATGTCTTTGTCTACAAAGGTTTGAGGGGCACTTTTTGGTGTCAATGATGGAACTCCAAAATTCAAACTATTACTACAATCTCCCCAATAATCTAGAGCATTGAAATTTCCTGTTTCATTGTGTAACTTAGAGAAAACAAACATACACGATATTCCACCAACGATTTTAGAGACTGTGACATTTCCAGAGGCAAATGACGAAATTGAAAGCTTTCTTGGATATCTAATAGCACGTTCCTCTCCCAAAGTCAACACGGAAGCGGTATTGCTAGTTCCCCAAACATTCACTGATCCATCTGAGGTTATTGTCAAACCATGCACATTTGAAATTCTTGCCATAATTACTTGAGCATCATTTACCATGGTGACCTTATCGTAATTTGGTGTTGAGCTATGTCCAAGAAAATTAACATAACCCCACGAAACCATGTAGCCAGAGTTGAGTAAACATGCTGACGAATATCCAGCAGCAAAGCACTCTGTGGTATTTTCAGTAATATTAATTCTCGTTGGGACATAGATTGATGTTATTGAGGAGTCTGGATATGATTGCTTGTAGGTATTATCTCCAAAACCATAAACATCTCCACTATCCAATGTGACCAATGCATGTCCATATCCAAACACTACTCTTATCACTTTGGACGGAAGTAAAGTCACAGGTTGTGGAAACTCACTTGTAGCATTGACTGTTGAGTTCCAACCTAACAATCCATAATAATTACTTCCCCATGTCCATAAAACACCATTTATATCAATGGCACCAGCTGCAGTTCTTCCAACTTCAGCATTACCTGGTCTTTGACCAGATGAAATTGTTGTAATATTTCTGAGTGATGGAATCATGTAGGGAATATATTCACTATTACTAAGTGGAGTACCTCTTAACCCAAGATTATGACATCCATAACTAAATACATGTCCATAATTGGTTACTGCAAATATTGTTTCACATGTATAGTATCCACCAATCGCCACAGATACAAACTTGACATTTGTTAAAATTTGGGAAGTGTCTGGATCTGTGTATTGAGTGAAAGAGAATAATCTTGCCCAAATGCCTCCTGTGTTATGATAATAAACCCATCCATCACTTGTCAATATTATACATGAACGAATACAGCTCATGTATGCTATCTTTCTACTACTTGAAAATGGATTACTGGCCTTACCAGCATCAGTGTAAATGTAAATTAATTCTATGGATTATTTCAAAAGGGATTACAAACTAAACTAACTTAAATCTTACCTGGTTCTGACATGATTGCAGGAGGATTGAGCACTGCAGCTTGTCCATTTTCATTACTACCAGACACAAATACATATTGTCCTAGAGAATTATTAGTTGTTGTGTTGTAATATTCTAAAATATAAAACATGGCATGATGATGATTGACCAATTGTTGAACACTGTGTGAAACATCAAATCTTTCAATGCCACTCGCTAATTTCCATGATTCCGTACTATTTACCAGTAATTTCTGTAGGATTGTATTAGAAATTGGATAGGTTGATGTTGGTACTGTTAATGCACCAAAACCATTGCTATTAAAATCTCCAAATGTATAGAGGTTTTTGCTGTTGATTACGTCTTGCGCTTCTACTTGTGTTAATATTACTGCATAATGTATTACTAAACAGGACAACAGAATTATAAAACAATAAATTCGTGATGATGAATTGACTGCTGCAGAAAGTGTTAACATCTTTTTTTTTGTCTATTGATTATGATGCCTTGACAGAATCAATCTTTTACGGTGAAATTCAGTGATAAAGATCTTGCACTTGCCATTTGTGGTAGGTGAGCATGTTAAAGAAAATCAAGGGTTGTAAAGTATTTGGGAAGGTAGAAATCTGAAGAATAGCTCAATTTCATTCTCTTGAAGAGTAGGTCCTTAATATATTCAGCTTGCATTGTATCCAGTGATTCAAGTGAAAAATATCCACATTGTTTTAGAGCTTCAAGTTCTAGAGTTTCATCAGTAAACCTTGAGTAATGGTATAAAAATCCACATGACCGAACAGCTCTCAGGTTGAATTCCCAATCTTCCATAATTTCGTGTGGTACAAATGAATAAAATTGAAATGCTGTTTCAAATTTGTTAATGCATGATAATACTATTTCAGGATCTGATTTAACTTTCAAAGCCAAATGTTGAATCAAATATGTATTCTTCTTACAAACTTCCACAACAGTTTGCTTATCTTTTTCATATATAGCTTGTTGAATCTGATGATCAATATAGTCAAAGTAGTTTGGGTATTTTTGCATAACTTCAATGAGCAGATCTATCAGTTCAATTTGCATCTCAGAGGATGAATAAATTAAAGAAACTGGGTGTTTTCTGATGAGGTCTAATTGTTTCTCTGGTGGAAAACATTCAATTAGTGATGGATGATTATTTAACATTTCATCGACCAAAGCTTCTTCTTCCAAAAAGTGTGGTGGAATAATTTCCAGCCAACCATCATTACACCTATCGTTAGATAACAGAGCTCTCACGAATTCTCTATCATTTTTCATATATTCTGGCACTTCTATATCAGTAATTTTTCTACATTTTTGTGCCATGAATAATAGAATATCCTTGTCTTGCTTGAGTTGTGGAGAAATAAACTCATAATTTTCAATATCAACTCTTAAAGATATCAATATTAATTCCTTATCATTACGTAATTTTTCATTCAGTAAATCCACGAAAAGACAGTCATACGGCTTATTCTCACAAATTATTTGTAAAGCGTCCATAATAAATTCTCTATTACTTCCAAGCTCTGAGCATTCTAAAGTTTTACGCAACTTTGGATCTATTGATAAATATCTCAAGCAAAATTCTGGATCTGATTTCAACTTAATGGAAGCCAAACTGAATATACAATGATCAATTTCAATAAGTTTCAAAACAAATTCTGGATCTTCCATCAGGCTCTTATGCGCAAATTGAAAACTCTGTGACTTGGAAATACAAGCCTTTTCAACTATTTCCTTATCTTTTCTGAAAGATTCATCTGCAAATTCAAGACTCAAGCCATCATTAATAACAGCACATAAAGTAATTTCTCTATCGAGTTTCAACTGATCAGAAATAAATTTCAAACAATAGCCATTGGTTTTAAGTACTTGTATCATTTTACACTTGTCATTCCTTATTTCAAATGGGAGGTCTTCAAATTTTGAGTTTTTGTAGGGATCTTCAATATGATAACCTAGTATATCTATATCATTAACAGCCAAAAAAACATGCTTATTTTCTTGTAACACTTTCTTAAACCATTCTTCATTGTACAATAATGATTCATCTGCACTTTCAATGGAATAAATCGATTTCTGAACAGCTTTTGACATGAAATCTTCAGATTTCAATAGGTCTTCATCAACTCCGCAAAGATATCTATGATCCGACTCCACAATTTCTAGAATAAACTCAATATCACTAGCAAGTTTATCTGCTAGAAATTCCAAAACATGGAATGTTTGAAACTTTGACTTTAACATTGCTCTTACAATTTCCTTGTCTCCTCTCAATTCTTCACTTCCTGCAGCAAACATGCCATTATAAACAGAGATTAGTCTCAATAGTAATTCTCTATCTTTTACACAAACAGCTTCTAATGGAATAAAGTTAATGATAGTATCTCCACTATCAACCCAAAATCTATCACAATACTTTTCCATAATTTCAGCAAACATTATACCATCCCGTATCAATTCAATAGGACAAAACACAGGAAGTGTAGAAGAGGTTTTTACATGAAAATCAACATATTCCAAATATCTACTTTTCGATTCTATAAATTTCCGCATATTTTGTGATTGTCTTTTAAATTTTCTAGTTAATAATTGTTGTTGTTCTCGGAGGTGAATTTCTTCTTGTTTTGATGATGAATAAATTCCATCACTTACATTAAAAATCACTCTCCCTTCATCTTGTTGCATTTTTTAATAATTTTACAAAGATAAATTCCCAACACAGATGTTCCATCCGGATTATTTTGATTCACAGGTATCTACTACTCCAACACAATCGTAATCCTTGGGTTTTGATTTATAGTAATGATATCTAGAAATCAATCAAAAAAAATGCTTCGATTGACCAGATCAGCGATCAAGAGTAATCTCTCGTCATCATTTAAATATAACTCATCACGAGTCTATTTATTTCATCAATCATGCACAAGATTTAATGATGCATCATCTTCAGAAGAAACCACAGAAAAAGAAAAGGAAATAGTTCAAGTACTAGTGCCATTGGTAGGAAGTGGAATTTCGAATATTCAATTCAACAAGTGGCATAAACAAGTTGGAGATCAAGTAGGTTATGGTGATTTAATTGCTGAATTGCAGCATAATGAGACAAAATTGGCAATTGACATTTTTTCACAAAGAAGAGGAATATTAAAAGAACAATTAATTAGTGAAGGATCTTTTGTGAATTGTGGAGATGCAATTTCAAATGTTGAAGTTGAGAAAATGAATGAAGAAGAGTTGAATATTGACATGACTACTGTCAGGCAGGACCCAAATCAAAAACCTGAAAAACCGTCTTTACTTTCTGCTTTGCTGGATTTAGGTGTTCTAATACTTGCATTCTTTTCTATCTATCCAATGTTTAGTCAAAAAGAAGAAGAAAAAACAAACTAGATCAATTTGTATTTTAAGGGAATTTTCAATATTAAATAAGATTAGAAACTGTTTAACTTTCATGGAACTAAACCTTATATTAATTCTTATCTAACTCTTGGAGGTTTGTAATTCGAAAAGGCAACTTTAACAGCAACAACCTCTCCTTGATGAATCTTGTACAGACATGGATAAGCTCCATCACCATTTCCACACATTGAAAATAATCCATACGGGAATAGTATTAATTGCTTATCAGATGATTCGTTCAAAATTCCATTCACTACCTCATACCAATCCATACTTTCTTGTTTCGTATTCTTGAAAAGAGATGCATCTTCGAATTTATCACCATCAATAATTCCAACTCCATGATCAATTCCAATAATATTTGAGACATGCCATCCATGACGAATTTCCTGATTGAAAAGGTCAAAATCAGAGTCAAAGATATTTCCAGGAGTTTCCCAATCCTTCTCAATTTCTGGATGATCTTTTGCATATTCATTGTTGTAGAGTAAAATTTGTTTTGGTAAACGTGGATTCAATTGAGTTGCTGTCCAGACACCATTTTTAACATTTTCAATTAAGGCACTTTCGTCCTCTCTATCAGTTGTGAAATCAATAACTTTTAACTTTCCAGAATCTACTTGAATTTCATTACTTTCCATCATACATAACCAATCTTCATTCAAGTCAACCTTTGGCTCTTCTTCAGATTCTATATTGGATTTTTTTGGTTCTAAAATACCAAAGGCATGATCTGTCTTTCGTCCAATAAAAGATGTTCCTTTTGATCTTTCTCTCCACATTCCATATTTCAAGCAACCATCTTCAATATCATATACGAACCCATAGTCATCTGAACCTGTATAGAGTGGTGCACCCAAGTAATTAGAAAACTCTTTCACACTTGTCATTTCTATATAATTTTCACTGCATAATTTTGGATATTTGGTCTTGCAATTGATTCCTCGAGTGATGTGAAATTTTGAGAGTTTTTCTGATTGATCAATAGCATGAATGTATTCTCCTCTAAATGAAGGAAAGTGTTTTTTCAACTCATCCTTACTTTGAATAGTAATGCTTGGATGTTCCTTCCCCAATTGATAGGTTTTAAATGAGAATTCTCGATTAATTTCCTCTCTAGTCCAGTAAGGAATTTGTTTGACTGCATTATCATCAATATGAATAGCATTACAATCTAAACCTTTGAAAGCCAATATAGAATTTGATTTTTCACTCCATCCAATAATTTCTTCTCTTGGATAGAAAGAATTCTTCTCCAAAATGCATTGAATTTTGCCACTTTCTATTGGAGAGTTTTTAGGAGCTGGTTTATAACTCAGAATTTGAGAATTGCAGAATAGGATAATTCCATATTTTTCTGAAAGTCCAATATAATTAATGTCACTTTGCCATGGTAAATGATCAATGACGCTTAATTGATTATTCGAATCGAATATAATTTCTACCAATCTTCTATCACCACAAACCATTGCCTGTATTGTCTTATCTTGCTTATATGGAATGAATTTATGACTTGTAAAACCATTGGAAATTACACTGCAAAACATTGAAGTATCATTAATAATAAACTTTTCAAATTCTCTCTTTTCCCTTTCGAATAAATAAAAGAATTGTTGATAATACAAGCCACACACTGCATACTTTCTGCAGCTTTGAACATTTTCACATGGAATAAAACACGTAAGTTTCTCACGAAGATCCTTATCAAGTACAATCTTTTTAGTTTCGAATTTCCTTGATGTAAAATCAACTAATAGAAAATCAGATCTGGTTGGCGTACCAAGAAGAGCATGTCCATCAAATATTCCAACACAATAAAAAACCTGTTCATTGCCAATGTCAATATTTTCAATTTTTTGATCTTTGAAAAGGAATAACTTGTTATCGGAAACTATTATTCCCTGGACACATGTGGAATCTAATAAATGGCTTTCTGTGTCCATGTGGAATGATGCATAACCTTGTCCTTCTGTTATTGTCCATTCTTGTAAAATATTTTGATTCTCATCAATGTGAAGTAATTTATTGCCACCATCTTGTTGCTGAATGACGTAATTTGATGAGTGACAGAAGAGAAAAGTTCCAGGTGGTGTGAATTGCATTTTTTTTTGGTTGTTTCTTTTCAAATATTGGCGCCGCCACAATATTGTAATGATCTAGTCTAATAGAGATATATTTTTATTGTAATGATTTAGGCATAATCAAACTCTGTTTCAGAGGATTTGCTTTTCATTCTATTCTTGAGCCATTTAACTGCATGACGTAATCCAGTTGAGAAATAATTCTGAGTTGCATTAATGGCCAAATTGACATAACTTGATGGTTTCACACAGACAAGTGCAATAAATGCTGAAATTCTGAAAGCTAAACCAAAGATAACCATCATGTAAATGGTCATTCCCAATTCATTCTCTTCATATCCCATATTCTTCAAACTTGTTGAAATGTCATAGATATCACTATATTTGGTAATTTCAATGAGATAGGCATTTTCATGACTGTAGGTAAGGAAAGATATCCATGGCATGATATTGATAGGGAATGACATGGCTTTCAATGAAGGAAGAGGTGTTGTTGATCCACTGAATGTGTTAAATATGAAAACTAAAACAACAGCAGTCAATTGAGCTATTCCTGGTTGAACTATAATCGAAACTAGATATCCTAAACCATATGATGTCCAATAAACTAGTAATAGAACATAATAATATTCATAAACTGGTGCTCTTGGTGAAACTACAGTGTAATAAATTGTTAAAAAGACAATTGGTGCAATCAAGTTTACAATGAAAAGTGATAAATCTTTAGCCCAGAAATAACAGAAGGTACTTAATCCTGTTTGACTTTCTCTATTGAAAATTAAACTTTCCTTACCAAATGCTCTGAGTGCTGACATGGCAGCCATCAAAGCCATGCCAAGTGTCATGAGTGAAGATGTGGCAGCAACTGGATCATCAACAGGTTGTTTACAAATTTCTTGTAAACCACTTGGACATAATTCATAAATTCCCTTTGGTGGAGGACCAACATATACCTTATTATGGTAAACAAGACCCAAGAATGCTGAACAAAGGAAAATTAAGAAAAAGTCCAAAATTAAACTTGGCAAAGTTCTCAAAATTTGAGTGAAACTTCTCTTGAAACACATCCAGAATTGAGCAAAATAGGAAAATCTTGGATTTTTGAATTGAACTTGTTCTGGTTGATCATTAATTGAAGATTCGCTACTAGTTTCGGTTGTTGTTTCTTCTTCGTATAAGTGTTTCTTCATTTCCCAAACTTCTGGTAATGAGATAGGTTCAAACTCTATATCTTTCTGACATGGAACTAAACCTGCAGAAACATCAATTACAAAATCAGCCAAATTAGTTCCATTAGGTTTTGGAAATCCTAATTCCTTTTCAAAGTATTCTTCAACTCGTGTGACAGGTCCAAGATAAATAGTTTTACCACCCTTTCCTAGCAATAGTAAATTATCAAACATGTTAAATATTTCATATCTAGGTTGATGGATAACAGTAATAACTGTCATTCCTGATTTGGCAATTTCTTGTAAACATTGACAGACTTCCATAGATGAACTACTATCCAAACCAGAAGTAGGTTCATCAAGGAAGACTGCAATTGGACAAGCAACCAATTCAATGCCAACATTAACTCTCTTTCTTTGACCTCCTGAAATTCCACGTTTTTCTTGATCTCCAATTATGGCATGTCTAACATCTTGTAAATTCAAAACATGAATCACATCATTGACAATGGCGTCAATTTCCTTAGATGGTGTACTTGCATCAAGTCTGGTCTTTGCTGAAAAATATAAAGTTTCTTCTACTGTGCAAGAACTAATCATAATGTCATCTTGTGGGACGAAACCTAGCTTACTATTGTAATTCGAAAGGTTGTCTCTCTTTCCATTGACGAATACTTGACCTAATTGAGTTCCATAATAGGCACGATTTGAGAGTGTGGTAATGAAAGTACTTTTACCAGCTCCTGATAAACCCATGACAGCTGTCAATTTGCCATGTTTAATTTCACCAGTGACACTATCCAAAACTCTCTTTCCAGAACCTTTCAATGTAAGACCCAAATCCTTGAAACCAATATCAACAGTAAATTGATTAGTTCTAAAACCAGACGGTTTGTCACTTGCCAACAAATTTGAATTTTCATTAACATCTTTCAAGAACAATTTAGTTCTCTTATGTTTCTTAACATTCTTCAAACTATATCTAACATAAAATCTGAAAGCAGCTTCATAAGAAACATAAATAATTGCAATAATAATCATGATAATGACAACCATGGCCAATCCACCAAATTCCATTCTATCACTTTTTGTTCCTTTTGGACAATTAGAAAAGAATGAACAACCAGTTGGTTTGATACTTCCCTCACGACAATAATAACCAGCTGGGCATAGGATTTTCAAACTGGCATTTGGACAATAGTAAGATTCTGGACACAGCTTGTAGGTGAAGGATCCTTCTGGACAATATTGAGATTCTGAACAGTTTCTAATAGTATGAGTGTTTTCACAGTAGAAACCTGCTGGACAGAGTGACTTCTTGTAGGATCCAGGTGGACAATAATCCATAGAATCATTCTTGAATTCACAGAGAGATGGTTCAATAACTGTATCATTTAAACAATAGGTATTTTCTGGACAATCCAGATTATCTGTGGTTGTTCCATTTTCCATAATAACTACTTGTCTGGCCATGTTACAATAATCACCTTCCTTACATGATTCAATTCCAGTGAAATATGGAGTAGTATCACCAACCTTCAATTTCTTAATATAGTAACCAGGAGGAACTGGTAAAGGACGTTCATATTTTGTTGTACAGATGGTGCCATCTGGACAATCCTCACTTCTCCATAAACTACTGCCGAAACATGTTTGTTTTCCAAATTCTCCATCACACATCAATGGATATGGCATTTGAATGTATGGACAAATGTAACCACTTGGACATGGAATTCTAATTCCAGACAAACAGTAGCTCTCCACAAGACATGGTATTCTAGTAAGCGATCTATAAATGAAATCTCCTGGATTTGTCAAAGTATACGGAACTACCAATGTGCTTCTGAAGAGATTACACAAATTACCTCTCAAACATGAGCTTGATAACATGGCAAATTGATTTTCATTGAAATCTCGTGGAGGGGCTTGATTACATGCACCTGAGAATGATTTCAAAAAGACATTATCAGGATCTGTCTTTAAAGTATCACAGACAAGTTTGAATCTGTCATTGGCTTCAATTTCCCATCTCTTTCTAGTAATGGAAAGGAAGAGGAATTGATTGTTTTCTGAAACGAATAAATCAATTACCTTTCCAAGTGCTAAGAAATCATTAACATTATTGGTCATGGCCACGTATCCTTGTTCAATTAAGGAAGGATCATCAGGAGTGGATGAGGTTAAATTGAGTGAAATTGCAAGAACTTGCACATTTTTCTTCATTGAAATGTAAATATTTTCTTGCCAGTAACCAAAGAAGAAGGTAAATAAATCTTCCTGTTGAGTGAATGCTCCTGTGAAAATGTCAATTTCGCATCTGGCTTTTGAGGCATCTTCCATACATTGATCAGTGTCAATTTGTCCTCCTTTCAGATAGTCAAATTGGCAAATGACAGATGGATTCAAGTGTCTAGTTTCGTTATAAGCAGAAATACCATTCATTGTTTGATTAATGTCCATGAAACTTGATTTGATAATTTCAACTTCATCATTCATTTCAGTAATGGTTTGAATATTGTCCAAACATTTACCATTATTCGAATGTTGATTGGCTCCACAATTGAAAGTTTGTGGTCTATTAGCTGTGTTTCCTTCATTGAAGTTAAAATTATAATTGACAAATTCTGGAATGTGATGTAAAACAAAGGAATACCTTTCGTTTGTTTCACCTTGTTTCTTCAAGCCCAGACCAATATATAAATTTTGAGAAGGTGGAAATTCTACATTCTCACATGTAGTTTGCAAAGAGAGTTTGATTGGCTTTCTCAATTTATCAAGAATTGGATAGGCAACAGTAATGGAAGATCCCTCAGGAGCTTGATAAAAAGTATTTAAATTATCTGAATTGACCAAATCAATCTTTCTATAAGAATCTTGGAACTCTACAATTCTAACTTGCTTTGAAGTGTATATCATAATAAGAGATCTTGAATTAGCCAAATGATTTCTTTCAAAAAATGTTTCTTGAATTCTCATTGGTGCTGTCTTTGAAAAATTACCAAAATGAATAAAAGTTTCAATTCTGAAATCTTCATCACTTTCTACATCCCATTTCAATGGAACTGTCATGTAATTCTGATGCATTACAGTACCTCTAATGAAAATGAGTTGATATCTTGGTTTTTGACCGTCATCAATAATTTTGAGAACACCAACAGAGTAAACATTTTGAGTTTGAGTATCTCTGAACATTTTCAAATCCAGAACTTGTTTGACATTATCATCCAAACTGTAGAACCAATATCTGTAAAATTCTACCTGATAAAAATTAAACACTCCATTAATGTTTAACTTTCCATATTTAGTTACTTGAACTAGGGCAATTTGATCTTGGTCATCTCCAATACCAGTCACTGAACCATATACTTCTCCTTTCAATAGTTCTCTATAACCAGGATACTTGTAATAAATAGTAAAACCACCATTATAGAAATCTTTAGTATTAACCATGACAACTCTTCCATTTTGATAAAATTGAAAGAGACGGCCAAAGGATTTACGTCCATTACTTGAATCAACAGCTCTAATAGCAACTACACCTTTACAATCATCTTCTAAAGGTGAATCAATTCCACCACATTTGTACTGAAATTCTCCTTTGTTAACAACTTGAACATCTGAGAATATTTCAGGAGTTCCAGCAAATGGATTTGTTTTAGAGCACCACAAGTCAGTAAAAACAATTGGCATATCAGCAGTACCACATCCATCTTTTGGTCCTGTGTAGAGAGTTGGAGTATCATCATCGCCAATAACTCTTAATTTGATGTTAGAGGTTGCTCTCTGTTTTTGAAAACTTCTCTTATGTGAACTCTGTGAGTCTATAGCATCTCTCAAATGTTGATACAGAACAGAATCTGGTCTTTTGTAATCAGATTGTTGTTCATTCACATGGCTTGCCTTAATGGATGATTCTTGTCTTATGAGAGTATGGTCTTGGAACAAGTATGGATTCATGGAAGGAGCAACAGCAGCATGCACACTGCTGATAGTTACTCCTGTTTCTGATAACATGTTATTGCCATTATTGAACTGGTGAAATGTGAAGAAAAGTATCAAGAGTGTGGAAATGATGAACAATCTCACACCATGAGAAATTCCGAAAGGATTTGTTGTGGTAGTATGTTGTCGAAGAAGAGGTACCATGGTTACTGTATGTGATACCTCTTGGATCTTTTTTTTCCTGAATGAGGAGGCAAGTTATGATTTGGTTTGCTGGAACATGACTCGTTCGGAGTTAAATTCTCCTTTGCCGGAGTGCAGGTGTGAAAATAGTAACACTTCTAATACATGAATTCAAAAGCTCCCCTTACTCTACAAACATAATATTGTTTTCCAGGAAACCAAATAGGAAAAACATCTTCTAGTTGAGTTACGATTTTGTAAAATTGAGCCCTTTATGATTGCTTTGAAAATTTTCTAATCACACAATCCACATTACGAACCAACTCAACACTTAATGCTTCATTTCTTCTCAAATTATAAGAGAGTGATTGCTGAAAATTGCTTTGAAATTTACAGAACGCGAATTTTCAATTTGAATTTCAAAGAAATTTGATTTTTTTAATTAAAAGATCTTAATTGGCAAATCCTGAAGTACCAGTGAAACCTCCTCTACCACCACTACTGCTACCACCTCCAACAAAGGCAGTTCTTTCTCCAACATATCCATATCCAGCTCTACGAATACCAAGAACATCCATAACACAATTTCTGAAAGCAGTAATGATACCACAAATAATTGAACAACAAATGCAAATAGCAACTACAATGACAATGACAACAATAGCAAAGAGTGGGAGTCCTTCATTACACTTTGAGAATTGATCACCAACAGTATTGAAAGTAACAGTTGGTTGATAAGCAATATTGGAACTGATAGCACCAGTTGAGAAGGTGACAGTTTTTCCATTGACAACAGCACTTCCTCCTGAAGTAGTTACATTGTTAGCAAGATTGACATCAGAAGAGAAGATGAACTTTGAAGTAAGCATGCCAATTGGTGAGCTTTCCTTATAGTAATAGGAGACATAATTTTGCTTCTATGATGTGTTACAAAATTTCATGTGTGAAAATCAATCAATACTTACATTAGAATTAACTCTAATTGGTCCATTAGCACTATATGTATAACGAATGGTAAGTGTAGTGGTGAGTGTGCTTGGAGTGGAAGGGAAGAAATTAGCAACAATAAAGTTAGAATCTTGTTGAGCTGAGACATATTTAGATGACAATGAATATCCTCCAGTCAATACATCAACTCTAACAGAACTCATGTCAATAGAAGAAGCAATTGAATAAGGAACTGCTCTAGCAACAGTTGAGTAGGATCCAGTGAATTGATAGCTGTAAGTTTCCACAACTGAAACAGCACATGAACTGGCACTGAGTGTAACGTCTGATTGAATACTAGCAATTGAATATGTCTTTTGAGCATTACAAACTCCGAGAATGATCATCAAGATCATCATCATTACTACAGAACTTGTTGAACTGATAATTTGCTTCATATTTTAATGGTAAAAATTGTTTGTCGTTGTTTTGTTTTTTTCAAACTGTTGAAAATGAAAGATACGAAGAGTAGTACGATTTTATTCACTTCCACTTGTTTCTTGAGAGATGATTAGGAGGGTGGATGGGAGAGGATAGTGTGTTACGATTTTTGATTGCAATGTTGCAGGGTCACCTTCTGTTAATTTCCTTCGATTTCAAGAAGTAATACCTTCCGATGATTAAAAAGAAGTGTTGTTTTCTTGGTTATTGTGTGACAGTGGTTGTTATTTTGTTGGAAGGAAAACAGAAACATCATAGTGATGGGTTACCTTCATCTTGTTTTGTATCCATTACAATTTAATTCATCCTCGTTATTGTTAACATTTTGCAACAACAACAGATACGGAATAGATATACAATATAGGAGCAAAACTATAATCATTCAATTAACACAATAATGGCAATTGAAAGTAATTAGAAAATTACCATTTACGATCTGGTGGAGCAACAGTCAATACCAGTTATTTAAACAAGTTGTGAACCAAACCATCAAAAAAACAGGCCAAACAACAGTTGTTAGAATTCAAACAAGAAGAATCCAGTCGACTGTAATAATGAGAAATGTAACTGACCACATGGTCATGTGAAGGATTTCCAGGTAACAATAGTGAGTTGTATTGATAATTGTCTCACGCGGACTTCAAGATGCATGCACAAAGACTCGATCAGATATATTGAAGCGTATGTGCTCATGAGAGATTGATTCAATATGATATTCGAATCCAAGAGAATAGAATTTAGCCAGACAACCCATGAAGAGATTGAATCTAAATAGATATTACACAAGATGTGTGAACCTCATTACCTATTATTCAACAAAGGTTTGTATATTTTGTTGTATACAACATTATGGCAAGTCGCGTGCAGGTTTACATTAGGGATCGTCATCTTTGCATCATCTATGATGTGATCCTTATTGTAATCCTGATTTCCACTTCAATTCTCTGTGCTTAGTGAGGGACCTTATCTTCGTCATCCTCAAAAGGTACCCACCACACATGCAACAACTCAGCGCTCTGATCTAATCGATATGTGGCATGATGATGGAAAATTCAGCCTCGTCTTCTTAGTGCCCTAATTGTTTTGAAAGCCAAATTTTCTTAATTGGCACAGTTGTAAACTCTCGCGTTTTTTATTTTGGAATTTTCGCCAATTTTTAATTGCTATCTTTGTGCCAGGCACGGAAAATTAGATAACAATGTTTAAAAAGCATTCTAAAAATTCACGTTCATGATCAAATAACTACAAAAAAACAACTCAACAACGATATCGAGTGTTTTCTCACAACCAACCAACTAACGAACCAAACCAATCACACACAATTCCTAATAGAAGATGATGAACATTAATAGACTCAGACTCGTGAATAGATTCATTGCCTCTTCCACTCCTCATAAGAGTACATCATCACTCCGATACATGATCAACAATAATAATTGTATGGCTACTACTACTGCTGCTTCCTTCCATGTTGATATTAAGAATAATCACATTATCTTGACAGAGGAGAAGAGAGTGTTTTTAGAAGCTTTGAAACTTGAATTGTTTAATAGCAGTCGATCAAATGTGGCGAATATGATCAAGGATAATAGTCAGCAATCATCATCGTATTCTACAGCAACTGTTGTTTCTAATGATGATGGGTTTGATAAGAGTTTGGAAAACTCACGAAATTTAATGTGTCACAAGAGACATGATGTGCTGACTCAGCAAGAGTCTGAATACTTTTTGTACTTGTAAATATTATTTACAATTTCATTGTATTATAAATGTACATTATTTATTATATTCTCTTTGTTGATTGTAATATCTTATAAGTTAATATTATTGTTGGTTAACTTGGAAATCATGGAGTTGACTCTTGTGAGTTCATTGAGATAGATAGATGCCAATCTATTCAAATCACCCAAACTCATGTCGCCATATTGAACATCTGCCAAGGCAATTTCTATTTGATCAACATAAGCACTTTCTTTTTCGCTTAATGACAACTTATTTGATTTAACCTTATCAAGTTCCTTTTGAGCTTGATCTTTCTGGATTGATACCTTTGAGCAAGCTTGCTGAAGGTGCTCTTGCTTCTTCTTTTCATCTGTAAGAACATTCCTAAGCCTGGTCTTTTCATTCTCCATAACTTTGGTCTTCTCTCTCTCTTGTTGGATTAGGGCAAGAAGTTGTTCAACAGTTGGTTGTGCACTCATATTGGTTTGTTTTTTTATGTTTTACTCCAAAAAAAGAAGTTTCCTTAATAATTGTTAATCACCAATTTAGTATCAAACTAAAAAATGTTCAGATACGGCATTGCTTTTTTATTGATTCTGTGTTGCAGCATTAATGTTTACAGTTTGTCCTCAAAAGTTGTCAGCTGCACCGATGCCTCATGCACAACACAACTTGCAGTTCAAATATCTTTAGCCTTTGGAAATCAAAAATCGATGTTAGTAGAATTATCAGACACTGTGAATGAAAAGGGAGAAAAAGTTAATCTAAGGCCTATTAAGATTGTTATTCAGAAGTCAGCTCCGAAGGCTGTGTATCCTCTATTGTATGTGAAAACGTTTAACGGAAAACCAACAGAAAGCATAATTTACAAAGATGACATTCTTGTTCCAACTTGTGATGATTCTTCAAAATCAGCAGCTCCAACTTGTGGTTGGGTAAAGGATAGCCAAGGAAACAAAATACCTGATAGCCAAGGCTTTTGTTGCTCCTGTTCAGTAGGACAAATGTTCGGGGACAGTTCAGCGTCTAATAGAGGCGCTCTTAATTGTGGATTTATGCAAATGAAGTCTTCTGCTCACTGTTTACGTCTGGGAGAAGTTTACTGGGATGCTTATGAAATAGAAGGTTATGTTATGTCATTTGAAATATCAGTATTCATAGGTGAAACTGGGTTTGATGATATTGGAAAAGTCACTGTTTCACCATCATCTAAGTTAGCCCAACTGCCAAAAGGAGGAAGAGTAGAGCTTGAAGGGGACTTCTCTGCTTACAAATCAGTCCCACTTTATGAAAGCAAGTATCTATTCATTCCAAGCTCTCCCAAAACAAGTCCAATAGTGGTCAACGGCCAAGCCAACTGGATGTTTATTGACAAATCAATGGTTACCTTAAGTGGTTCAGAATGCGATAAAATTGGTGTGTCATATGCTCAGTTCAGAAACCAACCAAATGCATGCTCAAGACCAGCACTTACTTGTCTAGCAAATCAAATAGAAGATCTAAGACTTGCAGACGTTGAATTAATGAAATCAGGCCTAAAATCTGGAAAATATATTGTTTCGAATTTTGGATCATTTGCTGTTAACAAAACCAATACAGGAAATGTATTAGAAAAGTATTTGGATGAAGATACTAATTCTCAGATCAATTTGTATATTAATGGTGAAAATGTAAAGTTTCTAATAACCAAAAGTGCAGCTGAAATTTCAGAAGCATATGTTAAAACATTTACTTCCCTTTCCAAAGAAGGTGAAATGTTGGTTAGTGTGAAAAACAAAGGCGCAAATGGTTGTTCCTACGTTGTAACAGTAACAGAATGCAGTGACAACATTCTTACAATTGTTCAACAAACAGTATTTGTAGATGCATCTAATAAGAAAGAATTAACCTTTCAAGTTAGATCAGAGCAGAAACTAGCCACAACCAATCAGTGCAAAGTAACTCTGTTGTTTTCTGATGGTGAAAAAATTCAAGATATCACAGTTACCTTTGACTCAAAGGATTACGCTTATGAAAATGCAATGGAAAGCAGTGGAGAACAAACAGGAAAAGTGGAAACAGAAGGAGATCACTCACTAGGTCAATGTAAATGTAACTCCCCATTCGATGTGGTCTGTATTGTTCTCAATTCAAGCTCATGTACCTCCTACATTATTGGTTGGGTTGCCTCAATAGTTGGTATTATTGCAACTCCTGTAATCTTTGTCTTTTTGTGGAGATGTGGTCTATTTGGCCTAATGTTCAAGACGTGTAAATGTTGTGCTTGTTGCTGTTCCTTTCTTCCAACAAGTATTATGAATTGTCTTATTGGTCCTTATAAGAAGAAATCCAAAAAATCCAAGAAATCCAAAAAGAAGAAACGTCACCACTCTTCCTCTGATAGTGAAGATGAAAAGAAATCCAAAAAGAAAAAGAAGAAGAGCAAGAAGAATAAGAAGAGAAGGAAGAAGAGACGTCAACAACGTAGAGATGATTTTGAAATGGACTATTACAATGACAGATACTCAAAGAGGAGAAGTCACAAGGATATTGAACATGATCCAATTGCTAGGTATAAATAGTTCTGTAAAATAAAATTATTGTAAATAGAAATCAATTATAAATACTATTTACAAAATTATACATAGAGAAGGGCCATCTGTAGTATCTTCGTCATTCCTCTTTCTCTTCTTTGGTTGGTTTGCATTTTTCAAGAATTTTTCTGGAACTTGAACATGCTCCACAATTTCAAAGTCGTGTGTAAAGTTTCCATCCTCTACAGGTTGTATTTGTGGAGTAATTTCGGTATTTTGTTCTGAAACTAATTGTTTCAGATCCAAATCCTTTAGCTCGAATTTCTTATATACAGCCTCTGCATCTTTCCATATTTCGTGAGGTTCTGGGATTTCAAATTCTTTCACTGCTCCAACTTCTTTAGCTGGAAGGAGATCAGGAACCTCTGATGGCATAGATTGATGGTACACGAGAGAATTCTCACGTGAATACTTCTCGGTAAATCTTTGAATTTCTGATTCCACTAATTTATATTCATTTTCCAAACTTGCCTTGTCAAATTGAGTGAATAACATTTTAGAATATTCTTTGTAAATACTCTTTGAATTTTCAAAAAGCTTGGAGGCCTCCTCCATTAATTTCATGGCCTTTCCATTTTCATCATTCTTGTTATAATCAAATGCTGAATATACATGAGAAAGAATATTGTAAAATGAAACCTTAAGTAATAAATGGACTTTGAGCTTTGGCTCCTCTGACTTGACATATTTCATAGCCTCCTTATACTTTTCGTGGACAAACATTGAGAGTTTGGCAATAGACTCCAGAGATGTCAACTCTTTTTCTAGAGCAATTCTAATGGCCAGCTCCTGAGCTTGGGCTCTTGTAATGCAATACATCATATTGCACATGTCGACAGAGTTACTCTGAGTAAATTTCATTCCACCATAATTTGTCTTGAATTGAACTGCAACATTTTCAGCACAAAACTTCCACAATGAAGCTGACCTCAAAATTAATTGAAGTGCTTGCTTTTTGTCAAATACCATTCTTTCATTTGCAAAGTTTAACAAAGAAACACTGGCAGTACTGAGCATCATTAGCATTTCATATAGGGCATCATTGCTTTCCACCTTGATGGAATTATGCCACCAATTATATACAGAAATGAACTGCAACTTGCTTAACATTGGAAGTGTCTTGGAATCAACTTTCACTTCTTCCTCCTCCTCTTCCTCTTCCTCACGAACCATAACTCCAGCACCTCCACTTGAAGATGCTCTGTTTCCAGATGATGATTTCTTTGATTTCTCCTCCTGTTTGGTCTCTTGTTCCTTATCATCAACCATCGGAGCTGACAAATCCCAAACCAATCCAACCAAGACACTCACATACTCCATAATCTTGTTATATAATTCTTCATTATCTTTTTCAACCATCAACATTTTCCCATTTGAAAATAACAAACTTACAACTTTTTTGTTCCATCAAATTCCTAACTTGTTCCCTCTTTTCCATCAATATTTTGGCCAACTCTCCATCAAATGATTTACAATGCCTCTCAAACATCTTTTCAAATACACATCGATTCGTCACTCTGATCGCAAATAAACAATTCAAATTTCCATCCAAGGCTTTTCTTCCCTCCGAAGCATACTCCACCAACAAGTGGAAAGGTGGAAAATCTCGATTGCCTGGTAGTTGTGGAGGCATTTTTTTAGATTTGAATTTGCCGCCAATTCGAAAAGATTTTCACCCTTATGTAACACGCATATTTAAAAAATTTACTGTAAATAATTTCTAAAACAAGTATTTAGTATTGAATTCAATAGTATTTGTAATATTTAATACAAACAATTGTTTCATTTACAAAGTGTTGAAAAGGAACTTGAGAATCAATCAAATGTCAACTACATACTTCAACAAACATAAAAAAAATGTCATACGGTCGATCTAAGAAGAAGAGTATTTTCGGAGGCTTTTTTAAAAGTATGTTTTTTCAAAATATTGACATTCAATTAATTATTATCATCATTAAATACTTAAATTATTTAAATATTTTGTAAACTATTTAATAGGTAATGACAATGAAGTAAATTTGGAAGATTATGCTCTCAGTCAATGGACTACGCAAATGGTAGTTTCTTGGTTAAAAGACCAAGGACATGATAAGAAGGTAATTTTATATCTTTAATATTATATGTTATATAGTTAAATACTATTTTGTAAACTATTTAAAAATTACACCAACAACAACAACAATATAACAAAAAAAAACGGAAATATAATTGGACATTTTCATCATATGATTTTACAACAACAATAACAAAATTCCAAAAAAAACCATATCATTGTAATAATATTTAAATATTTTAAATATTAAATAATATTTAAATATTTTAAATATTAAATAATATTTATAGGTTTACAAAATATTTGAAAAGAACAAAATAACAGGAGCTTTCTTTTGTCAAAATGTAACCAAAGCAGATATCATCCGTTTAGGATTTACACCTGGAATGTCAATCACACTTCACAATCAAATTGAAAAATTAATTGAAAGAATGAAATCCATCAATCCCTATAATGTAATTCTCAGTAGTAGACCACATCATCCAAGTAATACTACAAATAATCAGAGTTCAAATAGTATTGCTAGTTCAAGTTCTTTGAGTTTATCTTCTAGAAATAGTATGAAATATGATGGTGCTGCTTTGGCACAATTGAGTGGATTGAATGGAGTTGATCCAAAGGATTCGAATAATGTGTTATTGACACCACCTCGTCCAAGTTTAGTTTCGAAAGGTTCGACAGGAAGTATTATGGCACTCACAACACAAACTTCACCACTCAATATTTCACAATCATCTCCAGGATTTTCTGAAAAGGATATTCCAATGTTTGCTCATCATCAACGTAAATTTTCAATGGCAATTCAAAATCAAGGTCCATTAACATCAACAAATGGTGAAGAGAATGTGTTTGTTGAACCTGCTTATTCTTCAACTGGAGCATTGTCAATTGCAGATATTGAAATTGAGGATGATTACTTTTTGAAAATGGAAATGGAATCATTTACTGTGGGTAGCAAACAAGAAGAAGAGAAGGAACTTCAAGAATTCCTTTCTGAACCAACTGTTGCCGGTGAAAATACTCCATCAGTTGTCGATCAAACTCCATCCTCTCCTGGAACTAATAGTCCAACAAGTGGAAACTCATCACCAATTAGTACAACTAGCACCAGTAGTGTTGCAAATAATAGTTCCAGTAATAATATCATTTCATCGGCATCTTCACCAACAACCAATTCAAAATACTTGTTGGTTCCTGTTGCTCCAATGGAGAAAGTTCCAGAAGAATATGCAGCTGCCTATGAATTTTGCCTGACCAATCTGAGATTACTTCCATTTGAAGTGAATAATATCAAAGCAGTAGCTCAGGATTTGGTTATTCCAGAAAGATTCATGTTTAAATATTGTAATATCAAACATTATATGCCAGATGATGATGAAGACGAAACTGGTTCTGAAAGAGCATCAGTTGTCAGAACAATGACCAAGACTTTTTTGAAAGTACAATTTGTTATCAATGCTACAGATCGTGGTGTTTGGTTTAAAATGCAGAGACAATATAAGAATCAACTGAAAGGATACAAACCACACAAATTCGGATCTTTCTATCCAGCTCTTTTAATTGGACCATTCCTTTTCGAATATACATCACATGGTTTTGCATTGGTGAGAATTTCCAAATCAAAGAGAGTTGTAGGTCATGAAATCACAACAATTACAGGTGCTGATAAGGTGAAGGAATTACTTCAAAAGGTTTCACAGGTGTGCTGTGAATTCAATGGTTCACGAAAGTTTGACATTCAAAAGAATAATCCAATGAGCTTTGTCTATGCAGTTTTGGATAAACTCAAAATTAGAAAATCAATTGAAAATCACTTAGGAAAAGGTTGCATCAAAGCTTTCATTCAAAATTTGGAAAAATTTGGATATTACAGCATGACACTCAATTTACCAAAACAATTAGCAACCTTGTTAGGAAAGGAAGAATATATCATTGACAGCCATAAGGACTTGGATGAACTTCATATTAATATTCAAACTAACTTCCCAGAGTACTTTGATGTTGAAGGTAAAATGGATGAAACTCTCTTACAATCATTTGACATTTCATTCTGGTATCTCCATCATGAAAATAAGACAGTTGAAGATTTCAAACCTGCATATTCTGGAAAAATCTGTAAGTGTCCATTCAACATGTTAGAAAAGCACCCAATTGATATGATTGAAAGCGTATCAAAGTCCAATTACCGAGGTGCCAAACATCATATGCAAAATGTTCTGCCAACGAGACCAGCTTATGGGCTCGCCTCTGTGTCTTCATCTGCTAACTTGACTGAAATGGGATCACCAACAAGTGAAACCAAGTGTTGAAAATAAATTATTCTAATATTTATTATTAACAACAATTGAATTGAACAATTTCACATGTCACTCAGAAGGAAATTAAGGAAATAAGGGATTAATTTTAAAATATTTTTTAATTACAAAAAGTTTATCTTCTGTCCTTCTTACCAATCGTTGTCTTACCACTGAACAAGTGCTTTGGCATCATATTGTAAACAACGTGATCTGTTTCAGCACGTTTACCTTCAGCTTGTATTGTCTTAACCTTCTTATTACGCAAATCAACAGCAGCAGCTTGCTTCTTTGGATCTTTGATACCAGCAAACTTACCAATCTTGGCAACAAGAGGATTGTGAGGTGTCAAAGTACGAGTTCTCTTACCGAGAGCAGTGTCATCAATATCAACAGAATCATATTCAGCAGCAGCACGCTTTTCAGAAGCACTTCTATTCATGGCCATCTTGCTTTCACTTCTGGCTCTAGCACCAACACTCGAAACAGCAAGCTTGTGAGTTCTACCTGATGAAGTAGTTCTAGCAACTGAGTTGGATCTAGCCTTATCCAAAGCTTCTTCTGGAACACCTCTGTTCTTAAGTTCACCAACAATTGACTTCAAATCAATTGGTTTATCCTTTCTTGTCAACTTAGGATGGTTAGTATTCTTATTATACTTGTTAGTTTGAATGATAATTGCCTTCTTATCAACAATCTTTTGGTAGTCATCTTCTTCATCAGAGTCAACAAAGTATTCTTCGTCGGCATAGTTAACACCTCCTTCGAATCCACCTTCTTCTCTGAGTCTTTCTTCTTCTTCAGCTTCGAGTTCTTCCAATCTCTTTTCAATTTCTGGATCCACAAAGTCAGCAATATTCTTTCCGTTAATAAATTCTGGAATAATATCATATTTCCATTCTTCGTTCTTTAAAAGATAATGCTTCTTATAATCTGGCATGTAAACACCAGAACCACCTCCTTCATTTTCAAGATGTTTTTCAGTGATTCTTTCGTCTTCCATTTCATTTTCGATATTTCTCTTCAAAATGACGCTTTCTGGGATTTGTGGCACTCTTGTAATGTCATCTCTCTTCTTTGGAAGAGCCAAGTGAACTCTGTTCAAAATATTTTCAACTGACTTCTTACCATGACTCATCTTAGCTTCAACTCTGTTTTGGAGCAACAAATCACAAGCTTTAGTTTTAACTTCATTCAAACCAGATTGGTCAATGTTACTGATAGCAAGCATATCACTACACATATCAGCAACTTCTTGCAACATCTTCTTGTGTAAATCGCTCAATTCGTCATATTTAACCAAGTCAACCTTTGTTAAAACCAACAAAACTGGTTTACCAGCAAAAAGTGGTTTGACATTCTTGAAAAGGTCACATTGTTGTTGAATGTTGTATCCACAAGTTTCACTCATATCTAACAAATATAAAATAGTAGAACGCAAGTGAGCCATAGCTGTTATACTTTGCATTTCAATTGTGTTACGTTGTTCAAGTGGATGGTCCAAAATACCTGGTGTATCAATCAATTGCCATTTCAAATAACGATATTCCATATGACCAACAAACAAGGATTTGGTTGTGAAAGGATAAGGTTGAACATCAACTTGAGCACGTGTCATATTATTCATAAAACTAGATTTACCAACGTTTGGATAACCAACTAGAATCAAAGTACGTGATGATGGATCAATAGAAGGTAAACGAGCCAAGTGTTGTCTGACTTGTTCAAGATAGATAAGTGATGAATTTTGTTTAGTCAATACTGTAATCATTCTACCCAAAGCAGCTCTCTTCAATTGTTTGCAACGATATAAAGAGTCACCATATTTAAGTAAACGAACATAATCTCTACCAATAGCATCAACAAGATTTCTGCAGGTACTTAATTGACCCAAAGCAAGCTTGTAGTGATCCTTATCATAGAGAACGTTCATCAAATCCTCATAGAATGGGTGAATATCTCCCAATCGTGGGAATTCATCAAGGATGAGAGTAATTTTATCGTGGATGGCTTGTTGACAAAATTTAACTTTTCTCATGTAGAATCTTCTAATACGATTGATAGCATATTGAGGGTGAATTTCGGTTGGTGTTTTTCTTTGTGTTTTCGAAAGAACAATGTCCATAAATTCTCTTCCGTTAGGAACTGGTGTAATCTTCTTAAAATTATAAACGACCATTGTTATATATTAGTTTTTTTAGTGGTAGTATTAATGATGAATGATGGAGAGAAGAGGTTTTACTTTGTGTGCGGAGGTGTATCTGTTTTTACTAGTACAAAGTAAAAGGAGGAAGATATGAGGGTGGTTGTTATTTTTTTTCTCGACAGAAATTTTTTGAAAAGGCTCTCAACAAAATGTTGCAAGTTTTTCTTCTTGGCAATTGTTGAAGTTATTTTGAAAGATTCACGAGTTGATGATGATTGTGTGAGGTGCAATGGAAAGTAATCAGAAAAGAATGGAAGGAAATTATATAGATAGAATTTTACTATATTGTTAAATAGTTCATGATCTAATTTGAACTAATTTTGTGTTCAATTATTATTTACTTATCGGAAGAATGAAGAGCATCAACGGAAGTATCAATATTGTTAATCTCTTGCAATTCTGTCATTAGTAGAGTCATAAAGAGATCAGTTTTGGAGAAGACTCTCACATTGGATTGCTTGTCGTAAGGAGTTTTCTGCAAATTAACAATACACATCAGATTATTGACATTCATCTTGGGTAATTGAGCAGCTGGATTCACGAGCATTGAGGTTCCAAGAACAATGGATAGATCACATTTCTCTGAATGTGAGATGGCACTCTCAAGTTCTTTTGGTGGCAAGGTTTCATTGAAATGTACAATGGTGTCAATTAGTTCACCTCCACAACTTTCACACAAACTACCAGTCAAGTGATCTCTAAAGTTTTCAACAGTTTTACAAACATCATATCCTCTCAAATATTCCTTCTTGCATTTCTTACATACTTCAAGGAAGCAATTACCATGTAATTCAGATAAGTGAGCTGGTTCAAGACCACTTCTTCTATGAAGACCGTCCACGTTGGTTGAAATAACAAACTTTACCAAACCAATCTTGACAAGATGAGAAACAGCATAGTGTGTAAATGTTGGAAGAGCTTGTTCAATTTCAATGTTCTTAATTTCATTAGCTTTTCCTTCATTGGTTAAAGTCCAACATCCTTTTGGTCCACGATAATCTTTTCATTGTGAGTATATAATTGACTATTGGAATAAGAAACTTACCTGGAATTTTGGCACTTGTGGAAATACCTGCTCCTGAATAAATACAACAGTGTTTAGAATTCTTAATTAGATCTGCCATTTGTTTTGCCTTTTCTTGTACAACTTGTTCTTCTTCTTCATATTCCTTGGCATCTTCAGTAAGTCCTGTCACTGCTCCAATTCCTTTTCCAGAACCAACATTTTCACCAAAACCAATACAATCAAGAAGATGCTTTTCTTTTGTTTCAGTCTTGTTTAGTTTCTTGTCAAAATTCTTAATTTGATCCAAAAAGGAAGAAGAGACTGACTCTGTGGTAACTTGTGGAGTTGGAGTAGTTGTAGCATTAGAGATTGGTTGAGAAGGAGGGACCGGAACACTTGTGCTCTTTGTAGTTTCACCCTTTTTCTTAATAACAGGTGTCATGAAATTTTTCATTTTCTTTTCAAACTCTCTTTGAATTGCATCCTTCTTTTCCTTCTCTTCAAAAGTTGAGACGTAACCACTTCCCTCACGAATAGCCACAACTGTTTCTAGACTAATTGTGTTTGGGCTGTTTGAAAATCTTGAAATGAACTGAAGCGAATTTTTCATATCTTTTCCCAATTTCATTTCCGACAAGGATGGTATATCAATTGTGAATTCTTGAAGAATTTTGCCACTATCTGTTTCAATAGAGAACTTGGTATTCCTAATATTGTAATTGGAAACAATCTTCATTTGTGAAAGAATATCATTAAGATCAACAATGTTGCTAAATTGTTCTTCAGAGATGATAAATGCAATTCTGCAATTTTTCACAGAATCTAATTGAAGAGTTTTGACCTTTTTAACTCCAATAGATAATTTACAATCTCTGCATTTCAAAAATTCAACAAAACCAGTGGTGATTGATTCAACATCAACAACCACAGTTGTATCCTTATTATCTTCCATTATAATTTTCATACATTTTTGTGCTTGAAGAAGAAGTGTTGATCTTTCGCATTGGGTAACATATACCAAATCTTGAGGAGAGAATTTGCTTTCTACCCTTCCCGATGAGTCATCTACAACTCCCTTGATCATAAAAGGGGATTTTGGGGTGAAATTTAAGGTAGGTAATCTAGTCATTTTTTTAATGTTAAAAAAACTTGATTATTTACCATTATTCAAATGCTGATAAAGGAGAGTTCATATTTCCTTGATCGATTACTGTCAAGTATAATTCATCTCTGCAGATTATTTATTGCTAAGGTAATTACCTTTTTTAAATCTGAAAAGAATGCACTAGGCAATTCATGCTTGGAGAATGCTGAAAAAGAGAAAAATAAAATATGAATCCTCTTTTATTTTTGTATCTGAAATGAGGTATTTCAAATAACTCATTTCTTCTTTGTATATTTCAAATAAATAAAACAGTGCTGCAAAAGAGAAATAAAATATGAAATCGCCCACCGTGGGGGTCGAACCCACGACCACAAGGTTAAGAGCCTTGCGCTCTACCGACTGAGCTAGACGGGCTACATTAACTACATCTATACTATTAATTAACAAGCCTTAGTGTGGCCTTACAATAAGTAAGACATAGGTTGAAATTATGGTATGATTATGGTTACAATATATATTTGAAATTATTAAAGAACCTACAATTGCTTTTAACTTTACAATCTTGGTATTGCCTATTTGATTTGATGCTTTCTTCAACACCTCCACTTTTCAGGAAGAAAGTAGTAATATGGTGCAACAAGATGAAGTCTGATTCAGTATCACTTTGTACAAACGTAACAATCCAGCATTAAATTCATCTCTGGAAGAGAATGAAGTTTATCATTATCAAGCACCTCAAGCACAAGATTATATTTCATAGAAGAATGTGATACTCTTTTTTTTATTATTGAATTTAGAAACCAAACAAATAATAGCTTGTTGCCTGTTCTTTCAAAAACTAGTAGTTGTGGAAAAAATGGACAGACCAAAAAAATGGCTCAACACCTTCCTCATGACATTCTTCATCACATTTTTACGAGCTATGCATCACTTGATCAATATTTAAATGGTCTCATGCTTGTTTGTAGCCATTGGTATGAAACAACAAAATACGAAAGGTTTTGGTTAGTAACTTTGGACAAACTTCTCTGCACTGAAATTCAAGCTATAAAAGATCCTCGACAATTCGGAGGAGAACAAGTGCAACATTTCCCATTCAATGAACATGTTGAGAGGGTGTTGGCCATAACTTTCGAGGCCATCGGTAGAGAAAGAGAAAGATATCTCAAGAAATTGCTGAATAGAAGGCAACATTTAATTATCGACATGAAACCATTCAAAAAGAGGAAAGAGCAAAATAGAGATATTTATGGAGAAACATTCAAGTGGAGAACTGTTCAGTTCATCAGAGAAAAAAGAAGGAGAATTATGGCTTTGGAAATGGTGATAATGGCAATGGAATTTGAGAGTGATGTTTTGAATGAGCAATTATTCGAAGCAAAGTGGAATGAAATTATTGAATTTATTCGTGAAAATGGAATTTATGATTTGAAAACTGTCTCAAATTTGAGAATTTTACAATCATCTACAACTATTTTTCATATTCTACTGAAACAATGGAAGATACATTTTAAAAATCAATTTGTAGATTCTAAATGTCTTGAGAAATTTATTCATTTCTTCCTTTGTGAATGTAATTTAAATATTTCTCCCTATGTAGATCTATTGGTTAGTATGGAAATGAATATTCAACGATTAAACAATAAGGTATTCATCAAAAAGCTAACTAATGAGGTGAAATCTAGTAGAAAAACAGGAGTACCACCAAAGACATTATTGTTATTGATTCAAAATTGTAACATGTACCGACAAGATGAAGCGCAATTTATAAGAATATTTATTGAAATGTTGAAAAACAAAAAACATTTTCATGATCAAATGGTTAATCCATATCTTAATCAGTATTTAGGATCGGTTGTCCCTAGTATTTTCTGCATAGAACTATATTTAAAGGATTTGAATATCACTCAGTGCAAAGATTATAAGCATTACAATATGGTAAATTCTATCTGTAGAGACATAGAGTATGTATATAGTGAGGAAGTTGTGAAAATTATACAGAGAGCTCATTCTGAGTTTGGACTAGGTCTAAATATTCCACTTCCTGAAAGCTTAGTTCATGAAAAAAACAAATTGCCACTTCTTAAATTCCTGATTGAAAATGGTTCAGATGTAAATTCACCTCCTCCAGGAACACTTTATTGCTATGGATATACTTTGATTCAATATATTCGACAATGTAGATCAGGTAGTTCAACAAGTGATGAAATAATTTATCTAGTCGAACACGGTGCTGTTCTCCCAGAGGATTCTAATAGTTACGGCATAAGAGTAGATAATGTATTTGATGCATATTTTGATAGAGAAGAAAAGTATTTACCAACCTTAAAGTTTCTTGTTGAAAAATTTGGAAAGAGATTAACAAGTGGAACTGAGTGGTTGATGAATATTCACAGAACGCGGAGTAATGGCTCAACAATTGAAGGATTTTGTCAAGTTTTAATGTATTATGAGAGTTTGGATGTTTTACGTGATTTACTTAATAAGGGAGGTTTTCTTCTACTTGTGAAAATCTACTGTTTTTGGGATGAATATTATGCAAGGGAATCAGATGTTGGGAAAAAGAAAGAGTTAAGGGAATTCCTTAAAAGTAAGCTTGACATTGTAATTGATGATACTCTTATAGAAGTTTGTATTGAGGATTCCAAAGAAATCAATGAAGAAAATGGTTTCTATTTTCCAAACGATGACGAATTTTAATAATATTTTCAAATAGCATTCATTACAATGAAACTCTAATCGAACAAAAACATAGATGAGCACGTACAAATTCAATTTTCTCCTCAAAAGAATCAAAAAAAATGCAAACACACCAATTCACCACCGTTTTGACCCGATCACAAGTGCAACAATGTCTAACCTATGAAGATGCCATGCTTGCTAATAAGAATTTATTCATTTCCGATCTGAATAAACATTTAATTCCAATGCGAACTGTCATGGAAATTTCAAATCATGGACCAACTTTGTTCATGCCATGTTATTTGAAAATGTCAAGCCATGATGACGATCAGCACCATTTGGGATTAAAAATTGTATCAGTGAGAAGTAATAATCCTGTTAAATATTCATTAGATTCTGTGAATGGAACAATTTCCTTGTTGAATCATGAAAATGGGTCTCTAATTTGTTTGATGCATGCCAATGATATTACTGGAGTGAGAACTGCTTGTGGAAGTGCTCTTGCAGTTGAAAAATTATTAAACTCATATTCTGGATTCAGTTCAACAGTTGAAAGAATCTATGAAAATTTAGGAATTATGGGATGTGGAACTCAGGGGAAATGTCACATGTTTGCCATGCTCAGAATTGCAAAGAATGTTAAAAGAGTAATCTTGTGGAACCAGACAGAAGAAAGAGGAAGAAATTTAGTTAGAGAACTAGTGGAGAATTTCAAAGCTTCAGAAGATTTACCTTTCAAATTTGTGGCAAGTGAAAGTTCTCAACCTTTGGAAGATTCACATTCGACAAGAATTATTGAAATATCTTTCAATTCAAATGCCAACCAAGTTTCTAACCAATCAGATATTATCTGTTGTTGTACCAATTCTTCAAAGCCATTCTTTGAAACAAATCAAGTAAGAGATGGTACAATTATTACATGTATCGGATCTTATAAGCCATTCATGCAAGAAGTTGAAAGCCAACTGGTTACCAAAAGCAAGGTAATTGCTGATTTGAAAGAGGCAGTATTGGAAGAATCAGGTGATTTGATAATTCCACTGCAAGAAAACTTAATTTCACACGATCATATTCAATGTGAATTGAGTCAACTGATACAATTCACCTCAGAACAAGTGAATGAAAAATTCCAAATTGGAAAGGATATTATAATTTATAAGAGTGTAGGATTTGCTGCTCAAGATTTAGCAGTAGCTCACCAAATTTATCAACGAGCACTCTCTCTCAAAGTTGGTCTTTCCATTAATCTAAACGAATAAAACTCCAGTAAATTTACACGTGTAGTAAACCTTTTGATGCAACCTTGTTTATCAAATGTAGTGTGTTTAAAGCTATCATTTAAAGCTAACTCATTCCTCTAGAAATCACGCGTGATTTCTGGGAATTGAACACACGCATGGTGGTAAGACTGTGCTATGGCACCCTTATCAAAATAACAAAATCTATTTTCATGCAACACTTGTTGGGTGCAGGAAAGGAGTCGAGAGAAGGATGCAGTGTTGCACTCTAAAAAATCAATAAAGAAGTGTCAATTCTATTAGAAAACGAAAATAAAACAAAATGAAAAAAACAACCACTTTCAATTACAGCTCTTCACAAACAAGCACCTCTTCCGGTGTTGGAGTTAACATGAATTTATCAGAATTTGGTAAATTATTAGGTGGCCAACAACCAACCCAACCAAATTATCAGCAACCACAACCAGTTCAACCAATTTATCAACAACCAAATTACCAACAACCACCACAATCGTATCAATACCCACCACAACAATATCAACAACCAAATTATCAGCAACCACAACCATATCAACCAGTTCAGCAACCAAATTATCAACAACCAGGATATCAATATCCACCACAACAATATCAGCAACCAAATTATCAGCAACCACAACCATATCAACCAGTTCAGCCATATCAGCAACCAATTTATCAACCAACTTATCAGCAACCACCAGTTCAGCCAACTCAACCAAAAAAGCCAACTAAAGCTCCAACTCAACAACCAAAAACGTCAACTCAACCAAATTATCAGCAACCACCAGTTCAACCATATCAACAACCAATTTATCAACAGCCAACTGCATTTACACCACAAGTCAGTAGTACCAGTGTTTTAGGTAAGCAAATGATTGATGCATGTAAGAAGAATGCATACACCAGTGACAAATTAAAGACAATTACCACTTATGCTTCATCACAATGTTGTCCAATCAGCGTTTCTGAGCTCAACACCATTTTGAAAATGTTCTCATATGTTTCTGACAAGTTGCAAGCATTGTCAATTTTGAGTAGCTCAAATAATATTGGACCAATGACCACTGCTCAAGCAGCTGAAATAATGAAATCTGTTTCCTATGTCAGTGATAGAATGAAAATATTGGAATATATTGTGACCAGTATTTATGACAGAAAGCAATCAACTGAAACAATTACCAAAATGTTTTCCTATTCATCAGATCAACAAAAAGCCAGAGAGTTATTGTTAAGTAAATAAATTGTTAAAAGTTACTCGCAATCCCCTTAATGATTATTAAGGTAGTATTTTTACAAGTAATGTAGCCCGTCTAGCTCAGTCGGTAGAGCGCAAGGCTCTTAACCTTGTGGTCGTGGGTTCGACCCCCACGGTGGGCGATTTCATATTTTAGTTTCGCTTTTTGTTCTCTTTTATTTATTTTTGTTCTGATATGAAGAAGTATCTACAAATAACTCATTTCTTTTTATTATTTCAAAAACTATTTAATTAAAAAATATTTGAAATTAAAAAACATTAGTCTGACTCCCAGATTTCACTCTCTGATAGCTCATGCTCAGTTCTGCAATCTGACCATCCTACAGTGTGAAGGCTATGATTTGCTCAGTTATCCTGCCTCAACCGGTTCACCTTTCATTAGGACCCTAGTTTCTCCTTATTCATGGGGAGATACTATGGTCACACCGCTATTGGTCAGACAGAACATCGTCACCATATTGCTAACAAAGGAATGAGTCTGAAGAACCATCCCTTTGCCTGACGCTGTGGCAGAGAACCATAACAGCTACCTCCCTACAGTAGCCCAGCTTATCTATTGGGAACGATCAGTCGTTAGTTGAATGGATGGATTAAAAAATAATTACAAGCATTTGGTTTTTAAAAATAAACAATATTAATTTGAACAATCACACAGATTGAGTTTGAGGAATATTGCAAGTAACAGTGAATACTAATATTAAGAAATAAAATAAGTTTACTATTTTTGATCTAACAATGATTGTATGGTTTGTCTCCTCTTAGAAAACATTTCCTTAATCTCTTGTATTTGCTTTTGTTCTTCTTCATCCATATTATTCAATTGTCTCTTCAATTCATCTACATTGAGGGCAGAATACAACTTTTTAAGTTGTTCCATTTCCTCATTATTTACTACTTTTGGTGTGTTATTTTCAACTTTTTTAGGTTGATGTTTCACCATAGTTCCACAATCATCATCATCATCACTGTCATCACTGTCAGTGCCACTATCAGATGAAGAATCATCCTTCTTCACTGGTTTCTTTGTTATTTTTGTTGTTCCTGTTTGATTATTTGTAGGCTTGTGTTGGACTAATGTGTCATATCCTTCATCAGAGTCAGAATCACTGTCACCAGAACTATCCGTATCAGTTTCTTCAGTATCACTTCCATTGTTATCATCATTATCTTCGGCCTTTTTCTTGAAATAATTAAATCTTCCTCCTGCTTCAGCAAATATTTGATTCATCTTTTCAATTAATTCTTGTAAAATTTTAGTTGATTTGGCTCGTTGAATAAATTTGTGTTTAAGAAGATTTTTAGATGATGGTCTTTCAGCTGGATCTCTTACTAAACAATAAGCAACAAAATCTCTAAATTCTTCAGACCATTTTTCAGGGTTTGAAAGTGTTGGTGGAGGTCTGTTTGGAATCATGAAAATTGCACGCATTGGATGAATTCCATGAAGAGGTGGCTTTCCTTCAGCCATTTCAATGGCAGTAATACCCAGTGACCAAACATCAGCAGTTCCGTCATATTCAGTTTCTTGAATTACTTCAGGTGCCATCCACTGTTATAATAATAATAATAACAACACGTTAATATTATTTAATGAAGGTAATAATGTTAAATATAAAACAGTTAAAATCATTAAAATACTTACATAAGGAGTACCTATCACTGTTCTTCTCTTGGAAATTGTATTATTTAATTGTGCACTAACACCCTAAAGAAGAAAATCGGATCAAGTTGTAAATACAATGTATACTTACGAAATCAGCTAGTTTTACATCTCCTTCATCAGTGAGAAGAATGTTTCCTGCCTTTATATCACGGTGAATCTTCTTTTGAGAGTGTAAATAAACAAGACCTTTCAATGCTGATGAACAAATAGCAGCAATTTGTGGTTCAGTCAACATTGGTCCAAGAACTGTAAGTAAATCCTGCACGGAACCTCCTCCACAATATTCAATAGCAATTTGGAGTTCTTGATCTTGTTTGTATGCTCCATAATAATTTACAATATATGGTGATTCACAAGCCTTTAAAATGTTAATTTCCTTCTCAACTTCGGCAATATCATTTTCAACTGGTACACATTTCAATGCATAAATATGACCATCGTTTTTATTCATCACTTTCCAAACAACACCATATGAACTAAGTATCATCATAGTAAAAAAATATTAATTTATAATAATACAACATTGTTTATATTATTAATAATCTAATGAAAGAGATCTCTTACCCTTCTCCCAACAACTCTAATCTTTGATACACAGTGTTGGTATCAACTCCCGTTACATATAATGAAGACATTTTTTCTATTATTGTTCTCTCTTTTCATTTTATCTAAAGGATAAGAAGACAAATGATGATGAGCCAATCAGAAGTTTTCTCGCAGGAGAGCATCACCCACTCTGTTTATTAAATAGATTAACCACTGTCCGTAAAGGGTGATGTTGTGATTGAGGGATTATCAAACGGATACTTTGCAATGTGATAAATAGGCATTCGAATGACTTTTTTGCTGTGATGTTTTGTAGCATCCCAAAATAATATCAGGAAGTTGAATAAATATTTAATAGTGAACTGATTAGCAAGCAATTTTTAATTCTAACATGATGTGCTAAGAGAAGTGCATTGAAACTCATAAAAAGATCAAATCATCTTATAAATTTCTTCTTTGAAGGTGGATTGTTTTAATAATAAAATAACGCAATTAATATTAATAAATAAAAATGAGCAGCAACATTGGAATACCTATCAAGCTTTTACATGAAGCCGAATCACATATAATATCACTGGAAACAAAATCGGGTGAACTCTACAGAGGAAAACTTATTGAAGCCGAAGATAGTATGAATGTACAACTTGTGGATGTTACTGTAACACATAGAAATGGCCAACAATCTGCCATGAATACTGTATATATTAGAGGAAGTAAAATTAGATACTTTGTTTTGCCGGATATTCTTCAAAAAGCACCAATGTTTAAAGTTGTTGATTCAACTGTAAAAGGTCAAGGAAGAGGATATGGTTCTCAAACTAAAGTACATAGAGGTTCAGGACTTGGACTCGGATATGGTGTCGGTAGAGGAAGAGTTACAGCTCGAGGAGGTGGACGAGGTGGATCATCTAAATAATTTCATCATTATATTTTACAATCATCATTATCATCAATTTATTTATTCTTCAATGTCTGCTCTCTAGATCAATGTGTATTAATAATAAATCATCACATCAACAACTAGTTCTCAAATAATGGATGAATAGTAATAATTTATTGATCATTTAGCTGGCTTTCTTGCAGTATTAGGAAGACTCTTCTTATTCTTCTCTTCATTCATTCTGTCAATTTCTTTCTTCTTTTCCTCTTCAAGAGTTTGTTCCTTCAAAGCAATAATCTGCTTTTGATTTTCAACAAAGCTCTCTTTCATGGATGTGGCTAATGTTTGAAGCTTTTGCTCTGTTATTTCATTAACAAGCTTTTCAAAGGATTTTGATCTTTCAGCTCTTTTCTCTTTGATTTGGGCAATAAGCTTTTCATTTTCTTCCTTCTCTTTTGCTTCTCTGTCTTTTCTATCAGAAGGTGATTCTTCTCGTTTTTCAATCTTGAGCTCGGCTCTAGGGGAATGCTCTTTTTGAGAAAGAATACGAGCAAGATTTTGCTTAATGTACTTTTCTCTTGCTGCTTTTCCCTTATCGGCATGTTGAGCAGTTGTAGTTTCCCACTCTTCTGTCATTTGGTCAATCTTTTGCTTTTTAAGGTTGACTTCCTGGAAAATAATATTAGGTGTTGTGGAAAACATGTCCATAGAGTAGAATAAAGTACTTGCTGAGCTATTTTCACATCCTTCCACGTATTGACTTGCGAGTAGGACTGGTTTGTCTTGTTTGGTTGGTATCTTGGGAGGCTCCTTTTTGGCTTTTTGAGTTGTTGCTGCAGGTTTCTTTGCTGATGCTGGTTTTTTAGCATCCTTTTTGGCAATCTTAGTATCAACAACTACTGGTCTTTCATCTTCGAGCTTGAGATCAGTGAGTGAAGTGTTATTTGCCCTTTCTTTCAAATATTTTTGAAATTCAATCCCAGCATTCTCAAGTCTGCTCTCAAGATATCTCAACGATGTATCTTCATCTATTGCACAGACAAGTAAATATCCAATTGCTAATGTTTTAGTACTTGGAAACACTACCAAGTTGGAGACTACAATCTCACTTTCATTATCAAATGTTTGGAATTCCAACAAAGATGTTGTACTATCATTTTCAACTTTAAATACAGACAGCTTAATAGGAATACTCTCACTAAGGAGGAGCCTAAAGCCCAAGTTGGCCTTCTCACCAGAATCAACTCTATACCTAAATAACTCTCGTTCCTGATTTGTGAAATATCTTCCCTGAAGTGGTAAAGCTTGTAAAGAGAGTGACTTGGCTACATCTAAATCGAAAACATCATTCTCTGATATTGTTTCTAAGGAGTAAGTGGTTGCTTCTAGATCTCTGTTAGGGCAAGCATAGCAGATTAGAGAATATTGCTGAGGACTTGGGAACAGTTTCACAGGGAAGATTCTACCATTGATTGATTTCACAACAGCTGTAGTCTCATTGTTAACAAGCATTAGATGAGTGAAGGGAAGAATGGAGATATCATCCACCAGTAATCGAGCACTAAATACTCCTTCCTTATCAATTATTAATTGGTGGCTAGAAAGGTTTTGATAAATAAAAATAGTACATTATTCAATACTTACATGCTCCAAACTTTCCACTCGTTATTTTTGTGAGTCGGAGATGATAAGGCACCAGTTCTTTGTATGGATTGACTGAGTTTTGTTGTATAAATATCTTCTTGTTTACCAAAAGTTAATGGCTTTTCGCTAATAAATTCGACATATTGATTCTCAATATTCGTAAATCTTATTTCGAAAATGTCAAAATCATCTTTACATGGAAGAGTTACAGGGAGGATGCTATCAAACCCAGAAATTGTAAAGTCATAAATTAGTTTGCTAGGAGTTAGTTTCTTCCAATTACTGGCCTTTTGAATAGACACTTTTGGCTTTACTTCATCCTTGATTCCCATTACCCGTACGAATAACCTAGATGTTTCTGTTACATAGAAAACAATTGGGCTAGTGGTGGTCACATGTTTTCCAAGGAAGGCAACTGTTTTAAATTGTGTAATTTCATGTGCAACATATACGCAGTCAAAGTAGTCTTGCAGTTCTTCCAAGTCAATCCAAAAATCTTTCATTCTTTTTTCAATTCTTCTATCTTGATAACAGAATCCAATTTCAATTTCAAAATCTGCTGTCCAAATAGAAGAATTCTTGTAAGAGTATTTTCCACCCCAAGCAACATCATTTGAAATAATTCTTAGTAAAGTATGACCTTTGAATACAGAAATATCCTCAATTCTGAATAAATTATCTTTTTTAAGTCCTTGTGATTCTATATCTACATCTTTTTTACATTTTAAAAACATTAGTTTTCTCTTAGTTTGATCGCAATCCATTGGTGCCCTACAAAGATATTTAACTAAACTGAAGGTAGATTTCCATTCCTTGTGTGATTGAAGGGAAAGTGTCAGAGGAGAGATTACATCTAGAATACTTTCACATGAAACTGGTTGCATGGAAAAGTCAGAAAATAGGCAAGAGAAGCACCACAGAGGATCTGTAAATGCCAAATGTTCTTCTCCATTTGAAAGAGCAATAATTCCTTTCAAAATTATTGAAGGCCAGAATTCATCATAGGGAGAAATTGGAAACATTATTTTACCATTTGCATCATGTGGGAGCTTATCATCTACTATTACAATTCTTTCTTTTCCTTTGTAACGAAGTTTAATGTAGTATCTTCCCCATGGTGAGATATCAGGTAATACATCACTACCTGGTCGTTTTGGCCATATTCTTTCCCAAAGATAGGATCCAAAAGGAATCATTTCTTTGCATTCCTCAATTTGGTAAAGAGCTGAAACGAATGCCTTGGTCCACCCTCCTTTGTTAGAAATGTCAAGAACTTTGGTGTATTTTTCAAAGTCTTCCACAACAATTTCTTCTTCATCACAATCCAAAGTCAATTCTTGTTGAACAGGAACTGGTTCCTTTTCTTCAACTTTTTTAGTTTTTGATTTAGTTTCGGGAACTGAAGATTTTGGCGGTTCTTTTGCTTTTATCCTCTCGTAGTAAGGATGGGCTGGGAAGAGATCTCTAGATATCCTTGGTTCCCATTTTGATTTGATTGATTTCCATTCCTTGACTTGAGAAGAAAATTCCGAACATTTTTCGTTGAACACTATTTCACTAGAATCCTTTGCAATAACATCTTTAAATGCATCCTCTGTTGTAGACCCTTTTTTCTTACTATTTGATGGAGGTCTCTTATTTGTTTGAGCAGATACTTCTTCAGGATCTCCCAATAATTGTTTATCCCTCTCCATTAATTGTTTTAAAACTTCCTCATTCCACTCTGGAAATACTTTTTCCTCATATTCACTACTGGAGTATATCGTATCGGAGAGAAGAGTGATCTCAACTTTGTCATTCTTTTTCCCTCCTTTGGATGGTGCTTTCTTTGAGAGTGAGGGTGATTTCGACATTTTTTTATAATCTTATTTAAAAAAAATCGTAAAGCGTTTATAATTTTAGGCGCCAAAAAAACTTTCTTCATTTGATGCCCCATAGATGCTTTGTTTTTATTTTATATTAACAATGTGAATATTGGAATGGAAGAAATGCTTTCTTAGCTGCAAGATGCTTGTGGTTTTACATTATCATAGCGGTTATGTTGTATGTGGATTCGGCTTGAGTCACAGTTCAAACCTCTGCTGCCCTCGTTGTCTATTCTCTTCTCACCCTTCCTATTTTGATAAACACAAGGCTAAACGATTACAGAGATTTTACATTACCCGAATACGAACAGATGCATAATGGTACCATTTCAGTTCATGATTGTTTATTCTTTCACATTAAAAAATGTCTGCAACAATAACATCAGCAGGCAATCATTCCCTTCAGATCACCATTCCCTCCTATCAGGTGAGGAATGATTATATAGTCTATCAACTTGTCCTCTCTCTATTCAATTCTACAACTTTAGCCGTAACAAAAGAAATAACATGCAAGAAACGATATTCCGAGCTCAGAGATTTTCATACCGATGTTGTTTGCTCTCTTTTACCAAAAGATAAACAAGCAATTCTCAAGTTTCCTGCAAAAATTATGTTCGGAAATATGAAGAAGGAAACTATAGAGAAGAGACTAATGCTTCTCGAACAATACTTTTCATCATTATTGTCTGTTTTAAATTGGGATGCAGATAAATATTCAGAGTTGAGAAATGCTATCGTAAAATTATTCGAATCTACTGGGACGCCCTATGTGAGCAAACAAACAAATAGTTTGATGGATAATTCTTTTGAAGAAAAATGTTATAAGGAATTAACTCATCTTCAATTATTGTTAAATGATTCCGAGTGTTATTGGCTTCCTTTTTGTTCACCTTTTAAATATGCTAGGTCAACTATGAGTGTAACAACAAACATTTGTAAATTAGAACAACAAGCTGAAAAGGTGATACAGAAACTTTACAGTGCAATGGATGAAAAAAGCCTTCTTTTAAAAGCTCAGAAATTTGTAACTAATTTTGTGAGCAAAATGCATGAACTGACACTTAGCACTGCAACTCTCTTCAAGGTTCTACTCAATATGGAAGAAGCACAGGATCAGGAAAATTGCATTAATGACATAATTAATCAAGGAATACAACATTTGGAGGAAGCAACCAGAATGAAGAATGTGTTGAATAGAGATTATTTTGAACCAATGTGGAAACAAATTACAAAGGGAGATCTCAGCAAGGAAATCGTAATGGATTTTTATTTAACTTTGGTATTGCTTGGAGTAAATCCAAAATATAGATCGAGCGATGTTCTACTTGCGGCCATTGATTTAGATGAAGAATTTTCAAAGGAAGCATTAGAATATAACAATAATTTCATGAATAGACAAGCTGGATTTGAGGATGAATTTAGCTATCTCAGTTTTGCACTTGATACTGATTCACAATCTACCTATGATGAACCTGCCAGCAAATATCATCAAGTGGTTTCGAATATTTGGAATCAACTCGATATTAGAGTGGAAACAAGTTCGCTAGACAAGTTAAAAGACAGATTCGAAATAGCAACAGAGGAATGTGAGAAAAAGACTTCTTTTTACATTGGATTATCACAAGCTCTCATCAAGGTATCAAAAACCATGTTGGAAATGAGAGGGAAATTATCACAGACAGCTCTTCTTAATGTAATTCCTGAAATCAAATCAAGTTTAGAGGAAGTGCAAATAGCTCTTATTAGAATCCAGAAAAAGTGTGATGGATTTATTGAGCAACAAGATTTACGAAGTAATGGCAAGTAAAAACTCCGATTTTCATTATGATAAAAAATGAAAGGTGGCAATCTCTCAGTATCTAAATTGGATAATGACAGATACACTCAGCCACCAACAACACGATCACAACACACCATCTATTCAAGATCATCAACTCTTTTCATCATCATTCTAATAATTATTTTATTAATTTCTTCCTTCTCGAGTCTATTCGTTCTCTCTCAATCGAACTATTGTAAAGATAAAACCTATCGATTCATCAGTGTTGTTCCTGATGAAGGTGATGCAACCAATTCATTCAGTGGTGATAAATTAAAAACCTCCATCTCTATTGGCATTGATTATTTACGGGCTCAGGGAATTTTACCAACAGGAGTTTCCATTGAAAATGTTTTTGTTGTTACAAAGAATGATTTATCGGGTGCTATTGAAAAGATGAGGAATTTAATTATGGTCAATGGAACAAAGGATGAAAGATATGTGGGAATTATTGGAGCGTAAGTTTTTAAAGATGATTAATATTGATGATTATTAATGATGAATTTGTAATCGGAATTAAATGATTATATTCATTGATAATGATAACATCATGTGGAGAATAGTTACTACAGCTATGAATCTTTGACGATTGCTTATGAAATTGCCTACGAATATCAAATTCCAATGATTTCGTATGGTTCTTCTACGTCTGTACTTTCGTATAACAGATGGTTTTATAGAGTGTAAGTTTTAGGAAGAATCAGAGATTATAATTGATTAATAGTATTCCATCTTCGTTAGCCATGACATCTGCAATGGTGGAATTTTTATATTCTTTGGAGTGGTCAACTATTTCAGTTTTGGCATCAAATGAGGTTTATGGAGTTGATTGTGCAAGGAATATTCAAGCAACAGCTAAAGAAATTGGTATGACCATTGATAATGTATATTATTTCAAGGTTGGTGATCACCAAGAATTAGCAGATCGAGTTACAAAAATCAAAGAATCTGGAACCAAGGTGATTGTGACAATTATGACTTCAGATACTGATGCCACTTTTCTATTGGGAAAAATTAAGGAAATGCAACTCAACACTGAGGGATATATTTGGATGTTTGATGAAACTTTTGCCTATCAGCCTGGTATTTCTGCAAAGAATGTTTCACTCACATCTGATTCACAGGGAATGTTCTTTGTGGAATTGAATTCTGGGTTGTGGTCTAGTGATTTGTACTTTGTTGGAAAGTTTATGCAACAATATAATTATTCGAGTGTGGAAGAGACCTATTCACAAATTCAAGCTTTTGATGTAAGTATTATTAATGAAAATATAGAGTGATGTTAACGAATTACAGAGATTTGCATTCGACTCTGCTTTGAGTTTTGGTTATACTATTCGTGATATGTGTCAAAGTGGATTGGATCCAACTCATGGTGTTGCGATGGTTTCCTCTATTGATCAAGTATCATTTATTGGAGCTAGTGGAAAAGTTTCGTTTGACTCTTATGGAGATCGTTTGGGAGTTTATTATTCTGTAAATAATGTGGATGGAAACGAGGCCACCATTGTTGCTAAATGGAGCCAACGTGAATCTATAGTTTGGGACGAATTTTTCTATGTAAATAGAACTCTCAGAGTGCCTTGGGGTAAAATCACAAATGTTCAAATCTTTTTGAATTCACCCCTTACAGGAAACAGATGGTTTTCAATTCCATCAGTCAATCAGGTACCACCAGAACGTCACAGTCATACCATGTCTCTAGGAATTACAACAAATAGACTATATTTATTTGGAGGTAATTCTCAATCTAAACTTAATTTTGACATGTATTCTGATTTGTGGAAGTATGATTTTATCAGTGGACAATGGTCTAAAATGGAGGCTCTCGATGGATACTCTCCAAAGGGTAGAGAGGGCCACATAATGTGGACTGTTCAAGCTGGTGTCTATAGCACGGATGAAAGAATCATTATATTTGGAGGAAAGTCAGGTTCTTACACAGATGACATGCTCGAATATTCTACTCTCAGATCTCAGTGGAGAACAATTTCTCCAAATTCATACAAGCCATTTGCGAGATACTCAGCCAAGATTGCTCAGTACAAAAACAAAGTCTACATGTTTGGAGGTTTGACCTATAATGGTGTAAGAGATGATATGTGGATATGGAATAATGAGAATTATCAATGGAGTAAGGTTAACCAGACATCCTCGGCTGTTTGGCCTTATGGTAGATATTCTCACTGTATGTCTGTTTATACATACAATGGAAATCCGTATATTTTACTTTTTGGAGGAAAAGGTCCAGCTGGTGAACCTTTATCTGACATGTGGCGTTTTGACATGACTCAAGAAACTTGGGCTCAAATAAGTCAAACAGGAGATGTTCAAGGAGCTGTGTTTGATTCTACATGTGTAGCCACTGATAAGTATTTATATGTATTACATGGAAAGACTGTAAAAGGAAGTCAACAAATTATGTTCAAGAAGGTAATGAGAGCTGACTTGCCGTTCACACAAACATCAGTCAAATGGAAAGTGACAGAGTCCAATCTCAGCGATCCTAGGTCAAATGTTGCTTCTGTTTTCTTTTCCAATTATATTATTTGGTTTGGTGGTCTAGGTCTAGATTATGACTTTAATGATTTTTATTCATTGAATGTCATTAATCAAAAGATTGTTAAAGTGAATAAGAACTTTTTTGCTCCTAGCCCTGTAGTAGCTCACACCATGTCTACCTTAGGTGCATCCCTTTACTTATTTGGAGGATATATTGGTGATGACATTCCTTCCAATCTACTCTACAAATATTCTATTGCATCCGAAACGTGGTCTATTGTCGATACTCAAACTAAACCATCACAAAGATCATATCACACCCAAGTGACACTTGGTGATCGTATTTGGGTGTTCGGTGGTATTGAGTCTTCATCAAAAGTTTATTCTGATATTTGGACCTTTTCTGCCAGTGCTGATTCATGGACTCTTGTTGAGCCTAGAACATCTGCAGTACCTATAGCAAGATATAAGCATGCAATGACAAGAAATGAAACCCATTTGTTTGTAATTGGTGGTAGAACTCAAACAACTCAATTGACAGATATTTGGGCTTTTGATACAGAAACGAAAACTTGGTCGAAATTCAAGCAAATTATTACCTACGCCTATACAATAGATTGCTCTGCAAAATGGTTCTCTGCAGAAGAAACAGGATCATACCCTGCTATTTTACTATTTGGTTGTCATGATTTTTCAGGTACGCCAACAGCTAATTATTACAAGGTTGAGATAACTGACGTTAACAATGACCAGTTCAGGCTATCATACAGTACATTGTTTAGAGAAATAGAACCTAGGTCAGGGTTGGTAGCTGTCAAGTTATCAGGATTCAAATCAATGATATTTGGAGGTAGAATGGATCAAGAATTGTTTAATACCTTATTGCTTGTTGAGGGATCTACTGGAAACACAAGTGTGATTCTTCCTCCATTGACTGAGCATGAACTACCTTCTGCTAGAGCCTACCTTTCCTATTCATTTATTGGAAATTCAATTTACATATTTGGTGGTGTTGGTGCACCAGAAGGAACTGAATTCATTTTACCATCTCTTAGAAATGGTGACATGTGGAAATATAATATTGGCAATGTTTGTAAAGGCAAAGATTCTACCAATTGTTACAAATGTGGACCAGGAACTTATGAAACCTATGGAATGTGCGAATTTTGTCAGCCAGGGTCATATAATGAGCAGTATGGAGCCATTGATTCATGTACAGCATGTCCAAAAGGATTTTACAGTGATGTATATGGAGCAAATCATGCTCAGTTTTGCCTTCCTTGTGAGTATGGTACCTATTCTGATAAGCCAGGAAGTACCTATTGCTTACCTTGTCCAGATGGAGCTGTTTGTCAACTTGGTGCTATCCAACCAGTCTATAACTATACAAAGATTGCTTACAGAAAATCAAATCAACCAGATGCCTACTTTTCCAAAGAAGTGGAGAACAGTAATGCTATCAAAATTGAAGCTGGTATTATTGCATCAATTGCTGGCTCTCTTATTCTGATAGTGTTTTTCTGTTGGAAAGTTTTTAATATTCCAAAAGAAAACTGGATCAAGAGAATGGACTTTTTCTTTACTGAGAGACACAATAGATTAATGGGTACAATGATCAAAAGAAGATCAATTGTTGGAGCTTGTTACAGTTTTATTGTTTTGGTAGCGTTCTTGGCCTACATTATTGCACTTGTTGTCCCTTACTAGTAAGTACAATTATTTCGAATATTTTATTAGAAAATTTTATTTTAGCAATTACGGAAATTATGTGGAAAACAGAAGCTTGGTTCCAAACCTTGCTTTGGATGACGAATTCAAATCAGATGCAGTGATTAGCCTAAAAATTCTAGGTTTTAACGGTCGGTGCACTGAGGGAAATCAAACAATTATTGACAAGCCAATGAAATGTCAAGAGAAGCTGTCCATATTCCTGGAATCAATTGATTATGACAATTCCACGAAAGGTAGTAATTTCGAATATGATTGTCAAATTGACGATGATGGAGCTGGTTCGAGAAGTTGTATTGTTTCTATGAGATTTACTAATTGTGCATTTGCCAAAGATAGAAAAACAGCAACTATTGGTATTAAGGTTGGTGGTAGTAATGCATTTGCCAATGGATATGAGTATCAAGTAGATTTTGCTTCTGCCTACATTGATGTTTATATGCCTGAAAAATTACCACAGAGATCAGTAATTAATGGCACAATTTACTCTGATGATAACACCTTCTTTAGAGGAACCAAAACTCCAACCCAGGTCAATTTCCAATTAATTCAAAACAGATACACAATTCCATCTAAAAATATTAAGCAAACAGGCTATGTCATTGATTTCCAAGATCAGTCACAGGGAGACGTTGTTGAATCTCTATCATTTAGTCACGAAAATGGCCTTTATTTTGTGTTGAGTTTTGAAAAGCTATCCACAACACTTGAATTAGTTCTCTCTGAGAAGAAGGTTATCTTTGTCTTTTTAACTGACATGCTTGCTTCACTTTCAGGTATTTTCTCATTGACAGCATTGACCATGTCAATAACTGAATTTTTCATTTTCCACTATAAGAGAATTAGAGCTAATTTGATTGCCTATAGAAAGAAACATGCCAGTATGGATACCAACTATTTATTGGACGAAGTAGTACTTCAGGGAACTGAATATCAAGCAATGAAGAAAAATCTCAATAGACAAGACGAAGCATTCTACGATGACATTACAATAGCCAAAATTTATCACAAGAAGGGAATGAGAAGAAATGTTGTGTACATTCCTTCCAATGCTCTAGAGGATGAAGAACTCATCGATGCTAACCAACATGAACTAGTCACTGAAAAACCACCCTCAACAGAAACCTACATGGAAATGCACGAGAATGCAGACGAATATGCACCACCAGTTTTAGCCAACAACCGATCTGTCTCAATTTTCTCCAAACGAAAGAAGAAGAATTCAAAGTCTGAACTTGCAGAACCATTCATTACCGAAGAGGAAATGGATTTGGATGATCTTGTCAATGAGCAAGACAATAATTTCTCACTCAATGACATCAAAGGACCACTCACATCTTCAACCACAGCAGTACCTTACTACAAATAAAAGACTTCAATTAGTATACTGCATCGTGCAGGTTCAATCTCAATATACTAATTGAGAATCAACTGCACTTTACAATGAGTATTTAAATTATTAATTTAGAAATTTAAAAAAAATGTCATCGTCAACCTCTGCTGTTGATGCCAAGCAAAATTCAAAGGCATCCGAAGAAGAACGACATGATCAAGTTTCCCTCGGAGAGTATTTTGTTGTGTTTACCTTTATGGCTTTCTCTCTATTGATACATTTGTACTTACCATTCCCAAGTACCTATGTTTTCAAAGCCTACTTTATTTATTTTGTTTTCCAATATGCACTGGCTAGATTCTTACCTGGTACTATAGTAAAGGGTCTGCCTTTGGAGGATGGTACTGTGTTGGAGTATAATTGTAATGGACTGCAAGCTTACTTGATTACGTTATCTTTGTTTTTGGCTGGTGGACATGTTGGTTGGTGGAAGTACTCAATTGTCTATGATCACTTGTTGGAATTTGTGGCTGTTACTAGTATTTTCCATTGGTGTTATTGGTCAATTGTTTTTATCAAAGGAAGAATGTTAAAGAAGAGAGAATATAATGATGGATTAATTAGAGAAGTTTGGTTGGGTGCTGAAAGAAATCCAAGAATTCTTGGAGTTGATTGTAAATTATTCTTTGATGGAAGACCAAGTTTACTCACATGGGTTGTTGTTGCATTCTCATATGCATCAGTTCAATATGAAAAGTATGGTGCCTTCAGTACTCCAATGCTTATTTATTTAATCTTTTCATTCTTGTACATGTTGGATTTCTTTGTAACTGAGAATCAATTCATTACTGGATTCGAAATTTATCAAGAAAGATTTGGATTTATGTTATCTTGGGGTAACTTTGTTTGGTAAGTAGTGACTATCTCAATACTCAATTGACCAAATTATTTAGGATGCCATTTGTCTGTACTGCTCAAGCTTATTATCTTATTGAGTGGAGTGAACTTCCAACATGGGGAAGCATTGCTGTTTGTCTTTTGTGGTTATTTGGTTATGTTGTTGCTAGACTTTCAAATGCTCAAAAGGATAAATTCAAGAGAGAACCAAATGCTCCATTCTTGGGTATCAAGTCAAGGTATATTGAAACTCCTGAAGGAAAGAAGGTTCTTACAAGTGGATTCTGGGCATTGTCTCGTCATCCAAATTATTTTGGTGAATTGGCAAACTCACTTTCATTCGGATTGATGTGTGGATTTGATAAGGGCATTTTCCCTTACGCTTACAGCATTTTCATTTGGACCTTGTTGTTTACAAGATACGAAAGAGACCACAGAAAGATGGCTGTCAAGTATGGTGCCTCATTTGACAAGTACTGTAAAGAAGTCAAGTACAAGATCATTCCATATTTATACTAAATTCAATCAACTTGGGTTAAATTGATTCGTAAAATATTTTTGTTGAAATTTATTGCACCATATCTCCTCACAAATGGACAAATGGTGACTTGGCTCTACTGGGATACTTCCAATTTTGTTTAAACTTTTCACCAAAGCAAATTACGTTCACTCACAAAACAAGTTCAATTCACCCAATTCATCATATTCTACTTCAGTTTCTTCACAGACCACTCTTGGCTTTGGATTCATAAAGTTTTCGTATTTTTCAATGAAAGAAAGTAGTCCGTTGATATTCGAAACCGGTTCACCCCAAAGTTTAATCTCTTGCTTATTCGTTTCCTCATATGAAATTGAATATTTCCTTCTGAAAACCATTCTCCCAGCAAATATTCTTTCATACATAAAACTTCTACTCCAACTCCTTGTTCTGCAAACATGTTGAGCAGTTAAAAATCTTTGAATAAGGTTTACAATTCCAAAGTCATCTCTCATGTTGTTGTATACATAATTCCTCACAAATACAATGCTCTTTGGATTTTGTATAAGGGCTGTTTTTACGAGATCCTTAGTTAGAATGCTTGAATTGACGTATTTGAGGGATTTTCCGTTTTGTTTGACAGCTGCCAAGGCTATTTTATAATCACTCTGTAATCTATGTGAAGCATCTCTCAAGTTTAATCCATTCAATTTAACACATTTCTTTACAAAATCCCCATTATCCCTTAGTACATCATCCCCAAATCCAAGAATGGCTAACTTTCTAATAGAACATTCAACTGCCACCTCCAAAACTTCTATTTCCTTATCCAATGATGATAAATACAAAACCTCTCCTCTCGTCTTCTTCATTATACTCTTGAACAATTCTTGATTCTTACTAAACAATTGCTTTACAATAATTGCAGTGTCATACGAGCATCGATAGAAAACACTTCGTGTTCTCTTTTTCTTCCGAAAACAATCATCAATATCTCTGAAGAATTTTACAACCTTTTCCATTCCCCAATTTTTGTATTCAACAACTTGATGTGATTCTTCTTTGAAATTGTTTTTCATTAATTGAAAATATTTGTGATGATGATAAAATTCTATCAATCCAAGTGATTGAGAATCGAGTAGGCATACAACTGGTATTGCTGACATTTTTTTTAAAGAACTTAAAGTTCATATTTCATTACAACAAGTTTACAATGAATATAATCATTCTTGGGGGCCAAAGACTTCGGAAGGACATGGTTTCCTGAACTGTTTGCATAAATGTCATACGACACGATTCCTGATACTTGTCATTTATGAAATAATCAAGAAGGCTACTGAATATTGGCCACAATTGCAAATGATTATTGCCATACTTGTATGTAATGCAACCAGAAATATCTCTCCAATAAATATGTCAATGTATTGGGAACTGAATCGAATACCAAGCTCAATTTGGCCATTTTTAGAGCCAAAGTCCTGTTTGTATTTGTACTAAATAATGGCGGGCCTCTTGCATAATTCCAAATACACATTAGCACTCTTTTAAGGTAATGAATATTCGATTCATCATTGCCCTTTTCTTTAAACGCATCATATGGAAAGATAAACAAACAACAACTTGAAAAGAATGCAACAAGAATATCAACCAACTACCACCAACAGCACTACTCAAACAAAAGACGAGAAAATCGTCAACAACACTACTAACCCACCACTTCAAAGTGCGCAATCTCCAACTTTCATTAGTACTAGTTTAAAATCTTCATCATCGGTGGAACAATCAAATAGTAGAAGAAGTTCTGTGGATTATCTGCGTGAGGTAGCTGAAGTGGGTCAACAAGATTTAAATGAAAATGCCAGCCGTCAAACTGATGCCAACACTCTTATTCAAACATTTATAGACATGGTAAACATGGAGGATGAAAATTGGAAGAAGAGGAAGAGAGACCCAAGCAATAATAGTGAAGAAGCAACTACATGCAATGTTGACCAACATGAGCATGCATGTTATGACCAGCATGCTATTTGGGATATTATACCTCAAAAGTTTGCACATGTAAAATTGCATGCACATGAATTACCTTCAACTGAGTTTTGTAAGATAATGTTTCTGTATGGATGGGCCTATTCAAAGTATTTGGTGCATACAAGAGAAATGAATGCTGGAATCACCCAAAGCAAGGTATCCTCGCCTACCTCACCAGTTCTATCGCAGGATGGGTCCAGTGACGATTCAACTTCAAATATTGTTGAGCCTCCACAAAAGAAACTAGCTCGCAATCCCAACACAAGTAAGCTGGAATAAACCTAGACCAAAAATTTTCAACAAAGTAAAACAGTTGCTGACGGACGGGATCGAACCGGCGACCAATGGCTTATTAGACCAACGCTCTACCGACTGAGCTACGCCAGCTGCACGAGTCTTACTTTACTTAATGATTCCTTATATATTATCACAATTTAACAGGTAAAAAAAAATTGAATTAATTTGAATTTATAATAAATTAATTGAAGTAAAATATTTCAGAACAGTTAACGATCGTATGGAATGACCAAAGTTTGGTATCATCTCCAGCACGTTTTTCTAGAAATATTTCTTCTTCCCTTATTAGCTGTTGTGCTCCCACTATTAAGGAATGCATAGAACCTAAATAAAACCCCAACCAATTCTCAACAGCTAGCCGTTTTCACTATTAATAAATATTCTATTATAATTTGCATAATATTTGAAAATAAAAAAACACTGTGGTAATTGCACACTCACCTCCAATTATGGGCTCAAATACCTCAATGACAAGTGCAATGGCCAAGTCCATCATTGCTGGTGAGACTAGTATTAGCACAATAATTAATAACAATGCTAATCAAGAAGAAGAACACCATCAACACTCAGATAAATCACTGAGCAAAGAATCTCAATGGAGTAAGTCTTCTCCTGCTCTCAAACCACCAAGGCCCTATCGTTCCAGTATGAAAAGGTCTTCAAGGTCCGTGCCCAATAAGATGGATGCAGAATTTCAAAAGGTCAAGCAAGATCAACAAAAACAACAAAAGCAAAAAACTACTCCCTCATCTTCGAATGATTCAAGTCCTAGCACCATTTCATCATCACCTTCATCATCTTCAAGTGCAACACCAACCACCTCAACTGTTGGTGAAGTTCAAATTCTGGAAGACCAAAATGCCAGCACTAGCAAACAAACCAATGTGAAATCAAAGAACAGACCAAATGCAATAACCTATGCAAACTTTCTGAATCATTCACATACACTCACACTAACAGATGAATCCATACAGGATAGATATTTTGATAGATATTACCCACCTCTGCCAGCAGATGTTGAGGAAAAACTCAAAGTTGTTGATAAGAAAGCACGTCCAAAAACTGCCAATGCATACGTTAAGGCAAAATCTGCGAGTAATCTGAAAATTTCTGCTCCCTCTTCTTCCTCAAACATATCCTTAATAACCATAACAGAATCCTCCTCTCCACAAAACCATGATAACAATATTAATAACAACAATAATGGTAATAACACTCCTCTAGTGGCCAAGCCAATGTCTCCAATAGTCTCACTCTACAGCAAAACCTCATCTAACAATCAAAGTGCACCAAGATCACTAGCAAGAAGCAGTTCTCATTCATTTGGCTTAACAAGCTATCCATCATCAACAACAAGAACAGTTTCCCCATCCGCCAACAATAATAACACCAGCAGCTCAACCCTTCACCCACATCATCATGCTCCTTTGCAAAGAAGTTCATCCCATTCAATTGGACTCTCACACAATAATGCTACCAAATCACCAACACATTCGCCTTCCATTTCTCCACACAATAATTCTCTCCAACCACATCATCATACCTTTCAGAGAAGCAATTCTCAATCAAGTGGCATGTTAACTCGATCCAATCTTCAGCAACAAAAATCACCAAGTAGTGCTATCCCACATATGCCTCAAACATTCCACAAATTACCAACTGAAGGAACAACAATGGTTGGATAAGTTTTGGGTGTTTATTGTTTTTCTTTTGCCTCTTTCACTCTCTTGTAAAGAATTTTGAGAGCATTTCTTGCAGTGATTGGAATGGATGATCCTGATTTGCCCAATAAGAAGCCAATAATTTCAACTGCGATGGAGAGTGTGGAACTAGCACTCTTATTTTGCTTTTGTTGGATTTGTTGGGTGATTTTCTCTTGTGTGAATTCATCTGACATTAAGGCTGCAATGTCAACTTTATCCAAAGTCAACATTCTGTAAATAGCAGCCCCTAGGAAACTAATAGGAGGAATTTTACTCTTCGATACAATCCACCAATCTTGAAAAATTAATAATCAAAATAAACAGTATAAACTTACCAGCAATACGAACACGAATAGTTCCTGAAGATAGTTCCAATGTCTCTATTAAAATATTTTCCTCCTTAATATTTCCGTATTCGAAACGAGCCTCTTCCAATGAATTAAATCCTTCCAAGGTGTATTTCAGTAAGGAGAGAATCATTCTAGTGCTAAGTGATATTTTCTCTTTCATAATAGTTGCAACGCTGCCATGGCTATAATATGGCAGAGTGAATGCTAAATGGTGAACCTTTTTAACTTTTTGCTTGTTGATTGCCTCTGGTTTTAAAATCTCATAAATTGGGACAAGATTCGATTTTTCAAATTCCTTCACCCTTTTCAAAGTCAAAATGCTTTCAGACAAATTTCCTTCTGCCTTATTACCTTTAAAGTTCAAGTATTTGATGGCAATCTTTCTAGTTTCCTTATTAAGTTGCTTTTCTTCAGCTAGAAATGTCATAGAAATCAATTCAGCTGATTGCTCCTTATCAGATTTAAGTTGTCTTGAAATTTTATAGTGGTCAATGCTTGATATTAAACTAGATTCGTTGATTTCTTGCTTTTCCACTCTTTCCATCATCTTGATTTTAATTGGATTGGACATTTTGTGGAAATCATGCTCAGATGGATCGAGCTCAACATAATCTCTGCAGTCTGTATCAAAGACATTAATCAGCACATCATTCTTATTAATAGAAAACTTTTCCTCAAGCAATAATAGGAAATCAGAATATCCACACTTATCTAACATTGACATTTTCTTTTTTGTGCCATTGAAATCAACAATGAAAACAATATTATTATTCGATGTCTTCTCAAGTGTTTTCATATAAATTGAAATTGGAGAGGAGTTAGTTCCAGTGAGGAGGAGTTCTATCTCGTTTTGAACTTTGAAAAATTGTTTTTGTAAACCGATCGAGTTGAATTGAAAAGTACTAAACTCCTCAATAGCACTTGCATGCATGATTGCAAACTCCTTTTCCTGTCTGTTAATAATCTGTGAGATACAATCAAGTACCAGAAGTGTGCTTTTCTCCTTTTGCTTTTCATCATTTTCACTCGATTGGATAACAGAAATTCGTGAAATCAAATACCTAAATACAATACCAGTAGCATAGCTAGAGAGAATGAACAGATAATGTGACCAGTAGGAACAGAACTTTGAGGCATCGATGAATAAATTTCTCTTTGTAAAGAAAGAATCATAATACACAGAGTAAAATTTTTGTGGAACTCTTTCCACAATACCTTTCAAATAGCTCAGAAAGGAAGCCTTTGTTAAATCATGTACAGAGGTGTCTATGACCATGTCCAAAAACCTTTCCATTAAATCACGTGGGAAAACCTCAAAAAATTCCTCAATACCAAACTCTTCAAAATTATTAAAAACAGAAAAGGTTATGACATATAAACGTGATAACTCGTTAGTAGTGTTCCCTAGCTCTTTTAACAACAATTCAAAAAGTATTTTAGTTCTAATAACCAGTTCAACCTTGAGCTCTTGTATGGCGTATATTCTTTGTGATTTGATACCACATTCATAACAGGCCTCTTGAAAATCTAATCCCCTCTGCATATGTTTGTAAATATTTAACATGTTCAACACTATCATAAATACTACCTCTATATTATCTCTCAAATCTAGTATGTACTCAATTTCTTCTTGACATTTCTCTCTTTTCTCTAATGAATTGTTGAGATTGAGTTGAATTTCAAGTAAATCTGAAACTATTTCCTCCAATGATAAGTGATAACAGAAAGTTAGATCAAGTACAGTGTCAGTACCAAATCTACATTTCCACAGCATGTTAACTCTTGTTTGAGTTTCAACAAAAGGTGAGGCGTATTGTGATTTGTAATATGTCAAAACTTCATTCCTGGCCATGTGGTGAACAATTTCCGTTCCTTCAATTCCATCAATTTGTTTTTCTTCATCTGGAACATCGTACAAGTTCACAAACCTATCAATATTGATAGCAGTAGAATTATTAGTGGTGGATGATCCGATCTCGACTGAACTAGATACATATGTTCGAGGAACAACATGTCGTCCATTATACAGCATTTTTTTATGATTGAATAGTTATAATTAGTTTAAATCAATGATGATGGTGAACTTCTATGCAAATGGTGGGGTTAGTATTAAAAATTTGACAATAAAGTTTGGAAATGATGGGGTTAGTATTAAAATTGGTGCAAGTTAATATTGGTGGGGCACCGAGTGATGAAAATTGTTGTTTTTTTGTGAAATGATAAGTGATGAAGTGACGAATATCGAAAAGATCCAGTGAATTTCCAAAGAACTTTGCAGAACAAACATGGGCTATGATTTCAATAATCAAAAGGTGTTGCATTTGGCAAATCAACCCACATTGCATTACAACAACTGCCTTTCGAACAAGAAGGAAGTTATTGGAAATGGAGAGGAAATTCAAGGAATGCATGAAAATGAATTATGTATCAAATAAGATTAAATTATCAAATAAATTTTCCAATCGATTCATTCTGGCATAATCCATTACAAATCTGATAGTCTTAGCAAGGTAAACCATACAATAATTGTAGAACTCCACAACAGAGGAATGTGGAGTTTTGGCTTCCTTAGTAAAATCTTAGAATAATTCTGTATTCAATTGAAACTGGTTGAATGTTGTGCATGAATGGTGTTGATGATTAAATCTTCACCTTGCACCATCTGGCAGATTAAAGTTGCAAATTAAAAATAGCATTGTTGAATATGATAGATAAAAAGAGATGATCTCGAAGAATCTTGTATTATCATAACAACAAAAAAGATCGCCAATATCCTTCTCTTTCAAAAGGAAAGATTGTTTTAATAATAATATTGAAAGGATAACAATTTAATATTTGATAGAAACATCCATCAATAACAATTTTAAAAATTTAAATTTGAAAAAAAAATGAGCAAACAAAACACCAAGAAAAAGACCGAACTTGAGAAGGTCACCTTCACAAATTCTACACCACTGGGTGAAAAGAAGGACGTTCAATCCATTGAAATGCCTGCTCAATACCATCCAGAATTTGTAGAAATGGCTTGGTACGAGTATTGGCATAAGAAGGGATACTTTACTGCTGATGCCAACGATACAACAAAGGAAACATTTACTATTGCTTTACCTCCACCAAACGTTACAGGATCTCTCCATATTGGACATGCTCTTACTGTAGCTGTTCAAGATGCCATCTGTAGATATCACAGAATGAACGGAAAGAATGTCTTATATATTCCTGGTGTTGACCATGCTGGTATTGCCACACAAGTTGTTGTAGAAAAACAATTAGCCAAGCAAGATCCTCCAGTTTCAAGACACGAAATCGGAAGAGAAAAATTCGTAGAAAAAGTCTTTGAATGGAAGGAAGAATATGGTCAAAAAATTATGAACCAACTTAAGAGAATTGGTGCTTCTTTGGATTGGACTAGAGAATGCTTCACTATGGACGAAACACTGAGCGTTGCTGTCAAGGAAGCTTTCATCAAAATGTACGAACAAGGAATTATTTATCGTAAGAATAGATTGGTAAATTGGAGTTGTGTTTTGAAATCAGCTATTAGTAACATTGAAGTCGACAGTGATGAGGTTGAAGGAAATAAGCTCTTTATTCCAGGCCATCCTGAAAATAAGAAATACGAATTTGGTAAAATGTGGTCTTTTGCTTACAAATTTGAAGATCAAGAATTTGCCAATGATGAAATTATTATTTCCACAACTCGTCCAGAAACAATGTTGGGAGACGTTGCTGTAGCTGTCCACCCAGACGATCCAAGATATAAGAAATTCCACGGAAAGACTTTGATTCACCCATTCCTTGAAAGAAAATTGGTTGTTATCACTGATAAGGAATTGGTTGATATGAATTTTGGTACTGGTGCTGTCAAAATCACTCCAGCTCACGATCCAAACGATTTTGAATGTGGTCTCAGACATAATTTGGAAATGATCTGTGTTTTCACTGATGATGGTAAGATCAATGAAAATGGTGGTGAATTCAAGGGTATGATGAGATTTGATGCTCGTTATGCTGTCATTGAAGAATTGAAGAAGAAGGGTCTCTACAGAGATGAAAAGGTCCACAAGCTCGCTCTTAAGAAGTGTTCTCGTTCAAAGGATGTTATTGAACCAATGCTCAAGCCTCAATGGTATGTCAAGATGGATGATTTGGCCAGACAAGCTTGCGAAGCTGTTCAAAATGGTACTTTGAAGATTGTTCCAGAAAGAGAAAAGACTACTTGGTTCCACTTTTTGGGTGCTGAAAACGTTCAAGATTGGTGTATCTCAAGACAATTATGGTGGGGTCACAGAATTCCAGCCTATCTTGTCAAGATTGCTGGTAAGGAACATTTGAGTGCTGATGATGAAAAATGGTGGATTGTTGCTCATGATGAACAAGAAGCTAGAGCTAAGGCTATGGAAAAGTTCAAGGATTTGGTTACTTCTGAAAGTGATATCATTTTACAACAAGACGAAGATGTTTTGGATACTTGGTTCTCATCTGGTTTGTTCCCATTCTCTCCTTTGGGTTGGCCAAATACTGAATCTGCTGATTTCAAGAGATTCTTCCCAACTCAAATGCTCGAAACTGGTTTGGATATCTTGTTCTTCTGGGTTTCTAAGATGGTTATGATGAGTTTGAGTCTTACTGGTGAACTTCCATTCACTGAAGTTTTGCTTCACGCTATGGTTAGAGATAAGGAAAATAGAAAGATGTCTAAGAGTTTGGGTAACGTTATTGATCCAATTGACGTCATTGAAGGTATTACCCTCCAAGAAATGAATGACAAGCTCAAGCAAGGTAACTTGTCAAGCAGGGAAATTGAAAAGGCTGCTCTTGGTCAAAAGAAGCAATTCCCTGAAGGTATCCCTGAATGTGGTACTGACGCTTTGAGATTCACTTTGTTGAACTATACTGCTCAAGGTCGTGACATTGCTTTGGATATTTTGCGTGTCTTTGGTTATCGTACTTTCTGTAACAAGATGTGGCAAACTACCAAGTTTGCTTTGATGAACTGGACTGATTTCAAGTCGGAAGGTATTGAAAACTATCCAACTGATCTTTCTAACTTGACTTTCAATGACAAGTGGATTCTCAGTAGATTGAACAAGACCATTAAGGCCTGTAACGCTTCATTCGAAAAGGGCAATTATGACTTTATGACATATACTCAATCTTGTTATGATTTCTGGTTGAAGGATTTGTGTGACCAATATTTGGAAATGATTAAGAATGATATCAAGTCTGAAGATTTGAACAGACGTAGAACTACTCAATTGGTTTTGTACACTTGTATTGAACAATGTTTGAGATTGTTGCACCCAACTATGCCTTTCATTACTGAAGAATTGTGGCAAAGACTTCCAGGTCACTCTGCTTTCCCATCCAACAGAGAATCCATTATGATTTGCCCATATCCTGCACCAGTTGCTGCTTGGGAAAATGATAACGTTGAAACTGAAATGAAATTCGTTATGGAAGTTGTTCACGCTATTAGATCACTTAAGGGTGCTTACAAGTTGACTCCAAAGCAAACTCCTGAAGTTTATATTATTACAAGCTCTCAAAATGATCTCTTGAAGAGTGTTAAGGCTTATATTGAAATGTTGGCCTTATCAGGAAATCTTTACTTTGATGTTGAAGTTAAGGATATTCCAGCTGGTTGTGGTGTTGAAGTTGTTAACCAATATTGCGAAATTCACATGATGCTTAAGGGACTCATTGATATTGACCAAGAAGTCAAGAAGCAAGAAAAGAATAAGGAAAAGCTTGTTAAGGTTCGTGACTCGCTCATTGAAAGAACTCAAACAGAAAAGTACAAGACCAACACTCCAGAAGAAGTTAAGAATAATGACCAAATCAAATTGGAAGGTTATAACCTTGAACTTGCCAAGATTGACGAAACCATTGAACGTTTGAAGAAAATGTAAAATCTTTTAAGTTATTAAATCAAAAAATTCATATATCTCCGTAATTACATGTATTGAATTGCAATTTGGAATTTTTGGATAACAATTAATTGTTGGAAACAATATATTTCCATTTTTATTTGACGCTCTATTTTGGTATTCGGATTCAATCAAAATGTGAAGAACAGATTGAATTTTCTACAACTCGCAATAATAGAAGCGTACAAATTTGTCCTTACATGCAGCCGAAGCGATATTAATACATTTCTCCAACATTACTTGCTTGATTAATTCAACACACAAAAAATGTCTAATTGTGAAATCATCAAATCTCTCGTATCGGAATGCCAACAAAACAACAAGGAAGAACCAACTAAGTGTGCATGGGCTGTTAAAGCTTTGGATTTGTGCACAAACAAGACAACAATAGAACATGAATTGTCTGCTATTGAAAAAAGTTTGGAAGAAGGACCAAGAGTACCACAAAAGAAGATTTGTTGCTCTTGTCCCGATATCAAAAAGATTAGAGATAGTTGTTTAATTACACACGGAGAAGAAAATGTTGAATGTAAATATTTAATTAGTGCTTATAGACTTTGTCTGAGGGATCTCGGATTTACTAGAGAGCAAGTTAAATTGTAAATAAATAATCGAGTATAAATACAACATGATTTTCAAATTTTCTGATTTATTATATACAATTAGAGTGATTATCCTGATTTGAACAGAAGAATGGCAACTTGCCCTAAGTAAAAGTAGATAAAATGTTTAGCTAAACAGATTTGAGTTTACAATAATTCGAATCAAATACTTACTTTCATGTGTGACATAACTTCCAAAGTTTCTTCCAACAATACAATGCCATGTAGGGTTATATTTCTTATCGAATTCCTTCTTTATGTGAGCAGCAATATCCTTTTCAATATTGAATTTATCCAAGGCTTGAGAGGCAACATCAACAGCTTCACGTTGCATGTTTTCTTCCATATCAGCGTTTTTAATGACAGCCTTCTTACTTTCTGATGACATCTTTGTTAGTATATTGAGTTAGTTGTTGTTGTATTTTTTTCTTTGTTGTTTGTATTGAAAATTATTGTAGTTGTCTCAGTTTAATATATTTCAGAATTGGCGCCACTTTGTAGTTGACAAATGCAAAATTACTTTCGGAAATGAGTAAAACAGATTGTTGGCGCCAAACTACTAGTCATACAAAATCAAACCTTATTCAAAATTATTAGATTCCGTAATAAAATTCGAATGTTGGTTATTATCTACAATTAAAGTTGTATTATTGAATGAGACATTTCTTCTTAACACTTCTTTCTAGTGCTTCCATTAAATCTTCTCTCTTAACGCAGACATCATTGAGACATGCCTCCTGTGTAAACTCGCTGTGAAATGGTAACATTGTTGGGCTAGGTTCTGATGTGAGATTGAATACTTTGTAAAATGAAAATCCAATATCTTTGAGTGATTGCTCAATTCTCTCTTGAGAAACGAGATGTGGACCACTTCCTAAGGAATTTAATATTACAAGGCAGGGAAATTTGTAGGTCTTTTTAAGTTCCAAACAGTATTTCAACCCATTAATCATGTATTGGAATGATTCCTCATTATCTGATCTACAAATGGAAAGTGCACTTTTAAATTTAGGTGTTTGGGGTGGATCAGCATTTAAATAATCTTTTAAGGTGTTAACTTTAATTTCCTTAATAGAAAAAGTCATGAAAAAGTCAACACACACTTCGGTACGAGTATCGACAATGTCTGAATCAGGATTAGTGCTGGGTGTGGAGCTACCTTCAATCATTGAAACAATCTTGTGTTTTTCACAACCATCGTCTGAAATCAATCCACAGTCATAATAGGTCATTATTGAGGCAACAATAGAAGATAATATTGGTCTATAACTAGCTCTCTTCTCCTTTACAGCCTTTTTAAGGAGAGAATTGTTGGCATGACAAAGACCAGCAAATAAACTTTTCATATTTCCTTTGAAATGTTCATCAATAAAGTTCTGATAATCCTTCATCCACTGATCATCCAAATTAAATATTTGTTTGATTGCCATCCTCCAAAATCTATTCAGCAAATTCGTCATCTGTTTGTTTTTGCAATAAACCAATTCCAATTTACAAGCCATTCCGATATCATTGGTCAATAGGTGCTTCCTCCAATTATCTTGAAACACATCACAAAGTAGGAAATCAACAATAGACAAATGAATATCTTCTGGCAGATCAAAGAAAGTCTTTTCCATTATTTTTTTATTGTGATGATGAACTTTGATTGTTTAGTGCGATAATAGGGATTGTGTTCATCCAACATGATCAATCTAATAACCCAAGCAACAATATCAACTAAAATTTTCGTTTCTCAAATCTTGATAGATTATGCATAATCTCTATTCATTTGGGATGATGAGGTGGCCTAACAAGTTGAACAAAACAAAGACGAACATACAGCAAACAAGTTGGAAATGATCAGAAAAGGTAAAAAAAAAACTCTTGCTGTACAGAGAGTGCACAAAGCCTTTATTTTGTCGGTTGCATCAACTTGTAAAACTTCATCATCAACATCACAACAATATTGTGTGTTCTCTCGTTCAACAAATTATTACGACCATCATTCTTTTAGAACAGTTTTAGTGGTGCTATCAATATATTCCAAACTCACCATTGAATAATTTCACTCACAAACCGCCGTTTTTTCCTTCCGTTAAATTTTTCAAATTTAATTTAATTGCAAACGGAAAAGTAATAAGAAAAGGCATTTTCTCTCTTTGATCATCTTCATCATTTTAGTAGTAATAAATATTACTTGAGAATGAGTGCCTCATCAACAACAACACCACATCTAATGTATGATGCTGTACCAGTTTTTACTCCAACTATGGAGGAGATGATGGATTTTACTGGATACATTGAACGAGTTGTGGATCCTGCCTGTATGTATGGTGGTATTTGCAAAGTAATTCCTCCAAAGGAATGGAAAGCCAATAGTTATAATATGGAAGATATTGATTTTGAAATTGCAACACCTATCAGACAATATGCAGACGGAGCAAAAGGTGTCTTTCAATTATATTTAGAAGAAAGTAAACAAACAACATTTAAAAGATGGTACAAGTCTGTTACCGAACGTGCTCCTCCAATACCAGATAATATAACAGATTTAGAAGAACAAGTCGATTTTATGGAGAGAAAGATTTGGAAGAATATTGCATTCCGTGCTCCTCTCTATGGAAGTGATTTATATGGTTCATTGTTTGATGACCCAAAGACTCCTTGGAATTTAAATTATCTCGATTCATGTCTTTCTAAAGTATTAAAAAGACAAGGAAGTATACTACCAGGTATCAATGCACCATATCTATATGTAGGAAGTTATAAATCTTGCTTTGCTTGGCATTGTGAAGATTTGGATTTGTACAGTATTAATTATATGCACATTGGAAGTCCAAAGGTTTGGTACACAATTCCCTTCCCATATAAGAAACAATTTGAAGAATTAGCCAAAAAGTACTTCCCAGAGCCATTTAAGGGTTGTTCACAATTTCTCAGACACAAAACTACAGTAATTTCACCATTCACATTGAGAGAGGTTGGTATTAGAACAACTCGTGTGACTCAATTGCCTGGTGAGTTCATTATTACACTTCCTGGATCATATCACCAAGGGTTTAATTGGGATATTAATGTTAATGAGGCTGTAAACTTTGCTACTAGGAGATGGATTGATATTGGAAGAAATTGTTTAAGATGTACTTGTGATCCTGACACTGTGAGAATTAATTTGGATGGTATTGAGGAATATCTTGATGCAGAAGAGTCTCTACATGTACATGCTGATCATGCCAGTATACTGCCTCATGAACCAACAGATATTCTCGATTGTGATCCATCAACACTCCAATACTATGACCCTCAATTTGCTATGGATCCTACAGATCCATCTTATCCACTCTTTTTAGCAAATGCAGGGCTAGATATTGCTCCTGTTCCACATCAAATGCCAAATCCAGGAATGATTTCAAAATACTATGACGAAATGAATGCATCCTACAGTTATCCATATAATATCCCAACTAAAGTTTTTAATCATGAAATTGATATGCCAATGCTTTCCAATATTAAGAGTGAGTTTGATGATTTTCCAATTACAGAATATAAGGTAGTCTCAAATGATGAAAAGTGTATCAAGATTAAAATCACAACTAATGGAGCTTTGGAGGGAGTAGAAGAACAAGAAGAGGAAGAGGTTGAGGAAGAGGATGAAGAAGAATATGTACCAACAAAGAAAAAGAGATCATCGAGAAAGAAGGTTAAGAAGGAAAAGAAATCATCCATTTCGAAACAATATAAAACTAGGAAGTCAACTACTACCACAACTGCAACTGCTGTTGCAACAATTACCACCACTGTAACTCCTCTTACTTGCTCCACCATTTCGAAATCTCATCACCATCCTCTCTTTGCTAGGTTTTTCTCTAGGTCCAGACTTTTACGAAAATAAATTTAGTTTTACTCAACCAGATTTATTTGAATATTTTGCAAGAGTGGATGCTTAATAATAATGGTATCTGTCTCTAACTTAAAATTAATATTATTGGATGAAAGTTGGTACTGGACTTGATCTAAACTTTCCACTTCCAAAACCATTCTACTCAAACCATAAACTCTATTTGTTTCACACACTTCACTTCTATCACGACAAATTACTCTCAATTTTGGAGGTAATATTGATGTGTTTGGAGCTATCATCTTGGAGAAATCCCACAAGTAATGTCTATAAGGCTCTATGACTTCCACATTTTGGGATCCAAATAATTTGATAAATGTTTTCAATCCTTCCACATCTTCTCTGACTGCTGTTGTTTGGAATTCAATTTCCCTACAAGACTTGATTTTGAGGTTTCCTAATGGGAAGTTTTTCAATTGCCACATATTTCTATTATTTCTTACGTATTTTACATTTTTTTCGGTAACCAATTTCATTACTAATTCAAAGAATGGATGATAATTAATGGTATATATTCCATGATTCTTAAATGGTTCATTTCTGTAAATATACTTTCTGTAAAATTCCCACATGGTTCCAAATAAAAATGTTTGTTTAAATCCTATTATCTTTTTGTCTTCCAATTTCAGTTTTGATAGCATCGACTTAGTCATGTAAAATTCATGATAATTCTTGAACTGGCTTGTGCAAATAATTCCTCTAGATTTAAGTATTTTCCTATCGGAATCTCCCGAAGCTGATGGAAAAAGTGAGACTCCCAATAATCCAAATGTGTGAACACTTCCAAAACTTGTGAGTAATGAGGCAATTCCATCAAGAGAGAGTAGATTGCGTTGTACAGATTGTTCCTCTTGCTTTTTTGCACCAACAACTCTCTCACCAAACAGTACAGTAAAGATATGACTAATATATCCTCTTATTTTGTTCAATCCAGGTTGTTCCACACATTGAATCTTGAAATTATTAAGAGAAACACATCCCATACGAGTTGATTGATCGATAGGGTAATTTTCCTTCTGAGAAAATGGTTGAAAACCATAAACAATCGGAAGCTTTAAATCCTTTGCAAAGAATTTAAATAATGCCTCAGCTTGATTTGAATAAAAAGTAACTTGTTCCAATGATTTCACAATAGAATGCAAATTAGGATTATCACTACCACGTCGGAGCATACTATCAATTTGTTTATAAACATAATGTTCCTCCTCTTTAGAAAAATTGGCGGCAAATTGTTCTCTCATACCCAAGACTGTCTTTTTGAGAGTTTGAAATCCCAACCGATAGGCAAGCAATATTTGATTCACGAAAAACAAGCCTCCTCCGATCAAGCCATTCCTCGACGAGGCTGCGTGGGAAGAATTTTCCAAATTTTGTTGTTGATTCATTTTTTTTAATATAATTTTAATTTTTTCAATCAATTTCCATTTCTGAAGAATTTACATAGAGAAAAATTGTTTTTTTAAATGCAATGATCAATGATGAGGATTTGGAAGGAAGGGAATGATTTGGAGTTGGTACTTATTTTGATTCGAGTCATTTCAATGTAAATAAACCATTTCTTTATTGGACATGTTTTAAGATTTTCAATGCTCATGATGAATTGCTGTTTATCTGAGAGATATAGAGATACTTCAGCAGCTTCAATTTTGATGACATTTCTTACTAATAATCGTACCAACACTCTTGCTACGCTTCACTCTTAAAGAGATCTTTGACAACACATACTAAAAAAATGGATTTCTCGATTTTGAAAAAAAATAGTAAAAAGTTCTAGTTAGAAGAACCTTAATACAACTCATTAATCGGTAATCTTACCAAAATCCCTCTAAATTCCCTCACTGAGAGTCAAAATCATCACCATTGCTCGGATGTTTGATGACCTTCTATTCACTAATTTTTAAACAATTACCTAGCCAGCACTGAAGATTTAACTAAGAGCAACGCTATTACTCAGTAAATGAAATAGATCTTAAAACGGACGAGTTTACATTTATTTGGAGTTCTCCTCCTTTGAATCATCTTGTTTTTGGGGTTGGCTGGTTTCCTCAATGTCCTCAATTTCCAAATCATCTTCCTTATGTCTTGGAGAAGCTTCAACAGACTCATCAGAAGTGAACATATCATACTCACCCTTAAAGTAAGACATGGATTTCTCTGTTAGTTTCATAGGGAATCTGTTTTCAAATTGGAATCTTGGATGAGGTACATTGAATTTGTTCTTTAGGTTGGTGTCTTTCTTCAGCTCTTCAATTCCTTGCTCAACATAATTTACCAAAACATCGGCAGTCATTTCCCTCCTGAATATTTCCCTGTTTGTATCATTCTCAAACACAGCACAAATAAGGGTTGGGAATAATATTTGCTTGTTTTGGTTGTCCGAAAAATATTGGTCTGGTAATGAAATTAATCTCTGTAGAATGGTTGGGTTCCTTCCATTGTGATAGTGGAGCATATCTTGATTGGATTGATTTTCCAAGCAGAAATATCCAATGAGAAGAATAATTTCATTCAAGAGGTCTGGAATGTGAATTTTAAGATTGGATGCAATAGCAGAATCATATACAATCAGTGTTGGATCATAGTTGACGGATTCTATAAAACTCAAAAGGAATCCAATTATGTGGAACAATTCTGTTTGGAAAGTATCTCCCAGAATTTTCTGGATGAAATCAAGATCAATGCATGCCAAGTTGTTTAAAATTCTAAATGCTAGGAATGTTATTCTGAGGGCAAGGTCATTGAGTTCTGGTTTGTTTTTACCTCTCAAAGGTCCACTAGCAAGAACAATAGTTGATAATACAGGTAGGACGTCAATAACATTAATTGATTGGAATTTAGCGATGAGGTTTTCAATTTCTGGTCCCTTTTTTTGAACATAGACAGGTAAATGTCTAAGTTTGGCATACGTGAATGTTGTCATCACTCTGATAAGCTCCAAAGATTTAAGAATGAAAGAAGATCTTTCTTGTAATTGGAATTCATCAACATAGATTACATGTGATTTGATAATATCCAATAGTTTGGTACTGACAATAAAGTCAATCAAGTAGTCTTTAAACATTACTTCCACTTCAACAATCTCAGCAGAAGGTGTTTGCAATAGTTTGGTAATAATTACCACCATCATTTCCAATTCAGCAAGTGATGTGGGTTGATTACCTAGCTCAATAGTTGCTTGTAAAACTGAGCAAATTAGGTTGTTAGTATTAATGTAAATTAGATTATCCTTAAGCTTGCAGAGAGAATTGAGTGCCTGAATGTAGGCAGATCTTTCGTCTGCATCCTTGGCAAGTGCCATTTGAGAACACACACAATCCAAGGCGCCTTCATCTCTGAGAGATTCCAAAATATCAGATCTACTAATTCTAGATAAAGACAAAAGTGCTTGGATGAGTACATCAGATTTAGGTTGATTCTTGATGTTTTGTACTGTCTTTTTGAAAAGATTTGATTTCGGTTTGGCTTTTGGTTTGATTTGAATGAGCTTTTTCTCCATAGCTTCAAAGGCTTTGGTGAATTTTTGTTTGGCTCTTTTGAATTTCTTACTCGATTTCTTATTTTCGTTAGTGCTATCCTCTTCAGCAGCAACGATTGGAGATGGTGAGACAACATTATATTCGACTTTTGGTGGGGATAGAGCTCTCTTTCTAGCTTCTTCAACTTTCTTCAAGTCAATGGATGCCTTTGCCTTCTTAGTTTCTATAGTTTTAGTCTTTCTATCCTCAGCAGCTTCAAGCTTTTTCTCTAATTTTTCTGACAAGTGTTGTGTAGAGAGCTCGGTTTCCTTCTTGGTCTTTTGGATCTTTTTTTCATATTCGACCTTTTTGCTGATTCTTTCAGCAGATTCCTTCTCTTTTTGCTCTTTAATGAGTTCGACTTTCTTCTCTTTAGCCTTAATACTTTCAAGGAAAGTTTGTTGGCGTTCAATTTCTAATTGTTGTCTTCTCATCTTGGCTGCTCTCTCCTTTTCTAGATCCTTAGTGCATTTGACTTTGATTTTATGTTGCTCTCTTTCTCTTCTTTCTTGGGAGGCTGTTAATTTTTGATCGAGTTGGAACTTGTTCTTTTCTTCTTCGAGAGATTTAATAAATTTGACTTCTTCAACCTTTTCGCTTTCTTTTCTGGCCTCTTCCATAACTTTCTTGATGTGTATTTGGTTATTCTTTCTTGCTCTTTCGTGCTTTTCTTCTTGTTTCTTTTTAGTTTCTTCCAGTTCCTTTTCTCGTTTTTTCAAAACTTCCTTTTGTTTTTCTGCCTCCTTTAAGAATTTGACCTCTTGTTGAATTTGTTTTGTTTGTCTATTCCATGCTGATTTGGCCATCTTTTCCTCTTGTCTTCTTCTAATGTCCTCTGGTGACAACCTCTTTCTGTTTGGGGATGAAAGTCTTTCCCTTACAGACATCATATCAGGAGAACTGGGAGGAGAGTTTTCTGGGCTTGATACAACATCTGCCCAAGCTCTTCCCTGAGTTCCAAATGAAGGACTATTGAACAAATCTTCAAATGAGGTACTGATATTGATCTGGCTAGTTGAATTAGATGGTGTTGTATCGCTCAATAATGAAGAATTAACATCATTGACAGTTTGTTTTGATAATAATTCAGAAAAATCTTTGACAGCTGACTGAAATATATTACAAATTTCAGAAGTAAATTCACTTCCATTTTGCTCGCATTCTTTAAATAAATCCTCAATTATTCTTTTGGAAAATTAAATTAGTATAACAAAATAAAATACTACACAAACCTTCTTACTTCATCAGTTGTCAATTTAGTTTCCTCAACAGGTGAAATGACTGGAACAAGCATCTTTTTAGGAACTATTTGTTTCTTTGGACTCCTGGTGATAGAAGCATTTCCAACTCTAAATGAATGAAGATTTTTCTGAGATAATGTTTTTGGAGTAATGATAGACTCCTTTTGTTTTGGAGACAAGATCTCATGATGTGCATTACTCATAAAATGTAAATTTAAATGTGGAGGTGATTTCCAAACACTATTCGAAGCAATACTATTGTCCATAAATTGATTATGATGGTCGGAAGTTGCAACACTCCATTTAATGAATTTGTAGTTGCAGCAGCATAACTCGATATTGTTGTTGTTGATGATGAAGATGTATTATTATTGTTTAGTGATGATGCAGACGGTACTTGTGTTGCAGCAGGTGAAGATGAGCCACCGCTTGGCAACTTGTCCATTTTTTTTATTGTGAAGAATACATCAGCATATTGAAAATGGAAGCCTTTTCAAGCGATTGGCGCTCAAATAATCTACAGTAATCCTTATGATTGAAATACAAAGAAAATATTTCGAGTTCCCTTAAGACTGTGCAAAAATTGTAATGAACGGAAGGCTTCGGTAAGGATTGAGGTTGATGGACCATCTCTTGTGGGAAGAATGAACATTAAGGAATGAAGAATTGATTAAATTTGGAATTTTTAATTGTTGATCATATTGTATACAATGGATCATCAATACTTTTGTTTTCGAACTGTGACTCCTATTTTTACAAATATATTAGAAACAATTTAAAATTATTAGTTAAAAAATGTCAATTCTTTCGTATGATCCCGAAAATCGGATTGAAAAGATAATTTCAAATTCTACCTATTTATTTGATAATACTTACGGATTTCAATTTATCAGCATGGCTAGTTCCTTTCGTGTGGTATGTGATAAATTCTTACAAAATAGGAAGATAATATTTTCAGTTGCACCTCTTTGGAGTCAACAATTATGCTTGTTTCGTCGGAAAAGAATTAGAGGGTGAGCAAGATTTATACTTTATCAATGTAATGGAAGAGGAAATCATTGGAACATCTGCCAATATCAACTCTGTAGTTTTGCTTGTCCAACACAAAAAGTCAAAGAGAACCAGAATTTTTATTAGAGAACCGAAAAACCATCTTTCTAAAGTTTATAATACACACAACATTGATGGAATTGAGTGGAGAGAAGTTTTGGATTTGGAAACTCTGTTATTGGATGGTGAATGGATAATTACTTGTTCATGCTCTTGGGCTACAGTAGCATTTGTTACGAGCTTTGGAAGAATTTTAACAATAGGATCCAATCATAAAGGAGAGCTAGGTAGACCTTCCACCAAGTTTGATAATGCAGGAGAATGTGAAATAGTTTCTAAAACTTCAAGTAACAAACCATTTTTTGTAAAAACAAAAAGTGGAGAATATGATTTATTGGCTCTTACAAAAGATGGAAAAGTTTATAGATGTGGATATTCTCTTGGACTTGATGGAACATTAGAAAGACTTACTGAATTCGATTCACAAATATTGGACGAGGATGAAGTTTATGAAGATATTGCCTTTACTGCTCGAAGAGGTTTTGCATTGACAAGTAAGTGAGCTTCTCATCGTTTTTAACTTTTTAAAGGCAAGAAAAGAATATTTTGTTTGAATAATTGTCAAGAAATAATAATCCCTCTCTCACCAATTCATTCTGTAACATTGCACGGTTTCCAGTTTTTGAGAGTAATTGTTAATGATAAGAAGTGCTACATTATGAAGAATAATGAATTGGTTATAGAATATGAAGCCACAGTACCTCGATTAGAAGAGCTGTATTTTTGTGGAACTTCTTACTATTCAGTTTACTATTGGCGCAAATCAAAGGAGAGTTATTATTGTATAACTTTCAAACAGAACCTTATTAACTTGACAAAGCATGAGAGGTTGACTGATATTGCAATTTACTTTCTTTGAACTGGGCTTCTGTAAATTCCAAAGAATGCACAAGGCATTTTGTTTGCTTCTGAAAAGGTGGAATCTCCATTTCTACAAGTAGCATCAGAGTGATTAATTGCTGCATTATAGAGCGAACTTGTATAATTACCAACAAAACTCGATGCAGGAGTAGTCATGAAACAGCTAGAAACAGGAACAAGCCCATCGTTTGGCTCTCCGTATTGAACCATTTGAGAAAAAATTTCCAGAGCTACACCATAATAACTCACCAAACCAAAAGGTGAACTACCACACAATCTGGCACTAATCTTTGGTTCAGAATATGAGAATATAGGATCACCCAAACACATAGGCTTCTTACCATGATAATTGGTAGTATTTGGATCACAATAATTTGGAAGTAAAGTTGCATCAGCGAGGTCTGGATTATCACCATCACAATTTCCTGTAACTTCTGCAACAAAATCTATAATTTTCTGAAGCTCATGAGGAGCTGTTTTGTGGACATATTGATAGCAGAGTGTTTTGAGATAGACTGCTGCTGGACTTCCATTAAATGGAGCTGATAAGCTTACCCATGTCGAGGTGGTCAGATCTAAGCTGCAATACCCCTTATACATAGCTGTTGGGAAAATCATATTTGCCATGGAGTGCGTGAACACTATTGTGTTGCTAATCACCTTTGAGTTGGTCTTATTCTTGTTTCCAATAAGGGCCAATTCACAATAAGATGTTTGTAAATGCTCTGAAGTCCATCCATTCTCTTTGGTATTTCTACGAATGAACCATCTCTCTGAACACAAGTCTTCAGTGTATGAATTTACTTGACCCCAATAGTGTGGCCAATCATTGAGAGGAACACCCTAGAATAATAATTACAATAAGAACAATCCCAATCTGAAAACTTACCTCATTTTTCACACCAGCTCCATGAAGGAATACACAAATTTTCTTGGTTCCATTATTTTTCAAATTAAGCTTGTATAGTTCTTTGAGAAGAGAATTATTCGACTCTTCCTTAAACCAAACTAACTTCTTATTTGCTGTTGGTACATCTTTTTGATATTGCTTTTGAGGAGTAACAGTATGCTTGACACAAGTTTGAGAAAGTATCTTGACCTTTTCAAATAATTTAGAGTCTTGATCGTTGACAGAACTAATTTCAATCATGACATTACTAGATCTAATTCTGTACGGTGTTTTCTTTTCATTCACACAAGCAATTAATGCTTCATTCGAATATTCTTGATTTAACAAATTCACAAACACTCTATCTCCTGAGTTACAACCTGCCAATCCAGACAATTGCATGTCAAAACTCTCCTTCCAATTTTCCAATTTAACAGCAGGTACAATCAGTTTGGAATACAGAACTGCCAAAGTTTTTTGAATTCCACTAACAAATCTATCACCCATTCCAATAGCCCCATACTCCAACTGAATACAGCTCTTATTATGTGGAATTATCATGAATGTTTTCTCACTTTCCAATAAGATTGAAAGTGGTGATTCCAAACTCTGAGCAAATATCTTTACCGAATCAACAAGAGCACTCTTGTCATTGAATAGTTGGAAGATTCCTCTCCATTCCATTTCATGGCGTTGGTTCAATCCAAAGTTAGAACCAGCAAAACCTTCATCATTACCACCAACAATCTTATTTGATGAAACTTGAGAAAATCTGAACGATCCCGATCTTGGAAATTGGAATGCAACATCCTCAGATGTATCTACAGACAATGCTCCAACAGCAAACTGCAGCAAGATGTGCAAGACTAACACGAGCAGGGCGATCTTCATTGAATAATTTGTAGACATTTTTTTCTTGTTGATAATCTTAAATTGTTGAGGATTCTTGAGACGAATCATCATCGTTTGGTAAGGGTATTGAGCCATCCTTTACAATGAGTTACTTGATGATGGTTATTATAAATTATCCGTTGCTAGAAGAATTATTGTTGGTGAAGAGGAAAAATTCGGTCAACTCCCCACCATGAATTTTCAATTTATATTTGTTTAGGAAATTGAAAATAATCCTTCATCCCAGTGCTGTTTGTGTAAAACTTTTACAATAACAATTTAACATTTCACTTTCGTCAACCAAAGGAGAACTTGGGTGAACAAAAACTTCAACTCTTTTACAAAACCAGAAAAAAATGCAACAATTATGTTGGGATGAATTGATTAACATTTCCTCTTTTCTTCCTCTTGGTGATTTGCTGAATTCCTTCCGTTTGGTAAATAGGGAATTTCTCTCTCTTTTCCGAGAGTTGGAATTGAGTAGGAATTTTTGGATGAACCTATACAAGAGTTTCATCTCATCCCGAATTGATTTATATAATGATTTAATTAATGAGAGTTTGGAAATGAGGGGGAGAATACTGCATTCATGTAAGGAAAAAAGGAATGGAGGGAAAGGCTTGGGAATTTTCATATCAAATCAAAAACTTGCTAATGGAATTATGAGAGAAATGTTGCATAGTTATGATTCTTATCATAATGGATGGAAATGGTGTACTGATAATAGAGATTGGTGCTATGGAAAACCATTCATCCCCAGATTTTTCCTTTCAGTCCTTTATTTCTCAACAATCATCATAATCAGCATACCAATTTGAACATGCTTATTATCAAAATAATAAGATGAATTGTCACTAGTTATTCGAAACAGAGCAACCAGCTCATTAGATCTTGAAAATTAATGATCTGGCCAATTAATACAAAAGGAAGTAAAAGTAGCTTTCTTTGTTGATTGAAGAAACCACAAAAGAGCGCAATTCTCTATCTTTATACCTGTCATTTCGATCAAATGTCGTAACGGTAATAATTTTCACAATAAAAAATGAAACTAACTGTTTCCATCATTGAGTGCAAGAATCTAATAGTTGGGGACCTAATAACCAACCTTGCCGATCCCTATGTAGTACGTTAATTTCTTTTATTGTTATTCGAAAGTAGTTTACGGAAACATTTCTAACGAACGCAAATCATCCCAACACCTTTTTTCTTCCATTAAATTATTACCATCATCATCAAATCGTCAACTTTCTAATAATCATTATCGGATTCTAATAGATTTGTACCATCAATGCTCCAGCACAAGAAATTAGAGAAGAAGAAAAAGTTCTACCATCACCCTCAGCAGTCATTTCCACTCACAAAACACTCGCCGATAAAGAAGGTGGAGTTATTGGTTCTGCCTATGGTTCATTCGCAAGTTTACAACATTTAAATACTTTACAAAATCCTTTACTAAGTAATACAGTGGAGAATATAAATCAATCACCAACTACTCCAAGAAAAAAGTCACTATGTATTACTAGTAGTTTACATCAATCGAATGAATTGGCTAAATACTATTCACCTCCGACAACTATTACTCCGACAACTCCTAGATCTTCACGGAAATTCTCAAGTAATGATTTGGCCAAAAAGAGAGCCTCTACTAGAACTATCAATAGTTCAAGTAGTGGAGGAAATACATCAAGTATTTCTGAAGATATCCATAGTGGTAGTAATGGAATTGGACACATTGTCAATGGACACAGATCTTCCTCTTCATCAGATTCCAATGATAAAAACTCTGCAGTTACAATGGACTCGCCAGTCTATGAATACGAGAATAGGAGACCTTGTGAATTTAAAAACAGAAAAATCATTGCACAGAAAAAGACTGAAATCATTTACAATAATTTGAATCCAATATTTACGGATGAACATTTGGTTGTGGAGGGAATTAAGGATGAATCAGTTGTGAAAAATTGGATAATTACATTGGAAGTGTTTGATTATGATTATATGAAATATGATGATTGTAGGTTTTTTATTTGTTTATTGGAATTGAAAGTTTTATTGTAAAAAATGTCAAGATTTGGGAAGTGTTGAAATTTCATTTGAAAAGTATCAAATTCAAGTTTTGCAACCAATGGTTTTGACAGTGCCACTTGAAGGTGTTCCAAATGGAGAAATTACAATTGATATTAATCTAGGTGAAGAATCGAAGGTTTTTGGTTTGGAATTGGAAAAGATCATGTCACGTCATCGTGAAAAGATTCATGGACTTGGCTTACCAAAATGTGTTCATGATATGTTTGTCTTTTTGTCTGATGAGATATCTATATGTGAAGAGGGTATATTCAGGTAGGTTGTTTACAATGAAGAGTTCAATATATATTTACCTTAACGTGTGTGAAATTTCATTATACATGTGAAAATAATGTAGAATTCCTGGAAAGTCAGATCTCATTACAGCAATCAAGAAACAATACGATCAAAATGAGGATAAAGAGATTAAGAATTACATTCTTGATCAGGAGAAGGTCTTTTTAACAGATCCAGAACAGAAAAGATCACCTGCCATGGTTAAGATAACAGCTTCTCTATTGAAAGATTTTATCAGATCCTTACCAACACCCCTTCTAACCTATCAACTCTATGATGAATTTGTGGATTTAAAGAATGATGACAAGACAATTTTAGAACTCATTCAAAAATTACCACCTCTCCATCAACACTTGCTGTATTGGTTACTTGCTTTGATTTCAATGATTGAATCTAAATCACAACTCAACAAAATGTCAGCCTCCAGCTTGGCAAGCGTGATTGCTATCAATTTATTAAGAAAAAAGGATGAAAACAAGTCAGCCAATTCCCTAGAATCTCTCAGAATGGAAACTGATAGGGTTATCAAATGTGTAGAACTTCTCATTAACAAGTATCAAACCGTTCTCAAACCATACTTTGAAAAGACTTACAGTTTTTTCAAACAACAAGAGTTGTAATTTAATATAAATTTTGCTTCAAATATTCAAATCAATAAATAAATTAAAATACTAATAATTTAGATTTTCAAAATAGGAAATTAATTTTTAAATAAATTTTGTTTTTTATTGACCTACAAGCAATGTCCCTGTTGGTGATTTTTTTGTTTGTGTGTATGTTACTGTGTGTGATTGTGACCATCTATCTATTGGATTTATTCGTTCATCTTCAAAACGACCTTTCTTTCTTGACCATCTTCGAAACTCTTTTCCAAAGCATAATTAAATTCAGAGAATTTGTGTGTTTCGACCAAAGCCAACAACTTCTTGTCAATAACGAGTTTGGACAATTCGTCAATCATCTTTTGTCTTTCTTCCTTTGAGTGAGTTTCGACCCATCTAGTCATCCAAAAACCTTTAAGAGTAATGTTGTTGAAAATGAATGGGCTCGTTGGGACAGTGATACCTTGTCTAGACATACCACCATATGTCACCATAACACCATCTTCAGCCAAATACTTGGTAACAATACGAGCAGCATCACCACCAACACAGTTCAAGGCCAATTTTGGCTTTGGTAAATCCGATAATAAACGAGACATCTTAGTATTATTGCTAGCGAAAGAATAATCCATAACAATATCAGCTCCTAATTGCTTCATTCTTTGCACTGTTAAATCGTGATTTTGTCTTTGTCTAATCAAGTTAATAGTTTGAATACCACGTAATTTGGCCAATTGGATAACCATCAAACCAACCATGGAATTAGCACCGTTTTGAATAATGACATCACCTGGCTTCAATTCAGCAAAGTCAGAAAGAAGTCTATAAGCAGTACAAGGGTTAACGGAAAGAATTGAAGCATATTCAACTGGCAATTCCTTTGGTACAGTTGTAACATCTTCAGCTTTACAAACGAGGTGAGTTCTCCAAGTACCCAAACCACCATTGCTTGGAATGACATGATCACCCTTCTTAAGACCGGTAACACCAGAACCAACTTCTTCAACAATACCAACACCTTCATTACCAGGAACAGCTGGGAAAGACTTTGGACTCTTTCCGTACACTCCTTGAATTGTATTAATATCGGCTGGGTTGATTGGTGCTGCTAACATTTTAATGACAACTTCATCATTCTTAACAGAGGTATCAATATCAACATTTTCAACTCTAAATAGAAAATTAACGTTCAAAGTTATTGTTCATCATTATCATATTTCCAATAAAAAGATAATAAAATTTCATATTTTTTTAGTTTCAATCCACATCATCGCTTTATACACTTACTTCAAAACTTCCAATGGATTACCGAACTTTTCATAACGAACAGCCTTTGATTGGACTGTAGCATAGAAACAATTTCTTGGAGCAAAGGAAAGGGTATTGTTAATACGGGCAAGAGATTGGATGGATTTTCTCATTTTTTTTCTTTCTTTACAAAAAATATTTTTTAATTTTTTTAAAAATGCGTTCGTTGTTATGTGGGAAAGTCATCAATAGAAACTTTTCAATTCCTTCATCTGCAGCATCTTGTGGAGTTGGTCTTCTTCTTGGTAGGAAATTGTTAACTACAACAATACCTCATCAAGTAATATTGTCAAATTGTTCATCTTGTTTGAAACAAGTATCATTGATAAATCCGAATGAGAATCATCACAGACAATTCTTTTTTAAAAAATCATCAAATAGTATCATTCCGAAGGATGGAGAAAAGGAGGAGGATTATAACAAATTTACTTCTTCATTCTATGTGAAGGCTTTGGCTCCTTTGATTGCTGCTTTAGTTTATTGGTATTTGAAGGATTGGGAGAGTAAGAAGGTAAAGGTTGATTTTGATGCTTTGAAAAAGTATTTGGAAACTTATCAAGATCAAATTAGAGAACAGGCTTTCTTGGCTGCTCTCGAATCACTTTCTCATCAAGAACATCGTGAATTGATGAATGATGTCATTTCTCAATCCTCAGAGAATGGAAAATATTTGGTTGGTGTTTCGAATTCAGAAAATATTAATCATTTTGATTTGGAAATTCAAGTTATGAGTGATATGAAAACTTATAAACCACACACTCTTGTGGATGGACAGGTCAAGTATGCTTTATTTGGAGAATTGTGGCACGTGGAAGAAAAGAATCCATCAACACTTCAAGCTTATGGAAAGAAATGTTTCGATTCTAGAGATATTACTTTGAATATTCATTGTCCTGTTAGAATTTTGGCAAAGCCAGCAAATGGAGCTGTCTTGGGTCATTTGGGCGATAAACCATTGTGCTATTTGGTTGCTAATATTCAAATGAAATGTGTTGAAAAGGATTTTATACCAGCCAAGAGGCCAGAGTTGACCATTTCAAAAATTTCTATTGCTCCAATTACATCACACTTTTCAACAATACTGGTTTGAAGGAACAAAGATTATTTGAAGAAATAGAAGTTGAAAAAGCCCTTGCACCAAATGGTGTTCACCATGCAGCAGATGGTCTTCATAACCAATCCTTCTCTTGGAAATTCTTCAATTAGAGATTGAATGACACTCATTAAGGTTGGATTTTAGTGTCGAGTTATTTGAATTATGAGACTTGAGTTTATACTGTATTGCTCGAAATACACATTTGTGTGAGAAACAATTTCACAGTTTAATATATTTTCAATTATGAAATATCGTCTAATTTATTATTTATCTATTAATCCACATGGTGACACAGTGTTCCAAGCACTTGCCAGAACAAAGTTGAATTTGAAATTCTATTTTTAACTTGATTCTCAATTTCAAACATGAAAAAACCATAAATCCTTCAAATTCAACATTCACTTCGAGAAAACAAATCGAAACAACAAAAAAAAAACAATCCAACAACCAATCCTATAGCCGAGCTATTGCTAATCATCATGTCCGTAACAACTCTCCCTGTAAATAATAACACTACCACCACTAACTCAACAACAACCTTCTCTAAGAATCAACTCATTGCTCAAGAAGAAGCAGAGTGGACAAAGAAGAAGGATCGTTTTCTAACTTGTAAAGAAGCACTGAATAGAATCATGTGGGATTCTGATTTAAATGATGCCTATCTTCACTTGTCAATGATTTACAAAGACAGATTTGAAGGTGACACTTTTATTTCATATGAAGAATTCTTAAATAGTGATTTGGCAGAAGAACTTCCACAGCACAGAATTCAACAATTGATCTACAGAGATGAATACGTATTCTGGGATAAGAATAACAGAATTGATTTGTTATCAAATGGTCAATTAAGAGAATTGATTTTGAAATTCCAAAGAGAAGAAGAGGAAAGAATTGCTAGAGAACAAGCTGAATTCACAACTGTTTTGCAACCAACTCCAACTCCTGAAACCTCAACAAGTTCAAAAAAGAAGAACAAGAAGAATAAGAAAATCATGAAGGAATTTGTTAGAAATCAAGAAACAGTTCAACAATATAATTCTTCATCTTCATCTGAGGAAGAAGATGATTATGATCAATATATGGAAGAATATGATGAACAATATTCAAGATATTTGAATCATTAAATGAAAAATAATTATTTTGTTAACTTTCTCTTTATTTTGAGAAGATGAATTTATTGGAATATAATAGAAACCTAACTAATTACGTTTCTTAAATAATGGATGGACAGTTTTAGCGACCTTTTTCTTCTTTTTTGAGGAATTGCTTGCTTCAAAGGTATGATAATACACTTCATTGGCACCTCCTGATAGCAATGCCAAACTAGTATCACCACTATGGCTGCCACTTTGAAAGTCATCATTGGGAATATCTTCCAATTTTCCATTAACATCTTTAGCATTCTTGACAAGTTTTAGAAATTCCAATTCATCCTCTTTTGTTTTCATAAATTTGGTCTCCACTCTATTACTCGAGTAGTACTTTTGAATGTCAGCCAAAACTCTGAAACTGTATCCTTGATTGGTAAGGAATTGTTGTCTCTTGGTTGCAAAGAACATTTCCTTTGTGTCTTGTGAGACGAGTGAGTAAAAGTAAGCTTGCTTATTGGTTCCATTCTTTGGACGAAGGATACGACCCAATCTCTGAGCTTCTTGTCTTCTGCTGCCGAAATGGGACGAAATTTGAATAATTACAGTTGCCTCAGGAATATCAATGGCTGTATCACCAACCTTACTAAGGAAAACAGTGTTAAAATTACCACTCTTGAATCGATTCAAGACATCCAAACGCTCAGACTCCCTGGTTTTACCATAAATGTAAGGAAGTTTCAATTTGATGGCATACTGTTCCAGAGTGAAGGTATTATCACTGAAAACAATTATCTTATCTCCATGCTTTTCATGATATCTAATGAGAAATTCACAAGCCCTAAACTTATTTGGATTCATCACATAGTACAAACTCTGTTTGGCATAATTTGAGGAAAGATACTCGGCATAGAATTCTGCAGTCATTGGACACCAAACTTCGACACATTGTACATTGGCAAGATGTCCCTTCTTTTGTAAATCCAACCAATTGGCTTCGTAGAGTTTTGGTCCAATGAGGAAATTTAAATCCTCCTGCTTGTTATCCTCACGTAATAGAGTTGCAGTCAATCCCAATTTACAATGAGCTTTCAAATGGGATGCTCTGAATGAATCAGCAGGGTATACTTGAACTTCATCGAACATTAGCAATCCCCACTCTCTATTTTCAATGTACTCCATCATTTGTTTGGATTCTTCACTTCTCCTTCCCTTAAATGAAATCATACTATAGGTGGTGATTAACACAACGGCCTTATTTGGATCTTTTGGAAGAGTGGCCTTCTGTTGTGAGGTATGAACTAGAATACTATCATCGTCAATGGTACTCCACAATCTGAATTGATTCTTCCACTGAAAGACACTCACTGTATTGATACATAGTACTAGGGTGTGTTTCTTGATTGTGCTGGCAGCTGTCACTCCAACTAAGGTCTTTCCTGCACCACATGGTAGAACAATGATCCCACTTCGAGCTCTTCCATTGCTGAACATTTTGTTGAGTGATTTTTCTTGATAGGAACGAATGGTGGTGGTTGGTTTGAGGTCAATTACGAGTGAACTATTCCTCTTATCATTTCTAAAATCATATTCATCCAAAGTTGGGTGTCCAATTACAATACATTGCTTTTTGACAGATTCAATAGATTTGGATGAAATTTCGAATGAATAGAGAGTTTCATGTGGTTCACTATCCAAATCGTTATCATCTTCATATTCTTCTTCATAATTCGAATGATTGATTGCTCCAATCATTTCCTTTTGAACATGGTGTTGTTCATTCATAGTATTGGAAAGAGAATTTGAATTTGTTGAAATTAGAGTTTGTTTTTGAAAAGCCTCAACTTGATTAGACTTTGATTTGATAATGAAACGCTTACTCGAATCCAAATATTCGAATTCATTTGGATTTGGTATCAGAGCAGCTTTGCCAATAACTGAATCATTTCTCAACTTTTCTATAATTTGTAAAATAGGAGATTCCAGAAAGAATCGATTCTTCTGTAAGACGAATTTCACACTTCCATATTTAGAAGTGGTCTTTCTAATAAAATCAATCAAGTCTGTTGGTAATTTAACCTTACTCAACTTGTCCAAAACTTGAATAATATAATCACAAGTCAATCCAATACTAACAGCTCCATAAAGTGAGAATTCTTTCAATTGATATTCATGTAAATTTTCCATACGTGAGATTGGTTCTGCAATGGCCACAAGAAAATCATAAGCCTGCTGATAAACTGGTGTGTTAGTTTCCATGAAAATGTGATAATCTCCATTATCACCACTACACACCCAAATTGGACGTGATTCGTGGTCTGATTTCAGATCCATTGAAGAATGATCGAATTGAATTCCTTCCTTTTGTTTGAAAATGTCAGTTGCCAACTTTTCTGCTTGTTTGGAGATTTGACTGTCTGTATCATTTTCAATATTGTCATATTTTGTCTTTTTGTTTTTTGATTTAGTTTCTGATTTTCTTCTCTTTTTTTCATTCTTTTCATTGGTTGGATTTGGGTTATTCGAATGTTGAGTTTGATTCGTTTCTTCTTGTTGGCTATTATTCATGTTGATGCTGGTATTACTTGAGAGCATAATAGGTGATTTGGTGTCGATGTATTTTTTTAGAAAATTCTATTGATTATTTATAGACTGTCGTCCTATTTTTTTCAAAATTTTAATTCACAAATTTCACTTCTATTATTAGCACGATCATCAATATTTGGAAATGAATCTGAGAAAAATTTATCATCATCACGGTCTAATTCCATCAAATGATTTGGATTGTTAATTAACACGTATTTAAATAACAAATTAATTATTAATAAAATTAAAGTTTTAATACTAAAAAAATGAAGAAATCAAAGTCCTTCTCCAACTTTCTCGGAAATGAAGAACAAATTCAAGGCCTTTTTGAATTATCGGAGGAAGAAAAAAGGATGATCCAAAGGAGGAAACAAGTGGAGAATTGTAAAGAGGAAATTACAAAATTAAAACAAGCAATTGAAGAAATTAGAGATTATAAAAATCAATGGGTTTGGGTTAAATATTCAAGAAAAGTAGTCATGATTGCACATTTAATTACAGCAGTTTATATTATTGCCGAAAAAACAATGAGAGTTTTGAATACTTCACTCTACAGAACAGTTTCTCATCAGTTATCATTTAGTCAGCTGATGAAATCATGGATGCAGAGTAAATTCAAGAATAGCTCGTTGAAAAATTTAAAGGAGTTTATGAAGGGATATCACGAAAATATTTCCAGACAATATCAAGATCAAAAACTTAAAAAGAAGGAACATTTACAATTTTTATCTCAAACTGATTTTTCTCCATTTACATTTGATATGAATTCTGGTGGAATTATGAATATTGTTGGAAATATTGCAGGATTTTTTGGAGCAGCAAAGCAATCTACAGATAGAATCTTGAAAATTATTGATCCTTCTGATAGCTTATATTTTGGAAATGATGGAGTCATGTCACCAATGATTGATCAAATACCTGATAGCAGCCATGCTGCATTTCAAAACCCAGATTATCTCAAGGGAGATGCATCTATTAGAGAATTATTACAATCAAGAGGTTTCAAATCACTTGTTAAATTATTTGGAAAAGAAACCTTACAGAGTGGATCATTGATATTTCTTGTTTATTGGTTTGGAAAACACAATATTAAGAAGAGAGTATTTGCAACCATTCTACTTTTCCTTTTCAATGTTTACATGCTGGTATTTGATACAAACACAACAAGAGATCGTTTTGGCTCAATCATTCACTGGAACATTATATTTAATCTGCTTTCCCTCACTCTATTCCTTTTATTCAAACAACATTTGAATGTAACCACAGGTTACAGTGAACAACGTTTCTTAGATGATTGAAATTGTATCAAAAGTAAGACATATTTACTTGTTAGCCAACAAGATGTACATTACCCAAAACAAAAAAACAGGCTTTTGATTGTTGGCGCCAATTTTATTTCACCAAGCAGTGGAAAAAAAAATGTTATCATCAAACAACGTTGGTTCCTCTTCGAGTGGCGATGAGAAGTCATCATTAAAAAAGCACACAATGCATCATCACAGAGAAGAAATCGATTCATCATCGGCGCTCACAGAAACTTTAGATATTGAAGTTGTTGATGAAGAACATGAAAAGGATTTAGTGAAGGAGGAAGAAAGTGTTGCGGAATTAATTAAAGATGAAAATGTTGATGAGGAAAAGATTGATGGTGATTTACCAGATCAAGAAGAAGTAGAAGATGAATCATCTGCCCCAAAGGCTGTTAAAGAAAATTTTGATAAATTAAACGAACTTTTGCAAAAGACCGAAACCTACTCTCGTTTTATTCATGAACATGTTGTCGGTGAAGAAGAAGATGATGTAAAAGAAGAAGAACAAGAAGAAGAGGAAGCAAGCGAAGGAGAGGAAGAAGAATCAAACGGAAAAAGAAAAAGAAAGGGTAGAAAGGCAACAACCACTGACGAATCAGCTCAAAAAAAGTTGAAATCTGTTTTCAGCAAATCCAAGACATTACAAACAGCTAATCAAGCTGCTTTAAAGTATTCTCAACCAAAATATTTGTCCGGAACAACACTTAGAGATTATCAATTGAAGGGTGTTAACTGGTTGATTAGTTTGTATGAAAATGGTGTCAACGGTATTTTGGCAGAGTAAGTTTTCTTTATTTGGAATGTGTTATTTACTAATTATTTCAAGTGAAATGGGTCTCGGAAAAACTATTCAAACTATTGGATTATTTTGTCATCTTTATGAAAAGGGAATTAAAGGACCATTCCTTGTTGTTGCACCATTGTCAACTGTATCAAATTGGGTAAATGAGATTGATAAATGGGCTCCTGATATTGGGTGTGTACTTTATCATGGTAATAAGGATGATAGAGCTATTATAAGAGCAAAGAATTTTTCAAAGGTAAAGAAGGGACAAATTGCTGTAGTAGTTTCATCATATGAAATTGTTATGAGAGACAAGAAATTCTTGGCAAACAAATTTAATTGGAAGTATATTGTAGTAGATGAAGCCCACAGATTGAAAAATTTCAATTGTAGATTAACTAGAGAATTGAAGACTTACTCGAGTGAAAATAGATTGCTTCTTACAGGTACACCATTACAAAATAATTTATCTGAACTTTGGTCATTACTCAACTTTTTATTACCATCAATTTTTGACGACTTGAGTGCTTTTAACAAGTGGTTTGATTTTACAAAGAAGGAAAAGAATGATTATATTACAAATGAAAAGACACAACTCATAAGCAAGCTTCATAACATTCTTCGTCCTTTCTTATTAAGAAGATTGAAGAGTGATGTAGATATTGGTATTCCAAAGAAACGAGAATTTTTAATTTATACACACATGACAGATATGCAAAAGGAATATTATAATGCTGTAAAAAGTAAGGATCTCTTACCAATTTTCAAAGATCAAAAGAGAGCAAATAGCACAACTCTTTTGAATTTACTTATGCAAATGAGAAAGATTTGTAACCATCCATTCTTGCTTAGGTATGTTTCGAGATTATTTTACATTTTTTTAATAATTTTATTTAGAGAATTTGAAACAAAAGACAGTGAATCTGAATCTGCTTCAAACAAGAGATTCTTGAAGGAATGTACACAAAATTCTGGTAAATTTGGATTACTTGTAAAAATGTTGGAAAATTTGAAAAAGAATGGTCACAAAGTTTTAATCTTCTCTTTAATGACAAGATTTTTGGATGTACTTGAAGATTATCTTGAATGTAGAGGTGACATGAAATATTGTAGAATAGATGGTTCCATTGCTCAAACTGAGAGAGAACAAAAAATCAAAGAATTTAATCAAGATGAAGATGTATTTTGCTTTTTACTTTCCACTCGTGCTGGTGGTTTGGGTATTAACTTGACAGCTGCTGACACTGTTATTATTTACGACAGTGATTGGAATCCTCAAATTGATTTACAAGCTCAAGATCGTTGTCACAGAATTGGTCAAAAACGTAGTGTTAGAATTTTCAGATTACTTACGTTAGGAACTGTAGAAAAGAAAGTTCTTCAAACAGCAACAAAGAAACTCAAATTGGAAAGACTTATCATCCACAAAGGAAACTTTAAAGGCAACACTCAACAACAAAGCAAGATGACTATCACAGCACAAAATTTGATGGAAATTTTGGATGATACTCAAGTCAATAATGACAGCAAACATGATGAAGGAATTAATGACGATATCTTGGACAGACTTATCAATGAAAGAGGAGATGATTCAACTCTTCCAGCTGCAGGTGTTGGATATGAAGAAGCACACATCTTCCAACAAGACTTTTAGTTCACTCTCGATAATAATTTGCCTTTTTGGTGTTGTCAACAATTAACCAACCTTCCATTAAAGCTCTATTTATTTAAATATCCATATTTTCAATTAAGGATGCACAACCACCCTTGATTGGAAATGATTTGGCTATGGCTAACTACGAGATTTTTCATCTTGTTGAACTTTTTATCGTTACAAGTGAGCTCAATCATGGAGAAATACACCACAACAACTCTCAACTGTATAAATTAGTAAGGTAGATATACAACCACATCACCAACTACATTTTTATCATTCTAATGAATCTTTGCAATGAATCTTTTTCAAAGAATGCGCAAGAGAAGCCCAGCAAGAGCTACTATTAATTCTGTTCTTTTTCTCAACTTGAACACAGCGACCAATCTGCGAAGTGGCAATTTTATATCTGCCTGCTCTGTGATGCAACCTGGCATTTTTCATTTTTGAATTGCTTATTGCTCATGCCTGCAATTGGTGCAATCTCACGTTGGGAGATTGTATGCAAGCACTTCCTCACCTTTTTCAAATCAACAAAGTCCATCATCACACTCTAGACAACAAGATAAAACAAATAACGTTAAACAACAGTCAAGTGTGATTGTTATTGATTTCAAGAAATTCCTATTTATTGCAAGACAACCGAATCTTGCATATTTAATACCAAGATGTACTCTAACAACAACATTCACAATAACACACCTCCCAATCCTTACAATAATACCACTCCCAATAATATCCGTGATGAACAACAGCAGCACAATTTTCATCATCATCAACAACAATATCCAACAATGTTTTAATCAAAACTCACCAATCTGTAATACAGGAAGTTAATGATCATCCTCACTGTACAGTTAATCCTACACCACTGCTTCCCAATATTTCCAGTTTTAATTATTTTCATCATGAATATGCCAAGCCATTAACCTCAGATTTGAGATCATTCTCTGCCACTCCTTTTTCCCAACAACAACAACAACTCAACAATTGCGCAACCCGAGCCACCTTGAATACCAATCTTGATCATAATTCCTCCACTGAATCGTCTTCCAATAATGATTCTTCATCCAGTGGAAACATATCTGAAAAGCCACTTTCGAGACATTCACGAGAGAGTCTTGGCACTATATACAATGAAGATTCATGTCAATCGAATACCAATCCTGAGAATACCAATAATTCTTCTGCTAGTGGAGTTGGTGGCCTTTCGTCCTTTGATTCCTCTTTCCAACATGCTCTCACCACTCAGGAAAACCTCAATGAACCAAATCGATCAAAGAAACTAGATGTTCTCTCAGCTGATCAGATACGACAATACTTTTGCTATACTCAACAAGATGCTGCTCGTCTATTGGGTGTCTCTGTATCGACATTGAAGAGACGTTTCTATGAGCTCAAGTTGGGAAAGAGATGGCCCTACAAGAGAACTAAGCAAACACCACGAAAGAGAAAGGATAAGCAGACAATGAGTGAGGAGAGACAACTCATTGATCAGGGTATTAAGGCATGCTCAAATGTTATGATTCTCACTCCCATGAAACAATCACCAGTAGTACTACTGATGGCCACAAGTAAGGGAAGCAATAATGGATCTGCAATTCTCAACCTTTCGAATGGTTTCTCTAATAATGTAGAAGTTTCGGTAAGACAGCAAACACCACCATCTGCTACAAGTAATATGAGTCAACAACAATCAGTTTTCGATAAGAGAAACTTGAAGAATAATCAATCATCCTATTCGAGTGGTATTGAAAAGCAACACAAGATGAATTCACCCTCTTCCAATAAGGTACTTTCACCAATCAAGAATATATTACTCCAACAACATTCCAATAATTCTGAATTCTTAAGTATTGTAAATAGATCTAGATCCTCTTCCAATCATTCCATGAGCAGTTCCTCAGTTTCTTCCACCAATCCAAATAATCAGCATCATTCCTCATCCAATCACTCATTACAAGATGAAAAGGGAGCTCTTTCCACACAACCATATCCACAACTAAATCACAATTCTTATCATCCATCCTCGTCCCCCCTCAATATGACGAGAAACGAAAATTCATGCAAGAGAGAAACATCTATGGAGCAATCCAGAAAGAAACTTTCTCTCAGTTATATATTGAATCATTCCGATTGTAACAATTCGATATCATCCGAGCAAACTTCATGAGAAATTTATAGAGACAATCTTCTTGAGAATGTGAATGTTCTTGTGCAGCTCTAATCAAGTACTTGATTTCAACCAATCTGGTACAGAATTACTCATCAATTAAGCTTAATAAATGACATTTTATGATGATAAAAACGATATTCCATAACTTTCGAACTTGATAGAAGTTATTAGAATCTCTAAATTACAGAACGAATCACCTTTATTTTAATCAGACTTTCATCTTTATAAGAAAAGTTAGCCAATTGTCTCTGATTCCGAATTAGAGCTCTAGTGAAGTGTCATTCTACAAGCACAACCCCAAAAAGAAGAACCAAGCAAATAAAAACTAAACAAAATAATGCCAGCATGACATAGAGAAGTGGGCCAAATATGCCATTGTAGTATTGATATTCATCATATTTGGGATTTCCAGGTTTTTTATACATTGTCTTCGTCCATGTAATTTGAGAACTTGTGGATGGTGTTGTGTTCACTTCAATGTAGAGAGAAATAATCTTACCCTCTCGTAATGTTGAAAGATTGGATGTGGAAATGCTTGTTGCTCTCATAATTGTGTTATTGTTGTTTGGGTTTGCATTTTCTATTTGTCCAATGTTTCGCTCTTGCATAGGTTGCACAATTATTGAAAACAGTGACAATTTTGGCTGTAATCTCAACATTGACAATGTCCATGAATTCGTACTGTGCTTTACTGGCTACTGAACTGACAACTGCTGAAGCAATGAGGAAAGAGCAGGCTCCAAGAAAAGTGGCGCAGAATAACGAAATGACGACCACAATGATGCTAATGATAAGTAGTTTGAACAGTTTTTTTTAATACATTGGTGAAAATTACATTTATCACTCTATATTGGCCAATATAACTATTTATTAGTTATTTCACTAAAAAGGAAGGCAAAAACAATTGTAATGTGGTCGTACCTAGCTATTAATATTAAACATGTTTGAAACTATTTAGAATAAACTCATTGTAAACAACAAGTCAGACCACAACTTTGGTATTGAATACATATTTAGTCAATCTCATTCAACTGTTCATTGTTCTTGGTTTTTTTATAACTTGAAAAAGATTCGAAATAACTTTTTCAAATTACAAAACACAAAAAAAAATATTTTAATCAAAAAACCACACGAGGCCTCGCTAACTTGCATGCTTCAATCCAACAATCAAACAACAATTTCTCAGAACAATAACCAAAATGCCTCCTCTCTCGTGATGAATTCCGGAGAGAGTGGTATGATGAATCTTGTAGAAGAGGTTGAACTCTCCATTTCATGTAATAATTTACCGAATTTAGACTTGTTGAGTCTTACTGATGCACAGGTGCATATCTTTTCCAGCTCTACGTCGAGTAATCAAAACAATTGGGTATTTGTTGGAAAGACTGAAATTATTTGGGATAATTTATATCCGAAAGTATGTAATTGTGATTGATTATTTATTTATTTATTTAATTGTGTGTGATGATGAATTAGTTTGTTACCAAATTCTTACTCAAGTACTATTTCGAAACTAATCAATATTTGAAATTCATTGTTGTTGATATTGACAATGATAGTCAAAAATTGGAAGATCAAGAATTAGTTGGTGAAATGTATTGTACATTGGGTGAAATTGTTGGTTCAAAGGGAGGTCGATTGGTGAAACCTCTTCTCCTTCCAAACAAACCAAATGCCAATAGAGGTTTCATTGCAATTCGTTATGAAAAAGTTAATGGTTCAGGATCTGGAGGTCAAGAACTTGTGAATTTCAAGATTTCTGCCTCTAATTTGGATTCAAAGAATTTCTTCTTTGGTAAATCTGATCCATTCTTGGTGATTAATAGAGTTGATATTGAAGCTAATGAATATTCTCCAGTTTACAAATCGGAATATTATAAGAAAACTTTGGAATGCTCATGGAAACCTTTCCAATTGACTACTCAAACTTTGTGTAATGATGATAAAATTAGAGGACTAAGATTAGAAGTTTATGATTGGAACAAGTCAGGTAAACATGAATTGATTGGTCACTTTGATACCAATTTGGAAGAATTATTGAAGGAAGGAAAGAATAAGACCTACTTGTTAATTAATCCAGAATTGAAGAAGAAAAAGAAGAATTATATTGGAAGTGGTAACATTAAGATTGAACATATTGATCTCATCAAAATTCCTCCAAAACCAACCTTTTTAGATTATATTAGAGGTGGTCACCAAATCAGTTTAATGGTTGCTATTGATTTTACCATTTCAAATGTTGAGGCATGGAAGGAAATTTCTTTGCACTACATGAAAGAAGGGCATGAGAATGATTACCAACGTGCCATTAGAACAGTTGGTGATATTTTGAATTATTATGACAGTGGTAAGTGTTAAATTGTCATTTTTCATCTTATTCGAATTATTTTATCATGTTTTCATGATGCTTTTTCAAATGAAATCAGACAAAAAGTACCCAGTTTATGGATTTGGAGGTAAACTTCCTAACAACAAAACATCTTACTGTTTTGCAGCTAATTTAGATGAAAATAATCCAGAAGTTTATGGAGTTAATGGTATCTTGGAAGCTTACAAACATGCCATCGAGAATGTTCAATTGTCAGCTCCTACAAACTTTAAACAAATTATTCGTAAGGCAGCTGATTTATCAGAAGAGAGCAAGCTGACTAATTATTACATCCTACTCATTTTGACAGATGGTGGTATTACAGATCTACAAGAAACCATTGATGAAATTGTTCGTGCCACCAACTTGCCACTCTCCATCATTATAGTTGGTATTGGTAAGGATAGCTTTGGTAATATGGACATTTTAGATGCTGATGAGAAACCATTAGTCTCATCTAAGGGAGTCAAAATGGTTCGTGACATTGTTCAATTCGTTCCATTTAGGGACTTTAAGAATGCTGATCCTTCTGTCCTTGCAAAGGAGGTTCTTCAGGAAGTGCCATTGCAATTCCTTTCCTACATGGCTACCAATAACATTATGCCTCAACCTCCAATCAAAGCAGAGTCATTCTATGGAAGTGTTAACAGTAACAGCAATAATAGCTTAATACCCACCCCAACTACAAATCAATAACTTGAACACCTTTTTTAGTTATTTACTCCACACTACAATTATGTGAGATATGTAAATAAATACAATCACATGCCAAATTGAAATGAATGTGTATTGTAAAGGCAGAAAATTAAAATTCCAGATCCAACTCCCCTACTTTTTAAGCAATCTTCTTTAAATGAATAAATCAGCCAGCATTGAGATCATCATCCTCAGTAAGCGCAGAAAGGAAATTATTTAGAAGAAGAAAAAATAAAAAGCACAGCCATGCCGACGATGAACAACATCAATGTTGAACCAAGTAATCCGCTGAAGGGATTCAGAACTGGCTTATTGGAAAAATTGTTCGTGGACACTTCGCCAACAGCTTTGAGGCGAAATTCTATTCACAATACCACATCACCAACATCATCTTCTGCAACAGTACTATTAAATAGTAGTGTGGATGGAAAAGAGATAATGGATGAGGGTAGTAGTAGAATTTGCTCTGCACCATCTGGCCTTCCAAATCAGTCATCATCAACTAATGGAAAAACAAGTCCTTCATTGCTAACACATTCCCGAATGATGAAGAGATGTTCCAAGCAACAATTGTTAAGCATGCTACCAAAGAAACCATATTTAAGAATTCAATATGCATCTCACTGTTGCTCTGGGGTTATATCCGATCAATTACAAGAGGAAATTCTTAAAGTTGCCCAACGAGAGAATGAACTGAGAGGCATAACTGGTGTTTTAATTTGTGTTCAGGACATGTTTTTTCAAATCATTGAGGGTCACACGGAACAAGTAGATAGATTATATCACAATATTTTGAAGGATAAGAGACATTATGATGTGGTGTGTGTTGACAAGACATACTTTAGTTTAGATGAGGAGAGATATTTTCCAACTTGGTGCATGCAGGCATTGGACATACAGAGCTTATTTGATCATTGTCTCGATCCAGCTCATTCAACAGCTGTTGGGGCTGCATTTAGGGCTTTTAAAACATTACTAGGTATGTTTCTTTATAATCAACGCCAATAATTATCATTTTTGGATTTTACTGATTCTATCTTTGAATTCAATCATGCATCTTATAAAATATAACCGCTTTGCTAACCTATCAATTCAACAGGTTCACTTTTAAATACACAACAAGTGTTTAGAAATTATGCTCAACCTGCCATTTCAAAATATTTGAGTGAAGGGGAGAACCCAATGATTAAGGAATCAGTAGAGACTGATAAGGTTATATTATTCATTGATCTTGTAAATTATACGAGTATCACCGAGAAGGTTTCAAAAACAAGGAAACCATCACAAGTGGTAAATATTTTGAATACATTCTTTGGAGTTGTTATGGAAACAGTTGAGGAATATTCTGGAGAGATAACTAAATTAATTGGTGATTGTGTAATGGTCTATTTTGATGGAAACGAATGTCAACAGGCTGTTGATTGTTCCATTGATATTTTGGAGAGACTTGAAACTTTAAGGCAAACATCTGATGATCCTTGCATTAAGATGATTTATTGTACCATTGGTATCAGCAGAGTAAGTTTTACATCTTGAAAAAAGCTCAAAAATCTTTTTAATAGGGATTGGTTATATTTGGAAATGTTGGTTCTGTGGGAAGGAAACTTGATTTTACAGTAATTGGAGACTCTGTGAATACAGCATCTAGATTACAATCATTTGCTTCCATTTCTCCACATTTTCTAATATTCGATGAGAGTGTTAGAGAGAGACTAGAAGACACAACAGAACAATGTATCGTTGAAGTTGGGGCAATAGAACTAAAAGGAAAAGAAAGGTCTGTTAAAACTTACACAATCGATCACGAACTCAATTACAAACCTTCCAAAAAAGAGATGGACCGCATAATGTCTCTATCAGCCCTCACAGAATATTGTTGAGAGAACCACGAGTGGATTCATAGAGATCTATAAGGAATTTTAAATTTGGATTATGGTGTTGTTGGCAGGTTGTATTTAATTCAATGAAAAGCTGTATGGTTTTCCATATATATAATTCACAGAGATATCAAGGAGGCAATGGTATATTTATATTTTTTGTAACCATCTTAATGGGAGAATATTTGAATAAGAAATAGTTAGCCCATTTTCCTTATTTATAATAATTGGAGACCATATTAAGGATTTGAGATTATAATCTTCATCTTTGTCTCCAACACTTCAAGGTAAAAGGGTGCCTATCCTCGAACAACACAACTCAAAAAAAAAAAAAGAACAACTCAACATCAACACCAATCATATTTTTCATCTCCAAATCACCACCACATGTCCTCCATTCAAGAACAATCTCCACAATATACTCGTGTGCAATATGTATCCCTCTCAACGCAGGGAGTCATTACAGAAAAGATAAAGTCCCAGATATTAGCCTCATCCAACAAGAACAATTCCAAGCGTCATATTACCGGCTGTTTGATATGTGTGAAGGATATGTTCTTTCAAATTATTGAGGGAAAGACAGATGATGTTGAAAATTTATATACAACTATTGTCAAGGATAAAAGACACAACAATGTTGTCTGTGTTGACAAGTCTCAGTTTTTTAATGAAGAAGAGAGAATGTTTCCTTCATGGGATATGAAATCGCTTGATGTTGACAGTTTATTCTCAGCAAAGAAGGAAGTTTTGATTTGTGGGGAGAATTGTAATCCACTGGATCCAGCACATAAACGAGTCATTGAGACTGCATTCTCTGCTTTCACAACCTTGATGGGTAGTTTGTTTAGAGCTCAACAAGTTTTCAAGAATTATGCTCAACCGAGTGTCAGCAGGTTTGTCAGAGAAGGATTGAATCCACTCTGTATTCAATCAGTTGAAACTGAAAAGATTGTACTTTTTGTTGACCTTGTAAATTATACCACCTTAACAGAAATCATTTCCCAATCGAGAAGTGCATCAGAAATTGTAAGAATACTCAATGTTTTCTTCACAATTGTTATGGAAATTGTTGAAGAATATGGAGGAGACATTACAAAATTGATTGGTGACTGTGTAATGTGTCACTTTGATGGCCATGATTCACAGAAAGCAATAGATTGCTCATTGAAAATCCTCCAACAACTAGAACTTCTCAGAAATGAAACAACCGATCCATTCGAAAAACTCATCTTTTGTACAATAGGCATATCTAAAGGAAAGGTCATTTTGGGAAATGTTGGTACAGTGGGTCGTAAATTAGACTATACTGTCATTGGTGATTCAGTTAACACATCGGCAAGATTGCAATCATTCGCTTCCTCGACTCAATATTATCTCATTTTCGATGAGAATGTAAAGAATGATTTGGAGAGTGGTGATTCAGTTATTTTCTGTGGTTCGATAGAATTGAAAGGAAAAAGAAATACTGTAAACGCCTACACAATAGAAAATGAATATAATAGAAGATTGTTGAAAGAAGATTTGAAAGCTCTCTACTGTAGTGTATCACTAGAAATGTAAATAAAATCAATACCTTATTAACTCTATGACTTGACGAGTTGTGCGATAGTTGATTCTCCTTTACTTTGTCACTGACACTAAATTGTTGATTAGTAACAATGTATCGACATTGTTCTGAATATGATCCTTTAAAAAAAATGTCATCACTGTTGGACCTCTTTGTTGAATATTGGCCATTTGTAACATTGATCGTTGGTAGTATTGGTTTACTACTCACTCTTCCTTCAATTGTTGGTAAATCTTCTGTTTTTCACTATTGGTATCTTCCATTATTCTTGTATCTGATTCACATGTTTGAAGAGCATGGAATTGATTTGTTGGGAAGAAGATTTGCTTTTCAAGCAGGGTTGTGTGCAATTTTGAAGAAGGTCTCCGGAAGTGATAGTTGTGCAGCAACTGAGCTTGTAATTTGTGTTGTGAATTGTGGAACTGTTGTCATTTTGACAACTTGTGCTGGATTGTGGAGACACACTGATAAATTTACTGGAGTAAAAGCAGGAGCAATTGGTGGAATTTTAATTAATGGACTTTCTCATATTCTCAAAGCTTTTGAAACCAAGTATGATCCAGGATTGTTGACAGCTGTCTTGTTTTTTATTCCATGCTCAGTTTGGCTCATGATTATTGAATCAAGAAAGAATGGAATTGTTAAGGTTGTCCTATTCAGTTTATTGATGGGAATTATTCTTCATGCTGTGTTGATTTCTTCACTCATTCTCTCAATGAAAGGTTTAATTGATACTTCTCTATTACCAACCATTCAAATCATTAATGGTTTCCTTCCTCTCATGATTACAATATTACAGGGTGAGGCATCATCAATTTCTGAAAGAAAAACCAAAACTAATTAGTTCTCAAACTATTTTACAGTTTTTATTTACAAATAAAACTAAACTATTGGAATAATCCATTATCTATTTACAACATGTGAATCGTAATTTTTGTCATAAGTTGAATTGTTTGGGTTATTATTTTACAACCAGAGAGAACAAAAGCTTATTGTTGAATAACGTTGATTGGTGGTGATTTTACAATTCGAGGTATTCTTTTAATCTAGCTAACCTATTATCTTCAATATTTACATCTAACAATTTCAATAAATCCTCAAGAATCAATTTTTTGTATACGTCTTTGAATAGAGGATGATGAACAGAGACAGAATAGTTATAAGCTAAACCTGTTGGAGATTTACAGGTACAAAAGTACCACTTGTTCTGAAGCTCATTCCAATCAGACCACTGAATTTTCTCCTCTTTCAAGTGTTGTTTGAGATTCTTCAAACAATGTTGACACTTAATAAATTCACCTCCAAAATGAACTCCATGGAATTCTACAAGTGTGTAAGCACCAATTTGAATTTTTTGGCATTGACAAGATTGTAAACAACCACCTGATGATCCATTCATAACACTCTCATTTGAAATAATAAAGTTGGAGTTTTCTGTCGTTAATACCAAATCATCATGTTCAACCCATTCAATTTTGCCATTTTGAACTTTTTCAGTGTAAGGTGCAAGTACTTTTCCTGTAGAAACACATAACCTCCCAAAATTGTGAAACACGTTTCTAGCCATATCATCACAAGGTGCCCATTCTTGGTATTCCTGATGCTGTGAAACGGAGGTTGAAAATTTAGTTCCTTCAATGCCTGGAAAATGTGTTGTGAAAATATCATCGTCAATTTGGAGTACAGTTGGACATGGAATGAATAAAACCTTTGGCCATTCATGCGATACTTTACAAGTCAATTTATGGATTGAAATATCCAAATAATTGAAATTGCCTATTGAGCTGGATATTGGGTCTTGATATTCCTGTTGAAACGATGGAAAAAGTTCTTCTTGTTTTTGCATGAGTTTCCACCCCTTTTCTCTAATTAGAGAAGCACCTGTATATATAACACTCTCCTCTTTTGGAAGTGTAAAATTGGTTGTTGCTTTTGCAAGTTGTCCAGTGAAAAATGTAGGTGGAGATGGATAGGATATGTGTTGATTTGTAATTACTTGTTGAGGAAGAATGTAGAAACCTGTACCAACAGCCGAAACAGTTAGAACCCTTGTCATACTCTTTTTTGTTAGTAATATCAACTCCTTAATAGAGTTTAATTTGTCAAGCCTTGAGTGAGAATATTTCAAATTGGTTGGTGGTATAATTTGAGCATCTTCATCTACCAAGAAAACGTTCCAGTAAACATCGTGAAAATGCTCCTTTGTTGAAACTGCAACATCACCTTGTTCCGATTGAGGCACCACAACTTCCAACACTTGCCTTACAAACCGCATTTTTTTTGGAAGTTTTCTTTAAGTTAAAACTTCTTAGTCCCTAGGCCAATTAAATAGTGATGATTTTAATGAAAATTTTTAACCTCTCCATATTTAAATGACTGATTTCTGCAAACACTATGATTTTTTTTGGATTTTATTAACTATTTACAATATTTATTTACAAATAAACTATTGGCATTATCTATTTACACAACATTAACAAGGATTGATACATTTACAAGGTAAAGATTTGCTTCTCGAGTTGCTTATTCATACTAGCACATTCATCAGCCAATTCACAGTCAAGGACTCTTAAAAATCTATTATCATATTCTTGTTTGCGATCACCAGCATTTCTCAAATACTGTTGAACTCTAAGATTACATTCAAATATTCTGTGAGCTGTTTCCTTTTCCATTTGAATGGAATAGCTTTCTAAATCGTTTCTGTATTGACCAATGATACTCTTTAATTGTGGATCCAAATCAGAGAGTTTGATCAATCTGGCAAATAAACTATTAGCTTTGGAATCCCTTGTATCACATGTTGTATTTTCAAGATCAGCAGTTACAGATACTTCTTGTTCAACAAAACTCTCTTGTTGTTGTAATCTAAACATTGATTGTTGGTGATACCTCTTCATAACCATCAGCGATGGGATAGGAAAATTCTTCTTAATACTTCTTCTCATTAATGTGCTTAACATCTTAGTTTTTGATTTTAATATTGTTTTGTTTTTTTCTTGTTGTAAATTAATTGATCACACTGAGAATGAGGCGAATATTTATAGCTTAGTTGATCACAAGAGAGATTGGTTCTTGTATGGAACAGCTTTTAAACTCATCTCTTGGTGTGATTCACATGGCGAAAAAAGCCTTTGAGATCAACTCTCTTACTTGTGATGGAGATAAACTTTGGATAATTTTTTTGAATAAGCCGAGAGCTAGTTATTAATGGCGGGAAAGGAATTGAAGTTCATACTCAACATTGATCCACTTGGAGTTTGAATGAAATTTTGAATTTGAATGTTTGCCGCCAAAATTTAAACCATGTTATCCAAGCTATAAATAAAATGATAAAACAAAATATCATCACACAATCAGCGTTTCATCTTTTGAAACAGCACAACAAATATCATTATTTTAATAATTTATTATTCGGAATGAGTCAGCAGGCGAACAACAAATTTTATAGTGTAAAATCGGAACAAGTTTATACAACAAATAGGATCAAGAGATTTGAAAGGACTCTGACGGAACCGAATCAATTTTCTGTTTACTCACAGAATTTGTTGGCCGGGTATTGGACCGATTTGGATAGATATTATTTTGTGGAGGAACCTAAGGAGGAACATTATGAATGGAGTGGGAGAGTAAAGAAACTTTTGAGAGATTTCACCATTCATCAACCTGACATTTTATGTCTGCAAGAAGTAGAATTGGCTTGTTTTGAAAAGGACGTTTTGGAACCTTTGCAGAAAGTAGACGAAAGTTATAGAGGTGTAGCACAGAAAAAACTTGGAGATTTCCCAGTCGGAGTTGGGTGTATCTTTAAAGAAAGCGTTTTTGAATTGGTAGAAGTTTTTGAAAGAAGTTCTGTAATTATTTTGGTATTGAAATTTAAAGCAAATGATACACTGATATATGTGTCATCTTGCCATTTGATGGGAGATCCACGAAAACCTCAAACACGTATCAACCAACTCAAATCTTATTTCAAACATCTCAAAAATTATCAGAAGGGAAAGGATCATCCTGTAATTGTAGCTGGGGACTTTAACACAGAACCAAACTCTGCTACGTATGATTATGTAGTGAATGGATTCCTCAAAGGTAAATCTGAGGAGAATGATGTTATCGCAACTGATACTGATATCAAGCACACATTCAAATTAAAAAGTGCATATAAGGAAATTAATGGCAAGGAACCTGAAATGACATTGAGAACAATTAACAGCTCACTAACCTGTGATTATCTTTTCTACACTAATGAATCTCTAAAGCTCAATAATGTAATGTCTCTTTACGAAAATGGAGATAAGACACACATGGAACGTTTAGGCTTGCCAAACTCAAAATATGGATCAGACCACTTGGGATTACAAGCACATTTTACGATTACAAAGCAATAATAAATTGTAATTTGAGGAAAATTGGCAACAAATGAATGAAACCTCCTAAAATCTGTAACACAGTGTAGTTGAGTAACAACCTTTGTGAAGTAGAAGTTCACATTAGTGTTCGCCAAGTTTCGGTTAACACTCCAAACAAACATCAATCGGAGAGTGCAAGCAAAGATGATATGATTGGTTCAATAGTAAACTACCTCCCAAAAAGTACACAAAAACAATTTAAATCCCATTGATTCACACCAACATGATCCGAACTCAAAAAAAAACACAAAAGATGACAGGCCAGCAGGTCTGTATTGGAAGAAGTCTTTCCTCTGAAGGCTACTTGATGTTGTTGACATTGATGGTAGCTATAGTTTGTCTCTCTCAAATCTCTTCAGTTTCTGGAATTACATTCTACGCCAGTATCGATTGTGGTCCTCATGGAAATTGTAGTGGCTACGCATGCCAATGTGAAAGTGGTTATATTGGCCCTCATTGTGAATATCAATGTAATGATACGGAATGTAATGGTCATGGAAAGTGCAACCCATCTTATAGTGGTTCATATGGTAGTAGTTTTTGTAAGTTTCACACATGTGCTTTTTTACAATAATATAATTACATGCGTAATTTGTTCTTTTTTTACAATAATATGATTACATATATGTAATTTGTTCATGATACAGGTAATTGTGATAAGGGTTATGGTGGCGTGAATTGTTCACAAAAGTTCGATTGTTCTTCATTGAATAATTGCTCAGCTCATGGTTATTGTTCCTACGACAATTATTGTACATGTGACTATGAGTGGACTGCTGCCAATTGTTCCCTTCCAATCACTTGTAATAAGGTCAATAATTGCTCAGGTCATGGTTATTGTTCTGGTTATCAAGCTTGTAGTTGCTCTCAAGGATGGACTGGTGCTGATTGTAATTCCGTTTACAATTGTTCACTTCTTAATAATTGCAATGGAAGAGGTATTTGTTCTGCTGATAATTATTGCTATTGTAATTCCCAAAGTGGTTATTATGGTGTCGATTGTACTACACCATACAATTGTTCAGCTTTGAATAATTGTTCAAGTCATGGTGTCTGTACAAATAACGACTATTGTACTTGTAGTGCTGGTTATTATGGAACTAATTGTTCATTGAAATATGAGTGTGTATCCAATGATGAATGTGGATTTCCAAATGGTAATTGTATGATGGGCTCTTGTTCTTGTGTTTTTGGTTGGGGAGGTGAAAAATGTCAAAAGATGATTTGTCCAAACAATTGTAATAATCATGGCAATTGTTCTTCACCTGGTTCCTGTACTTGTGATAATGGATGGCTTGGTTCTGAATGTTCTTACTCATGTTCTGGTATTGGAGGTTGTGGTATTAATGGATATTGTGCCAATAATAATTCCTGCGTTTGTTATCCAGGTTGGCAAGGTGTCAATTGTAATATTGCAAAATCTCCAAATTGTACTGCTTTTAATAATTGTTCAGGAAATGGTGATTGCATAAGTAGTTATGGAGGAGATGATTACTGCTCATGCTACCAAACTTATTATGGAGACAAGTGTGATCTCAAGTACAATTGTAGCTCTTTAAATAATTGCTCAGGTCATGGTGTCTGTACAAATATCAACTATTGTACATGTGAAGCTGGTTTTGGTGGAAAGGACTGTTCTTCAAAGCCAAACTGTACTTCTTTGAATAACTGCAGTGGTCATGGCGTGTGTACTTATGATGACTATTGTATTTGTAATCTTAATTATGGAAATGCTGATTGCTCAGTTTACAATCCTCCAATTTGTCCAAATAATTGCTCTGGTAATGGTACATGCAATCAATATAGCTCTTGTGATTGTAAGGAAGGATATTGGGGATATGATTGCACAATTACTTGTCCAAAAACAAAGAATTGTAACAGTCATGGTTTTTGTTATGCTCAAGACCAATGCTCTTGTAATGTTGGTTGGATGGGAGAAGATTGCTCAGTTCCAGAACCAAATTGCAATGCTGTTAAGAATTGTTCCTATCATGGTGTTTGTATAGAAAACAATGTTTGTGCATGCTATACTGGTTATGATGGTTTAACTTGTGCTGACTATTCATGTAGAAACGTTTCAAATTGTAATGGGCATGGCTCATGCGTTGGGGTTGATACTTGCCAGTGTAAGAGTGGTTGGAGAGGAAACTCAGATTGTTCTGCCTTCTCTTGTGAAGCTGTTAATAATTGTACTGGATTGGGAAGCTGCATTGGTCAAAATCAATGTTCAGGAAATCCATCAATCAAGTGTTATGGAGTTGTTTCAACCAGTGGTTCTGTATGTAGTGGTAAGGGTACTTGTGTTGGAACTGATAGTTGTCAATGTGTTAGTGGAGCTTTTGGATCTAATTGTAATTCATTTGCTAGAATTCCATCTAGCCAATTGGTTATTAACTCTGTCAATTTCGAGTCTGTCATTTCAATTCCAGTAACTTTGACTGGTCCAAGTACCTACACATTCAAATGGAAACAAGTTGGTGGATCTCCTTCATTGCAACTCTCTACAATTGCTGTGGGAGGTATTGTCAATGGACCTGGTTTGTACATTAACGCAAATTCTGAAACATTCAACAATGGAATGGTTGCTGGTGAAACTTACACCTTCCAAGTTAATATTACTAGAGCTGATGGATACTCTACCGTTTTGGAATCAAGCGTTCAAGTTGGTTTGAGTCCAGTGTTGAAAGCCACAATAGTCAATCCATCTGATAACTCACAAACTGGTGTTGCTGTTACTACCAAATTTACTGCTACTATTCAAGAATCCTATGATCCAAATGATTCTGAAGCTACATTAATGTACGGATATGGTTTCTACACTGAAAGTGGTTTGAAGGTTGTCTCTGTTTATTCTTCATCCAAGCAAACTAATTTAACGCTCCCATATCAAACTGGTGGCTCCGTTACTGCCTTTGTATACGTCATCAATGCACAAACTGGTAATCAAAAGGAACTCAAGTTCTCAATGAATGTTTCAAATCCAACAAGTGGAAAGTCAGCCTCAGAAGTCAATTCATTTGTTCAAAATCTTGTTACTTCAGATGCTTCGGTTTCTCAATTGTCCATAGCTGTTCAATTGTTGACCACCTCACCATCCAGTGATCCAACTGTTGTTCAACAACGTACCGATATCAAGCAACAAGTTATTACAACTCTCGTTTCTAAACCAGTAACAACTAGTGCTGAAAGAGACACTTTGTTGACAGTTCTTGTTTCAACTACTCAATCAGCCAACGAAGTATCAACTACATCAGTTACAAAGACTTTGGATTTCTTAGTTTCCCAACCATCATTGGCTCAAAACTTCAATCCATCCCAACTTGGTCAACTTGCCTCTCAAATTTTGTCAACAGCTGTTTTTAATTCGACCAGTATCTCAACTTCCACCACAAGTAAACAAGTTAGAACCATCATCGATGCTGCCATGACTGCCACAGCCTCAAACTTGGCTGCTGGACAAAGTGCTGTCAAGACATTTGGTAACATTGTTGCTGTCGTTTCAAGTAATACTCTTGATAATTTACAACCAACAATCCCAACTAATTCAATTAGCTCAGTGGGTATTAAATCAATTTCTCTCCCAACTGCTAGTTTACAAAGTTTATTCACCAACTCTGGTCTTCCATCAAGCACTTTAGTTTCCTTATCACTTTCAACGGCTCCACTCTCAATGTACTCCTTCACTCAAACTAAACTAGCCTCAACTCTTGCCAGAATCGCCTTAATTAATTCCAACAGTGCCTCTGCTATAGCTGTTGCCAATTTGACATTACCAATTGAATTCAATCTCCAACTTGGTGGTCCTGTAGAAAATGGAAAGACACCAAAATGCAAATACTTTAACGAAGTTTCTAATTCCTTCACCACTGATGGCATTGAAACTATTGTCATCTCTTCAAGTGAAATCAAGTGTAGAGTTACTCACTTGACTGATTTTGCAATTGTTCCAGAAACAAGTGGAACACCAACAAGTTCTGGTTCAGTGGTCAAGCCAAAGGATACTATTTCAGAAGGAAGTTCAGTTTCTGCAACTCTTGTTACATTATTAGTTGCTATTTTCTCAATGTTTTTCATGTTTTAAAACATTCACTTATAAATAAAAATATAATAAATTGTAATAACATTATTTGAACTGCGAACAAGTTTACAATTAAATTAGGAACTTGAAAAAAATCAATCAAAAAAAAATGCAGCAAGCAATTTCGCACGATTTGATAACAGCAGAAAGTAGAGGAGTGATTTTGGATGTCAATGAAACATCCTCTCCCTCACAAATTACAATTCAAGATGATTCCAATGATTATACTAAAATTGATTTGAAAATTGAAACCAAGTCCGATAGTCAATTAGTTCGTTTTGTAGTTTTATCGGATACTCATAGATGTCAGGGTATTTACGACTATTGGTATGATGAGAAAAATAGAAGAGATAGTTTGGATTCCATTGAGGAAAAAGAGAATAGAGAATTTATCAAATTACCGAAAGGAGATTATTTGTTACATTGTGGAGATTTTACAAATTATTGTTTACCGAGTAGGTTTGAAAAGTTTTTAGTGGAATTCTCACACAAAAAGATGAATTGAGTGAATTTAATACATTTCTTGGAAAAATTAAACATCGTTACAAACAAATTATTGTAATTCCTGGAAATGTAAGTGAATGCTGAAATATTTTGATATTTACAATTTGACTATTTAAACAGCATGAATTTGTAGGTATTTTTGAAAAATTAAAATGTTTAGATGACTCTATTAGTGTGCTGATATGTGTTCTTTATTTTTGTACAATGCAACTGTATTGTTGAATGATTTTTTAGAGCTAGAAGATGGGAAGATTACAATATTTGGATCAAGATTTAAATCATTTTGGATGAATTGGAAAATGACTGGATATGACTCTGACGCACAAAGTGACTGGTCAACTCTGACAAAACCAGTTCTCAAAGGTGAAAAAAAAGTTGACATTCTCATGACTCATCAACCACCTTATTTCAAGGAAATTTCAAATAGATTTTTCAGACGTGGAAGTAAATCTCTTAGAGAGGCCATAGAAACTGTCAAGCCAACCATAAACTTGTTCGGCCACAATCACGATATTTATGGAGTAAAGTATTCGTCAGATTATGATTTGAAAAATCAAATTGACACAACCTTTATAAGTGCTTGCTCTTTGGATTCCCATGAAAACGCAAGAAAAGTAATAGTATTCGATTATCCAATAAATAAATAATAATACAATAATTTACAATTTATCTTAATCAAATAATCCAGAACTTCCTATCAAAGCTGGGGTTGAAGGAGAAAGTGGTTCCTCTACAACTGTACTGTCCATAGTTTTCTTTTCCTTTTCATATTCTGATTGAGAAATAATGACTCTAACAAGTTCAACATAACCATCTCCATTATTAGAATCAGGAGTACCTTCTTGTTTAACTCCTTCATTGTAAGAATAAGCTGCATGAGTAACATAGTGAACTCCATAGTTATTTTGAGGTGTACATTCACCACCACCAAAACCACCTCCTCCACCACCTTAATTGTCCAATAACACAAATAAAAATTGAAAATAATTGTTAAACTATAAAATTGAAAATGATGCTTACCTTCATACAAGCTACCACCTCCACCACCAAAACCACCATTAGCTCCACAAGCATTACTGAAAGTTCCACCTTCACCACCATTCTTGAAACTCTTTCCACCAACACATTGATCGCCAGCACCTCCATCAATAAACAAACCACCACCGCCACCGCCTCTGTCACCTTTAGCTGCCTTTTGACTTCTTGCTTCGGCTGGTCCTTTCGTATACACTTGTCCTCCCTTAATTAATGTTAATTTAAAAAACTCATTCCAAAATCATCATCTACTTACTGGTGATTGAACAGTCCAACTATACCAGTTGGCACCGTTACCTCCACCTCCAATAATAAGAGGCTTCATAGTATCACTATCAACAACAAAAGTACCACCACCACCTAATTGACCAACTTTTAACAAATCAAAATTGAAAATAATACTTACCACCTCCAGCGCCACATGAACTACCATTTGTACAGTCGCCACCAACTTGACCTACAAGAATGCTCAATTCTCTGCCTCTCTTCAAGTGAAAGACACCACTGACAATAGCTCCATATCCTTCTCTGAAAGTTGTAGTATATGTATTTTTACCACCTCTTGCACCAGCTGCAGTAATTTTGTAAAATCCAGTTGCTGGAACAACCCATTTTTGAATACCATTCTCCAATTTAACCTTATTCTTTAAGAATTTACAACTATCATATTGTGAGCCAATAACTGTTGGTCCGTTTTTGCCTGTAGCACCCAAGTTTGTAAACTTGATTGACATTCCTTTTGGAAGAAAGTCATATAATACACAATCTCTTTCACGAAAATTCTTATCTTCCTTATTCTCAATCATTGCAGGATTCAAATTGAATCTCATGGCTTCATAAAGCTTTGGGAAAATGACATCTCTCTTGGAAACCAAAAGTGGATGGGAATCAACTGTCGCCAAGACCTCTCCTTCAACAATTGGGAATCTGATTTCACCCAAGAAATAGTCCAAATATTGCAATCTATTTTCCTTATCGTGCTCAATCCATCTCATCAAGGACTTGAATAAATTTCCTTCACTGCAAATGAGTTCCTTTCCAGCAAGCATGATCTTCAAGTCTTCAATTGGTAATTTAACAAAATGTTGACTTTCACAAACAGTATCAAAATCAGCAGAAATCTTAGTAAGAAGAGTCTTCTTTAAAGAGTTGATTTCTTTAAATTCTTCTAGGTATTGTGAGCAATTTTCCAAAAGAAGGAATGAAGAATCAGCATCAACAGCAGCATTTCTCATAATTTCAAGAGTCATCTCCTCAATTTCTTGCATTCCATAGGTATGAGCAAAAGTATACAAATCAATAAATTTATCCATTGTATAATCTTTTGTGCAACCAAAATACACAACCTTTAAGAAAATTTCCAATCCAAGATCAGTCACCTGTGGCAACACAAGCTCCTTGCCAATCTCGAATTCTGGAACAAAAAGAAGTTCCTTGAGTTTTGTACTCCATTTTCCTACCTATGAACCATCATGATGTTCGGATCACACAATTAATATTACAATAACATACCAATGCTCTAAGAGCAGGAAATCTCTTTCCATTCTTACTGATCAATACGCAATCAGAAGCCTCTTCATCCAAATACAAGGATGAAATCATCGACAAGGTTTTTTCTGTACATTCAATGTAGGCCTCCTCGTCAATGGCTGTCTTTTGCACAGCACCACCACCACTAGAAGAAGAGCTAGATAATGACAACATTTTTTCTGATCCGCGCGAAAATTAGTAGAACAGATAGAGTTGTTTTTTTTGATTAAAATTTTTAAAAATAATTTGTGATGATCAAGTTCATCTATGCATACTGGAAAGATAAAAACTTTTACAAAATTCAATATTGAAAGGAACTTGATGAGAGATTTTATTTAAAGGTCTTCAACGTTTGTTGATGAGAACAAACAGCAAATTCCTTTTCGTAATGAACTTTGTAAGTTAAAGAGAACTTGAGAGAAAATACAAATAATTTTCATTCATAAAAAAAATGGGAAATAGTCAACTAAGAGAACCAAAAAGAACCGCTCACACTATTGTTGAAGAAGATTTACAAGTGGTATTGAAAGAACAGAATATTATTGAACCACATAACTATTCGAATCAAAACTATTATGACAGTGATTCAGAAGAATCAAGTTTGTCAACCTGTGGTTCCAACTATGAATATGTTGATCTTTCAGAATTTTGGAATCTTCCTACTGAAATTCAACTTTACACAATGACATTTCTTCCATTGAACAATTTTTCTCGAATTATTCGGGTGTCCAAATCACTTTCCAAAAACTTATTGGAATACAATGAATTATTTACCATATACTATTTGAATGATTTCAGACCAAGAGCGATTCAAGAAAGAAAATCCTGGGTTTCTTATAGCTGGCGAGATGATCCCCCAGAAAATGACTCTGCTCTCTTTCACCTTCCTCAATCAATTGATTCTTCTCAGTATTTTCAATCTTTAGGATTTTATGGAACTTTGAAAATTATTGTGGTTGAACATGTTAATGAGAGGAAAAGGAGACGAAAGCGGGCTAACATGCCACAACCAATGTAACTCAGTTTCAAATAATATACAAATTCATAAATGGATTATCTTGAACAGCTTACACATACGCCATTGACTTGTCTATTAGAAAACAAAGAATTCTTTCATGATATTGAGAAGAGTTGGTTTCTAAAATGATCCGCATTGAGAAAGAAGGACAATGTGTTGGAAAAATCAGAGAATGTACAATGATTATTCAAAGTTTCAAGTAAACAAGTTGGTGTTGGTCTTTTGTTCGATTTTTGAATTAACATTTGAGGAAGAATTTCATGCAAGAGACAACTTTTCATTTCCTTATCCACAGAGCTCATATTAGAATTAATAATTCCATCTTGTTGAGCTTGTTGCAAGTGTTGTTGCACTTGAGATGGATCTTCCAAGCCGTCAAGTCTCTTTTGATGTAAAAGTTCAAGAATGACCAATCCTAGAGAGTAAATATCAGATCTTGGAGAAATAATGAGGGAATTAATTCTTTCTTGTTGAAAGTGAAAGGCTGTCACTTCCTTCAATAGAAATGACAGGTGTTGCATAATTCAACTTTTGGAATGTGACTTGCTTAGATGAGGATGTTTTCAAAATTTGGCTTCTAGTTGTCAATTTGAAAGTATGACTTCCAGCATTTATACTGTCATAGGTGATTGACAGTTTGCTTGAATTATTGTTTGGAAGTGTCATCATGTTGGAAGATACAATTTCCCATTTATAGGAAATTTGTTTTCCATCTGTGGAATAACTTTCACTTGCATCCAATAGAATATTTTCACAACTTGAATATGGAGGTCTATATCCTCTAGAAAATCTTTCACATCTCAATTTACCATTGTTGCAATCGAAGTATTTTCCACGTTTCAGTTTGAATGACTTTGACAGTTCATAATCTATAAGAAACCAATGTCCATCATATAGGACAATATTATCTGGTTTGATATCATTGTGTGTAATATTTCCTCTTTCCAATAATACAAGTGTGCCAAGTAAATCTTTCACAAATTGAAAAATGTCAACTTGGTCAACTTGCCCATTTCTTAACATTGTTCCCAAACATGTTCCTTTCAGTGTGAAGCAATAATCTGGATTATCACTAGGTAAATATAAACTCAAAATTGATTTTACTCCTTCATGTTGCTTCACTCTTTTGACAATACAGTCCACATTATTAATTTTGCATGATAGAAGAGATTTACCTCTCGATTCATAAAACACGTTGTAATCCATTACTTTGTATGTGATATTGTAAATATTTGCAACAGTAGGAAAGTTGCGAATTGTTACTTCTTGCAGTTTCTTCTTGTTTATGTTTCCCAACATTCGATCTTCATTGCACTCAACCATGTCCAACTCCAGCACTGAATCCAAAGATCGTTTCATTGTTTTTTTTATTGCTGAGAATCCTATGGATTTCCTTCGTTTGAATGAAACTGTAAGATAAAAGAGCTATTGCTCTGTACAATGTGATGAACTATTTTTCACAAATATTAGTGAATTTAATATTTTACATGGTCAAACATTTATGTTCTCGAATATTTGTTGTTGTGGAGTTTAAATATTTTACATCTTTTTGAATAATTTCTTTAAATAGTAATTTTAAATCAGTTTGGTTTTCATGATAATATTCAATTAAATTAATATTAATTTCATTTTTAAATTTTTCAACCATTTCCTCCAAATTATTATTATTAATTAAATCAATCTTATTTAATGTAAATACAATTGGAATGTCATTTGATTCTTTAATATTTAATATTTGTTCGATCATAAATTTTAAACTGTTAATCGACTTGAAATCAAATACATCACAAACAAGTATAAAACATTTACTGGATCGAATACATTGATCTATTTATATTAGATATATAATAATAAAATATATTGACTTACATCTCAATGCTGAATATTCCTCTGCCCCATCTATTTTCAATATTTAATATATTTCTATTCTAAATGTATTTTCATCAACTAGTATATATTTCGCATAATCATCTACACATGATAGATCATAGCATAACATATTTCTAAAATTGAAACACAATTGATGTTTTACCTAATTTGTAATTTAATAATTTAAATTTGGTACAACATTTATTGGCAATCATCTTGTTGTTATTCCCCTTGCGCATTTTTTTGTGGTTTCGTTTCAAAGTTTAAGTTTAATAACCATGCCACATTCTTTTCAAAAAATCACTATTACTCAATTATTTAAAGGAAATGAAACATTTGATAATTCTAAAGAACAATGCGTTTTTGAAGTTTAAGTTAATCAAAAGTAAAAAAAAATGGACGTAATTGGTCAGGACTGTATGTTGGAAATTGCTGGATTTCTATGCACTTCCGATGCTTTACACCTTTTACAAATTAATTCTGTATGGTATGTAATATTACATATGTTTAAAATTATATTAATATTTAAAGGCATGAATTGGTAAAATCAGATTTATTTTGGAAGATTATTTATCATCAAATGATGACTAAAAGATTACAAAGTGAGACAAGAAAGAATTGTAAGATAAGACTTGAACAATTGATTCAAAAACATATCGGAAAGAGTAAGAATATGTATAAGAGACCATGTGTCAAGGACGGAGAATTAGTATTCTTGAAAATTCTCAAAAAGGAGATTGACAGTAAAAGGTTTAGAAATCGTGCTGAAACCCTTAACAAGCTGTTAGTTACAAATGTTAACTATTATACTGATGATAAAATAGCGATTGGTTGCCTCAAGAATATTTGGAACGGAATTCAGAATGGAATAAGACCTATGATAGCTGCTTACAATCTCTTGGGAAAAAAACACCCAATCTCTGTAAGATTATCTGAAAAAATTAGATACCGTTTCCAAAGTGATATACACTATTCACAGATACAAATTAATTACTATCACAATCCAAAAAAACTTGTAGACGCCATTTATGAGCTACTTAATACTGTTGGAGCAGACCTGATTGAAATTGATGATATGATTGCCTTGTCAATTTTAGAGCTTGCTCACCAATTTAAACAAACAGATTTATTCAAAAAGGCATTGAGCAAAATTGTAGAATTTGGATTAAGCTCTTATGGTATTGCACATCTTGAATCAACAGATAAGAGCAAAATCTTTTTAACTTTAGTGACAGATAAGCCATTTGAGTGTTTACATCTCGATCAGTTTTTAAAGTTGATAATCTCATGTTTTGAGAGCAAGGCTAAAGCCATTGAACATCTTTCTAGTGAATTAGGTACATGCAATTGGAGCACAATTACTGCTGAAAAGTTGCATTTTTTGTTGGAGAATGGTTTCTCAATAATACCACCTATTAACCATCAGCAACAACAACATGGTGAATCTAAATAGGCATTTTCGAATTAAATAATAAAACGTAACGCTTTTTCTCAAAATCTTAACGTTACACAAACTGGCGCCAAAAATTTGAAAAGAATCAAAAAAAAAGTGAGAACAACAACAGCTGGAAGAGGCTAAACCACATTTTGTTGCACTTTACTCTCGAGAGAACAATTACCAACAACAATCACAACAAGACAATATATGAACCATCAATTTTCTCATCCTTCCTCCCTGAAGAATACAAATAATAATAACCTGATACGAGCACCCTTCCTTTCACCTCCATCCAAAATAACACAACCAAAAACACATATTGATACTCCCGTGGTCACCCAGAGAACAATGTTCAATAATAATCATCAACAGCATCACTCCTCACTACCATCAGGAACACAGGATGATAGTGTATTAAATAACAGAGACCGTTTACGAAGACAACACCTGAATAGACATAATATGCCCTCCACACCAACACTTGGAAAATCCAATCACTTTCAAGAGAATGCCAATCCAACAACAACAACCTGGACAACCTGGTACTTCATTCACAATAGAATTATCTACAGCACCAAAGAAAGGTCCACCACAACACTTGTTAGAACGTTTAAGTAAAAAGACAAGTGTAGCAAAGAGTGTCAAGGATTCCGAAATGGGTGATGGAAACAATACACAAATGCAACAACCAGCCACAACAACAGCAGCAACTACTACTGGTAGTGCTAATAACACTGCAATCACAGCCAATCAGAGAAGACAAACTATTTTGGAATTCCAAAAGAGAAAGAGTACAACAGCAACAACTCTTAAAAATTCCCTCAATAAGCCAACACAAACTAATCCTCCTAATTTAACATACACTACCTTTGATACAAATGGTCTGACATTGGACGATGATTTGGAAATTGGATTTGAGAAATCTGGGTCTCCTATTGTTTCATTGAATGGATTGAATAGAGCCAGTCAGCCTTCTCCAAATAATTTTGCTTTTGGAGCTCAACAAAATGTAAATAGTCAACCAAACATTCCTGCTCAACAAGGTTTCCAACAACCACAACAATTTGGTGGGTTCAATCAACAACAAGAGAATAATCAACCAAACCCTCAATGGCAAATTGAACAACAACAATTAGAACAACAGCAACGAGTGGCAGAACAACAAAAGCTTGAACAGCAACAATTGGAGCAACAGAGAATGACAGAACAGCAAAGAGTTGCTGCTGAGCAACTCCTTCAACAACAACAATTGGAACAACAGAGAATGGCTGAGCAACAACGTTTAAGGGATCAGCAACAACAGCAACAATTGGATCAACTCAATGAGCAACAACGTGCTGCAGCAGAGCAACAAATTCTTCAACAAAAGCAAATGGAACAACAAAGAATGCTAGATCAGCAACGTATTGAACAAGAAAAGCTTCAACAACAATTTGCTGAGCAACAACGTAATGCAGAACAGCAAAGAATTGCTGCCGAGCAACAACATTTGCTTCAACAACAACAAATGTGGCAAGCTCAACAAGTTTCCCATCAACCTCAACCTCAATCTCAAATGCAATATATTCCAGTTTACCAAACTGTTCCATCTGAAGAAGTTCAAAGAATGATTCATGAAGTGCAACGTCAACAGGCTGAATTCGAAAGACAAAGACAAGCCCAGATGGAAATAATTCAAAGAGAAAGAGCTGAACTTGAACTGGGAAGGGAATTGTTGAGGAGACAACAACTTGAACTCCAAGCCAAATTGAATGAAGTTGATCAAATCAAGATGGGATTACCTCCATCAACTGAAAGAAGAAACTCGATCGATGCTCGTAGAAATGAAGTAGAAGCCAACAGAAATATCAAAAGAACAGCTCAAAGACAAGAGATTATTAAATCAAAGAGAGAACTTAACTTGCTTAATGTTGACAAATTGTCGAGAACCTCAAGAGAAATCAAGAGAGAAGAAAGAGAAGAAGAAAAGAAGAGAACTAGATCCATGTTACCAGAAGGCATTTTCTCACCACCAAGAGCCAAACCAACACTCTCAAGGCCATCCATGTATGGTTCAAGAACCACTCCATCCTCCGTTACTAAATCAGATATCAGCACTGGTAGAAAAACAATTGAGACACCAACTTCTCTATACAGCCCTGCATCCTCAATGAGGGGAAGTATTAGATCGAGTGTTTCGACATCTAAGTCCAACTCTAGGGAAATGGCTTCTCCATCAAACCAATTGAGTAAGAGAAAGCAAATGGTTTTGGAAAAGACAAGAAGAAAAGCAGAAGAATTTTCTCGTAAATCAACATCCAATAATAATACTCCATGTCAACATTAATTTATTGACATATGATAAAATTATTTGTACTATTTCAAATTTCAAATTTTTAATTCTTGTATGGATTGAAACCTTTGCCTGCTCTAGGTATTGAGCTAGCAACTATTCTAGGATTATGTTCCAAGAAGCGCATGAAATTATGTTTATCCACATAAGCAGCTTCTGCTGTAATATCCATCAAGTGATTCCATTTCTTTCCTTTGATTCCAACAAAGATATAGTCACCCTTTCTCTTCAAATGTTTCATTGAGTTTTCTGATACTTTGCTAGCAACATCCTCAGTCAAAAAGAGATTATATTTCAAATTTTCCATGGAGTTTTGTGGAATATTAATGTGATCTACTGGGACTATAGTATCCTTATAATTTCCCCATCCAAATTTAGCTGTAACAATTCTGAGAGTTTTCTCATCAATAAGTCCAAATTCCAAAATATTATGTCTTGCATAATAAGCAATACCAGCAATAACACCAACAGCTGCCAATCCATATCCAAGTCCAATCAATATTTTAGTTGTCAATGATGCTTCCTCTTTGTTGCCATGTTCATCAAGTTTTACCATAGTCATTGTAAAATAGGCCAATAATGAAAGCGTTACAGCATTAATCATTGAAGCAATAAAGGCAAACTTGAAAAACCTAGCCTTTGGATTACGATAAAGAAGAATATAATTATTAGGCACTGGCTCTTGATTTTTAGGAGGTGTTATAAGTGATTTTACATCTACAGTACTATCATCAGCTTTGGTTTGTTGTTGATGTTGAATAATTGGCACTTTGCTATTTAATTGAGTACTAATATGAAAACTTCTAGTAACACCATTCCGAGCAAGAATTAATAATGTTGATGATGGCGATGATGAAATTGTATGTGTCTTTCTCAAAGAAGAACCCGATGAAAGCAATCTTTGCATTTTTTTCTAAAGGTGGCGCTAATAACTAGAATTACTTTATTAGTTTTTCAATATTAAAAAAGTGCAGCGTACGGTCTGTCAGCTGACTCGATATAAAAACTCGATTTTGCCAACATGAACATTTAAAATTCATATTAAATTGATGCAAAATAATATTATGTTTTTTCCTAATTAAATTTGATATTATCAAAATTGATAAGTTAGTTGTTACTTTTTCAATTTTTGAGCCTCCGATTTAATTTCTTTTACACAAGCTGCTAGAGCTTCAGGGTTAATTCCCATCTCACATAGATTCATAATGATGGCTAAACTCTCCCGATCAAGTCCTGCTCCTAAAATATTACTCATTTCGTGAGCAACTATGAATTCATAGTGAACACTATACATTTCAATTATAAAACCTACTTTCCAAAGTTTCTTGTGTTTCCTTGATGAGATTTTCCGAAGATGATGAAGATCCTAGGGAGTTATTTGAAGACATTTTTTGTTGTATTTATTGATTCTGGTTTTTTATTTTCTTTTGGAGGGAAGTTAGTTTTCTCCTCAACAGTAACACATCATTGTTGAAACCTTCAATATCAAGAGTTCTTCGTTTTGCCAACTCTTTGTATTTCTTGTGGAGTTTTTGCATTTTCATTTCCATCTTTTTAGTTTTGAGATTGTACTCCTCCTTTTTGGCAGCCAATTGATCTTGTAAATGCATGATATCATTCTCTTTCATGATGGTTTGCTCTCTGAAATATTTGGCATATTCTTCAGTTTGTTCTCTCGCATTACTAATGAGAAGATGGGCTTCTTCTTGAGATCTCTCCTTCAGTTTGTCAATTTGTTTTCTAAGGAAAATATTCTCTTGTTTGAGTTTTTCAATATTTTCTCCTTGTTTTCTGATTTCAGTTTTGAGATTGTGGGTTGTGACGAAATATTCTCTATTACTGATATTGAGTTTTTTGTGACAATCTTCATAATCTCTTTGTAATTTGAGAATTGTTGCTTTATCACGCTCTCTTCTCTTTTCTTCCTCTTCAATCATTATCATTCGTTCCTTCATAAGGGATTCTTCCTTTTCCCTTGAGAGTTTGAGATGTTCATCGAGTTTAGCTTGTAAAGATTCCACTTGTAGTAATAATGTGTCTGTTTTTTCATTTGGAATAATAATTGTTCTCAAAATTCTTGAAGGTTGTTGCTGTTGAGCAAAGTTAGTATTTGTACAGACTTTAGGTTTAACTTGTTGATATTTAGTATTGTTTGCGGCTCTGTTGTCGCTTGAGCTTTTAATGTATTCTTCTATACAGGTTTCCTTATTAGAATAATTTTGTATATTTTCTTTTTTCGATTCGTTATTATTGACCTTACTGGTCTTTGTATTGAGGACATATTTTGTTATTTGGTCTGGACGACAATCTTTAAAATAGGTCACTTCCTGCGTCACTGGTTGTGTGAGTGCAAGCAAGTCTCTTATTTTCTTTCTGTCCTCCATTTCTTGAACTGTTGAAAAGGTTGATGATTAATTTCATTCAGAATACACTTACTTTTGAGAGCATCATTTTGATGTTGCAAATGCATTGAATGTTCTCTTTCGTCGAAGATATGAAGTTGTGCACCGGAGAGAGCCCTCCTAAGAGCATCAATTTCATCTTCTCTCCTTCTCAGTTCCCACTCTTGATCGTGAAACTTTTGATATTGTATTTGTATATCGTTCATCTTTCGACACATGTCCTCCCGTTCCTTCTCCATTTCAGCTGAATAACAAAGAATATATTAAGAATGTGTATTTGTGAATACGTACCCACTTTCTTTTTATAAAAATCCATCGTGTTATCAATGGCAGGATCTACTGGTTGTGTTCCTAACATCATTAAGGTTGCTTGATTGTTCAAATTCATCACTTGAGAAGAGGAAATTCCCTGTGGTGATGATGAAGGCGGGTTTCCTTGACTCATTTTTTATTCTAAAATCATTTGAAAGGGTTTGTACATAGGGCGCCAAATTTTGGAGGGAAATACTTGTCCATGTAGTGCATGTGGCGCCAATTTCCAATGAATAAGAAAGAAAAAAATATGAGAAAAAGCTCCTCTCCGTATCAAGTATCACCAACCAATAATGCAAAACGTAATTCTAGGACAAGTACAGCCTCAACCCTAACAGGCACTTTCACTTCACTTCTCAAATTTATGGAAAGGGTAATGGTGGGGTTTTGTATAAGGCAAAACCAACTCCACAAAAGAAGAAGGAATGGGATGTAAGTGAATTGATTCAAAAATTGTTCATCAATGATGAGGATAGAATACAATACACGACTTGAAAGTTTATAAATTAACTAAAGAAGAACTGGAAGCAAAGAAGAGAGCGAGAATCTCTAAAAATCAAGAATTTTATAGAGTTGACACTCCGACTAATGAAAGACCTTGTTCTGCACCTCCTTCAAGACCTAAGAAAACTCCAATCAAAGAACAACCAACTGTTTCACCTAAAACTCCAAAGAGCATGCCAACTCCAACAAAAAATACTTTCAAATCAAATACAAAGAAAACCACTAGTACCACCCCTAAGAAAACATTTACTCCTCAATCAGCAGCTAAGATTGCCAGCAATATTGACCTGGACAGTACACAATTCTTGTCTCCACTCAAATTGAAACCCCCACCCCAATTAGATTTACTTCCTCTCACCTCACGCATTCTTCAACAAGAGATTTCAGAAACTTCAAGCGAAAGTGAGAAGGATAAGAGTTTGAATATAAGCGAAGAATTCTTCCAAGAAGATGATTATCATAGATTTGGTGAGTGGAGTAGCAATATTCAACAAAATTCAGCAGATCCATTCAAAGTGCCAATTGGAGCATCTGACAATGTTCGAGGAAATGAACTTGATTTAATTAAGAACGAGCTTAGTGAACTCAGAAGCAATATGATAAAACTTGATCCAAATGCAAGAATAGTCGAGAAAAAACTTGAGGAAAGAAAGCAAAGAGAATTTGAATTAGAGGAAAAATCAATGATGTTACAACACGAGTTGGATATTTCCAGACAATCCTATGCAGAACTGGAAGAACGATTCTCAAAATACAGAGAAGATACAGAGGATAGAGAAATGACTATGCTTCAAAAAATAGAAGAACTTACACAATTGCTTATGCAACAAGCAAAAGGCATGTACCCTGGAAAGGAATAGTATGAGTATGAATAATCTAAATGATATGGGGAGTTTTAACTATCTCGTGGATAATCAGCACTCTGTGTACAGCAACAGCTATTCAAATGACGAACAGTATGGTGAAGATGAAACTGAGCACAATATCACACCAACAAATTCCACTCCTTCGAAACCATCCCCTCAAACAGACTTTATCATCAATGGAAGGCCTGTACTGAAAAATATCGCCTCTGAACAAGACATTGCTAGATCACCAACAAGGAATCAATCTCATTTCCCACAACCTATAATGAGATTTGAAACTAATCCTTTACTTGCAAAGGTAACTCCCTCAAAAACAAGAGTTCCATATAGTGAGGAAAATAAGGAAAACATGATGACAGAATATTCAGAGAAATTGAGTGATGATGTTTCTCCATTTGCAACTTATAGATATCCAGTCGACGATCAAGATGGAGCTATTGAAATTCATAGACCTTTAATTGTAGGAAGAGACTTTTCAAATACAATCCAAAACAATACCGTGGTAACAAAACAACATAAGGATTTCTCTCCTCCAAATTCAGGAAGAGGACTTATGTTGCCTCCTCAATCCAAAGTTAGAAAGTTTAATATTCGAGAAAAACACTAATAAACTAATAGAAAATACTCTTTACTCAATCTTGAGGCTTATTCAGGAAATTAGGTTTTTTGTGCGATAATTGTAAAACTAAAATATTGAACGATTTTTAATTAAAAAAAAATGCAATAACATGTCGGGATTGAATTTTGTCAAGTCAAACAAGGAAATCGATTCAATGATGTTATCACCAACAAGTGGAAAAATAAAAGATGAAAAGAAAGTAGATAATAATTTGGGAAATATTTCTATGGACACACCTATGGATTCGGCCATTCTTCCTTCATCATCTAATGTTGATTCGGAAAGGAGAGTATTTTCAACACCTCCTCCTCATCCAGTTGCTGCCCAACATTATTATAGAAAATTATTTTCCGATCAACAGGAACCAATAAGAAACGAAGAACAATTGAATGATAATAGTCATCCTAATAATAACAATTTTAAAAGCAATAATGCAATTTATCCGTCATCATTATCTGGAGCTGCTGGATTTATTACACCATATGCTCAACCAATTTATACGATGATGGCACCACAAGCATTCCAACCATATCCAGCCTCTTATCAACCTACTACTTCTGTTCAACCCACTATTTCTTCAATAGTTACAGATTCTTTGCTATCCTTGATTAAATACTTGATTTTCTTCCTTCTCTCATTGGGTATTTTCAAGGTAGGAAAGAGATGGATTCTTTCTCTTTTGAAAAACTATAGAATTATTGAGAGAGTACCCTCAAGAAAGGAATCAGAGCTTGTGGTAAAACCAGAAATTAAACTAGAAAAAAGAGAAGAGGAAGAATATTCAAATATTAACGAATCAGAACCAAGAGAACAACAGCAACAACAAAGGGAGAATGTAAAACCAACAAGTGGAGAATCTACAAATCCTAGTTTGGATTTTAATAGTATGATGTTTTTACAAAGAGAAATATTTGATTTAAAATTATCTTTAAATGAAATGAAAACTAAAATGGGAGAAATGAATAATCAGGCCATTTCCAATACGTTATTAAAACAAATGGAATTGCAACAGGAACAACAAAAGATGATCCTCTCCCAAACACTCTCCAAAAATGACAAATCAACCTCTTCTGATGAGCTTCACCGTGAACTTAATAATTTGAGAAATGATTTATCTCAAATGAAAGGAATGATGATGGTCAATCATCAACCTTACACTGTAGCTCCACCAATTATTCACAGAGAGCCAGTCCAATACTATCCAAAATATAGTACTCAATCAGTTTCCCCAGCTACCAGCTCTAGCTCCAACGAGAACAAGCTTATTGAACACAATTTGACAAGTAGTATCAAGACAAGCTCACCACCTACTAGAAAAGAAGGAAAAGCCCCTTCACCTGTAAATTACCTTAATTCTTACAGCACAACTGACCCAACAAATTATGAATCAGGTATTTCCAAACGTTCTCAACCTTCTATTGAGATGCCACAGCAACCTACAGAAGAAAAAACCAACTCAGCTCAAGAAGCAACACAAGAACATGTTGAATCAAAAACAACACCGACCAATGAGGAAAAGACTGATGAATCACAATTTGAATATGGGCAAAAATTCGAACCAATCACAGAGGAAGAATATGATCAAGTTTATGGTGAATATCTGAATTCTCTAGGTAAACGATTCGAAGATCAAGTAAATTTCCATACACACGCCGAACCTACACCCTCTGAAACTAAAACTGAGAATGCTACTGTTGAGGAAACCATCCCAGTTCAAGAAAGCAACCCTGTAGCTCAAAATAATGAGAACAATTCACTTGAAACTGAAACTCCAATGACAAGTAATATCACCACAAGCAAACCATTCGATGAGGTTGACGTATTCAATATTTTGAAAACACCAACACTATCATTCGATGAATTATTTGTCAAGGCCTCTCCAAAGCAACCTGAAGCATCCTCTGTTTTCAATGATGTAACTTCTCCATCAGTATCTATTGAGAATAATAATGCTGTTACTGAAAGCTCACCATCATTTGTAACACCTCAGGCTAGTTCTTCAATTCAGGAGGCTGCCAGAGAGTTGAGAAAAACTCAACTCACTGCCAAACAAAAGAAATCCAAGATATTTGGTGTATTGTTAGCCCCTGAAAAGAAGACAAAGAAAAAAAGACCAGCCAAAACAACTACACCTGAAACCCAAGAAGCGCCAAAGGAGTCAACTCCAAACACAATTTCTATTGAAACTAGCATATTGTCAGAGAGTGAAAAATCAATTGAAAATTCACCTGAAGCGGTACTACCAGTCAACAATTTCGCTCCAGAAATTCCAATCAGCATGAACACTCTCTCCAATCCAATTATTGATCCTCCTTCAACAGAATCTTTTGAAAAGTTTGAAACGTATAATTTTGAAAATGATGAAAGGTTCCAAAGAATGTTAAGTCTCACAGCTGACGACGAAGATTGCCCAATCAATAAGGATGATCCAAACTTTTTATTAATGCAAAAAGGAATATATTTTAAACAATTGTTAGGAAATGATGACTTTGATTTAGAGGCCTACATGAAGGTAAAAGGAATTGAAACCAATCAACAGAATAATTGATGATTTACATTTCAGGAACATTAATTAATGAATATTGTGTTTATCTGTGACACTGAGTCTATCACAATAGAAAGGAAAAACAACAAAGATCTGATTTTTCTCATTATATGCTATCCTTCCATTTTTTGATTCATATACTTGTGGAATTGTTAATCCAAAAAGTTCTAAATAAAGCTCTGAAATCTCCTGTTCTAAATTAACCTCTTCCATCTTTTTTGAAATACCTCCCACAACCAATGTTTTGCTTATAGTGGATGATGCTGAAACATTTGGACCAGTGAGACCTGGCCAAATTTGAATGTGTGTCTCCATAGAAATAAGCTGTTCTACCTCGGTTATCGTATCATCATCATGCTTGTCGAAAGTTGAAGAACGATGATAAATTAAAGCTTGGCTTTCATATTTGGTTTTGAGAGATTTAAACGAATCTAGGTAATGTAGGAGAAATTCACCATCTGAAATAGATTCCAAAAATGTTGAGTTTTTGTATTTGGGTGGATAAAGGGTTCTCAATTTTCTGATTGAAACCCTTTTCAAGTCTCTGTGACTTGTTTTCCAGTTAGCTTTGGAATAGTCTATTAAATAGTGAAATATTTCATGTTTGAATTTCTCCTTGATATCATTATATGCAACCCTAAATAAATTGTGCAAAAGTAAACACGGCATCCATTTAACAATTTCTATATATTTATGTTCTCTTGTTGATTGTTCCAATTGGTTATTGACTCTTACTAATGTATCCGATCTAAATCCAACTCGTGAAAATGTGTTATTATAAAATTCCTGCAAAACTTTCCTAAATTTTACACTTTTAAATCCTGATCCCCAGTTGAATCCATCAAAATATTCCTTTTCCAATATAAAACCATCACAAAATCTGGATGCCAACCTGAAAACAGCATTTCCGAAAACACATCTATCCGTATTGACTTGTTGTAATTGTTCATGGAAAAATCTATTCGATAATTCCAACAAATAAATTGAAGGGATTTCCAAATAGGAGAGTATACAATTACATAAATCCTCATTATCGGTAAACAGAGAGAACAAGCTTTCTTCTGCCATTTTTTTAAATAATTAATTGATCATTGTTTAATCTATTAATATATTTAATATGATCCAACACTCATTGTAACAAATTTCATTACAATTATTGCTTTGAGTGTGCCAGCAATGCATCAACCCAAGAACACAACTTTTCTGCAACCATTGAAATATTGCCATAACTATTCTCCAAAATTCCTTGATGATTATTTACAAAAATTGTGGCCTTCTCTAAGGTTTCCTTAGATACAGACTCGATAGCAACAATTCTCGATCTAATATCCACACTTCCAGTAAGTTCTCTCATTATGTCTTTCCAATCATATAAACCCTCCTCTTCAGTGGCTATGTTCTTTTTACTCTCCAACAAGATCATCACAAGGGAAAACATGATTGGCAATTTTGCTGGAGGTCTGCAGAATGACATCATTTCATTAAATCCGTGTCTCTCAAGTTTTTGAACATTGGAGCGTGCTTGATCTAATCTTTCCCTTGTTGAAGACATTTTTTTAAAATTGAAACTTTAAGGTTTTGAGAGATTGAAAAAAACTGTAGAAATACTCATTAACAAAGTTCATCAGTAAAGAATTAATTGTAGTGGATATAAGATAAGGAAATAGTATATGAATGGAATGCAGATACCTTCAAGTGATGTAGATGAAAGGTTTAGAGTATACTCTAAAGTAAACTGTCTTTGTTTGTGAATATTCCAAATGCATCTAATCGACATAAAGTGTTGTTGGCTCAATTTTGAGTTGATTCTACATGATTAATCAAAGCGAGTGACCACGAAACCAATAAATAGGCAATGGATAAAGAGCATTTTCCCAAAGAATTTTCATTAAAAGCATCTGGATGACGATTAATAAAGATTTTTGCCTTATCAAGAGTGTCTTTGGAGATTGTGTCCATCTTTGTTATCGAATCAATAAGATCAGAATTATTCAATCTCTTAACAATTTCCAACCATTCATAAATTTGATCATTAGGAAGTGACTCCTTCCTTGGTTGTGTTTCGAGAAGAATGAGCACCAAACTTAACATTTCAATAAGCTTTGTAGGAGGACATTTAAAAGCCATCAATTCCGAAAAATCACTTCTTCTGCACTGAGATTTAATTGAGGCTCGTGCCTGTTCAAGTTTTTCAAATGATGTTGATGAAGATGAAAGTGACATTTTTTTCTTGTTCTTTTTATGAACCTAAAACTACAGTGGCCCTTGAGTCTCAAACTCATCAAATATGAACTCTGGTTGTATTTTTCTATTAATTTAGGTTGACATTCAATAATATACGACTTTACAATCTCAATTCGATTTAGCTCATGCTCTGATAGTACAACCGAGATTGAGTGATTAATGCTCACTTCCATCCATCATTTGTGCATGCTCTTTTAATACGCACGCATTTATTGTTTTTTATTGCTGTACACGCTTGAGCGGCATAATCAAAAAACAAGAATCAAAAAAAAAGGCGTATTTGCTACCTCTGCCACATCCAAACCCATCATCACATTCCGTTCCTTGTGTGTTGTTGACTAATTATTTATTGTCTCCCATTGTGTTACCTCTTCTTCTTTCACTCACTTACCATAATTGAAATACTTTTCAATGTCATCAGTAACTAGCAATACTTCCACAAGTACCTCTACCAACGCTACTAATAGTAGAGAATCATCAAGAATCATAAAGGCCAAGAATTTGAGTCAACATGAAGCCTTGTTAGAAACAGAAGAACATTATGAAACCTTCTTGGATGCTAGCAAGGACAGTAAATTGCACTCAGATAAAGTATGGATAAAGCCTGACCCAAGCATTTTCAAGTCGGAAAATGTAAAGAATCTTGTTGAACAATTCCAACAACAGCATCAATCGTCAGATGACGAATATTCATTAACTCTCCAATTATTCCCTGATACCACCACCTGTCCTAATTCTCATGATGATTTAGTCTTGTCAGCTGTTATTCACACTCTCCAAGAATTGAAAAGATCCCACGTTGACCTTTTACTCATCAAAGTTTCCAATTCAAAGCATTTGTTGAAATATTGGGCCGATATGGAATTACTTGTTGAAAATAACCTTGTCAAACAAATTGGTATTTGTGATATTGAAGTTAATGATCTCGAGCACTTGGTATCACAAGTTAAAATTATGCCAAATGTTGTTCAAGTCAACCTTGCCTCCTATGAATCCATTGAATCTATTAGTGAATTATCACAATATTGTACAGGACATTCAATTAAGGTTTTAACTGGTTCCAGAGGCTCATTCTCTGATTTTGCAAATGCTGGCGCTAAAGCCGCAGGTTCAAAAGATATTCAATTGAATTGGGTTGTCAGATATTCCCTCCTCTCTAGACCAACATCAGTAGTCTCAGATATGGGATTCCTGGTCAAATTGGATGGAACTGAAAAATGTACATGCATTTCAAATCAAGACCAAAATTCTCTGTAAATATTTCAATTAAATTATTTGCTCCTTAATCTCAAGTTTCAATCGAAATTCTAAAGTGCATTCTACCAATACCATGTCTAAATGTTTTCCACAAGAAACAAGATGAATTTCATTCGTTGTCACACTTACCATCAATGTCACTGAAAATTTCCTCGACCAATGGATTTGATAAATGATGAGGGAATGGATTTGAAAAGATAAGAATCAGAATCCTCATCTTTGTTTGATATTCCTATTTGAGGACCGATTGGTGACCTTTCGCATTGTTCAGCAAAGTTTAACAAAATGAAAGTTCAATTCTGACAACCGAAGTTAAAGAACATATGATTTTTGTTAAACTTTAATGAACCAATTTATTGAACAAAAAGGCATCTATGATTCTTCGTTAACGTCATACAGTACAAGACTATTTGATATACTACACTTTTATTTAATTATTTGTTTACTTAGCCTCCTTAATTACTTTTTATTCATAAAGTTTGAGAATTGTAAATATTTCCAATTAAATTATTTTCTTAATATCTCAATTTGAGGATAACCTTCTTTTTGAATCAATATCATGGAAATTCAATTCCGTATTTCTAGAGAGATTACAAAATCTATTAATATCATGCTTGTTTTCAACAGTATTTCCAAGCAGAAATTGAACTTGCTGGGAAATTTCAATCGTCATTTTATAAAAAAATTTCTAAACAATGAGCGTAAGTTTTGGATTTTAGCTAAATTTTTTTTATCATGATTTTAACACTGTGAACTCGAACTCGCTAATAATATTGTTGTGTTGCTTTACATTGATGAAACTACAAAATATTTACTACTTTTTGTGATGATTGTGGTGCTCTGTCTTCCTTTGTTTAAAAATTGTTATTTTATGATCATAAAATTGTACAATGAACTCTTCCTACTTGGTTAAACAATATTGCCACTGTGCCTAATTTTTCGACCCAAATAATGATGATAACACATAATGTTATTATATTGTACTCTCCATATAATAATAATTGTAATAATAATTTGATCAAATAGTCAAAACTTAAATTAACCTCCACACAAAAGAATACACTCCAACAATTCCGTAATATTACATCAACATCCGAGAAGGTTGCCACAGATTTCCTCAAAAAGTCAAACTGGGAATTGGATAGAGCTGTTGATGATTATTACAATAGTACTAATGGTGGTTTGAGCTCTGTCACCTTGTCTAAAGAAATGGAAGAAGCCTTTGAAAAATACAAACAAGCCAGTAACAATACAAACGAAGACACTATCAACAATGTTACTCTTGATGGTATTTTGGAACTTGCCAAAGACTTGGAAACTGATCCAGAATCAGATCCTCTCATCTTTGTTTTATTCTACAAACTTGGTTGCAAGTCGGCCTATAATATTACTCCTGATGAATGGAAGCAAGGTATGGGTGGTGATTTAAAGGTCACAAAGATGGATCAATTGAAGAAGAAGATTAGTCAAGTCAAGTCTGATATTTACAATGATAATCAACTATTCAAAGACTTTTATGAATATGTTTTTGATTACTCTTTGGATGAAGGAGCAAAGACTGTTCCACCAGATATTGCTATCGGTCAATGGAAATTGATTATGAAGGGAAAGTACAAATTCTTGGATGCTTGGTGTGAATATATAGAAAAGGTCTTCAAGAAGGCTATTACAGCTGACACTTGGAAACTCTTCTTGGACTTTACCAAGAATTATGCCACTGGTGACTATAAGGATTACGATGCTGATGCAGGTGCTTGGCCAGTTGCTATTGATGATTTCTGTGTTTGGCATCAAGAAAAGTTGAAGAAATAAACATCTTCAACCTCTAGTGTAATAATATTATTAATTTTGCATTAATAGTTAAAAATTAAATTTAAAATTAAATAATTAAAAAAAATAATAACAATGGTTGTCTTCAAACAAAGAACAGTTTCAATTTGTGCATCAAAGAGAGGTTTTCATCTTGTCACTGATAAAATTCTCAAACAAATTCAACAAGATTTAAATGGTGTTTCTATTGGATTATGTAATTTATTCATTCAACATACTTCGGCTTCATTGACAGTGAATGAAAATTATGATCCTTCTGTTAGACACGATTTAGAAGAGTCTTTTAATAGGCTTGCACCTGAAAATCAATCATACTATCAACATACTATGGAAGGTTAGTTATTTAATAATAATAAGAAGGATATTAATAATGGCATGATAATTGAATAATTTAGGCTCCGATGATATGCCTGCTCATATTAAAACTGTATTGATTGGTCCATCGATTACTATTCCTATCACAAATGGAAAATTAAACCTTGGAACCTGGCAGGGCATCTACTTGTGCGAACATCGTGATCATCCTTCTGATAGAAAGATTGTTGTTACCATTCAAGGACAATAATTCATTTTCTATCGTAATTTGACAATTGTTATCATGAAAATATTCACACAAATTTATAGTTTATATTATTTAGAATCTAATGTTGGAATTATGTTAAATGGTATTGAATAACAACCCAAATAATTTTAAAATAATTAGTAATATTAATAGTACATTATTGATTTTCAATTTGGAGGAATTACTAGCAAGTTTATCCTGATTAATTCTCGAATTTTCAAAAATCCAATCTTTATAATTGTAAACTTTTGTAAAGACACTCCTTTTCCAAATCTTTCCACAACTATTGGTTGGACCAAAACTTGTCACACCAATTAATGATTTGTCGTTGCAAGTGTTTCCAAGTTGAATTAATGGGCCACCAGAATCACCTTGACTTTGAATTTTAAAATAGTTCTGAAATGATACAACATCAAAAACCTACCATGATGAATGACCATTACCCTTTCCAACACACCATTGATCTCTTTGCTCATTGAGCTCTAACCCCATTGAAGTACAGTCACTGATATTTGTAATATATGTAGGAGTTTCATGCAGTATTCTTTCATCATTGATTGTATCATATTCATTAGTGAATCCCCATCCAGCTATCATCAAACGAGATGTATTAGACCATGGTTGATTATAGTCTGATATCACTATAGAAAGATTAAGCATTGGAGTTTTAGTGTAGATAATTGCAAGGTCATTGATCATTTTAAAAGGAGAATATTCTGGGTGAACGATAATACGGTCAATTTCAATATTTTCACATTTGTTGTTTGTTAATTTTTGAAATTGATCCTGGCAATTTGAAAGATTCGTTTCGCCCAATACGATGGCAGTATTATCAATGTCGATTGGCGTTGTAAGGGCATCCCCTTTAAAACAACAGTGTGCTGCTGTTAGCACGTGATAATCCGAAATAATGGTTCCTGCACAGTAATGCATTCCATTCTTTTGAAGGGATACCAAAAAAGGATAATTACTTTTATCAGCCACAGTTCCTCCCATAATATTATTCGATTGATACGAAAAACACACCAAACACAACATCACAAAGCAAATCCACACAATCAATTGAGACATTTTTTCAATACATGAATTGTTGCTCCAAATTTCATTTAAAAGTTTAATGTTGGTTGAGTACTTTATTGGAACGCCTAGTTAAACAACAAATTGTTCCACAAGTTGCACAGAACATTATGGTTAATATTGGTAAAAAGGTACCAAAGAATGCACCAAATAATGCACTACTTCTTGGTTGGAAAACAACTGCTGGTTTGCAATAGTCATTGATTTCGGCCATGACTGGAAAATGAACTTGTACCTTATATTCTGTTCCTGGATCAATACTTGAAGCATAGAAAATAACACCATCATCAGATTTTGTTTTTGAAGTTGGATTTGCCACATATTGAGAAGATGTTGTATTCATATTATCAAAGATTACCGTACATTTGAAGGTCTTGACTTTGGCAATGGTATCACTGAAAGAGTATCTTATTAGAGATTTCTTTCGAATAGTTTCAATATGAAATTTCACAACCACTAAAAACTTACATTTTTAGTTTCATCATAAAAGAGTAGCCCTGTAGCATAGTATTCATGTGAGAGTGTGAGTCTTGTAGCTCTAGATGTGGTTTCTCTAATGTCACTATGAAGCTTGAAACCAATAAATGGATCATCCTCTTTTGGGCTTATCCATGTCACTTCCGATGAATAGAAACCTCCACCACTCAACATTTGTGGATCATAATTATCAATACCCACAACTAGGGAAAAGGGAATATATCTATCAATGGTCTTTGTTCCGACAGGTAGAGTATATGTGACAGCCTTATTATTTCAACAAATACATTGTTATGAACAAAATGAATGAAACTCACCTCAACAACCTTAGTCTTATAACATCCCATTGAGTAGGTTGAGGGATCCAAGCTAACATATATTATCGTATCTACGTATTCAATTGTATAGGGAGCGGCTAATCCCTTTTCAATAATTCCCAACAATGAAACCATCATCGTCATCATTAATATTATCGTAAATTTCCAATAATAATTATACAATCCTCTCAGACGAGTTTTCCTCGATGAACAACTCTTGTTATTACTATTGATGATATTAGCCATCATGATGAGTTATGTAACCGTTGGATTTGAGTCAATTTTTTTCAAGGTAATTGAAATGAACCTTAAACGAACTTTGCCGCCAAAAGTATCAATATTTTATAACAAAAGAATACAAGGAATTGATTATGAAAAATCATTCGAATAAGCAAATTATGAATCGAAGAACAGGTCAACCCAAGTGAAAGGCCAAGATTATATGAACTGCTAATGGAATTACTCAATCAGTTATTATGAATAATGATAATGCATTCGAATATTAAATCACTGCTGCAGTATCCTTTTGATGAGAAAACATATCAGAACCAATCACTGAACTGTTTGAATTAAACTCATCTTTCAATGTTTAGAAAATATTCAATCACATTCGTTGTTCTCCACACTTTAAGATATTGAGAGGACGTTAAATAATAAACGAAGGTTTACAATATACAGCAGCCTTAAATATCAACAAACCCAATTCCCTAAAACGACTTCTGATTTTTGATCTTTGTTTCATTTCACTTATGTATTTGGCTCTTCATCATCAATTTGATTGTCATCACAATAAAGTGATGTTAATTGTTTCATTTATATTTGCTACACTATTTCGGAATTGAATAACAATTACAAGGTTCAACTTTGAATTTTACTAACCAATAACATTTCCATTGCAATTCAATTGCAAACAATTTCTAATTTTCAAAACTAAAACTCTAAAAAACAAAATGACAAGAAAAACCAAAGAGGCCCACTCTACACAGAAAAAGAAGAAGATTTCCGAAAAGTCTTACTTTCAACCTTTAACACAAACTGGCACTGGTCTTCACTTGGACAGTTGGCCAAATAATTTGTGGGAAAAGTTGAATCCAGATTATACCTATGATCCATTAGATAGATTCCGACCATTTCAATCCATGTTGTGTCTATAGGATGGTCATGAACATCCGTATAAAGAGGAAGGTGGGTTAGAGCTGATTCCTGGCTTTGCTTCAATAGCAACCGAATATTTCAAAGCGACTGATGTTAAATTTAGAGATGGTCAATTGATGAGAGAGAAGAATCCGTGGGTTAGTCCCTATCATGTCAAATTTACATTGGATGAAGATAAACCATTGCTTGGACTCATTAGAAAGATAAAGAGAGTTCCAGTGGATTGGAATTTAAAAGAAAATTTAGAACCTCAAATTTCAGCAAATTCAGATGCTGTAGATCAATATTTGGAATATTTAACAAACATTGTAAAGGAGCATGATGAAATTCCATATTTTCCAATTCAAAAGGGTGATTTTGTATTTTTTGATGTTAGAAGTCCTCATCAAAATTCAAACTCTAATCGGTTGACTCATCCAAGATGTGTATTTTATCATGCCTACTCTATGACTCATGATATCAATAGAGATACCATCGAGGCACTCAGGGAAAAGAGAAAAACCTTTGAACATCCTGATGATTTCAGTTCAAGTTTCAAAATGGAACAACAGTCAATGGATCCTCAAAATCCAAATCATTTAATTCCACTTACCACTCTTGGAGAATGTCTTTACAATGAGAAAAGCTATGAGGAAACAATATTTTCGGAACAAATTGAGGAAAAAGATGAGAATGGTCAAGTAAGAAATTTGACACGTTTTGAGAAAATCTATGAGCAACATTCTCACATGCTTACCAAACGTCATTTGGACTTTTTCCACAGATACGGATATGTTGTGGTAGAAAATGTAATTAATGAACAAGTTTGTAATCAATTATTGAAAGAATTGGGAGAATTTTCAGAAAAATCAAATTGTCCACTTCCTGTTGACACCATTATTAACAAGACTGGAAAGTATGAAAAGATGAATGTTTCCAAAGGAGAATTTAGAAATATTTCAAATCCTTTTGGTGCCATGATTGAGTTCTATCACTTACCTACACAACAAAAATTAAGAATGGATGAAATTCTCTATGTTTGTACAGTTAAAATGCTTTCGAATACTTGGTGTAGCAATTTAAATATTTCACAGGAATTGCAACAGTCAGATTCGATACCAGGTCAATCCATACCTCATTGGAAATATCAATGTCCAATAGAAGCTCAATTGGATCCTAGAAAATTGTGGCTCTACGTGGATAGAATGAACTTTAGACTTCCAGACAAAAAATAAAACCATTTTTGAGATAGGTTAACAATTGATTAAGGTCATTTTATTAATAATGTAAGGGGATGTAGCTCACATGGTAGAGCGCTTCTTTAGCATGGAAGAGGTACGGGGATCGATACCCCGCATCTCCAACTTCCTTTTTATTTTCCCTTCCCGACTTTTCTTGATACTATTTATTTTAGCGTCAACTTTATTACAGTTTTAAAAACGAAAAAATTACCTCACCTCAAAACGACCATTTGGAGTCTTTTCGCTAGTTGAGAGACTTTTAAATTTTCTAATGATTTCCTTCTCGTGATGATCCCGAACAGATTTTTCAAATTGTTTAAGACATTCCATGGCAGTGCTATCCTTATGTAGAGTTGCTTGATTCTTATGTGCGATTCTTTGATTGGATTTAATATCTTGATGATGAAAAGGTTGGGAAATAACGTGATGGTCATTCTCGGAAGAAGTTGATCCCTCTTTGGAGGCTCGTATGTGGAGAAATGATGAAACCACTCTTTCAGTATTTCTCTCTTCTGTATAATGAGTGAAACGCGACAATACTTGTATGGATGATGTTGTGTTATGAGACATTTTTTTGGTTTATGATTTACTGACTTTCGAATACAACAATAGGAATAGTTTATTGTTTGGCACTACATCTTGCGCCAACTACAAGATTATTACCAAGCTGAACCCAATCAATCTTGCCAATAATTTTTGCTGGTAACGGTTTTCCGTTTAGTAATTGTTCAAACTTTGCCTTATTGGTATCTCTAAGACAGACCTTATCTTTTCCTTTGTAATCACCAGTTGTCTTCAAAACATAGAGATCGTTTTTTTGATCGTATCTGAAAATTCCACTCTTTCCAATCAGATCATTCTCATTGTTGAGTTTGGATAGGTCAATATTCTTATCTTTGGCTGCAGAAGAAGTTGTATTGCTTGATGCCTTATTGGATTTGTCATTCTTTGATGATTTTTGGGAGGAGTTATCATCAGTTTTATCTGATCTAAAGACACTTAATAGCTTCTCCAAAAACGAAGGATCTTTTTTTGTGCAAATTTCCTCAACCTTTTCACTGTAGGCTTTATAGATGGCATGTTTTTGAGAATATTTGACCCAGATAGGATGGTTTTCTTTGGACAACTTGTCAACAATTTTCTTCACCTTTTTTGAATCAGATCCGTGTTCATTCATTAGAACAGTAATTCTTTCTAAATCCAAACCAACATACAAGTAATAGAGAACATAAGTCCTGTCCTTCTTTGCCAAAATAGTTAGAGACTTGAAGGTTTCTGGATCAATGTGCTCATTAACGCATTTGTCAAATGAAACAAGGTTGGTTTTTTTGGATTCGAGAAAATTTGTAATTCCTTCCTTTCTCAACTTTTTGGATTCTCTCTCAAGTTTCATCTTGATCAGTTGTTTTTCTAGTTGGTATCTGTCTGCAGCTTTTTCATTCTTTCCACCATTCCTATTTCCTCCAACACTTGAACTTGGTCTGTTGACTTGGCTGCCTTCGTTGCGATAACCAGAGAATCCATTACCACCTTGTTTTTGGTAGACGAATGTTTGAGAAGATGGTGCAGATGTTGTGGAATTCACTCTTCTGCTTTCAACAACAAGATCGAGAGCATCCTTTGCTTCAGCAATTGAAATGCCGAATCTTTGACCCACTTTCAAGATGAGTACATCTTTTGTATCGCCACTGTTGCTTTGGATGAAATTGATAATTTCTTGATTAGAATTCATGATCGATTTACGTATTTTTTTTAAGAATAGTTGGCGAAGTGACAAGTTAAAAGAAACGTGAAAAGGACAAACAATTCCTTGTTGTAAAATCAACGGAATTGAATGCTTTATTTTTGTACTTTTCACGTTTTAGACGGAATGGTATGACTCACTGCTATGATCAATATCAAAGAAAAAATGTTAACACTTGACAATCACCTTGCCAATATCATCAATAATTACATTTTACTTGCCAAAGTCAACAAACAACAAGCATTTGACGACTTGGTAAAGGACGAACAAACATTGAACTTCCTCGCCAACAGATTTGGATCTGTAGAATTACAGAATGCCCTGGCCCAGCTCGATCAAGATTGTAATAATGAGTCAAATCTCTCTCTTAGCCAATCATTGAAGCATGGAAAGGAACCAGTCAATTCAACATCCACTTTTGAAAAAAACTTAAAACACTCTCTCAAATCATTTGAAGACAGCGACAGTGATGACGACGATAAAAGTGGCTGGGAAGAAACTCAAGCTCTTTATGAAGAATTGTGGAAGAGAAAGAGGCAGACAGAAGAACAGTCCATTAAAGAATCACACCAAAAGAAGGAAAAGAAATCCAATGTTGTGCCAATTTGTCAAGATTACAGGGTTGGATTTTGCAGATATGAAAATATTGCACACATTGGCAAATGTAAATTTAGACATGAGGGAAAACGACCAACTAATTTCGCTTTTACTCTAACGCCAGCTACACCTTCTGAAGACCAAACATGGAGAACCAAATTCGTTCAAGCTTTTGAAGGGGGAAATGTTACTGTCACTTCAATTCAAAAGATTGAAAATAAGACTTTGGAGACAATGTACAAATTGAAAAGTGAAGAAATAAGAAACAGAAGAAAGATTGAAGAAATCTCAAACTTTGAACCTTACCTCTACCATGGAACTACAGAACAAGCTTTAAATTCTATCATGACATATGGAATTAACATACCATCTGATTACAAAGCAGATCCTACGTGTCCAGTGAGTGGAAAGTTGCCAATCTCCATTTGTAAAAATGATTGTAAACTTTGCACACAAGCAAGACATTGCTGGGGAAATTGTCACATGTATGGATTGGGTGCTTATTTTGCTGATAAGAGTGTAAAGAGTGATCGTTACGTATATGATACAAATGGAGCCAAAGATCATAAAACGGGAAGAAAGATGCTTGTTTGTAAACTATTTCCAGGAAAGGTTAAAACAATTGATACACATCTAAACAAACAAGATCAACACCATGATGACATTCTCCCTCCTTCTGGTTATGACAGTGTATTTGCTAAAGGATTGGGATCAAATGCAAAGGTTGGATTTAGTGTAATCAATTCAGAATTCATTATTTTTCATCCATATCAATGTCTTCCACTCTATCTCATTACTTATAATAAAGCTTAATTTATTTCAATTCTTCCCAGTTGCCAATCGATAATCTAATCATTTTACTTCCTTTTGGCATTCCAAGTTTAATACTGGCATCAACAATTCCAGTTTTTTGGACAATTCCAGAAATTCTATTTGGCAGAACAGATCCATTTCTTTCCGATTTGATAACATTGAAATTTTCCAAATCAAGACAAGCTCTTCCTCCAACCTGATTATCATATTGACCAATACAGTCAAGTAGATAGCCATATCTCTTGTACAAGGTGAACCAACTCTCTTCCAACTAAATCTTCAATCGAATTTAAAGAGCTCAAATCTATACTTGGGAAGGAAAAGATTTTCTTTGGATTGTGATTGCTAGTACTGCTACTCTTGTTGGATCCTTCTCCTCTATTGGATGGTTTCTTCATAGTAATAGCATTGGGTCTAGTGCTCTCTGATAAAGGAGCCTTCGAAGATTTGTTGGCAGACATTGATCCAAATGAGCCTAAACCACCTCCGTTGGAAAACAAAGCTGCCTTCTCGATATGAGAATCCAAGCAATCTTTCAACAAACATTGTTCCTTCCATTGTTTGTAAATGTCATTGTCTTCAATGAGTGAAATGTAATGTAACAAATTCTCTCTAATGACATATTTCTTTTTCAATGAGTGAGAGAAGTAGTCATTAATCATGGTGAAAGAATAGCTTGCTTTCATCAACATTAGAATTTCAAGAAGTATAATGTTGAAAGAAGGCCCGGAAGGGTTTTCGTCAAGAACGGTTTCTAATTCGTTAATTGTTAATTGTTCGTATGAATTTTTGAAACCATTCGAAAGTACACTATTAGCAATGTTGGAAACAATCACGCAGTGATCATCTCTTTTGGTGTTGTTGAATTCCCGTTTCGTGAGATCAAAGAACAAGCTGGACATTTTTTTTAATAAAAGAATTATTTCGAAAGTGACTCACTCATCACGTTTTATTGATTGGTATTCATTTCTACGTCAAACATTTCGTCTAAAGCAACTTTATCAATTTGATTTTTAAACAAGGTTTCAATGTCTTTGTTACCTTTGAAAAATTGATAAGCACCCTCAAGCATTTGTAAAGTTGATTCGTCGTGAACTTTCTTCCAACTCATTAAGTAATTTCTCAAGTTTTCTCTGCTAAAGTTATTAATAATGAATGTAATATCGTAAACTGGAAGAGGTCCTGTGCTTACACTGTTTTTGGCACTTTGTGAGTTTTCAGTTTTGGCTTGATTCGATTCGGATATTTCATTATTTGAATTTTCCAGTTTAGAATCAGTTGATCGTGTTTCTATTTCTTCACTGGCCAAAGATGGAGTAATTTCTTTGAGTTTTGTTTCGGGAGGAAGGTAATTGGGGTCATTAAGTATTAAACTCATGGTAAGACTCAAGGACATGTTGAAAACTTCATCTTGAGTGTCTTGATCCTCTGGTTTTACATTTTCATCAATTACAGTTGTGTTAGTAACATCATTTGGTGGCCTATAAACAGTTTTTCCATCTCCAGAAGCTGTCAAATTATTTTCTTCACTTTTGACATTTGATGACTCGGTATTCCCTTCCTTTTTTTCAAAAGAACTTTCATCAAATCCCTGATCCTTTGATGAATTATAACTTGGACACTGGAAAGTATCCATCTTTCGTGGAAGTAAATTCAAAAAATGATTCATAATGATATGAGAAGAATTCTCCTTTTCTTGATTGATGAATGCATAAAGATGTGAGAGAGAATCAGGTAAGAAGAATTCACTTGTATTTGAATTGATCTCCCTTGAAGTACTTTCCAAGTTGGAATTTTGAGAAAATGAAGAAAATTCTTGTTCTGATGTTGCTGATCTTTGAGGTGGTAAACGAGAAAGAAACAGAGAAATAATTCCATCTTCACGTTCTCTCATCACGTTTCTGGTGAAATCTCGAAGTAATAACACACATTCTGATTCTTTCATTTTTTTTAATGTTCTTTGTGTCACTTTACAAAGTAATATGAATGTGACGTCTATCATTTTATTAATACTTCAACTGTCTGCCAAGCTTGAAGAATTGCACATTGTTTGATGATGAGAATATTTGGTTATAGATGTGATTGAGATCTGATTCATTGAAGAACATCATTTGTTGACTAAACTTTGGTATGATATTTCTAATAAAATCCTCATCACTGACATTTCTCAACATACTTCTCTCCTTCTTCAATTGATCAACAATATTTTGGAGTACATTGACTGGTCTAGAGCACATATAATGAGGTGTTCTTTGTTCATTCTTAACAGCAAGCAACTCTTTTGTAATTTTCAACTCTTGACGATACAAAAATCCAGCAATTTTCTTTGCATCTGGAACAGCACTCCCATTTGCCCATTCAATGAACAACTTGAAGAAATCGTACAAAGTTTGATAACCAACCACTTGCTGAGTAATATAGAATGGAATGCTAATACCTTGTGCTCCTTTATAGGCACCAACCATTGCACCCACCATTGAGGCTACTGTATCAGTATCTCCACCTGAAAAGTTAAAGTTTGAAAAATTAAATAATTGACTCAACTTACCAATATCAATAGCCTTCTTTAGTATTGTTAAAAGTTCTTCATCCTTGTGAATAATAGAATGGAATAGAGCAGTGGTACAACTGGCAACTGCAAATCCATCACTTGGTCCATTGAGCTTATTGTCTTTGGTTACTAATGGAGCATATTCAACAACTTTAGTCTTGACAATTTTCATGTATTCATCTGGAGAGTTGAATTTTCTCTTTTGAATTTCTTTCAAGATGCTTTCAATAATAAATGAATATTGACCCAATTCACCATCTTTAAATCCATTTCTTGAAAGATACTTTTCGAATAAAGAAGTTTCTGATAAAACTGCACTGATAATATCCAAAGAAGAAAGCTTCAAAAGAGAACCGCTCATCCATTGGTACATTAGCCATGCAATAGAATAGGCAGGAATGATTCCCAAAACTGAACGGTGAGTCAACTTGGCATTTGCAATCACTTCTTCTCTCAATCTACCAATTCTTTCATGAGGAGGATAACGAAAAACAGAAATGACACATGGCCAAACTCTCATGGCAACACCATTACCAGCTGTATCTTTTGAAATATCGTTGGTGCAATTTTCGTTTAGTTGAGCAACGCTTCCTCTAAAGTTTCTTCCAGTTCCTCTAAAACCACCAAATTGATAATCAGCTAGAGGAAATCCAGCCCAATCAAACCACTTTTGAGAAGAAAGAAACTTCCAAAGACTTTTGATGTAAACATCATTCAAATTTCCATCACTATGATCAAAAATTGATAGTAGATGAAATTTTCAAAGAACAACTTACACCAAATATGATTCAATAATAGAAATAGCCATTTGGGTATCATCAGTATAAATTAAACCTAAATGACACAAGTGATCATTAATAGTATTATTAGATTTAGACCAAATTCGTTGAATTTCTTCTGGTTTCTTATTTTCGAAAGGTGATCCAATGGCATCTCCGATCGTTGCACCAACAGCACAACTAACCATCGCCTTCTGCACATTATTTCTACTGAATGAAAACAATGGTATCTCCTGTTTGGTGACTTGTTTTTGAAATGAAATTGACATTTTTTTTAAACTTCTTTTCACGTTTTCCAATTCACAATTGCAAAAATAAGTTTCTTGACGAGTATTCAGCGGTCACGTTTGTGTGTTGATGAGAATTAACCCATCAATTAAAAATTCTAATACTCTAATCTTCATGTCATACTTTGCAAAAACAGATTTGTCACATCTCTTATCTTCCTCTCTTCTGTCTTCTGGAGGACCAACCGAAAGGAAAAGAATTCCAGAGAAGCGTAGGCACTCCTGCGATTATGAGCATGCTGGATTTTGCAAAACTGATTGTCCTTCAAAACATTCTTCAAAAGGAATAATCTGCAGAAATTCATTGATTGGAGGATGTTCAGATAATAAGTGTCGTTACCAACATCCACATCCAAGGAGAGTTGAGAAAACTCTCCAAAGCATCTATGTTAACAAGGGTCTTGATTCAGATGATGATCAGAAAAAGTTCCTCAAGAGGCACGTTGTTAAATGTCCAATTCATATGGCAAAGGATGTTTGCTCTGATCCTTTGTGCAATGATTCAAAGTGTAACAAGCAACATTTTGTTGATACAAGTGTTACTGGAATACAAGCTTTTGACTTGCAAAAAACATTGAACGGGAATACATCAAAACTTGTGGATTGTCCTCCTTCCAGTTTCGAATATGAATTGCTCATCAGTACATGGAAGGAAAAGAGAGGTCAGAGTCAAATTGTCAAAGTTGAGAAGGTGATCAATCCTTCATTGGAAGCTGTCATTGAAAGGAGAAAGGCAGAGTTATTGCAACAATGGCAAGAAATTGATTTCCTTTTCCATGGAACCTCAGAAGCAACCATTCAATTGATCCTTGCCAATGGTTTTGATGCTACAAAGAACACAAGGGCTGCTTGGGGGCCTGGAATTTACTTTGCATTCGATCCAAACACTGCAATTGGGTATTCCAATGAGAAGGGAAGTAAAAAGCTGATTGTGTGCAAGGCCTTCCTTGCAAAAGATGCTTCAGATCACAAATTTGTTGCTCAAAATACTTGGTTTGTTGTTCAGAATACCAGTGGTCTGCAACCAATGTATGTTCTCACTTTGGCCTAATCATCACGTTTGAGCGCTAATAAATGTCATTCCAATCTTTCATTTGACTTTGACAGGACCATAAAAAAAAATGGAACAAGAAATTCTTGGTGCTCTTGCTCAATTTCGTAACAAGAATCACACGTTTGATGAAGGTTATGTGGCAGCAATACAGTTGTTGACTCATTCCTACACTTTCACCCAATTGAATACCATTAAAAAAGATATTCAACAACGCGAGTTGAGAAACACAAAAGATTTCTTTAAAGAGTTGGCTGGATCTTACTCCAAAAATTCTGAAGGAATGACCAAGGAAGAATATTTGCAAGAATCTATTAGAAATCTTTCTGGATTTTCTTTTGCTGATATGATCAACCTGAGCAAGGAGGAATTCTATAAAGCACTAGAAAGTAGAAAAGGCCCAAAACGTGTGGTAAGCGCTTCTACCACTCCATTGGATTCTGATAGTAGTGACGATGAAAGTCCAAAACCATCTTCCTCATCAGGCAAGAGATCATATTCATATGATCATCTATTCTCTAGACACGATTTGAGCTCCAAGTTAGATATCAGACCCAAATGCAAATATGGAAATACTTGTAATCAGTTATATGATGAAAAGCATATGAAGGAATTCTCACATCCATTCCTACCTCCATGTTGTTTCAAAAACTCTTGCTCTGAATATGGTGATGAAGCTCACAAGTTTTCACATCCCTGTAGATATGGCTCTCAATGTAGAGAATTGAAAGATCCACATCACACCCAATACTATTCTCATGCAGAGAGAAAGGTTTGTGAACATGACAAGGAATGTCTTTGTATTCATGATAGAGATCACATGCTTAGAGTTAAGCACACTGGTGCATTGGATTTCAGGCATGAGTGTAAGTATGGGTTATTATGCAAAGATGACTCAAGAGAACACCATTTGAAATATGCCCATCCCTCAACTTTAGGTATTCCAACAAACTTTTACGGTACGTTGAGAAATCTTATTTGAAATTAATCCTTTGTTAATTAGATATCAATCAAGATATAGACTTTGATGCCAATGTTGTAGCTCTTTCCAGTTCTATTAGCAATTATTCAATCAATACTGGAGACCTAGCATTGATAAACATGTTATCAAAAATTGACTCTGGAGATCGTAGTGTAGATTTCATATATGAGTATGTTAATAGAATTAGCCCACAACACAGATGTAAAGAACCAATATTAAAACTCATTCTATCGCATGGCACTTTACTATCAAGAGTTTTCCAAAAGAAAATGACAAGCTCACCAAAGGAAGCATGCATGGAGCTTGTTTTTACAAGTCCTTTAATTACACAATCCATCATGCATGAAAGACTCACATTATCCAATGATGTTAAAAAGTGGATTGTGGAATTGTTGAACTTTCAGATAGACCAACGTGACAATAAGAATCCTAAATCTGTGACTTGCAAATTAAAATTAAGCAAAAAATGCCAGCAGGAGGTAGAAGGTGTGATTAAGGACATTGTTCGTGCCGTCTTTTCACACACAGTTACTGGTATTGGTTGCCCATTGGATTTAGCTGTGAAAACAGACCAACAGGTTTTTTCAATTGTTGGTATTAATAAGGCAGATTATTATGGTGATATTCTTTTCATACTTAATAGGAAAATCATGTTCCATCCAGATTTTAACATGAGTTTGGAAGCTGCCACTCATTATGTGGATCGCCCTGGAGAAGCTTCAAAGACAAACAAGTGGAGAATCCCTCCTGGAAATAATTCAAACAGTAATTATGAGAATGCCAAATTGCACCCAGCTGCCAAAAACTTTCACAAATTATTAGCTAAGGATATGGCAGTATATCATTTCAAATTATTTGGTTCTTTGCCTAAATCTGTTGATGATTTGGTAAATACCTCACTCCATGAAGATCCACACAATGTATACGAAGGTCATTTACCTCCAATAGTCCCAGTATCTTATATTTCCCACGTTATTATGCCAAAAAAGGTATTTGATAACCTGTCTGATGCAGAAAAAAAAGTACTCAAAGTTGTCATTTTGAAAAACAAAGCAGATAGATTAATATTCAAGGACTCTGGGCATCATCACCTTATCAAATCCCAACAATTATGGGATTGCAAGAAGCACAAATTGACTGAAATGTATTTAGGAAGATTATTGTCCTTCTCTATCATGTATCAATATGGAAAGTTCAGTATGTTGCCTCAATTAGCTCTTCATTCATCAACAAAAACAGTTATTGAACTGTGCATCAGAGGAAAGGATATTGGTATATGTCTTTCACCAACCAAGAAGGCAGATAGATCCAATTCCCTATTCATCATCATCAACAAGGTTTTCTTTTGGAAATCCAACAAGACTCCATCAACAATAATTACTGACGGCAAGAAGGAGTTGAAAAAGGTCAAGGAATTCATCCTGGGTGATATCTTTATGGAAAGATATATTTACTATACCATCACCTATAAACCTGGTAAAAAGTTGAGAGTGGAGGTGAGTGAGAAGAATAGTAATGATATTGAGAGGAAATCGTGCGAGGTTAACATCTCCCATAGTAATTTAAAGAACATACTATTCTCTAATTGGAGTTCTCTAGTAGAAGTTAAATATATTTCAATTAAATAATATTAGTCTCTACCATTTGATACATGTATTTTCTTCGAGATGTGATTTTAATATTTTTATTTAAATTTAACGTTAAAATTAGCGGGTAAAAATTCTTTTGCTGTGTTGGCAAGTAATTCCCTTCAATTATTTGTTCTTCAATAATCATGACAATTAAGTTTGAGAGTGTATTCCGCTCTAAAAAACAATCAAGAAGACATTATTCCTCTCCATCACACATTACCTCCAAAACTTTAAATAACTCACCGTTACAATTTCAATTAAAATTATTAAAAAAAATTTTAAAAGTTTTGTGTGTTTTGTGGTAAAGAGAAAGAACATGAATATTATTTCCTCTAAAAAGGCATCACAAAGTAAAACAACCAACTCCACTCCCAATAAGAATGCTCAAAATTCCTCTCTACAATCAACTCCTAACAAATCTTCATCATTAATTAAATCTAATTCTAACCAACAATGTTCATTTCAAACACCAACTAAAAGTAGTACTACTCTCCGAACACCATCATCAATAGCATCATCATCCTCTCTAAAATCGTCCATTGTTTCCTCCTCGTCATCATCAACTGATGTTTATCAGGTAGCAAAGAATGCAGCCCTCTCATCCAATGAGAGAAATACAGAGCAATGTCTACGAGCCATCAAGTATTTTGCAGAGGGAAAGTTTGAATTGGCTCTGGGTCAGATTAGTTTGCAAACAACCAAGTCATTTCTCTCCAAATTGGTTTCGTATAAATGTTTCTATCACATGAGTGAAATTGAGAAGGCACTGCTTGTTTTGAAAAATCTGTACAATGATACAACCACTCTGACTGAGAGAGGTGAGGAGGATGTGATTGGTAGTGTTCAGATCAGTATCATGTTTGCCCAAATTGTTCTCTTCAAACTCATTCCAAAACGATTGACATTCAAGTGTTTATTGGCTGAGGAGAGTGAAATTCTTGAGAGTGGGGAATCTATTAGTTCTGATTTGGATATAATTAAGGAATATTTGAGAAAAATTGTAAATATGTTGGATAAAGCAAGGGAAGATTTGAAGAAATTAGAGAATGAATGGATTAATTTTGATAGAGAGGAGGCACCTTTCGATTTGACATCAATTATCAATCAATTGAAGTGGTTTATTATGTTTTACAAGGGTGTGGCCCATTTTAGAACCTACGAGTATGTATACACTAAGAATGATTATGAGGAGTGGAAGAAAATTTTGGAAACGCTTTCGAAAAAGGGCCAATTTCTGCATGTAGACTTTTTTTACATGCGCTCACACTTATCATTCATGGAGGGTGAATTAGAGAAGGCACTATTTTATTTAAATAAGGCAGAAAGATCAGAGGAGCATTGTAAAAAAACAATTAAGGAACATGTGGGTGGTGTCAATGCAACAGATGCCATGTGGATACTTGATGACAGTGCTCTTTCTTTTGACGTATTTGACATGATTCAGGATTTAAAATCCAAAATTACATTTTCACAATATCTGGAAAAGAGAATGGTCTTAAGAGAGGTGTCAGAAAAGAAGGAATTGGAACGTCTCATTAGAGAAATCAGATCAGTTAGTATTAAGAGAAGACAACACAATGCTTCACTCGCTGAGAGAACTAAACAATTTGATGGATTCTTGGGTACATTAGCCCAGACCATGTTTAAGAACTTTGATTGTTCTATCATTGAGAAATTCAGAATTTATGGTCAGTATAGATATGTGGTTCATTTAGCCAAGAGTTTACTCAATTCTGACAAGCCATTATCACATTCTATGAAGATCGCCTGCGTACATTATCTAGTTGAAGCTCTGTACTATCTGAAGAGGTTTAGTGAGTGCGTTTCAACCTATTCTATACATTCGGATTTATTCAAAAATATTGATTCGAGTCAGGAACATAGATTACTCAAAGTCAATTACTTTGTTGTAGATAGTACCATTACAATTAACTTGGAGGGTGGCTCTCTAACCTGGACCATTCAGGAATCAGAAGCACTCATCAAGCAAAATTTGAAAATTACCAAAGAAGTTCGACAATTATATCTAGCTCTCAGATTTTACAAATTTCTTGGACGTGAATCAGCAGCCACATTATTGAAACATCTATTCACCTCCATTCAGAAGGATTCTTCGATTACTTATTCAGAATTTTTCACTGTAGTCGAACAGTATAGTTCCAGAAATTTCACCATCAAGATTGGCACGAGCAAATCCCTAATAGCTACACCAAACAAGACCAACGAAGCTACTCCTCAGAAGAGTGCAACTCCATCAGCTGTTGATGACTTGGTTACCTATTCAAATTTTGAAGACTTTTCCCCACTTCGTTTACAAAGCAAAATGAAGAAACAGAATCAAGCACTTGAGGAATTGAAGAGAAAACGAGAAGCTCAACAATCATCTTCAACAAAAAAGACAAAAACAGAATAAATTTCTAAGTAGAATCTCTCTTGTCATTCTTTGAATTTTAACCTTCATCAATGCATTCTCAAACTTTACAATTTCTCCTTGGGAGAACTCATGAGTATCAAGTTCATCACACAACAAAATTATTTTTAATTTAAAAAAAAATTGATCAACTCTTAGCAGTCATACAATGGAACCATTCGATGATATTGTAACACCAACTAAAATGGAGGCACCGATCGACGATTTTACATCTGATCAAACACCACAAACACCGGGAAGTGCTATTGATTTTGGAGCCTTGAGTGGATTGGAAGTTGATGTGGCTGAGATTGAAAATCCAGATGCTGTTCAAGAAAAATTAGCCTCTCTCTACAATGTAGAGGAGTGCTCTGATATTGTATTTATAGTTAGGAATAGAAGATTTTTTGCTATCAAGGCTCTTGTGTGTGGTTGGAGTCCAGTTTTCAAGTCAATGCTATGTGGAGAGTTCATTGAATCAAGTTTAAGAGAAGTTCCTTTGGATGATGTTGAAGAAACTAGTATGGAAATGTTTTTGAAGGTTATTTATTCTGGAAAGACTGGTCCATATCCAATTCATAATTTTGTTGATCTATATGCATTTGCTAATAGATTTGAAGTTCCAGAAATTGAAAAACTCTGTCTCACTGCATTACAAGAACAAAATTTGGCCAAACACTTATTCCCATTGATTGATGCTTGTGAAAAGTATATTGATCTCGAAGAAATTGAAAAGATTAGAACCGAAGTTGTAGCCAAAATTTGTTGTGAATTTGATGAAGTTTGTTCTAGACCTGACTTTGTGAATATGCGTATTGATTACTTGTTGAGATTCTTAAAATCTGGAATTATTGTCATTCCAGAAGATGTTTTATTCAATTCTTTAATGCGTTGGATTGTACACGATAAGGAGCAAAGAATTCAATACTTGGATGAATTATTGTCCTTTATTAGATTCCCAATGATGGAATCTGTTGCATTGACAGAAATAGAAAACCATCCTCTTCTCCAAGATAAGATGGATGAAATGAAATCCATTATTTACGAAGCAATGAAATTCCAATTGAACAAGGATGCCATTCCAGAAGAAAGAAGAGTTCATGAAAACTTTAAAGAAAGAGAAGGCCCACCAGAGGAAGATGGACATTCCTACAAGTACAAGAAGGTCTTTACTTTGACATCTCTTGGTTGTACAGGAAGCGTCAAACCAACAAGTATTGGAACTCATTATGACAAGCATCTTTCCAAAGTAATTACTCTCAAGAATGGTATTCAAGAATGGAAAGTTCATGCTAGTGGAAAATATAGAATAACTGCAGTTGGTGCATCTGGAGGAATCAACCCACATACCACCAATACTAAGGGTGGTAAGGGAGCCAAAGTGAGTGGAATTTTCAAACTCAAGAGAGGTCAACTTATCCAAGTATTAGTTGGTCAAAAAGGAGGTAAGTTGAACTATTTAATAATAATCGGTCTAAACAATTGTTAAGAGGATGCCACAGGTAGTACTGGCGGTGGAGCTGCAGGAGGTAAGTTGTTCATTATTTGAATGAGGATGTTAATTAACAATTTTCAGGTGGTGGAGGTACATTTGTAGTGGATGGAGAATTGCAACAACCATTGATAATTGGAGCTGGAGGTAGCGGGGCAAATTGGTATTCATTTACCATCGATGGACCTGGTGGTCAATTATACGATCCTTCAATTGAATCAACCAAGTCGGTTGAAGCTTATGCAGAAAGAGGAGGTGGCGGCGGTGGATTTTATATTAAGGGTGCTAATGGTTCATCTTGCACTGGTGGTGCCAGCTTTTTAGAAGGTGGGTCTGGAGGTACTAACTCAACTAGTACTTATGGAGCTAAAGGTAAGTAACACAAGAAATTTGATTGAATTGATTTATTCTCTTAAAGGTGGATTTGGTGGAGGTGGTGGTTCTGAGCACGAAGGTGGTGGTAAGTAATTTTTTTATTATCCTATTGAATTATTAACTTTTCAAGGTGGTGGAGGTTATGTTGGAGGCAAGTCACTCAAATCTAATGAATATAACACTTCTCGTCCTGATTATGGTGCCTATTCTTTCAATTCTGGTTTAAAGCCAGAAGGTGAACCAGCTTGTCACGTTGGTGATGGTTATGTTGAATTTGCCAGAGTTTTCTAAAATTGTAAAAAGAATTGTAAAATAAATATTCTCTGCATTACACCAAAGATAACATAATTGTTCCTTCTTTACCAAAATGAGATAATAGATTATTTGAGTAATTCACTGAATATTGACAATAAACTGAAAATTCTTGATTCAATACAAATACACCCTTCTATACTTTTCTATCCTCAATACATTTTTCCTCCTCCCCTCCATCTCGACAAGTCAAATAATAATAATATTTATTATTTAGTTTTCAATAAGGTGGAACACTGATCTCTCCTTCCTTATCTCATCAAAAAACTCTAAAAAACCGACAAAAAAAACAATTCAAGAAAAAATCTAAAAAAATGAGCAGCGAAAAGTTTGTTGCCTTTGTGGATCCATCCAAGTTGGAATTTAAAATCATTAATGATGATGATTTATCGTCGAGTACAATGTTAGAATCGATGGATTCATCATCCGCAATGTTATCGTCATCATCATCATACGGATCGATGGAAGAGGGATTTTCTTCCGAATCTATTTTGGAACAATATTTGACTTTGTCTAATCCGTATGATAGTGTATTGAGTTTTAAAATTGAATGTAATAAGCCTGCACACTATTCTTTGAAAATACCAGCAGGAAGTATTGAACCGAAAACGGAATTTAAAATGTACGTTTTATTATTAAAACAAAATAATAATTGTCGATCGGAAATAGTAAATTAAAGATGAAACCTGCTTTTTTAAATGATATTCGTAAGCGGGGAAGAAAGAATCAAGCCATGGTTGAGGAAGTTGAACAATATGAAGATGCATTTCAAGTTAAATTTATTAGAACAAGTGATTCGAAAGAAACTTCTAAAATCATCAAATCAAATATTAAGGTTATTTATAAACCGACTCCAATTGTATCAACACCATCACCATTACTGGAATCGACTAATTCTCTCCTAGACAGTACGATTGAAATTGTTAAACCAGTTGAGGAAAAGGTTGAATCTCCAGCCAAAACAAAAATTGTAATTGTAGAAGATCACTTCCAAACATCTTTACTGAAAGATGTTGACTCTAAACAAGTTGAACTACCACCAACTATTAGTATTAGTACTCCACCTTATACACCTCCACCTACTCCAAATGTGCGAGATTCGAGAATGATTGTTGAAGAAATGTTTGAGGATAAATTTGCCGAGTCCAACAATGATTTGATTACAACTGAGGAAAATTTAAATGTTAGAACTGAATCACCAATGACATCTGATTCAGTAACATCTGATGAATATCTTCAATTAAGCAAAAAGAAAAGTTCTAGCACAATTGATGACGGTGAAAAGTCATCTGATAAGAAGAAGCTCAAATCAATCTTGAAGAAGACTCCTCCACCTCCAAAGGAAAAATCCTTGAAGGATATGATAACAGATTTATTCCCACTCTTGGCTGGATTGATAATTCTTGTAATATTTGCCAAGTTCAACAGAGTTGATTATGATACAGTTGTGAATATGTTTACATCCTATCTGCTTGGTGTTTGTGCCATGTATGTTCAAATGAAGTTTAATGAGGAATAGTTATTTAAAAATCATAAGGATATTGTGAATAAACAAATAATTGTGAAATGTATAAATTATCAGAACCTTTGGGTTCATATTTATTGATCCTTTTGGTTCTTGACTATACAATAGTATGCAATAATCCTAAATCTCTGAAGCTCTTAATCAAAACCCAACATTACAATCAAAATAAGATTGTGTTCAAAAAAGTGTCCTGATTATTGAATATTACTGGTTCCAGAAGAATTATCTGAACTTGGATTGAGTAAAAAGCTATGGGCAGCAACTGGCTCGAGAAGAAGAAGATTTTGAAGAGCAAGTTCGGAGGCCTTCTTGTTAGCATCTTGACCTAGTTGTTTCTTAATTGCAAGTATTGCTTCCAATTTGCTATTGAAGAGTTGCATATTTTGGGATGGTTGAGAAACATTCATTACAACTTCAGGAATACTAACATCCATTTGAGCATCTTCATTGTTACGATTCTGTTTCTTGGTTTGTCTTCTTGTTTTCTTCTTGACTGGCTCCTCTTGTGCAGGTTGAGCTGGATTGGTAGCAGAAGATGCTGTTGCTGCAGATGAGCTTTCTGCAGCTGGTACATCTTGAACAGAAGAACCATCCTCATCTGGATCAGTTGATTTACGTTTCTTTTTGGATGGTTTTGGTTTGGTAGGTTGAAGTGTTTCAGTTTGATTTTCATTGGTTGGTTTTCTAGCAAATACATTGAATGGAGGAGCAATAAGGGAAAAGAGTGGTTTATCCAAGTTGGCAGGATTATAATAGTGAATAATAAATCCAAAATGACCTTTTTCATGATGGTAGCTTACATCTGTGAACTGAACTTTCATTAATCCCTTTACAACTTCCTCTACTTGAATAACCGTATTTGACTTCTTTGAAGAAACATTAGATTTAGTCAGAGCTGTTTCCATAGTTCCCATAAGACATAACTTGTTGGTATTCTTTGAGTTTCTCAATTCCTCTCTATTTGCTGGATTAATTACATGAATTTTAGAAACAATGAGTGGATACTTTTCTACCAAAGTCTTGCCAGAAATTTCATGCATGACCACATACTTGTGGGAACTGTACAATTTGTCTGGTACATAGTTTTTAGCTTCCTCTCCTCTAATTTTCATAGTTACTCTCACAGTCACATCATTCAATTCATTAGGGGTGCTTGTTTCGAATATCCAATAACGACCTTGTTGATTACTTGGTACTTCATCCATAGGACAAGCAGAACGTTGATTTGGTAGTAATTTCAAATGTGAAAGTGTACTATCCTCCACTGATCCTTCTTCGGAAACTTCCTCATCATCTGCATCATCATTCTTTTTCTTCTTTGGTTTAGGTGTAGAGGCAGTCGAATTTCTTCTTGTTGTAGTTGTTGTTGAAGCTGATGATGATGCTCTCTTTCGTCGTGTACTTGTTTGCACAGGAATTGTTGTGCTACTGCTACCACCAGTACTATCTTCATTGGATCGGTTGTCATTGATGAGCACTGGTTGTTGATGTGTAGCCATTTGTTGTTGATTTGAATTCATTGAAGGTGTACCTTCCATCATCAGATTATCAACATCAAATAAACTACCCGAATCTAGAATTGCTTCACCTTCATCCATTATTGTTGAGGCGTTATTTTGTTCAGTCATTCCGAAATTTAGTTTTTATTCTCTCTCTATATGTACACAGTTTCTCTCTTCTTTAATGTATTATTTACAAAGTGCAACTTTTGTTGTTGGATTAAATTTTTTCTTGTTGTTTTTTGATCTTCCACACTCAAAAATAAGCGCGATGAAGAGTTTGATGTTGTTGTCTTTTTTTCTATTCTAAATATAAGTAATTTACAATTCTTGAGATTACCATATTTCAAATCAGTTAAATAAGAAAGGTTGGATCATGAGCTTTTTACGTTAATTTTGTTTCATCACAATACTGAAGAAGAAGATTTTAATTGTTTTAACGATAGAAAACTCCGATCCTCATCTTCTAATCACGATCAAACTCATCATTAAATATTTTAATTTTAAAAAAAAATGTCGCAACAACAAACAGGAACAAAGGGATCAACATCATTCCGTGCCTTTTCTCTCTTTAAAAACTTTGCTGAATACTTTATTGATGTTCCAAAGGAATCTCACTTTTATGAGAGAGGTGTTTTAACACCAGAAGAATTTGAAAAGGCTGGTGATTTATTGGTTTCAAAATGTCCAACTTGGTCTTGGTCTGCAGGAGAACCATCAAAGAGAAAGGATTATCTTCCTGCCGACAAGCAATTCCTCATCACTCGTAACGTTCCTTGTTTGAAACGTTGCAGTGAATTGATCGAAATGGCCAAGGACGAAGAACCAGTTGAAGATGGCGAATGGATTGCTACTCATATTAATCACACAAAGGAAAAGGAAAAGGAAGAAATTGGAGATATTACTGGAGGAGTTGATGATCTTGTTATTCACAGCGCTGAGGATGATGAGGAAGATGATGGTGAAGCCATTGATATTGATAATTATTCTGATTCTGAACTTGAGGATACAATTAAAGACAAGGGAGCCCTTGAAGCCAATAACGGTGACAGCATTCTTCAAACCAGAACTTATGATTTTAGTATTACTTATGATAAGTATTATCAAACTCCAAGAGTTTGGCTTTTTGGCTATGATGAACGTGGTGCTAAATTGGAATCTGAAAAAATTCTTGAAGACATTCATGCTGATTATGGTAATAAGACTGTCACTATTGAACAACATCCACATTTAAATACTCAATGGGCCAGTATTCACCCTTGCAGACATGCTGAAGTCATGAAGAAGATGGTTGATCGTTTAGTTGGAGGTGGTTCAGGCGAAAAGCAATTCGTTAGAGTTGATCTTTATTTGTTCCTCTTCTTGAAGTTTATTTCATCTGTAATACCAACCATTGAATATGACTTTACCACTCAAGTCGATTAAATTATTGTAAAATAGTAAAAATATTTTTTGTCTTTATTTTGTCGGAAGGAATGGGAGATGTTACTCTACAACATCTTGCCACATTTCCTCAATTTCATAAATGGCTTCAAGAATTTCTGAAAAGTCAGGTCTGATATTTTCATCAGTTGCCCAACATGTCTTCATCAATTCTGTGTACTTATCAACAAGTGGGATCAATAGATTGGAACTGGTCAATTCTACTCTATTCTTTTGCTTATTACAGAATAAATACCATTCACATTTTAGGGTATCTTCGTCTTGCTCGAATTCGGACGAGTCGTTTTGAATTTGGAGTGCATTGTTTCTTACTGAGCTTATTTCCCATGGAATGACTGGTCTTCTGCCCTGAATAACTTCACTACCAATAGAGAAGATACTCATCATATCAGAGCCTATAAATGTAGTATGACCTGATGTGTCAGAGCTTGTCAAATCAGAAATTTGTGAACCACTATTAGATTCAGTACTAATTCCAATACTAGACCTTTCCTTCTTGGTGAGGGGAGATTTTGGAAGTTCTGTATATGGTTGTACCATGAAGAATAATTCATACATGAGGATGGCAAAACTGAAAACATCACATTTGACTGTATATCTTCTAGATTGCTTGAGGATTTCTGGACTTGTGTATTGGATAGTACCATAACAAACACCAGTCATTGTGAGTGAAGACAATGGCTTTGACACACCAAAGTCACAAACCTTACAATTGCCAGCTTCATCTATGAGAACATTTTGAGGTTTCTATTACAAAAAATTAATTAAGAGTATTCAATTTGAATACTTACCAAATCTCTGTGAATGATAGGTGGTTTAGTGTTATGTAAATAAATCAAAGCTCTACAAATATCCTTCAATATTTCAAGTTTTCTTCCAAATGTAATAATTTCATTTCTAGCCTTCCTCTTCTTAGGATAGATGATCTTGTCCAAACTTCCACCTTTTACAAACTCAGTTACGATATACTTGTTATCCTCGTCCACACTGACACCAATAAGTAAGACAACATTAGGGTGTCTCAATCCTGTTAAAATATTAGCTTCATGTTCAAAGTTTTCATCATCATCACAACCAAATTGGTTAGATTTGATTCTCTTGACAGCAACTTCAGTACCTTTCCAAGAAGCTCTGAAAATAACACCTCCAGCACCTTCTGAAACTCTCTCCTTGAATTCCAAATCTTCAATTGGAATCAAATGGGCAGATGTATTTGTAGAGTCCATTGAAGAATAGAAACTTGATTTAGTGTTGTGCTCGAGAAGTTTAGATAACATTTCATCTTCTGCCTTCTTCTTTCTCTTGAGAGTTTGTGATTGTCTTCTAAACATGAAAGCAAATATACCCAATGGTATAGCAACCACAAGAATTATCAAAATACCAGCTACAATTAGAATTGGAACAATAACACAAGCAGCATATGAAGTGTTTCCATTCGTGAATGTTGGTAAACCCAGTGGACAAGAAGTACATTTGACAGCACCTTTCAAATCAGAGTAAGTAGAAAATGGACAAATTTCACATTGTAAATCTCCATTAAGGAAGAAACCCTCCTTACAGTATACGCAAATAGATAAATTCTTAGAACCAGCACTTTCTGTAGTCATACCTGTTGGACAAGAATAACAAACAGGAGAACCAGTAGAGTTTGAATAAGTTCCAATTGGGCACAATTTACAATCTCCTTCTGATTCGGATCCACTATTTGGTTGGAATGTTCCAGCAACACAAGCTGTACATTCCTTTTGACCCATAGTATTAGCATAAGTACCAGGAAGGCAAGGAACACAACTGGTAGAGTTGGATGAACCCTCATTTGGATTAAAGGTTCCAAGTGTGCATTTTGAGCAAATAGAGGCACCCTCCTTTTCAGAGTATGATCCAGCTGAGCAAGGTTTACAATCTGATGCTTGATAACTGTTCATATTAGAGTTTGCTGTACCTGCTGCACACTTGGTACAATGAGGAGCTCCAGGATTTGCGCTAAAAGTACCAGTCGAGCATGGCAAACATGACATTGAACTATTTTGACCAAATAGTGGTTGATAGGTACCTTTTTCACAGAGTGTACATTGATATTGTTGCATTAGATCTGCGTATTGACCTGTAGGGCAAGGAAGACATTTCTTTAAACCAGTCACAGGTGCAAATGTACCAATTGGACAAGCTGTACAATTTAAAACTTGTCCAGTAGTATTTGAAAAAGATCCTTTTGGACATGAGTCGCACAATCTCTGTCCAATTGTTTTTCCAAAAGTACCAGGTTCACATGGAATACATGAAGAAGGATAAATAGAACCCATTACAGGATTGTGGGTTGAAATAGGACATGGAATACATGAAGAAGCTCCTACATAAGGATTGTATTGTCCATAAGGACAAGGTGTACAGGTTTCATTTGAGAAGGCAGAAAGCTCATCACTTGCTGTACCTGCAGGACAATGATAACATTGTTCATCCTTAAACATAATTGTATAAATTGTTGGTAAACTTGGAAGGGTTCTATTGTAGAATGAAACAACATAGGCCTTATTTGATTCGCTGTATGCCGAATAAATAGCTCCATAAACTGTATCTTTGGATTTTTCAATAATAGTTTCCTTATACCATCTTTCTCTATTTCTAACACAATACTTGGAAGCGAAAAATCTAGATCTGACTTCATTGGGATTACCAACATTACTACCACCTGGTCGAATAACTCCAGATACGTAGGTGAAACCACTTGAATCTACATCAAATGTTGTATTGTAAACGTTTTGGAAAGTAAGCATTGATTGCAAGAAACCATTTGAATCAGTTTTAGCAAGGAAAAAATTTCTATCAAAAGAGCTGGTTACATTTTGCCCTTGGAATGATACATAACTACCAAACTCGCCAGAAAAGAGAATATTTCTATTTGGATCAAACTTGAGAAGACTGCTGAACTCTGAAGTGAAGAATTGGTCAGAAGTGATCATATTGTCATCCTTACTACTGTTAGTAGTAATTGTTTGCATCCATAATATCTTTCTGTTACCGGTTGTTTGGTCTAGTGGACCAAACTTGAGTAAATAGTAAGAGAGTACTTCTGAATTGTGATTGATTATTTGCAAATCCTCAAACCTGACTGCACTCTTGAAAACACCAGAAATTACAACATTTCCTACAGAATCTGGTAATACAGAGAACCCTTTAGACATACCCTCACTAGTGGCTATCCACAAACAAACCATATTAAAAGGCTCAATTTCAAATACTATAGTGTTAACAAGAGAAGAAGAAGTTGTAGTACAGCTAGGATCAATTTCAACGCTTCCTCTATATCCTCCAGTGATTAAAATTGATAAATCTTCAGTTATTCTAATAGATTCAGGGATTACGTTGATAAACTCCTTTCTTACTTGAATTCTTCCTTCATTGATTTTTAACATTACACCTGTGAATTGTGTAGCTCCATAATTTTGTTTGGCTTTCCATCCAACAACCCAAGTGTTATCAAACCTGTCAGTAGCAACACTGGTTACAGTAATTCCATCTGTAGAATTGGTTTGATCTGAGAGAGTAGCAAAGTAGTTGAAGCTTTCAGCATCCAAAACCGATGAAAACCTGACAGAAATTCCATTCAAAGGACCTCTTGGACTTGTAGAAATACCAAAGCCTGTATATGAAATACTACCATGTCTACCAAAAGAAATGTAGAGTGAAGGAACTGTTCCATATAAAAAGATTGGACTCACAATTTTGTCTGCATCTGTTTGATTTACCAAATACGAGCCGACTCCACAACTAGTAAATCCTTGCACAATTTCAGAGCCACAATTTTCACCAGTATAGTTAGTATAACACTTGCAAACATCTTTAGCAACACAAGCTCCGTGAGAAGCACATACAGACATATTGGTTGCGTCAACCCCAAAGCAATTAGCAATTTCGCAATTCTTTCCTGTGTAATTCTCATTACAAATACAATAGTCAGGAAAAGCACATCGTCCATTGCCTGAACAGGTCTGCACATCATTTTGTGGAATGTCAAAGCATACAGGATACTGACATGACTCACCAGCAAATGTTCCCAAGCTACAAGAACAAGAATTTGGTCTAACACATTTTCCTCTTCCTGTACATGCTCTTGTATCATCTTGAGAGTAAAATCCACATAAAGGAATAGTACAAAGTATATCACTACACTTATTACAACCCTCTGTAACAGTTGAAACTAGTGTATTAATGAAGCCTACAGGGCTAACAACAGTACTTGGATCTCCAATTACTTGCACATTACCACTGAAAGAAGCAGACACATAGAACTGTCTTGGAGTCCTTGCATCGGTCGATAACATTAATGGTTGAGTGGCTATCAAGGATCCCTTAATGAAAGAGTGAATGTAGGTTTGTTTGAGTTGTACATTTGTACTATCGCCAGTGTTAACAAATTTTTGGGCAAAGAGAGTGATTGAGCTTTGAACACCAAAGGTTATAAAACTATCCCAATCAATATTAGAGTAGACATTACCATTCTTTCCGATAACTACAAGCTCATTGTAATTGTTTGCTCGAATTTTAACACCAAAATATGGATTATCATATTGAACTAGATGAGCTATAAGACTTCCATCGTCTATTGATACTTGGGAAATGATACTACTAAAATTCGAAAGTTGAACATTAATTAGCATAACATCACCCAAAAATGTTATATCTTCCACAGATTTTGCTCCATCAATTTCAATAATTTGTGACCAAATTTCTTGATCGGTAGTCTTGAAAGCATCGTAGCAAACAATATAAACTTGGTGAACTGTTCCAACATCTGTCAACATGGTTTCCATGGTACCTGCAATGAAAACTCTGTCCTTCTTAGGAGATAAGGTAATCAAATGAGCTGAAGAAGAACCATAAAGATAGGATGGTAAAGGATCTACTTTAGTGGCATAAATTACCTTTCCAGTTGTGTTGGAGAGGGCACCATAGAATACAGAGCTTTGTTTTCTAGATTCTAAAACAACTCCAACATCCACAAAAGTTAATTTGGCATTAAATACTCCTGTAAAATATAGTGTTCCATCTTGGCCGTAAGTAACATCCTTAACTATGTTCATAGCCACACTACCCATAATTGTATTTGGCATAATAATGGCAGGTGGAGGGAAAATGGGTTGAGGGAGCTCAGCTTCCTTATTAATTGCTGGTTGATCCAAAATATTATCCAGATCAAATTGGAATAACATTAGTGTTGATTTAGATTCGTATTGGGTTTTTGCAATTTCCAAATATTGAGGCAATTCACCTCCCAATGCTACTCTCCTTTTCCCATTATGATCAAGCTTAGCCATCGTGTATAAATAGTATTTGGTGTTTCTTGTAACTATTCCAACTTTGAAAAGTCTAAACATGTTACTATTTTCATAAATTACCCAATACCCTTGAGTAACACCAGCTGAAATCTCTGCTACGACCTCATCAGCCACTGCCACATCAGACCCTGAAAAGTGCCCGATTGTATAAATTCGATTCTCATCACTCACCAATTTTCTTTGATCTACCTGCAAAGTAGACAGGAAATCAAATCTGGCTCCTTTCTCTTCAGGCGATGCACCTCGAATAAAACTCATTCTAGTTGATGTAATAGTTCTGTTTCTAATAATCATTGGATGAAGAAAATCTTTACTGCAGTCAACCACATGGTTTGGATTTTCGCTATCTGGATCCAGAGATACATACGAATTATAGAATAATCTCTTGTCAATGATACCATTCTCGGTTGATGCACAACTCGCAAGACTAAATAAATAATTATGTAATATAAGTATTATACATAGAACAATAATGATTTTTCCAATTCCTCGATTATTATTATTATTATGATTTACAACATTTAACCCTTCCAATTTTGATAATCCAATAATATTTGTTGTTCTTTCTCGATTATGATAATGATTGAACCAGGTTGATGAAAATTTATTTTTCTTCTTATCCTGTTGTTCTTGTTCTTGTTGTATCTGATGATGGTGCGATATTGATGATGAACAAGGAGTTTCATCATCAGAAGAGAAAAGTAACAGCGGTGATAGTAGTGTTTCGCCTCCAAGTAGAAGCAGAGACATTTTTGAGCTGAAGATTTTCTAACCGTAATGCGCGAGAAGCAAGGGATTTTTATTGTTGTGTCTTTTGGTGAGTTGGAAGCTTAGTTGGCCATGCTAATATCTTTGTGGTAGGAAGATTTCTTCTTTCTGTGTTACTTTCGGAAGGATGGTGTTCGAAAAGAAACTTGAAAGCCTTTTGATTAGTCTATCGGAAATCTATGGAATCATGTAAAATACAAGATCATCGTGAAGGATAGGAAAGACTTCAAGGATCAACCTCACAATGTACAATCAATTCTTCAACTTGGGTTGGGAATTCATCACAATAGCTATTTAATCATCTGACTCGCTTTGATGGAAAATATATTTTTATCTTCATTCAAAAGAAACAATTAATTGCTTCAACTTAGAACACATACTAATGGTCTTCTCTGCCAATACTTCTGATCAAAAACAACCCATCATCAATAATACTAATATGAATAATAACTTTCAATCCTTCTTTTATCAAGCTCATCTTTCTGCTGGGGGGAGCAATACTAACAATCATCATCAACAACCACCACTACTAGCCAATCAATCTAAAAGTCCAGCGAATAATTACTTGCCAGGCACTGCCAATGGACAAATTAATAATAATCTACATGATTATCTGTATCAACTTCAACAACAGAAGCAATCACCTCAACAACCATTGTTGCCCTTGTCGAATTCATCTTCCGAAGAGGAATTATCAGACCCAACTAATGATTTCATCAATACTTACCATCATCCCTCCACCGAATCACTTTATGGCAGCTCATTGTATGAAGGTGATGAACAGGAGGAATTTATGGATGAGAGTAAAATATTGCAAATGAATGGAATTTCCATCATCAATAATAGTAATAACGAAATAGATCATCAACAATCTAAGCACGTATTGAATGGAGCACAATCATCACCATCCTCCTCCTCAGCCTCTGTAAATATTCTCAATCAAATTAATCACCAACATCATCACAATACTACCACCACAACTGCTGATAAACAAGTTGGTTCTTCTTCCATCAATTATAATGGTGGATTGTATCAACAACAACAGCCACTATTGATTACTGCATCACAATTGCAACAATTCTTCCCTGTGAAACAAAAGATTAAGAAGGCAATCTTGTATATTGATCTGGATAATTTCCCAATTTCTAGACCTTCTGAATATTTGGAAATGTTAGCCAAGATTAAATCCAAATACTCTATTGATGTGACAGCAAAGAAGATATTTGGAGATTTGAATCAATTTGAAAAACTTCCAGTTGACTTTCAATTCTCACATCAATTAATCATTTGTCCAAAGGTTTCATCAAGAAAGAATACGACAGATATTGCATTGACCATTGAGGTCATTAAGGATTTGGAGAGAAAGAAACCATTCGATGTGTTTATTATTGCCTCGTCTGATTCGGATTTTGTTCCGGTCGTTAAGGCCATCAGAGATGAGGGCAAGGAATGTTGGATTTTGCCATCTCACAATTATCCTCACCAAACTTTGATGAGCATTTGTAATGGCATTCTTGATTTCAACTCACAACAAAATGTGAGTAATCCTCTTCAAGAGTTGAACATTCCATCCAAGCCATCTCAAGTGGCCAACAAGACGAGTCCAAACACATCTCCAAGAAAGAAGGAAGTACTTCCTGTTCCAAAGGTTCATGTCAAGACGAATCATATTCCTCCTTCTCAAAACAAGTTATCTATTGTTGAGGTTAAATCAATGATTACAAAGATTATTAGAAAATTAGAGTTTAGTGGTGTGAAAATTTTCAACCTGTCATGTATTCATGAACAATTGAGAGACAAATCCATTATTTATCACCACTATGGATATCCAACATTCAGAGCTCTATTCGAAGAATGGAGTCAAGAGAATCCAAAATACAAATTCGAAAGAAATGAAAAGGATGGTCAATTATCATTTGCTCAAGAGGTACACCCAAATATCTTACATAGACCACCACAAACAGTCCCTCAAACAGCCTCCACTAACCTTACCTATTCCAATGTAAAAATACTCCCAAAACCAACTAGCAGCACAAGCCTCTCTTCAAGTAATGAAAGTCCTGAACCATCTTTTAAACCAAAGGGAAGTAGGAAAGCTTTGAAGAATGCCATTACCCAAATTCTCAAAAATCTCCACCAAGCCAATCCAAAGGGAAGTTTTAACATGTCCTTTGTAAATGAGAGAATGAGAGAAAGAAGTCTCAAATACAAGGAACATGGCTATGATTCCATGAAAACTCTTTTCACTGAATGGAAACAAGAACATCCAACAGCATTTCTTGGTGTTCGTGAAAAGAGTGGCGAATTATACTTTTTGCCAACCTTCTCTCTTTAAGCTCAAGTTATGATACCTTTTTTTGAGCTCTTTTGTAAATATTCTACTCTAGGTTTTTCTCTTGTAAATATAGGTCAATATGATTACTAGACTAAACATTTTGTAAACTTTTTTAAATATTATTAAATATTAATTAAATATAAAATTAAAAAAAATGAGCAATATCCTACAAGGTTTCGAACCATGCAAACTCACCACAGCTGGCCGACCTCTCTATTCAAGTCCCAAAGAGTTGGAACAAATGATCGTGATTGGAATTGCCATCTACGACAACTCTGCAAAGGAATTGAAGGATTTTAATCACGTCTACTTGACCACTCACAGAATTTACATCATGTTTCATAGTGACAATACATCATCATCAATACAATCGGATCATGGAATTTCCTGTCCACTCTCATCAATAGAAAAGGTTGAGAAGGAGAGTGGAGGCTTCTTCCGATCACCGAAAATTAAATTCACCATCAAATCATCAAACTTTTCGATATCATTTAGAAAGGGAAAGAGGGATGAGTTTTATGATCATCTTCAAGATCAATTAAAGAAGAAAAAGTGGACGGAAGATGTAAATAATGCAATGCAAATATCAACATCAATGGATTCGATATCATCTCTAACAACAGACTCCAGCAATAATAATAATAAGAATGTAAAGAAGGATTTCACTACAAGTACAGCTGGTGTTGCTGGTATTATGAAGAGAATTGATCAGGAAAATTTGGAGGAACGAAAGGAAATGGATGATGCCTTCTCGGATTTGAAAAAGTTGATGGAAAAAGCTGAGGATATGGTTAATATGGCAGAAAATTATAAGAACAAAATTGTACAAAGGATGAAAAACGACACTGAAGCCACATCAGAGGAAACTGAAGAAGAAAAACAAATTTTGGACTTTTTATTGAATTTGGGTTTAGCTTCTCCTGTTACCAAACAATCTACTGGAGCACTTTATCATCAACAATTAGCCAGGCAACTTATTGACTTTCTAGACAAGATTGTACAGGAAAGATATGGTGGTGTTATTACATTGAGTGATGCATATTGTTTGTATAATAGAGCGAGAGGTACAGATCTGATCTCACCAGAAGATATGGAAAAAGCTTGCTCTCTTTTTGAAAAATTGAAACTTCCAATGAAACTCAAAGTATTCGATAGTGGCGTAATTGTTATTCAATCCTCCCAATATTCTGATAGAATGATGGCTGAAAAGATTGCAGAATTCATTAGAGATGGGCATGAGTGTGATGTAATGACATACAAGTTTATTACAGCTGTGCGGTTAGCTCAATTACTGAATGTCAGCATTGTTCTTGCAAAAGAATTATTACTTACTGCTGAACATAACAGAACACTTTGTAGAGATGAAAATGAGGAAGGTATCAGATTTTATTTAGTATCTGATGTGTTTGACAAATTTATTTAATTGTAAAAGTTATTGAAATTTAATCTGATTCTCAAATCATCCACTATTTAATTCAATATTAGAATAATATTAGAATGAAAATATCGAATCGAAAACTTACAGTGATCGTGAATTCCTCTTGTGGCTAAAATACTATTAATGATTGTTAGGAGCATCTTGAAACTCTTTCTAAATTCAGTTTCCATCTCTTCAAGCTCTGGGATAAAAATATCTTCTCTTTGAGTTTCTTTAAAATTGGCCAATTTGGTTCTCAAAGTTATACACATTTGCACAACTTTGAAAATGTGATTCTTTACGAATAGAGCTTTCTTTAACAGGAATCTGTCCTTAATCTTATTGAGATAGTCCAAGTGGAAGCTGCGAAGATCATCCATATTTTTTGCTGATAAAATATTTTCACACAATTCATTCCACAGAGTATGTAATATTCTATTCATCATGTAGTACTGTACAGTTCCAATAAAATGTTTCAATTGGTTAAGGAGAGAATAAAACTTGAGATAGGCATTACTTTTGTGTGTAAATGCATCAGTCTTGAGACTCATCTTGTCCAATACTAGTGTTTAAAGTTGTATTGTCAATTTAAAATATTAAAAACGAACCTTGTTTAGCTTGTTTTAGTTTGAGATTGAAAACTAAAACCTCATTATAGCTCTGTATGTGTTGAGCTGAAATAATCAGATTTAAAGGCCACTCTAATTCATAATTAAAAGTGACTGCATCAAAAAAGTTATTTTCCTCATGCTTGATACTTCCATCATCAAAGTGAACCGAAATTATTTCATCCAATTTCAGAGAAGTGAAAATATCAGTAGTGTAGACAGAGGTTGAGTTTTCGGTAGCAAAAGAATACCTCCTTGGAAATTCCATTCCTAAACGAAGTGCATCTTTGAGAATAACCTGAAGATCAAATGTTGTAATTCCTCTAAAATCAAATTGGAAAAATCTATCAGATAAATTAAATAATTTGGTGGCAAAATAGTCCATAATGTCACCAGCCTCCATCAAGTAGAATGCTCTTATTGCTGTCAGATGGTCCAGTAACTTGCATCTATTGACCAATAAATCACAAAGATAGGGAGATACTCTATGATATTGCTCCTCTATGTGGCTTGATAGTCCAACGTTAAATATTATTTCCAATGGTAGAGTTTGTAATTTTTGACTATTCTCTGATGAAAATTCAAGTACATCCATGAGACTCTTCTTCTTGAAAATTGAGGTTAGCTTGTCTTGATTTGTTATTTTGTGCTCCTTAGAAAAGTCAAAGAACAAGAGTTCTTGTTGATTGGTGCTATTGTCAGCTGGAAGTGCATTACTGTACAAGTCTTCCTTTTCTAAAAGTGATATCATTCGTTTTTTCTTTGGTGGTGATCTCAGAGAGTGTAAAGATCCAATGGGAGCAAGTGTGGTTTGTCTGATGTTGTTTGAAGAAGAGCCTGCAGATTGATTTTCTCTCTTCTTTGAGGATGATGGCGAGGACCTAAAGGAATTGAGAGGTTTCAGTGGAGAAATGATTATTGACTCGTCATCATCAAAGGGTGAGTGATGTTCATCATTCTCTAAACCCATCGAAGAAGAAAGTAGATTAAAGAGTGAGGGTTTCTCCTTTTCTAGTAGATAATCACCAATAGAACTGTTATTGGCAGCAATTTCATACTTTTGCTCAATATCCCGCACAATAATGATGGATTTACCTGTTGCACTAATCTTGTCCTTAATTTTTGAGAGCAGGGAACAGACCTTAGATTCAGTAAATCCCTCACTCCAGAAGAGAGGTGTTCCAATATCCACCAACTCATTCCTCTTGAGAAGAAATTCATTGTGTTGGTCCTGCAAGGTCCCTTCGAATATCCAGCTGTCTGTAATGGAAAGGTATGGCTTTAGAATAGCCATCAATATTTGCAATGAATAATCATACTCATCATTGTTGCTCTCCATGGAAATATATTGTCTCGTGAGAACTTTTTCATAAAAGTGAGAAATTAAATCTGACATTAAATTACTCTGTGAATCCTCTCTATCTAAGATTTCCTCAATTTCTTCATCCAGTTTTCTGAGTGTATGAATTTTTTGTTCAAAAACAAAAAGATTTGTCCTAAGGGAGAGGAGAGAAAGATTGTGTGTATCTCCAAATCTCTTTCCCATTTGATTACTCTTCTCCATTTCCGATAAATCGTCTCTGATTTTCTCTATTATTTGTAATATTGATGAGTAGCAAGATTGAATAATTGTGCTTTTTACAAGGCGTATCGATCTTGTTGCAGTCGAATGCATTTTCCTCAGCTTGTTACCTATCTTAATAAAATAATTTAAGGAATTATGTAGAGCTGTCCTAGAGAGGAAAGAAACAGAAAGCTCCCTATCAGAAAGCTCAAAATTATCATTCACAATTTTAAATATAGTTCCCTGAAATCCTCTCAACATGTTGAATATTTCGCGTATCAGATCATTTTGTCTAATAACTTTTGTACAAGGTGTAATTACCCTAATATTTCCAATAGGAGGAGTTTGTGTAATTTTAAAGAGAGTATAATGCTCAAATAAATGTCCATGAGGAAAGTGAGTAAATGGTAAATGGCAAGTGATGAGTTTGTTTGGATCAAAATTGATAGTATAGAATAAATCTTCCGATTTTTCATTGGTTGTATTGAAATCATCATTCATAAAATCATCGTCGTCATCAAACATTCCATGATCATCATTGTGTAATATTTGATGACGATCTTCCATTCTATTATTACTACTAAAGATATCTGTAATATTACACATCGTATCCATATGAAACACTACATTATCATCAAGAATATCATTATTATTGGTGGTTTTGGTTTTTCTTGCTTGTTTCGAATCCAATTCCTCATCATCGGACCAATCACTTAAATCATCATCATCCGAGCCATACTCTGCAAAATTTCGTTTATATTCCTCCAAATCTAATAAATTCATATGAATTACTGCTTCCGATTCCAAGTAGAGTGCACACCCAACAGTTACGTTGTTCAATTATTTTTTTTGTTGAATTATTTAATAATTTTGGCGGGAAGAGAAAGTAATCTTTTATACACAATATATTACCAATCATTACAAACTGCAAGTATTAATTATTAAGCATACACCATTTGAATTGATTTAACAACTTCGTATGACACTTCCTTATATAGTAACCCATAAAAACTAATTAGCTCGTACGCACAAATTGACCGCAGGATATCCAAAACAACTCATATACCTCCTGTATAAAAACCACACAACTATCCCCAATTCAAGAGTTCAATAACAAAAAAACAATTCAATCTTCAAACTAAATCATAAACATGATCAAGACAGTTCTTATTACTGGTGCTACTACTGGAATTGGTAAGGCAACTGCTGTTGCATTTGCAAAGAAGGGGTTCAATCTGGTTGTAACTGGAAGAAAGATTGAAAAGGAGCAAGAATTGGTTGAGCAAGTTAAGAAAGCAGGTGCTAATGATGTTTCTTTCTTTCAACTCGATGTCGCTCAAGAAACTGCTTTCGAACAAGTTGTTAAGAAAGTTGTGGAAAAGTATGGAAAGTTGGACGTGCTTGTTAATAATGCAGGCATCTCCATTAGCATTGATTTGTTGGCCGACTCCAAAACTGAAGATTTCAAGCAAATGATTGATACAAATGTTTTGGGAGTTTACTATGGAATGAAATATGCCATTCAAGCCATGTTGCAAACTGAAACCAAAGGAGCAATAGTCAATCTTGCCTCCATTGCAGGACACAATGGTTTGCTCTATACTTCACAATACTGTGCCACTAAACATGCAGTGGTTGGATTGACAAAGGGAGCTGCAACTGATTATGCCACTAAGGGAATTGCACCAGGAGCAATTAAGACTGAAATTTTACAAAATGCAATTGATTGTGGTGCCTATTCTGAGGAGGGCATTGCTGCCATGCATCCAATGAATAGAATGGGAACAGTTGAGGATATTGCTAATGGAATTGTCTTTTTGGCAAGTGATGACTGTTTGTTCATGACTGGAACTACCTTATTCGTTGATGGAGGATACAATTGCAAATAATACTTGTTTGATTAATGAGATTTCAATAAACAATGTTTTTAAGTTGCGAAATCATGGAAAGGTTCTTTCATTAATACCATTTGAACAAACTTTTAACACAAGTTTACAATCATAATAGTTTAAGCAAGCCACAGGTTGCATTGAAATAGTAGTTTACTTTTTACAAATGAAATATTCGAAATTTGTTCCCTTCACTTTTCCTCTTTCAGTAATTTGAAATTTTGATTTTCCAATTTCCTTATCAGTTTCTCTAACCATCGATGCACCAACCAATGGATAAGTAATCAATGTGACCATTGACAGGAAAACATCAGTCCAGAAATTATAAGTCTTGAAATGTTCCACAAAGAAAGCAGTTCCACCAGTTTTCAATACTCTATATGCCTCATCAAAGGTCTTTTTCTGATCATCCACACTACACAACACATCAATACTCAATACAGTGTCAAAAGTCTCATTCTGAAATGGCAAACTCTCACAAGGTGCTTCCATCAATTCAAATTTACTCAAATTATCTTTCATTTCTGTTCTGACCTTTTCTCTTGCCTTATTGAGCATTCCACTCGATAAATCAATCATGGTAATACTCTCAATCCTATCCATCGGATAGTATTCAATATTGGGACCAGTGCCAACGGCAAGGTCCAATACCTTACCCTCAACCATCGGGACAAATCTTGTTCTGCATTTTGAGAGTGTGTTCTTTTCAAGGTACTGCATGATCCAATCATAGATCGGAGCAAGAAGATCAAATTTTTGAATGCCAAACCATCCGAGTGGTGAAATCATTTTTTTTAATGTTGTTTTTCTGGTGTGATTCTTTTTTGGACAAATTTGGAAGATTGACATAAAGAGGCGAATTGCCACTCTGTCAACCATGTTTTACCCACTATATTTATTTTAATAGTATTTGTGTAAATTGATTATTGAACTGGTACAGGCAAAGGATGATTTTAAAAGTTATTATTCAGAAACGTTTATTACAAAAGTGTCACTAATGTCTGCTTCTTCGACATACTTGCTGTCAAGATATTCACCATTGGCGTACAATGTACCCATATTGTCGTAATTCTTAGCAAAGATATTACCATCATTGCCAGTTGGAAGAATGAGTTTGTCTCTGTGGAGAGCATTGTTGAAAGTGAGAATTTGGCGATAGACTGGTCCTTCGTTGGTTTGATAATTTTCGTCCACATTATTCAAAAGAACTGTTTCAGTACCTCCCTCAGTTTTGAGAATAATTTCTGAAAGACAGCCAATAATTGGCGTATCCTTGCCTGCAATGTGATAGATTGGAGTTGCATGAATAGTTCCCCATGTTGGGATTTCACCATATTGATTATAGAAAGTATCGACCATCAAGACAAACTTGGCAATGGCATAATCAGTACAGGTGGAATATCCTTGATTGATACATGCCTGATCATTGTTTCTCAGCATGGCATCCTTGTAATAGTACCATAAGGCAAGTCTATAGTTAGCAGCTTCGGCTCCTTCCATTTCCTTAGAAGCAAGTGTACCGAAATATCTCAAAAATCCTTCAAATAAAGAAGCTTCCTTTGAAGTCTTCTTCATATAACCATCCCAATTAATCAAACTGGTCAACAAGTCAGAGTATTTAGAACCCTTCTTGGCCATTCCACTTGTCATGTTAACAAACATGAATTTGTAATCTCTATAAACCACGCTGAAAGTATCCAATTGAATATTAATCATATCTTGCATGGTCAATTTACTTCCAGTCTCTGCATTTTGCTTCATTAATACTGCAAAAAGTTCTTGAATTCTTTGCTGTCTGTAATCGAAAAAGTAATCAGCACTGACTGTGTATGGATATCCTGGAGGAACAACACGATTATTAGCAGATGAAACATATCCTCTCTTTGGATTGTAAACTTCTGGTGCCTTGTCCACAGGTACATATCCATCATAATCCCATGTCATTGTATCTCCTCTAACAGCATATCGTCCAGTATGGCCCTCCCTACGCATTGGAATTCTTCCAGAAAGCTTGTAACCAATATTACCATTTACATCCATGAAGGCATAGTTGAATACAATAGACTTAATTCCATTCACATAGGTACGGAACTCATTCCAATTCTTACTCAAAATCAATGCGTAGTAATTATTTACGCTAGTGTCATTTTCAACTTGAGCAATCCATCTGAGAGCTGGAAGTTCTGTCTTGCTCTCGGATAACACTGGACCAAAGATTGACTCTCTGACCTTGATGGTGACTGGATCAGCTCCAGAAATTTTGATTGTTTCACTATAAATAGTGAATGGTTTGGAGACTCCATCGACGAGATAATTATTCTCATTTGATGGATCTGGTGTCAAAATGTAGAGATCCTGAACATCAGTATATCCCAATGTTACACCCCAACCAATATATTCATTTCTTCCAATACCAATACCAGGAACTCCACTAAAAGCAGCTCCAGAGAAATTCCTAGGAGCTGAAGAGTCACTAGAAGTTCTATAATTCATTTGAACAAGATAAAATTGATCAGGAGCTTGGAATTCCAAGTGAGGATCATTGGCCAAATATCCTGTAGGACTATCAGTGAATGCCTTATTGACAGCCCAATTATTAGAGCCAATGGCCTTCTTGGTATTTCTTACCATTTCCTTGACAGTTTTAGAAATGAAGGAATATCTTCCACTGGAACTTTTACCCAATTTTCTACTTCCAGATTTTGGAATATAGGCACCTGTATTATTTCTGTTTTGCTTCCACTCCATAGCGAGTTCTTCTTGATGGGTCAAGTTGAGTCCTAAATCCTCACGAGTCACAATGGTGGCTGCATCAAACGGAACTGGTGGATCAAGGACCTCCATTCTGCTCAATGTAACTCCATACTTTGTCATTGCATTGTATCTTCTTTCTTCATCCAAATAATTCACAGACATGATAAACTCGATATACTTTACAACACAGAGAGAATCAAAAATGGACCAAGGTTCAATATCATATCCCAATAGAATGGCTTCTGCAGGAGCTGCATTTCCACTTTGTAAATAAGCATTAACACCATCTGTGTAAGCTTGAAGTGCACTCTTGGCTTGATTATTCAACAAGAGCATTTCCTTCTTGGCAGCTCTGGCATAACCAATAAATCTTGACAATTTATCATCTTCCAAAGTGGAACTGTCAGCAATTTCACTCAACCTACCCTGGGACACTCTTCTAATAAGATCCATTTGGAAGAGTCTTTCTTGGGCAGTTGCAAACCCTTGACCAAATATCATGTCTAACTCTTTTTCTCCATCCACATAAATAATTCCATTCACATCTCTCCTTATATTAATTTTTGTGTTTGGTGTTAAATAGGAAGGATATGATTTTAAATAAGTGTTTGTTTCCAATACAATTGATTTTACATTGAGTGTGCCACTCTTATTCACAATAGAAGAAAGAGGAATGGCCATAAATACTACGTATACAATTAGAAAAACTGCAAACAAAATTGCACTCACAACACAACTCGTTACAAACAAGCAATAAATTGTTCCCTTCACAACACCTCTCAAAGAGTGAGCTTTCCATATCAAAAACAGTGCAAAAGCAATACACACTCCCATTGATGCACAAGCCACCAATGACAATGTCAAAATTATAGCCAATTCGGCTCTTTCACACTTTACACATTGTTTAGGAAACACACCGTATAAACTAAATGAAAGTGCCAAGGTAACAATGATGAAGAATATCGACAAGCCAACAGCCGAAAGTGATATTATAGATGAAGGTGTTTTCAATTGATGATCACTATGTAAATGATCACCAGTGCTAGTAGAATTAGAATTGGACCGTACTTCTCTTGTAGTCAATCCATCTTCGTGATAATTGGTAGCCATTTAGAAAATAATATTATTATTATAATTATAAATTATAATGTCTTGAGTGATGCATAACTTTGCAGTAATTTTCGGTATTATTCAAAATCACCAGTGATGCACTTTCTTTTTGTTTTTTTCAAGTTGTAAAGACCTAATATCGCCATTTGGAAGAAGATAGTTTCAATCTCCAACAACAACAAATTGCAGTTAGAACCTTACATTGTACAGAGTGTGTTGTCTCTTCTCAAACAAACAAGGAGTATGTCTTGGTTAGACGAGCGACATGACAGAGAAGGACTATTAAGCGGACCTATTGATCCGTTCTACAAGTTTTCCAGTTTCGCTGGGTTTGCAAGAGCGGAAAATGTTTAAGAATTGGTCAATAAGGTATTTAAATTACGGTATCAATTTGGGTAGTGGTAATACCCTATATCTCAAAACCAGGTAAGATCTATTTTAGCAATAAATTCTCTATCAAAATTTCTCGTTCATGTAAGCATCTAGTGAATTCTTAATTACCTCTAACGATATGTTTCTATTCCTTTTGCAATCCAATTTAGGCTATACCTGAGTGAACATTCATTTTGTTTACCAGCCTCCATTACAATAGAAAAATCATTTCTCAAATCCTTTTTACTGTGGTGAAAACTACTTCTCTATCGATTATTTTTCAAGCAATTATTAAGCAAAAATTGGCATTATTCACTCTATGAATTATTTATCTCGTTATTTACAAAATGAACAGACTCCTCAGGCATCACCGAGTAACTCTAATATGGTCTTCAAATATCTTTAACAGCCTAATTTTCCTCATAAACAATTCACACAATCCAAATAAATTTTCAAAATGTTGTTCGCATCTTCCGATTGGTATTTTCTCTTCTTGTTTGCTTTCGGAAGAAAGTTAGTTTAAAGATCTTTGTAATGGTAGTAGGAAAGAGATTGCACATTGGACTATTAATTTAATAATTCTTTTATTGAAATTGAAGTTCTGACTCTTCTAGGTTGTGAGAGATTGTGTAGTAGTTGTTGTTGTGTTTGTGAGAAATGGGATGAGGAAAATGGAGCAGTTGAAACACTTCCAATTTGTTGTGTTGGATAGGTTGTAATTGTTTGTGGATTTTTCTCTCCAATGTATTGTGAAATTTCATGAAGGGTTGACTCGAATTTTGCATCAGAATTCAATCCTGTTGAATTTGCACTGCTGCTACTACTACAACTGTTGCTGCTGTTGCTCGATTGATGATCTGATTGACCATTTGAACCGTTTGAAACTCCTGTCATGGTGAAGGAAATTACATTTTCATAAGGTTGCACTTGATCACATCTCTTTGTTCTCTTTCTCTTTTTCATGGTATAATCAAAGAATTTGAATGAATCTCTAGCTTTGTATGGTTTGGTAATTTTGTGAGTTGGGGAATGGATAATTGGATTTGAAAGTGTTTGGTAAAAAACATGTTGGTCAATTGGTGGATTTTCGAATAGATGTTGTGGATGGGTATTAGGATAGGATGAAGTACTTGATGTAGAGGAAGAAACAGAAGGTGAACGCTGTTCACACATGGATGACCATGAATAATTATTAGAAAGTGATGGAGAAACATGACCACCAAGAGAATATTTAACAGGTGTTGTACCATCCAAAGTGGTGTGTAATTTATCTTGATGCCAACGAAACACCTTTCCACTCTTATGTTTAATCATCTTGGAAAGATTTGATGAGTGCTGACACACTTCAGATGGTGTTACAATAGTAAATGATGCTGCTTGACTCATTTCCAATAAGAAGACTCACTAAAGATTAATACCTATAGCTATGCAGTTAGTGTGACCACTTGTTTAAATTAGTTTATACTATTGTTTCCAATAGAAGCGGTATAATAAATTGTTTTTTTTTCTGAAAGAAGTCTAACAGTAACTGAGCATGCGACCTTTATTCCATCAACAACATGTTTTGCAATACACTTTGAGAATTAAATACAAGTTTGGTACTTCGATCACAAAGTATGCACAAGTCAATTGTTGCATGAAGAGTTTCATGTGAGATGCAGCGCAAAAAAAGTAGCGGTTGTAATACAAGATCCAATTGTACAATTATATCGAAATTGATCTTGATAATGGTAATTTTTGTTGCCCAAGTGAATTTGTTTTTGGCAAGGAAAAACACATTTTTGGAGAATAAAATTGAAATTGTTCATGATACCATTTATATTCATTACCAGTTATGATGATTGAGAACGGAAATGTAATTTTAAAAAAAAAGTTGGTAAGCAAATCACATGACATTGTTAAAATCGTGAAATTAGTTTGCTAAAAAGATAAGAAGGACTTTGTTGAAAATGAACTTATTTGTGTCAAAATCTATTCGAAAGGAAAGCAACAACTTTAGGAATTAGTCTTTACTTTTATGTATTTGAAGAGTTAAAAAGAGGGAAAGGGTCTCTACAAGGTGTTTGATTAAATAGGTTTCGTATAAGTTGGCTCTTTAAAAATGGCTTTTTATTGGAAAGTGAAGAGAATCATGACATTAACATTTATCAAGTGTTAATATCTCTTGATGATTTCTTTTCTTTATTAATTAAAAATTCTCATTGTAATCCTATTGTAATGTTAATACATTATCCGAAATTGGTAATGATAAATACTCAACATCTGTTGTATCAAAGTTTCTAATTCGAATAGATAATTTTTTCAACGTTGAACCCCTTATTGGAAAATGAATTAATCAAAATATTCGATACAATGCGACATGATCACCACAACATCTAGGTTCCAATTCTAATGATTTACAAATTGGAGTTTTTACAGTTTTTGTTAAATGAATAACATTCAGGGATGATTGTTTAAGAAGGAAAAAATCGAATAAATTCTTTCGGATAGTATCGAATAGAATACATGAAATTTGGGTGATACTTTTCAATTTGGTCAATTTACACGTTAATAAAACGGTTCTCACTAAAGTTTATGAGATTGCTACACTTATTGTCCTCACGCAATCAATTATTTTAGTTTATTTCCTTGATTAACAACCAAAACAACAAAATTGTAATGATTCATGAAAGTAGTTTCAAAGTTTGGAATATAATGGAACATCTTCTCTCCAATTATCCTTCTTGAAATACTTCTTAGCCATTATCAGACAAGTCAATGCTCTTTGCCTTGGATTTTGGGATCCCAAAACAAGTCCATTTGCATTGGCTGGATCATAATTAGAAATATGCACATTGAATGAAAACCACTGTGGTTCCTTATTGATTTAAGATGAATGGTTTCAAGTTACAATAAAAGAAATATGATAAAATAACAATATGAAACCTTCATTCCAAAGGTGTGATGACTTCATTGACCACAAGTTCTAAGACATATAGAAAATTTTCATCATGAATGTAAGCAGCGATAGATCAGTTGGTTAGATCGTAAGCCTAACACGCTTAAGGTCGCGGGTTCAAGCCCCGCTCGCTGTAACCTTTTAACCAGTTTTTAACCATAATTTAATCAACATTTTTACAACTTCAACAATTTTCTGAATGTTCAAAACAACAACAATACCTAAATTAATCACAAAAAAAATGCCAAAACACAACAAATCTCTCACCACATCCAAATCAATTCCATCATCGGAAGAACACTCGGGAATTAAAAAAAAGCAAAATACACAAACTGTCTTGGTTAATTCCATCAGAAAGAAAAAAATAGAAAGAGCCATCAAGAATGATTATGAAACTGAGAAGGCTAAAAAGGAAGAAGATAAGAATGATTTTCTCTCCAAGATGAGTGAAGACTATAATCCAACATCAACGGAAGGTCAATTCGAAATGATGAGAGGCTTGATGAAAAAGACAACTAAAAAATCAGGTCTTGATATCTTTGATGATGATGAGGAAATGGAAGAATCTAAAAAGAAGGATGAGGAACCAATTGATGAAAATCATCTTGTAAAAACTAGTGAACAACAAGTTTCAATTTTGGAAAAAGTCTTGTCGAAAAAGAAGAAATCCGAAGAACTCAAGAAAAAGTATGAAAAGAAGGAAGCTATGGAAAAGATTGCTTTGGAACAATTACCATTCTCAAAGAGTACTACCAAGTCAACAACCACTCCATCATCAACATCAGCAACAACAACATCAAGTGTGAAATCAACAACAACAACAACAACAACAGACTTTATTCCACTTGCTGTTCCACAAACAGAAGTTAAATCCATTGATAAGGATTTACCTTTCGTGAAGGCACCAATCTCTAAAACTATTTGCTTGCATTGTGAAAGAGAAAGAACCATCAGGGGTTTAATGATCAAATATGTTATTGTCACCAACGATCAAGATGAAGTTATTTATCATGCTGCTTCAGAAGATACACTCCGAGCCATTGCTGAAGATAAAGAAGCAGTAGCCTCATCAACACAGGCAAATATTTCTCTGGGAGAGGTCACTTACTCACTCCTCACTATTCGTGAACATTTGAGTAAGATTTTCAGAAAAACTTTTGTAATTGTTGGTTACACAATTTACAATGACATGATTGGTATTTTTGGTCCAAGAAATATTCGTGAATTCCAAAGTAAATTGAGAGATGTCGGTATTGTGGATCCAAACACAGAACAACCACTCGATAGATCCATGCTTACCAATGTATCCGTACTCTTGAGCAAATTGCTTGGTCTCAACAATACCAAAAAGATGACTCGTATCGAAAACACAACCAATATCTATAAGGCTTACAAATTGCATTCCAAGATTTTTGACAAGTATTCAAAACAATCTTCACTCGATTTATTAGGATTTGAGGAAAGACAATTAATCAAGAAGGAAAAGAAAGTTCAATACCAACAAAAATACATGACTGCAATCAATGGCAGTATTGACAATATTCTCTCTCAAATGAAGAATAAATAAGATGAAATTTCTAATGAGGACTCTGATGATTTCAAAACAAAGTCGTAACCAATTTGGTCCCAGACAGCAATTGCCCCGAGAGTGATTAACAAACTTGCACCCTCATCCGGAGTTTCAGCAAAGATTGAGGAAGCTTTTCTCCCATCTTCTTACCGTTAGAATTTTATCTATTAAAAAATACGTCACCACGTTTGCTTGTTGGATTCTTTTTTAGCGTCATCAAGAAAGATTTTTTCTAAAGAACAAACTCTGTGAATATATATTACTTTTATAATAACAACATCAAAAATGTCCAATACAGGAGGAGAAGTGCAGGAATACTTGTATAAGATTCTAGTAGTTGGCGATATAGGTACCGGAAAGACTAGTATTATTAAACGATATGTACATAATATTTTCTCTAATACATACAAATCAACTGTAAGTTTATTTGGATACTTGATGGATTAATGATTGTGAATGTATTTAATTCATGGTGTTATGTTGATAAACTGACTTTTAGATTGGTGTTGATTTTGCTCTCAAAGTTTTAAACTGGGACGACAACATCATAATTAGACTTCAATTATGGGATATTGCCGGTCAGGTAAGCATTGTTTTAGATTAAATCATACTAATTATTTACTTTATTAATATCTAATGAAAATAATACACTATCAATTACTAATGATGATATTAACAAATACTTTACTAATAATTTTACATCAAATGATGAACATTTACGATTAACAATCATCACGTTTTGCTAATTTTAATCAATTATTAATAATGATTGACAATTAATAGGAAAGATTCGGTTCCATGACAAGAGTTTACTACAAGGAGGCTGTTGGTGCTTTTGTTGTGTATGATATTACTCGTCCTCCAACATTTGAAGCTGTACAAAAGTGGAAGAGTGATATTGAACACAAAGTTTTCCTTCCTGATGAACGTCCAATTCCTTGTGTATTACTTGCCAACAAGTGCGATCTTCCAAGTGCTGTTTCCAAATCAAAGGAAGAAATGGATCAATATTGTCAAGAAAATGGATTTATTGGTTGGTTTGAAACAAGTGCAAAGGACGATAAGAATATCAACGAAGCTGCCAACTTTTTAGTGAAAAAGATCTTGGAAAATCATGCAGAAATGAACAAACAACAAGGTGAAGAACAACCACGTGATGATGTTGTTCAATTCAGTGAAAAACCTCAATCACAAAATCCAAAACCATCATCTTCAGGTGGATGTCAATGTTAAATTATTTTCAATTTGGATTACTTTGGAACTGACCGAATGTCAGTTTAGTAGTCATTTTTTGTGACACTTTTCAAATAACTGTACATAGAGAGCTTGATGCATCTCACACAAGTAAATATATTGTTGTTTAATCATATCAAGTTGTCAGTATCCTCTTTTCTACCAAGTATTAAAACATTTTTCAGACAAAAACGAAGATTGTACAATTTAATTTTTTAATCAAAAGATACTTTCCTTCTTTCTTCACTAGTTTTTGGTTTTTCCTCATTATTTGATTCTTCCAAGTCTATTGGTTCAGTAATTATCTTGGAATTACGATTCTTGTTGAAAGCAGCTTCGAGTGAGGACTGGTATTCATTACATCCCGTCTCAGGTGTGTGCCTATTTTGAAAACGTCTTTCCATAAATCTTCCACCAATCTGTTTGACCCCTGTTGAAACTGTTGGGGAGGTACTCTTGTGTAATATTGAGGAATGTGGTTTGCTTTCTGAAACGGATGGTAAATCTGATGAAGGGGATGGAGAATGACTAGTTTCATCATTTTCAGTCTTTTTATCAGATTTGGCGATCATTTTCTCCTTCTTTTCTGAAAGATGGGAGAATTTAGAATCTATTATTTCCTCCTCCTCGTCATCGTCATTGGTTTTCTTGATCTTAATTTCCTCATCATCCTTTTCCCAGTCACTGTCATCACTTTCATCATTATCATCTATAACGACTGGTTTCTTAACTGTCACAATTGGTTGCTTGGCAGTTGTATTTCTAATGGATACAGCTAAGCGTGGAGATTCACTTGTTTCAATACTTGGTGTGACATTTACTTCTGTTGGTGAATTTGGTGATTGAATATCCTTATTGGAAGGAACATTTTGGGTGGTTTCTTTCTGTGAAACAATAGGTTGCTGTTGTTGTGGAATGTTAGTGATTCCATGGTTGATAATTTCCAAATTTGAATCAATGCTAGTCAATTTGAGCATTGCTTGAAGAGGAGAAACTAAACATGTGGAAAATTCTCTTTCAATAAACTCTCTTAGGCCAACAATTTCATCTCTTCCTCTAAAATTAACATTCAAACCAAAGATTACATCTCTAATAAAATACAAGGTAATAGTAGTGAAAAGTAAGAGGGATAATAATTGTGGAAGAATGGAACTAGTTTCCAATTGTTTCTTAATAAATGGAATTGATGTGTTAAATGCTAATTTTTCACCTCCCCAACTTATATCAGTACTTTCCAAAATACTAGGAATGAAACTAATCCAATCGAAACTAGCTTGTTTTAACGAAACTACTACATTTGATAGGAAAAGAGACAAGATACAAAACCAATAAACCATCATTCTACTCTCTCTCACATAAGACTTATTCACAATCAAAGAAATATATGGCAACACAACCAATGGAATGTGAATCAACCATTGCAACATGAAAATCAACTTGGTTGCCGAAAGATTTACATTCGTAACAAGTCTCTTCTCATGTTCAAATCCCACAGAGAAGGAAACCACAAAATGATCAGATGCCGACCCAATATTCTCACTACTACCTACTACAGATGATGGCTGCTTTTCCAGAAAGGATGACAACACCAAAGGTAACAAGACTGGACATATCAACTGACTCACCACCACCAAAAACAATGAATAATTAATTAGACTTTGAATGGTAGTAACAGGATTGAACCAAGATGATGATGATGATGTTTTGGAGAATTTACTAATGGTATGATCTGATGACAATGATTTTTGATTAAATTCATCAACAATAATATTATCAACTAGTTGACGATTATTATAAGAATTAATAGCTATCATGGAAGGAGAAGGTAAATTAATTTTACCTCTTGTTGTTGTTGTTGTATCAAATGATGATGATGATAAGGGAGGACGGGAAACACCAGTCGAAGAAGAAGCACCAATCATCTTTGAATTAGTTTTCTCTTAGTTTGCGCGGCAGTTACGTTTTTTTGTAATTTTTTTAATGATGTTGGTTATTTTGAATAAATTTGTTCCAGATCCAACTTTGGAAAATATATTAATCGGATAATGAAAGGTTTATGATACTTTCGTCTAGTTTCTACTACTGAAAAGGTGTTTGGAGTTGTGTGTTAGAGGAGTTAGATATTCTTTTTTAAAAAAGTTTATTTAAAATATTCAATTTTCAGTGTGATTCAAAATTGTAACAAAAATGAATCTCTTTTTCGAATCTTGAAAAACTAATTCATGATGATTAAACTGTACATTGTAAAGTTCTTTCAAAAATTGATTGAATTTAAACTTGCATTCCACATCCTTTGGTTAGCTACTATCCAAAATGAAATCTATTAGATTCTTGATGGAACACAATTCTCCATTAATGAAACTCTACGCTCAATGATCGCGCTCAAAGGATCCGCTTCTTTCAAGCCTCAGCAAAATACAAAATCCAAAAAAAATGCTTAACTTGATCGCTTCTTTCATGGGCACGATGGGGGAGGATTCGATGCGAGATGATCCTTCTTCTTCATCATCATGGTCCTTGTTGAGGGTTTTAATGATGATCGGGATGAGTTTGTTGGTAATTGTTGCTTCGTGGTTTGTGGTTGGATTGTTCAAGTTGATGAAGAATATGGCAAAGGTCTCTCATATTCCTGGTACTTTCCAATTTATGTTTTCTCCTATTAGGATTCCATTGTTGGCTCCATTGTTTTACATGGGTAATTGGGAAGAAATCTATCAAGCCATTGATAAGTATGGAGATAAGAAGGGAAGTTTAAGAGTTTCTTATCAAGCTGGTAATACATTCACAACTTGTAATAAGGATATTTTGAAAGAAATTTTCATTACAAAAGCATCAGCTTTTGACAAGCCAGAGTTCTTGTATGATATGTTTAATTTGATAGATGTGAATATTTTGAGTGCATTGACTACAAGTGATTGGAAAAAACATCACAAAGTGGTAAGCCCTGCATTTTCAAAGGACAATTTGGAATATGTGTGTGAGGAAGCAGTAAATTGTACTGATTTGATGATGAAATTATTTTGGGAGAAGAGATTGAAGAAGGATGGAAAATTGACATTGAGTGACGATGATTTCTGTTCCATCACATTGGAAGTTCTTGGTAGGGCTGGATTTGGACTTTCATTTGGCGTATTTGATGAAAAAGATGAAACTGGCAAACAATTTAGAGATGCAGTTGAGAAGGTTATTAATATTGGTATAATGGTTAAAAGATTTGCACCAAACACCTTCCTCTATCATTTGATCCTCAAGTTAACTGGCATCGAGAAGGCTATCACTTTTGTGAATAATATTTTGGATAAGCATATTGAGGAGAGAAAGAAGGAAGCTGATGAAAACTTTGATAATTTCTCTAAGAGAGATATTTTGAGTTTATTAGTTAAAGGAAATACAATTGAGAAAGTATTGACTAATTCGGAGCTCAAGAGTAATTCTCTGCTGATTACTCTTGCTGGGGATGAAACTACATCAACTACTTTAAGGTATGTCAAAAATTATTCAAACCATTTGATTCAAATATTACAAACTTGTAGTTGGATAATTTACCATTTGTCAAAGAATAAGGATGTCCAAGAAAAGGCTAGAGAAGAAGTTAACAAATTACTTCCAAATCAAGAAAAACCAAGTGCTGAAACTTTCGAAAAACTTGAATATATCAATGCTATTGTTATGGAAACTTTAAGGTAAGTGGAATGGGTACTCATGTTTTTACTCATTCTTGAATTTTAGAGTAAATCCTGCTGTATTGGGTGTTCTTAAGGTTGCTAATAAGGATGTTCAATTAGGTGAATACAAGATTCCAAAAGGAACATTTATTGAAGGCAACATTTATGCAACTCATAAAGATTGGCCAGAGGCTAAGGTATTTAAACCAGAGAGATTTATGGATCCTGAGTTGAGAGCGAAATCTCAACATGATTTTTCATATCTTCCATTCTCATCTGGTATTAGAAAATGCATTGTAAGTATTTGAATGTGTTTTAAATATTCACAAATTACAGGGATATAAATTTGCTAGTATGGAAGCATGTATGGTTACTGCAAGATTATTGCAATTTTACAAATTTGATTTGTTGAATGATGAAAAGAATGGAGATGTTATTATTCCATCAAGCGGTATTACAGTGAGGCCACTCAATCTCAAAGTTAGAATCACCCCATTGAATTGTTAACAAATAAAACACTTTGGTACCAAATCTTTGTATTAAGACATCTATTGATAATATTTCAACTTTGTTTGGTTAACATACTTCATCAAGGAAGTTAGACAACATGGTCATTTCGTCTTGGCTAATTTTTGGTACGAAAACTGTTGGTTGTTGAATTTCTGTGATTAAGGTTTTATCAAATCTGTCAAGCTTTTCTGGAATAAACTATTGCCATCAAATCCCTTCTTCTTAATTAGGTTCTCTCTTTCCACTTCTGTGGAAGAATTCCAAATTTTATCTGGTTGAAGAGCTGGAAGTGGGTAATGATTTAATTTTGACTCGGTGCTTTCCTGAAAGCTTTGTTGTTGCTTTTTTTTTAATATTTTTGGTGGTGAAGTGATTTGGCTTTAAAAGTGCACTGTTGCAACAAATTTTGCAAACATATCACATTGTAAAACATTCCAAATTCAATCAAGTAACCATTTTTAACATTATTTCAATATTCATGCTCCACCGAAATGGTGAAACTCAACATTTTTCTTGCTTCATATTAAACTTACAAAAAGTTCGACCATTTACAAGAATCAAATAAATTAAAAAAATGTCGCAACATCAATCTTCTCACTCATCACTTCTCCTCAATTTTGATCAAACCACAACAAGCATCTCTCATTGCTATAGTGGAGGTTGTGAAGGCACTGATTTTGAATGGACAAAAGCTTTCGGAAAGAAGAGCATTGTCTATTCCTTTGCTGGACATCATCAGAGAGTATTGCCAAATGTTGGAGAACAAGTAATAACTCTGGACAAGAAAGAATTGGCGTTTGCTGATAAGAAATTGAGTGAAGCAAATAAGTATCTAAAGAGAAGGAATACCAAGTTCAATTTGCTGAGACGAAACTATTATATTATCAGTAAGGCAGCTTCATGTTATGCCATTATTGAAGAGTTTGAGAATAAAACAGCAAGTAATAAGAGTTCGGTGAGAATAAGAGGAGGAACAGCTTGGGGATGTCAAATGTTTCTATTGAAATACATTTCGGAAAATCAAATACAAGATAAGAAGAATGTTCAACCCCATTTATATGCATTTTGTCAAGAAGCTGGTAATTGTAAATGGTTTGGAATTTCTATGGATGTACAAGGAGGTGAAATTGTTAATACTGATTGGTCAGATATGAATCCAAAGAAATTGAGTGGAAAATTTGCAGGAATTGGTGTGAGAGCAATCAACGATAGTGGAAAACAAGCCATTCAAAGGTTAGCTAAGGAAGCCTCTATTGTGACTTTGAAAATAGATAGACCACAAAGTAGAAAGGATCCATATCCAGTTGTTTCAAAATCTCAGATCAATGAAATTATCTCAATTGAAGATGATTCAGAAGATGATGAATAAATCAAAAGAAAAGGAATGCATTTTTATCTCCCTCCTGACTTGGGAATTGTTTGCTGTGGGAGAAAATGGTAAACTATATCAACAACTTTTGAATAGGACAATTTTTGTCAGTTATCATTAATGTTTCGAATATTTGAAGAACTGTTTCCTTGATCACGCCAAATCTTTCTCAAACATAAAAAAATATGAATAAGCAAAACGTTAAGCGAACAGCAACTGTTCACCAATACTATTCGATTCTTGCAAGCAGAGATTCTACAGGTTTCAGTTTCTCAAATCCCACAACCTTTGTTGAACCAGAAGCCACAACAAGATGCACAACACGTTGTGATCAACAAATTCAAACAACCCAATCCTCTTCACCAACACTGCTAACCCACACCATACCACTCACTCATCATAATCGTTTCTATTCGAAATCAACAACAAACACCACAGGAATGAGTCAAGATGAAATTCGAAAGCTCTATGATAAGGCATGGGAATGGTTCAAAGAGCCAATTTCAATCCAACCCAATCAAAATACAATCAAAAAGTGATTCTCTAGATTGGTTTCAATCAAAATCGTACCAATAAAATAAACGAGAATGTTGTCAATGTACATATTTGGAGTGTTTGACTTGTCGTTAAACAAGTTTTTCCACATTATTTGCCCAACAACACTGACAACCCATTACATGTTGGCTAGTTGTGATTACATTAGTGTGCCATGTAAAATCAATAGATAAAAAAATTTATCACTACAGGTTTATTACTCAGTTTACAACGAATCTATTCACTATCCTCTCTTCAATCCAGTTTGCTTCAATTACCATGGTCTTATGAGTCCTATTGACGAACAAGTGAGAGGTCCCTCCAACCTGGTTCTTGTACAACAATGAATTACAGAATCGACGATAGTGAGCATCCATTTACCTTACTCTCCACTCCCAATTTATAACCCAGGACAGTTACCACTGCCTGGTATAGATAAAAAAATGTAAATTTTAGGAAACAATATCAATTCAGGTTGAGAAAGTACCTGTTAGGATTATTGAACTCAATTGAAGAATATTTCTGCTAGACATTGCAATATTGTAATATTATTACAGCTGTGTTCTGTAATGGAATGGCAGTATTTCATAAAATCAAAATTTAAAAAAAAATGGAAAAACCACTCAAAGCAACCTTCGCCTTCTTGCGACGTTTCTTCTGGGGATTGGAAGATTTTATCAATTCACAAACAAAGATTTCCTTCCTCTCGATCAGTTCAAGTAGTACCACAATGATACTTACAAAGGGAACAAGTTTTCAAACCTATCTTGCCTATGCCATTCTTGTTGATTGTTTGAGACGTTCATTCGGACTTGATTCATGTCCAATAGAGGTTGATTATTCGAGAGCAGAGTGCAAGGATTTTCTCATCAAAGTTACTGGATATCATCCCAGTTTTGTCACCTATGACTATTATATTAAACGATTTGATGGATTTATAATGAATTTGGATCAGACAAAATTATCTACTCAAGTACAGAGTTCATTGGAGTATTTATTGAATTTTCTACAGGTGGATGATAGTCGATATTTTGATGATGTTGAGGAGGCCAAGGGAAGTTATCATCGACCAATTCTATTTGTTTACTTGATGAAGAATGGAAAGAGATACCCCAAAGTTGAAGAATTAACAAAGCAAGTGGAAGAATTGATTGAAAAAACAAAATTTGATCCGAATCAATTTCATATTACCTTTCTGTATGAAACAGTTTTTGTTGGGGAGGAGCAAGCAGAGAAATTAAGCAAACAAAATGATGCAGAATTCTATTCGGCAATTGAGTGGTTATTTAGTAAGTGTGCTATGAAATAATGATCTCTTTTATATCGTCTTGCACTTTACTGGCTCGATTCGTATTTTCGAGGCCAGCAAATATTAACCTTCTTTCCATAAGCTCTGTTGGTGAATCAGTTAAGCCAATCACATTTTGTAAAATAGTGGACATTGGAAGTTGGACAAAGAATAATTGCATCCATTCCCACCTTTCCATGACAACCAATCTTGTAGTCATTAGTGTTTGTATTGTGGTTGTATTTTTTCTACCACACTCAATTAGGACAATTCCATAGCCAAGATTTAACACTTTTAAGGAGTTGAATTCAATATGGCAGAAAGGATTACCTACAATGTAACCTTACACTTAAAAAGAGTGAATTACAGCAAATCAGAGGAGCTAACATTTTGGCAAGAAAATAATAAAATTTAAAACATTTATGCAAGGAATACATGTAAGATGGTTCAATTTTGTGGTATTAAGAAGGGATAATGTCAATGATCTTTATGACAAATAAATTTAGAAAGAAATAGGAGTCGTGTAAATCTTTGGGTACTTTAAGTTTCCACAATTTAAACAGGTTACTCTCAAAACGCCATTTTTCTCATTCCCAAATTCCTAAATGTAAAAGGGAGTTTTCTTAACTCCTGATACTCCGGAGAACCATTTTAAAAGGGCTTGCTTATCTCATTGAATATTGAAACTAATACTGAAAAAATGGCTATTACCCTTGTTAAGGATTTCAATTCAAGCATGTGCAAACTATTAGTTGTGGCAATTATGATTCTAAGCTTTTGTTACACATGTTATGGACAACAAACACCAATCATCTCTGCTGAGCCAGAGGTTTCCTACTGGATAAACAATACCAATAGTAAGGAAGATCCAACCACACATGTCTATACTTCACAACTGTATCAATATGATAGCTTGTTGGGAAGTCCACCAATGGATTTTGATAACACTCAATTATTCTTTGAGTATGAAAAGGCAGATGGCAATTATTTCTTCAAAGTGAATGTTATTTCTACTGAAGTCGACTCTATCCAAAAGACGGTATTTGGTATTCTTGAACTATCTGTTCAAAGTGATAAAGGCGTTCCTGATAGAGCTGTTTTTAGATTTAATGCCCCAAATGGTATCATGAATGTTGATTTACTTAGACATACTAGAGCAACATTCATTGCTCCATCTTCATATTCAATTGAGTTGAGTCCAGTTGGTGATAAGTATGGTATCATTAGAAGATATTGCAACATGTTTGAAGTAGAGGTTAACTTGAAATTTGTTACTGAATCTTTGGGAAAGAGTACTTTCCAACTTTCTATCTGGACAGAAGATAGCCCAAATGATCCAACTCCACTCGTTGATTATAGATGGCTTGAAGTTCCTTATCCTGCCTCATTCATGATGAAATTGGAATCTGAACCTGCCTTTACTAGATACTTTGGTGTTGGTTTCTTTGGTCAATCACCTGTTAATTATTTGCAAGCTGCTCCTCCAAAGTTCATGTTAACTGAAGTCAACAATGTCAAAATTCAAGATATTAAGGATGATAGATTGAATACTGGAACATTCACTGTCATGAAAAGTTATTCCTTCCAATCAGATAATCTTAATACAAAGGGTTCTTTCATGCAATACAATTATGCATACACTGACTTGAAAGATATTTATGGAAATGAAGTTGAAATTAAGTTTGACGAAGTGTATTGTGGAACATCCAATGGTGTTGCATATCAACCTGGTGTTCCAATCTATCCAGTCACTGCTTCCTATGAAAGTTATGGTTCAGTCATGTGTCCAGAAAGTGTCATGGTTCCAAATAGTGTTGTTATCATCTATGCTAAAGTTGTCATGATTAAGAGACCACAAGTTGATGTTTTGACCGACAGTGAAAAGGTTTCTGGTGAAGTTTCCAACGGATTCGGCAAACTCATGAGAACTGGCCAAATTGACCAAGATACATGTGTCCTTTTCAAAGGATCTGTTGCCAAAAGCAAACTCTCCATCTACATGTTACAACAAAAACTCGAAACTTACAATATCAATCCAAGTCCAAAACAATACACTGAACTCCAAACATTAGAAATTGGTTCTGATCTCACCGCCAAATTCTGTTCCACAAAGGAAAAATTCGATAAGGTTGGAGCATTCCAACAAGAAATGGCCTTCTTGTTACTTTCATCCGAAACTAGTATGGTTAGTGACTTTAAACTTGTGGCCTCTGTTGGAGAACCATCTGTGGCTGGAACTGTTGTTGGTATCTTGTTCGCTGTTGGCATTGTTGGTTTGCTCATTGTTGCTTCCATTATTGGAGGAATCATGTATTGGCGAAGAAGAAAGTCTGCTGCTTATGACTCTATCAATTAATAAATTACCTGTCCTTCTTTCTCTTTATTGTTTCCACAGAATACCTGAATATGTTGCAGTGTAACAAAATGTGTGACATCTCCGTCCATTGGATGGTTGTGAGTAAGAATAATTTCACAACTTGAAAAAAATGTTTGGACTATTGCAATCGATGGTTAGAATGGAGACCGAAGCTGAGTGTATCACTTTGGCACAACCTAGTGTTGGTATTCATCAAGTTAAACCATTGTTTTTTGTCAAAAGAAAGGAAAATGATTCGGAAGAATCAACATCCATTGTTGAAATTATTACATCAGCAAAATTAGTAGAATACAATGATGATGATAACAATTCAGAAAGGAATTGGCAATTTTTGTTCAATAGAAAGACTTTATTTAATAATTCGAGTGGTGGCAATACTACTTTTCAAAAGGAAACTCCTCTCGGGGTAGGATCTAGTTTGATTGTGGATTGGGAGAGTCAGTTTTTGAATAGTGTTTCCAAGGAGGGAGAATCAAAGAAGGTGAGAGCTTGTTGCTCTTTTAATGTAAGAATATGGAGCTCTGCTGATACTCCAAAATATGATCAAGGACTGCCTTGTCTCATTAAGGATTGGAATTTTGATACATTATCGAATGAGAGTTTTCAAATTTTCAAATCAAATGATGGAAGTGAAGATGCATGCAGATGTATTGGATTTATTGATGGGAAATTGGTCAGACACTTGTGTCATATGGGACAGAATGCATTGTATATTGAGGAGAGAGATGGTACAATTGAAGGTATGGAAAAGATTGATGTTCCTAATTGGAATTCTCATTCCTCTTTCATGATTCCTCTTCCTTGTGAAAATTATGAAGAGAGAAAATATTCACTGAATGCTCTGGTTGGAAATAATAACGCAATCTACAAGTTTAATCTCAAAGAAAAACAATTCGAAAGTGTTGTTCTGAAAGATATGACATTCCTCTCTGATTTTGATCTTTCAATGGTTAATTCTCAAGTTATTATTAAGGAAGGTAATAGACTCAGAGTATTCTTAAATATTTCTAATAGTCTTTTTGAATTGAGATGGAATGAGAAAGAACTAGTTGTTGTAGATCATCTTGTTTGGCTTAGAAATGAAATCAATAATATTGTAAGAGTAGGAAATTCTCTCCTCATCTTGAGTTCCAAAGGAGACTTTGTTTATACTCCTTCATTATATGATGCTGATGCAAAGACAGGAACTTTGGCGCCAGTCAATATTCCAGAGAATACAGCCCACAAATTGCTATGGGATGATGAAACCATGTCCTTAATTAATGGAATCGATTTGTTAAAGGGTGAATCAAATTGCACAATTTTGACAAGTGAAACTATCTCACAACTGGAAACAAAGCCAATCTCTGAACGCTATTCTGAGAAGGATTTGTTGAATCAATATCTATTCAAGAACTATGTACCACCAAAAATTACAGATGCACTCTCAGTCACAGAACGCCAACCAGGAGATCATTCATTCAGAGGAGATGTTTACTACGAGTGTAAAAAAGGTCGATACAATGATATGGAAATTATTGCTGGAATTAAATGTAGAGAGAATGAAAAATTGAAATTTGCAATCTCTCCACAATATGTTGAATTGAATCCACAAGATTTGGCAGATTACTTGGGAGCTCCTGTGATGGTTCCTAATTTTAATGGTGAAACTTTTGCTGTAGGTCACATTCATGATATGGATGGGAAGAAAAGAGATTCTGACTCTGTTATAATTCATCGTGGATTTTTTAGCAACTTTAATTTGAAAGGAAATGACTTTCTTGCCATTCTCTCTCCAAAAGATGAAACCTCGGCCACCCCAGAAGAAATTTCAAATAGTGGAAATCAAGAATGGAAAGAGCTAGCAACAAGAAAGCAGTTAAGAGTTGACTCAAATCAAATAAGAGTGGCTGACTTTACAAACAGGGGTTATGTTGAAATTGATAATGTGGAGAGTGGTATTTGGTCGTATAATCAAAAACTTGAAGATGATCTTCCAGGTCAATTAATTGCCTTTAATCAAAATTACAAAGATTCAATCAATACGAATATTGAACAAGATTGGAATGTTCCAGATGAAACTTTTTCTGAGGAATTACACAATTCATATAGTATTTCTGAATTGACATCAAAAACAAGACCATTAAGTAATGATTGGCAAGTGTCAGCATGTGGAATTTGTGTAGATGGTGGCAATGTTGGAATTTTTGATGCAATCCATTACCAAGATGACACTGTATTCGGTATGGAAGCAAAAGGATTTGACAAATATTTCAAATCATATGACTCTGGTTGGACTGGTCAATTGAACAGCATGTTGAGGGAACAAAGCTATCCACTATTGATGAATATTCCATTTGGTATCATTTCAAGAGATGCTGACACAGGCGATGGAAGATTTGCCTGTTTATCCAAAGTGTACAATGGAAAAGTTGTAGCCGTTAAGGTGATTATTCAACATTCTGCCTATGAATAATAAGTAACGCAACTAATTATTGTAGAGTTTGAATATCTATTGTAAAATATTATGAACCATTTATTTCTCATTTAAAAGCACTCAATGCTCCCTTAAAGCACTATTGAATACATACAATTCAGGTTGAAAATCTGCGATTTTGAAGCCTTCTTTTTGATTACATCACATGAAAGAGGTGTTACAATAAAGATTCAACTCAAATGGACATTAAACACAGTATCGTTCAACAACAAACGAAAAAAAATACATCAACTGTTATTGTGGAGAGTATTTTCAGTTTTTGTTAGTTGGAAAAAAAGCGTATGATGATGATGGTCGGAGATACGTTCAATAGAAAGATTTTAATAGCCTCCGTTGTGATGGCAATGCTGATCTTTGTGATGACAATGGTGGAGAGTAGAAGAATAATATCACCATTCAAGACAAATACTGATAATGTAGATACATTTAAAGTGTTTCCACTTCCTGATCAATATTCAACAGGATCAATTGTTGGTATAATCCCTGATTGGAAGAATTTCAATATTGCTTTTCAACAAAATCCAGAATCACCTGGAGATTTTGATATTATTTCTGATGCATTCGAGAGATATGGTGGAATGATTTTCTATAATCAAGCTGTTGATTCATCTGCAACTTGTCCTACATTGAATGGTACAAAAGTTTATTGTATGAATAGAGCTGTTTTGACTATTCTTAAAGGAAGTACTGATTTAATTCCAAAACCATTCCTTGGTATGGATGAAAGTTATGCTATTACTGTCAATCCAAGTGATGGATTTATTCAAATGACAGCTAATACTGTTTGGGGAGGTCTCAGAGCTTTGGAATCAATTTCACAACTTATTGTGCCAACTGACAATATGAATGGAGTTGATTTTGGAAAGGTTTATTATTCATTCGCTGAATATTTACCTATTCTAATTAAGGATCAACCAAGATTTTCTTGGAGAGGATTTCTTGTAGACACCAGTAGACATTATTACTCTGTTAAGAAGATTTTGCAAATCATTGATTCTCTTGCCTATTTAAAGATGAACGTTTTCCATTGGCATATTGTTGATGCTCAAAGCTTCCCTCTTGTCGTCGATGCCTATCCAAACCTCAGTGGAAAGGGTGCCTATCAAAAGAAGGCTGTTTACTCTGCTGAAGATATTCTTGCCATTACTGAATATGGTAGAAGAAGAGGTGTCAGAGTTATTCCAGAAATTGATATTCCAGGTCATGCTGGATCTTGGGGATTTGGTTATCCTGAAATTACTGCCAACTGTCCAAGTTACAAGCACAACATCAATAATATTCCACTCAATATTGCTGAACCAAAGACTTACCAAGTGTTAGGAGCTATCATCAAGCAATTAGTTCAAAATGGATTTTCTGATCAGTACTACCACTTTGGTGGAGATGAACTCGTCATGGGTTGTTGGCTCCAAGATCCAAGTATTCTATCATTCATGAAGCAAAAGGGATTCACACAACCAGTCCAATTGTTGCACTACTTTGAAGATAATTTGAGAACCTTGTACAAACCATACAATAAGACTATGATTTGTTGGGAAGAACTCGCTTTGGAATACGGATACAATTTGCCAAAGGATACTATTGTTCATGTTTGGAAGGAAAGACACACTCTTATTGACGTTGTCAAGATGGGTTACCAAACCTTGTTGAGTGGTGGTTGGTATTTGGATCAACAAATTCCAAACCATAATCAAACTTTCTATGGTATGTTTCTTCTAAATTTCTCAAATATTAATTCTAATAATTTCAAATTAATCGATTACTGAATTGTGAATGTTTTCTTAAACAGAATGGGTTGATACTTGGATTAATTTTTATCAAAATGACCCAACTGAAGGATTTGGTATGACTGATAGTCAAAAGAAATTAGTTTTGGGTGGTGAAGGAGCCATGTGGAGTGAACAAGTCGATGATGCCAACTTTGACTCTCGTGTCTTCCCTCGTACTCTTGCTATTGCTGAAAGATTGTGGAGTAGTAGTTCTGTTACTGACCTCACTAGTGCCAGAATCAGAATGGAATACAGCAGATGTAACGTCTTGGTTCGTAGAGGTGTCAATGCTGGTCCAGTAATGCCAGGTTATTGTCAAGCTACTTATGATAACTTCTAAACTAAGCAAAACTGAAACCTATTATTTATTAAAATTATTTATTAACATAATTCTTAACATTTTCAATTTGGCGCACCTCAAAACAAGTCTTTCTTATTGAGAGTTGTTCGAAGACCTTTAATCAACAATAAATAGAAATCATTCACCTCATCCTTTATTGAGGAAAGTTCAGTCTGTTTTTGATGAAATAATGGCCCAACCTTTTGATAGTTCGTTAGAATTAGATAGCTTAATGGGATGCTGTAAGAAATTATTAAGAGCAAAAGAAAGTGTAAATGATTTTCGATATTAGAACATGTTAAGTTCACTTGAAGAGTTAAAACAACAACTTACATCCTCTTTTTAATAAAACAATTCTTTGAAAATTAAATCAACAATTGTATTCACACCTTAAACTCTTCATTGTTCATCACAGCATCCAGACAATGTAATTGACAAAAAAGAAACAGTCCAAATTCTGTACATACCATTATCTGATGACTGAATTGGAACAATCCATAAAGCAGGCACACAGTATTCAATTCCTTCTCTCTCTAACGTGTTATGGTAGACTATTTTTAGGTTTTGACAACAAAAAATACAGGCAACACAATAACCTCACCACAACCACGTCGACGAATAGGGCAATGAGTAATAATAATAATTATGTGGTGAGGCCTTTGAATGGCACTAACAATAGCAATTCGGGCCGATCTGCATCAAATACAACAACTAGTATTCCATCGGCTCCTCCACTAGAATCTTCATCTCCAACCACACAAAAACAACCTTCATCCATTGTACATAATATCTATCCACCTGTAAATAATTTTGGTGCAGCAACAGCTTTTCCAAATAATAATACATCTTCAGCAGCATCAACTATTTATCCAAAATTACCTGATCAGCAATTATCTGTAAATCAACACTTGTACAATATTCAAAAACAACATCAACGACCAAGTAATAGTAACAACAACTCTACTAACAATGGTTCATCACAACAACCAATGAGTAAATCATCAGTTCCGAATACTAGTACCAAAAAGACTTCTAAAAAGAACGAACCATCCTCTGCCAAAATATTATATGATTCATCTTCACAATTAATTTCAGGTATTTCCTCCTATGTAAAGAGTATTCCGTGGACAAATATTGCAAAACAATTCAATGAAAACGTTATTCAGCCATATAGTACCTATGTATCATCAGCTATTGGTTCTGGAATTTCAATTACTAATAATACATCTGGTGGTGATATGAGTCAATGCAACTCGGATACAAATATTTATACCTCTCATTTAGGACGATTGATATGGTCTGACTTAAGGTTTTTACCAGTTACCGATTCGAATTCAACCGATGAACGTTTATTCATGATTTTGGCCTTTACTAATGGTTTTCAAATTTTTGACATTAATGATCCTAATAACGTTAGAGAAATTATAACCTCAAGTTCTGATGAGTGGGAATTGAATAAGGAATCAATTAGTGAAATTATTGGTAGAACAATGAATGTAGTATCATCAGCAAATAATACTGACAATGCTCCTACTACAAATGGTAGCATTAGTAATGCAGTTCCTGAAAACAATTTTGAACAAACTGAGCAGGAGGAAAATTCTATTGAAAATTCTGGTCCAATTACCGTCATGAATTCAGATTTAGATAGAAATCAGGACCACTCTTCTTTTTTCAACCTGGACTATGTTGACCATGATTATGAGGAAATAAGCAGTGCTCAACCAACCAACCCCCCTAAATCAACACTAAATATTGATGATTGGTACAATAGAATGCTAGACGATTCAGATTATGAGGAAGAGTATTCACTGGATCAAACCAGAAGAGAACCAACAAAACCTGCCTCAACCGCCACTACCACAACACCTCTCTATACTCCCGAAAAAGTTAAGGAAACCAAGGATGAAGTCAAAAAGCAACCTGAGTCAGTCACCCCTTCTACTTCTCAACAACCACCTGAAACAGAAGAACCTACAAATAGGGAAATTTATTATCCTGAAATGAATGTTCCAGACACTCTTGGCCCTATTAAAATGGCAACTCTCCTCTCCAGACCTTCCAAGAAGGCTATCAAAAGAAGTGAAAAACGTGCCTTCGACCAACCTTCATACCTCAATTATTATCCCCTTGTTGCTGTTGTTACTGAAACTGAGCCAAATATTGTGCATCTCTACTCATTGAAATATCAATGCTTCTTGGATGATAGCGTTAAAATCTATTGTCATAATCCTAATACTGAAAAAGTTACTGTTTTTCAGACTGTTTCTTCAGAAGATTCCTTCATTGTTTCAGACTCTTCAGGTCAAATTTTCTTTTTAGATCCTTGTACATTTAATTTATTATCACAAGGAGTTTGTTTCCCTTCTCCTGATAATTTTACAAAGAATTACTCAAGCGAAAACGACTCTAAAAAGAAAAGGAAAAATCAAAAGAAGAGAATTGATCCAAAAGCATATGGAGGTATCATAGCATGCAGAAATCGATTTGCTGCTTTTGCAAGTGGAACTGAAGTTTTAAATGCCAAATTAGATTTTACTACAAGAATTAATTCCACTCTAACTGAGAGATCTTGGGAAGTTGCAAAGAAAGCAGCCACTGGTATTTACATGTTGGGAGATTTAGGCCTCAAGAAGGTTTCCAAATATTGGTTTGAGGATGGAAAGAAAAAGAGTTCTGACAGTGAATCTGGTAGTGATGGATCTAACGATAATAGTGAAGATGAGGGATTAAATGATGAAGAAGCATCATTCTCTTCTCTTTGGAACGGTGATATTCCTCAAGAATTACTATCCTATCAACAGACTGTTGGTACTGTAGAAATTAGAGATTTGAAAACTAACAGAGTTTTAATGCATTTTAGAGCCCATAATGAACCTATTGCTGCCATGGCATTTGATAGAACAGGTACTCTGCTTTGTACAGCTCCAATTTCTGGAAAGTATTTGAATGTTTTCCAAATATTACCAAACTGTTACGGTGCTAATGGTGATTCTATAGCAAGCGAGAAAAATGTAAAATTATTGTACAGATTGTACAGAGGTTTAACTTCTGCACACATTCAAGATATTCACTTCAGTGTAAATAGCAAATGGGTAGCAGCATGCTCTGCTAGAGGAACTATCCATCTTTATGCCATCAATCCAACAGGTGGACCAATTGATCCTAGATTCCACTTTAATGGAGAACAAGAAAATCAGTCAGCTAATTCAAATGAACCAATAGTTCTCAATGTTATTGCCCGTATTCATGATCCAACTGCTGGTAAGAGAACAAATTCATTAGGACAACCACTCACTCAAACAAGATCTGTTTTCCAACTCTATGCTCTTCCAGAAATCAAATCTCAAAGTACCATCGAAGCATCAGAAAAGTTTTCAACAGAAGAAGATTTATATTGGGAACGTCAAAATGCAACCATCAATAATGAAAACATTCTAGTAACTCTGAATTGTGGCATGTTGAGTTATTACTTGCTAAAACCACAACTAAAGAAGAGGGATAGAGCAGCTTCTGCTGAAAATCTTAGTAGAACAACTGTGGGAACAGCTTCTTCTGGTATTTCTATGGTTGCTATTAGCTCTGATAGACCTGTGTACTCACCTGAAGATTTTGAACTCTCTCTCAATGTTGAATTGTTGGCCAGGTTTGACACTTTCCAACCACAATTTACTCCTCAAGAACTTGCTTACGATGCTCTTACTGGACAACCAACAAGAAACGAGGAAGAAACCGTCATGGAGATACAAAGAAAAAAGAAGCTACACAGTATTACATGGAACCAACTCTTGGGTAAAGTCAATGAAATGGATACCACCTATCAAGCAAGATATGTAGATGAGACCCAGGACATGTTGTCAAAATGGATTTCGAACGTCGAGCTAGAAACTCACTCTTATCCAACCAATCCTTTGTGGGCTACTGGACATTTCAAATTTAAGACCATCAAGTCCAATTCAGATATCCTTGAGAATGCGAATGATAATACTATTTTCAAAATTGGAGATAATGATTATGATCAAATTAGTGATATTAGCAAGAGTCTTTATATTAAGGTTTCTAATCCTATTCCTCTGAATCATGCAGAAAACTTTTTGCAAGATGATCCTAAACCTGAAACTGTAAAGAGTGATGTCATTATCAAAGCAATTACTACACCAATCTCTCAACCACCAACAAAAATTACTGTACCACTGTCAAAAATAGCTGTTCCTGATTCTAAAAAGCCAACTATTATTCCTCAACCAATACTTAATACTGGAAGAAATAAGTCCCCAGTTAAACAATTCCAACCACAAGTGAAAATTGTAGAGGAAAAGAAGACGATTATTGATAGCATTGTTGATGGAGAAGTCTCCTCGGAAGAAGATGAGGAAGTTTCAACTGTTCAACAACAAACCGATGTTCCATATGTTGGAAAGAGTTTCTTTGGAGATATTCAGCCACAACAACAACCAACAGTTCAATATACCAAACCAAAAGATCTCAAAGAAGACAATTTGCTTTTCTTCTCCCATATGGAAAATTATTTTGACAAGTCAGAAAGGGAACAAAATGGTGAAACAGATACCACTGTGAGAAATGGTTCAGAATCTCCTGAAACTAAACCAACACTCATTCCAAACCATTTCAGTCTGTCTTCATCCATTCACCAAGATTATTTTAACGATGAAGAAGATGCTCATTCTGAATTGGAGAGAAGAGAACAATTTTTAAACACCAGTCTATTGAAGGAGTCTATAATGATTAATCACTTAGAAGATGACGATGATGATGAGGAAAAGTTAGACGAATACTTTAATTAATAAAGATATTTCCCCTAATTTCGACACAATTGACACGGTAAAAGCAGATTATTAATCTTTCCAACTTGAATCAAAATTCAGAATTGAAAAGATTAATACTCAACAACCAAGATTACAATAGAAAAAGCGATGAATATTTAATTAAAAAATTATTTTTAAAAAAAATGAAAAACTTGCTTAAAGGCAAGGCAACCAAAGCTGCCACTCTCGAATTTCTCTCTAAAAAATTTACTCCCGTAGAAGGATGGAAACTTCCGAACACAACATCAACTCACAATAGTAATGCTAGTATTGAACATTTAATACAATCACAGAATAATCATAATCTTCCATTCTACTTTTCTAAAGTTGGATTTGGTGGTCATTCTCTGAGTATGAATGATTCCGAAGGAGAATCAACAATTCAAGATCAAGAATTTGCCATACAAAAGGCTATACAGGGAGGTGTAAACTTGATTGATACTAGTGCGGACTATGGCACAAGTCAGATGATGATTGGACATGTTTTGAATGGAATGTGTGCTCATCATATTCCAAATCATCATCAACATGTTCATGAACAATTGGTTGATAGTGGAAAGATTTATAGAGATGAATTGGTTTTGATGAGTAAGGTTGGACCTTTGGATAATTATGTTGATGAGAGGAATCACTCAGTCTTGTCAAAATTAGTGCATGAATGTCAAGTGGAAGATTTGAATAAGAGGATTATTACTTTACCGGATAAATTACATCACTATTCACTTGATCCACTCATTCTTTCACATGAAATTACCAGATGTTTGAGGGAATATCAAGTGGAAACATTGGATGTTTTAATAATTAATCAACCAGAGAGAATGCTTCAAGCCATGTTAATGAGTGAAGATAGAGATTCAAGTGATAGTGCTGTATTTGCTGAATTTTATCACAAACTGGAACAAGCTTTCAAGTGCTTGGAAAGTGAAGTTGAGAGAGGACGTATTCAATCCTACGGTATTGCCTCCAAGTCCATTACAAAAGCTCCTGGACCAGGTATCCTCTCCATTGATTTGAATAAGTGTTTAAAGATTGCTGAACATGTTTATGGTAACAAGGATCACCACTTTAGAGTCGTTCAAGTCCCATATAATTTACACGAGAAGAATGTCTATACAGATGAAATATTCACAGACAAGAATGGCCACAGAGCCAACTTCCTCACAATGGCTAAATCTCACAAATTGGCAACCATGGCCTACAGACCACTCAATGCACAATTAGATTCACACTTGATTTTCAGATTTGCTGATTATGATTTTGATAAGAAAAAGAACGATATGGAATCAATTGTTCAAGAATATCAAAAGATTTCAAACGAAATTGCCTTTAACGAGCTTAATACACCATGGTACACTGTTGACTTGAGTGATGATTCAGTCCATTTGTCAAAGGAAGTTCAACAATGCACACTCCCAGAAATGTCTGAGCAAAATTTAATACAAATGAGACCATCCATTTCATGGGGACATATCATAATGACCAATTATGATCAATTGGAATCATACTTTACCTTTGAAAAAGTTTTGAGAAATAGAATCATACCAGAACAAAAGTACATCTTTTCCAAATTGGCTCAAATGTCGAACAGAGTTAATGAAAATGACTATAATGCAGTTGGTATGAAAAAGGAGACTACTGGAAGTGATGCCAACTCTATGAATAATTTCAAGTCACAATGTAACAGATGGCTCAGTCACTATCAAAGATTGTGCAACAAGTTCTATAGTGTTTATTCAGATCTTCTCTCGCTCAAGCATCAACATCAATGTGAAGATTTGCACGTCAAGCTTTCCAAACTTTCAAATGGTGATTTAGATTCCTACAAGACTCTTTCTCAAAAATCAATAAGGTGCCTCGTCGATACACCAAACTTGGATACAGTTCTAGTTGGTATGGATAAGACAAAATATGTTGATGAAATACTGTTCGAAGCAACAAATAATGAGTATTCACTTCTCCAATCGAGACCAAAGGAATATCAACAAGTGGTAGACAATGTAATTAGAAATGTTGCTGTTAACAATTTCCGTCTTATTGTTGATGAAGATCCACATACAGCAAACTTGAACCAACATGAACAACAATAAATCATCCGCTCTTACTTGGTAATTGTCTTTTTTGCAGGAATAGCCAATCGAATTGAATTACTAAGCCCAAGATGATTTGGAACCTGGGGTGGTTCTCTATTGTTCATGTTTCTTCTGTATGCTGTTGGTTTTGGTCTTTTTTCTGAGAGGGATGAGCCTAGTTGCTTAGATGGAGGACTCGTCTTGTTTGGCGTGTCTCCTTTTTGAGGTGTTTTGGGAGATTGTAAAAGGGATGGTCTAGAGTTGATTTCTGACAGCCTTCTTGTGGTTGGATTCTTAATTGGTGTACGTAATTCTTCTCTGACTGGAGTTCTATAATCTGGTTGGAATGGCTCTGAAGATTTTGGAGTAGAATCAGAACTGGAATGATCACGTGTATCAACTTTACATTTGGTTAGGAATTGAGAGGTGAGAAATATATGATCATACATTTCATTCTCAGAATCTGAATCAGAGGTAATGATTTGGGAATCATCACACATGATGGAAGATTGTTCGTGAATGGTTTCGTTAAATGTTGGAGAATGATCCTTAGTATCGAAAATCATTGACTCGAATAATTGAGAATTTAGATCTGAACTTGGAGAGGTATCCTTCTTCTCTTCTATTTTTTGAGCAGAAAGGGAAGAAATTCCAGACCAGTAGCCAGAGTGCTCAGTGGATTCTTGAGGTGTTGTTTGGAGTGGATGGGAAGGAGGGAAGTGAGGGTTTTCAGTTTTCTTTTCTAGTGGTGGAGTGAAAACCACAGTTGGGACTGTTGGCATTGAGACAATCAATTGACTTCTTGGACTGCTGGAATGGTTTTTTGGGGTTGGTGGTTTAGAGTGAATGATTGGTGTTTCCACAATTTGAGAGAGTATCCTTGAGGTTTCCTCAATAGGTCCAATTATTAATTCTGATTCCAATGATTTGATTTCCCGTTCTACTTTTTGAATATCTTGCTTAATTACCTCCTGTTGTTTCATGTCAATAGTTTTTGACAATTTCGTTTTCAAGAGATTATAAATCTTTTTCATTGCGTTAAGTTCCATTTCCTCACTTGAAATATTATCATCATGATGAAGATATGAAAATTGATTCTCCAATAGATTTTCATGCATTTGAGATTGTTCTTCCTCAGCCTCTGTCATTTTCATAAGAGGTTCAAAGAATGTTGTGTGTATTTGTTGCAAAGCTTGCAACCTCTCCAACACTAATAAATTCATCTTGTGTTTTAATTTTGTTGTATCCATCAAATCAGGCAATTTATCATTGCTTGATTGTTTCACGAACTGTTCATAGGAGAGCAAAGCTTGCTCTAAAACTTGTTCACTCCTTTTCAGTGAGCATTCTATAGTTTCATGAAGTTCGAATACAATTTCCGACATTCTGCTTAGATACCCAGAGGTAAGATAAAGGCTATTGCTCTTATTGTGATTTGAGGGTGCTACAGGTAGCATTTGTATTGTGCTCATTTTTTTTTCTTATTAACGTTATAAAAATAGTGAAGTTGTTGGCGGGAAAGTGAATTACAAAAAATACATTGCAAGAAGAAACTAATAATCATCAACAATCTACAACTTGGTATTTGGATCTGTTTTTAATATTAAGATTTCCAAATAATAATAATAAAATCAAATATTTTTTATAGAGTTATGCTTTCAAACTTTGAATTTCCACTCTTCAAAAGCTTAATATATTCAAGAGTATTTCTGTAGAAGGTTGCAATTGGAGCAACAGTCTTGGTTTCATTTTGGTTTTCTGTTGCAGCACCAGCAACACCAAATTCTTCCTCAGAAGATCCAATGTTGGAGTTAATGACATCAATCAAGTCATTCAAATAGTCTACAGTGACCTTTTCATTATTGTTAATAAATTGATAGAGGTGAACATTCAAAATTTCGATAAAGAGAGCAATCTTTTGATCGGCCATGCATGACTTGACAATCTTCAAGGACCATATCAAGCATTCAAGAGATTTGTCAGCATTTTGTAATGATTCATTGTGTTCCATTGGCCAGAATAAGTGGCTACACATAAAGGCTGCCTTGCATTGATTTGGCTTGAGTAAGAGTCTGGAAGAGTATTGACAAGTCTTTGTGGAGAGTGTATCATAATTTTCATTGCCAATATTCTTCATTTGTCTCAATGCATTAATAATCATTATAAAGTATTCCAATTGAATCTTGCTGTCTTGTTCTTCATAAAGCATAAAGGCTTGCGACAAGAGTTCGAAAACAATTGTTTCCAATTTACAGAGATCAGCACAGATGGCACTTTGAAGATACAACTTTAAGGCCATGTCTGATTGTTGGTTAGCCAAAACTTCTAAAATTTCAATAACATATTGGAACACCTTATCTTCCTTGATTGCTTTTTCTTCTCTATCCTTGGCATTAAAGATACGTTTAGCCAAAGAAAGGTAAGAAAAGACGAGAGGTGTCAATGTATATTGAATTCTCTTAACACCACCTTGACCGAAAGCCTTTCTAGCAGTAGAATAAACCTTGAATAACATGTCGGTATCTTCACTATCGCAAATGTGAATGAGTCTAGCAACGAGATTTTGTTCCTCTTCAAAGTCTTCCTCATCAACATCGGTGGTATCTTCTTCGTCCTTCAAGAGTGGCTTGATAAGTTCGAATAACCCTCTGATTTCATCAACGTTGGTAACCTTGTGTCTATGTTTGAGAGCACATCTACAAATATCCATAGCAATTGATCTTCTATCATCAAACCCTAATAATTCAAGAATTTCTCCATACTTTTCGAGTTGAAGGACAGTGAGAACATTCTTGTATGATTCAATTGGAATGAGCAAGAGTTTCTTAACAAGTTTGACCAAAAGAGGAGTTGAAGTAATATCACCAGCAGTGCTGAGTTGTTGATGGCAGAAGGTAATTACATCATTGACATATTTAATCTTGTCTGGATATGATTGCAAAGCAAGATTCATGAGAGAAATTTGGAAGGCCAAAACGTCGGAAAGTTCCATTCTTTGATCGGAAATCTTTTCAACATTTTCCAAAAAGATGTCAATAATATTAGCACCACCATTTTGTTCATCACGATTTGGAATGTTTTCTGGGAATTGTCTAGCATAATTGGCAAGACGATCCATGAGAGCAATATAAATTGTCTTTAAATCCACATCAGCTTGTAACTCTTGGCAAGCAGTAACAATTTGAGTGAGAGTATCAATATGGAATTCATCAGGGAAAACTTGAATAAGACATTCCATAAGATATTGTTGAGCCATTTGATCGTTAGACTTGATAATAATATTTAAAATCTTTGGTAAGACATCATCTCTATAAATATCCAATTTGATACCATCCAATTGAGAAAGTCTTACAAGATTAAATCCGATTAAAATCCTCAATTCCAATCTTTCCTTTTCTCTCTTACTTCTTTCCTTGACTGGACCTTCATTCTTCAAACGACTGAAAAGGAAGACCATTTCATTAAAGTTTTGAAGTACGTAGGCAATAGAGTCGTGAATATTTCCACCAGTACCTTCATATTCACCTCCAGTATCTGGAAGTTTATCCTTTGTAATTTGACTGAGATAATTTCTCAAGAAGAGACCACGAGTTGGGTGTTGAACTCCTTTACACATTTCCACAAGATCTTTGAGAACATCCTTTGCTGGAGCTTGTTTAGATTTGATGTAAATAGATCCAATAGTTGCCATAAGATATAATCTTGGGACAATACTTGGAGTATGTTGAACACGAATATATAAATCTTGCATATTTTCCTCACCTCGGAAGAAGGTTGTTAAACGTCCAAGTTGATCAAATACTTGCATATCTGTTTGTTTTAGTACAAGTACCAGTATGATGACATTTTCATTATTGTTATTAAATAATATAAATTGAAGAGTTTGTGATTTGATGAAGAGAAAATAATATTTTGATTATAATAAAAGTATTGAATACATAAGTAACACAACAAGTGAAACAATAAAAATCTTGTTTGATCGGAAAAACCTACAAAGAGCATAGTAATTCTTTGGGCTAAGACTTGATGATCTCAACTCACTCAACATTTTAGCAGCGTGATCCAAAGCAGCATTTAAATTATTCTTGTCCAAACATCTGATCATTCTGTGAGCCTCAACCTCCACAACTTCCTTGGCTTGATTCAAGTATTGGACTTGTCTCTCTTGAGGACTCATATTTTGAGTTCCTTGTTGAATATATTCCTCTTCATCGTCATCAACAGGAGGTTGATTATTGTAGTTGGAAGACATTTTTTTTACACTGTGATGATAAGAAGATTATATCCAAGTGGTCTCTAATGTGGTGTGGAAAAATCTTCTTGGTGGGTGGAATCATTTCTCCTATGAACAAGCCTCCCTTCATTGAATTTTTCAATATACTCTTCCATCACATTCACCATCATGATTGTGGCCTATTATTGTTGACCTGAGCACTGGAAATTGGCAATGGTTCATTCTGAAGATGATTCACACAAGAATAATATGTTTATTTGGTTATTTGACATTATTGTAGCCATGATAACAGGTAGGCCATTACAACATTTCATCTTACTCAGTAGTTGTTTTCACATTGATGAAGACAGCATCTCGTAAAAGTGGCTTCATTTGTTATTCATTCCTCTTTCAAAAATATGTTGGTGAGCACTTGTGTTGTAAAGAACATATCTTGATTGTCAACCAAATATTTTAGAAAACTTGTTGAAAAAAAATACGTAAAAATGGTACGTTATCTGTGGGAATGGATCTTGTCTAACTAAAAACTCTTGCTAATAATTTTATTATTGCTTACTCCTTCTCTCTCTTCAATCACTCTATGATGTTAATATATTATGATAACAATTATTATTGATGATGATTATATATAGGCCAGAGGACCAAGAAAGCACACCAAGAGAATTGCTGCTCCAAAGCACTGGATGATGTCCAAGTTGGGTGGTGTTTATGCACCAAAGCCAAAGCCAGGCGCTCACGCTGCTAGAGAATCATTGCCACTTTTGTTGTTGTTGAGAAACAGACTCAAGTATGCCGCTACTGCCAAGGAAGTTAACGTTATTTTGAAGCAAAGATTGGTCAAGGTTGACGGTTTGGTTAGAACTGATAAGAGCTATCCATCTGGTTTCAATGATGTCATCTCCATTGATAAGACCAACGAACACTTCAGACTTTTGTTCGATACCAAGGGTAGATTCGTCATTCACCCAATCTCTGAAAGAGAAGCCAACTATAAGCTCTGTAAGGTTACCAAGAGAGGTACTGCCACTCAAGGTGTTCCATACATCCAAACCAACGATGGTAGACTCATCAGATTCCCAGACCCATCCATCAAGGTCAATGATACCGTTAAGGTTGATATTGAAACTGGTAAGGTCACCAAGTCTGTCCACTTCGAATCTGGAAACTTGTGTATGGTCACTGGTGGTCACAATCAAGGTCGTATTGGTGAAATCGTCAACAGAGAATTGCACCCTGGTTCCTTCGAAATTGTCCACGTTAAGGATATTGCTGGTAACAACTTCACCACTCGTGCCAACAATGTTTTCGTTCTCGGTCAAGGACACTCCTCCATGATCACTCTTCCAAAGGGCAAGGGTTTGAAGTTGAACGTTGTTGAAGACAGAAAGAAGCAAATGAGATTGGCCAAGAAGTCCAAGAAGGCTGGTCTTAAGAAGAAGACTGAATCCAAGTAAATTCACTAAAACTATTTAAAATAAACAAAATTTCAAAAAACAATTAAACATTTCTCTTTTTTTGAGTCAATTCTAGTTGCTTCTTGAAGTTGTTTAAGAAATACATCAAAAAAATGGTCACATTGGCTTGCAAATCTTGGCTTTTACCATTCATGAATGACAATTTAGAAGCGGCTGTGATGAAGAAACCTCTGGAGGAGTATCCCAAACCATCAAAGCAGAGAAATCTTGTTCAAGTTATAGATCACAGTGAAAATTTACATTCCGAATCAGTTTCATTCAATGATCTCTATGTGTTACATCTTTCCGATGGGTTTCATTTTGTGACTGCCAAACTCTCTCCCAAATCTATTAAGAGATTGTACAAGTAAGTTGAATTTTCAAGAGTAATCAGAATTAATCCTTTTCATCATTCAATTCCTTTATTAATATACTAAAAATCCATTACGTTGTTAATACATTCATTGAAATGCAGACGATTTCCCAACTTTAAACCACTTTCCAAACTCAGAGGAGCCATCATTCGACTCGATGATTATTTCTTTGTGTTGGGAGGTCCCAATCGATCTCTGTGCTCCATTGTTGTTAACAAGTTTGATTATGTTGGAGCTGCATTGTCCGGAACTTTTCGATCTCCCTCTAACCTTTCTTCAACTCTCTCAAAACACTTTTCCTTCCAAAATCAACAATTAACCAGACTAAACAATCACCTTATTAATCCAAACAACCTCTTCCTTCAAAACAATCAAAAAAAACTCCATTCACCTCTTCGACCATTCGTTCCTGGAAGAAACTCAATTCTCAATCATCATACTGCTAGTAATAACAACATTGCTTCTCATTCAAACAAAAGTAATTTCAACAACCCTCAAGATTCTCACCAACAAAAACAAACCTTCCCAAGCAATATTGTGAATAATAATACTGCAATTGCTCATCCTTTTCATAATAACATCATTCAACCAACAATAACATCCTCATCAACAATGAACCAAGTGCAGAGCAATTTTTTCGCGCCATTTTTGAATGTTTTTAGTTCGACCCAAAAAACAAACGAAAAAATACCACAACATCAACCCTCTGCACCAATTTTGATAACGGAAGAATTGGACAAGACTAAAAGTGCATCAGGAATAGAGGTATTTCATCATAACAAACAAGTAGAATTGTTGCAACAAGAACAACATCAAGGAGAGGAAATCATGGATCAACGAAAAGAATTGACCAAGGAGATTACGGTAAATCATCACCATATGGAAGATGCACAATTATCACAAAATTCATTCTTTGTGGAGAATGTTGAAGATGCTTGTGAAATTCCAGCCTCTCAAATGGAACAATTAAAGAGGATGGAAATACCAGGATTTTCCAATGAAGAATCAATGATGGAAATTCCGATTCCTTCAACTCAACAACTTAAAGCACCAGAACCTTCGAATAGTGTTTCTTCAATTACTGTTACAGAGTTGGTATCGACATCGGTAACATTGCAAAGTGATAATACCGAAGAGGAATACACTCAAAGAAATGAATCACCATCATATGTGAGAGTGATATCCACCCCACATAAAAGAAGAACAATTACTGGGATACTGTCTCCAGATCTTGAAATTCCTTCGAGGATACCCCAAAAATTAGAAGTGACTCCTTCAATAATTCAATCACAAGAAATTACAAGTGACAATGACAGTGATGATGCTATGGAAGATGCTCCAGAAATAATACCCTTCTCCTACAGAAGTGGCTCTGTATTTTCCCCTTCAAGATATAAGAACATGGCTCCTCCTATAGTCTATCTTCACAGTCAAAATTTCCATACTCAAAAGGCTCCAAGCACTCCTTTACAATCCTCTTCAATTAATAATAATAATACTTCTGCTGCCAAAGTTGCTTCAAATCAGAACACATTAGAGATTAAAGAAACACCAGTAAAGGACATTGACGAATTTCAAGATCTCATAAATCGAAGGAATAATAGAATAGAAGATGAATCATTTGATTCCTCTGAGGATGAAAATGAAAAGTATGAGGCCTACATGAATAGATCACTATTCAGAAATCCTTTACATTTGGAGGAGCATGCCTTCAAGAAGCTTGAACAACGTGCATTACCTCATCATAAAAAAATTATTCAAGCTAGGGAGAGAAGAAGACAGGAAGAGGATCAAAGGTCAAGAACTATTACAACTATTGAGGTAGAAACTGATATTGAAATAACACCAGACACCATGCTGGAAATACTGAAGGATCCACCACTTGAAAGTAGAAAGAGACAAATTATTGAGGAAAAACCAAAAGATAATTTGAAAAAACAAAAAACCAATCCTTCACAATCCTCTCCAAACACCACAAGTAGTAGTGAAACAGTTACAAAAAATCCTACACAAAAAGTCCTCTCCTCTTCAAGCACTACTACAAAAATTCAGGATTCTCCAAAACCTGTACAGACACAACCAAAACCACAAGAATCTTCAAAAACAGTACTGCAGACACAACCAGTATCACAAGCTCAATTACAACAATCATCCAACCAATCAACTAAACGAATCGAAAAGAAACCAACTGAAAAACCTAGGAAAAAAGCAAATTATAGCAATTGGTCTGCCTTTTTGTAAAATATTTATTTCTTCTTTTTACTAGATACTGGCCTAGAGCTTGATTGTTTTTGTTTTTGTTGTGACGTTGTTGCCAATACTTTCTTTCTTCTCTGTTCAAGAATGGTTTCTCTTTGCTTTTCCTTTTCTTCCTCTTCGTCCAGTTTTGATTTGATTGAGAGAGGAAGCCAATTATCCAATTCTTGAACTAGGAGGGCATCTCGTTTTCGTTCTGCTTCAATTTCTTGCATCTTTAATCTTTTATAGAACTCATCATTTTCTTCCAGTAAGGTTCTTGATGTTTTGCTAAGAGTTTCACACAATCTGTCTCCACTGTTGTTTTTCAAGTTCATGATTGGTGAATTCATTTGAAATCTTATCTAAAGACTTACTTTGGGTGAATATATTTTGGGTGATCCGAGTGAACACTCAGAACAGGAGGGTACATTACATTCGATGCAGTGGCCCTACTTAAATCATGTCCAGAAAATACTGATGGCCTCTGATTAATATTATTCTTTTTTCTTCCCATGAATTGTTCCAAAGCTACTTCAGTTCCTCTTTTTTGTTCAACTCGTTTACCACTCTCATCATAAACCTTCTTTGGTTTTGGAACTCCAAATAAATGGTCTAACTCGGTCTTGTTATTTACATGATCTAGTAAACACAATTGAAGATCAAAATTGATCATCATTCTCAATTAAAACCTACCTGGAAACATTGCCTTTCTCTTCACTTTAATTTCCTCAGTTGTTGGTCCATCAATCATCTTTTTCCTCACACTTTTATATTCTGGTTGTGGTTCACTTAATACTCTTATTTGTGGTTTATATTCAAATTCACTTGTTGGTTCTTGCAGAGGGTAATGTTTTCGGATACTATCACCATGAGTTATCCTTGGAAATTCACTTGTATAGAATGTTGAAAATCCCTTCCCCAAAGTTTCCGTCGTTGCTGTTGTATCATTATTCAAATAGGTTCTCTTCTGTCCGTACATCCAATGATTAGGAGAGGATCCGACAATTCCCTCTAATCCACCCGAGAAATTACTAGTCATGCTTATTTTTTTCTAAGTAAGATTTTAAAAAACTGTAAAATTTTAAATTGGCGCCAAAATTAATGGGTCTTGGTGTTCTTAACGTTTTTACTGAATTTATTAGTTTTTTCAATTTTATTTAATAATTCCTTATTTAGTAGCTATGTTATTTTTCAAAATTATTTTTTACTTTCATAACCAGCTACCAATCCAGAAACTACTGTCTTGGATGGTTGTGGTTGTGGAGGGCATGCATGAATTTTCAATGTAGTACCAGTAACTGTGTGAGTAGTGACAGGTGGCACACCAGCACTTGTTGGTGGAATAGAATTATCTTGTTGTTGAGACATTTGGCTTGATGATGTTGAATAGTTTTTTTATGCTTGTTTCTTTGAAGCGAATCCAACTTGAGTGAAATAGTCAATTTCGTTCCTTTTTATTCCTTTTGATTTTTGATGCAACCTTTCCTATGGTTGATCATATTTTAGCCGAAACCAATTTATTGTTTTCAACAACCATTTTTTATTAAGGAGGAACAATGAACTAAGTAAATTGTTTACAACAACAAAATTAATAAAATTATTACACAAAAAAAAACAACAATATTTTTTCCTTTCAATTATTCAATGAATCAACTAATACCAATTCCCATTCTTTCATTCAAAAATCTCTCCACAGAACAATTAAAACAATTTTTCCTCGATTCACAGCCTGTGATTATTCGAGGAATCTCCGAGAATCAGATTTTCTCTCATGTTATGGAATGGTCATTGGATGATCTTTTGAAAAAGGTTCCAAATGTTGAATTTCCAATTACTTATCGTGGTGAGGATAGTCATGTGGTTGGAGCTGAATCTGTTTCCAAGATGAAACTTGGAGAATTTATTGGAAAGTGTAGTGAGATTAAATCAGCAGAGTTGGAGAAGAAATCTTGTATTCGATACTACTTGTCAGGAAGTAATTTATTGGAAGATCTGAATGGGGATAATGCGAATGATGAACTAGTTCAAATAAGAAATGAAACTTTGCAATTTAAACAATTTATTGAGGAAAAATTATCAGAAACTAAACGATTGTCCTCTTTAGGATTTTGGATTGGTTTGGATGGACAGAAAACTCATCTCCACTTTGATTGTGTAAATAATCTCATGTTGCAAATTAGAGGAAGAAAGACTTTTCTACTAGTTTCTCCCCATAATCATTTGAAACTTAATTTACATTCGTATAAATCGTCGAAAGGTCAAGATATGGATGGAGAAATTTACCGATTCTCTCAGTATGATATCTTCAATACGGAAATTCCAAAAGTTGAAATATTTAAAGGAACAATTGAAAGAGGAGATTGCATTTTGATTCCTTTAGGTTGGTTTCATGCAGTTTATTCTGAAGGAGAGGAAACAAATTATGGATCTTACAATATTGCCTTAAACGCATTTTGGAATGCAACTGAGAGTGAATGGGATACATGGAAACATTTAAAACTATTCAGAAATAATTATTAATTTGTTTTTTTGGACATGTGACAGTCTTTAGAATTTAACAGAATGAAATTTCAAATGGGATGGACTATGTATGATTGAATATTCGTGTAATAGTTGTGTCCAATCTTTTGCAGATTATGCTTTTGGATTAAGGTGTTGTATAAAAATTCGTCCAGTTTCGAATATACTTTCGCACTGTAAGAAATAATTACATCTTATATAATTGTAAAGGAAAAGGATTGTAATCAACACAATCCGTAACCTCCAAACTTCCAAAATTCACACAGTGGAACGTCAATGCAAAAACTTTCTAATCACAAATCATTTCGAATAAAAAAAAAACTCTTTCAACAAGTGAACCGATGAAAAATCGCTCCACAATCCTTCTCACCACTCTTCTGGTTCTCCTTTCTGTTGTTTTTCAACAAGTCAACCTTGCAACTGGTCAAACATTTAAAAATTGTTATAGACATTCGACAGGTAAACAAATTGAATGGACCATTGATGACACAAACAATGAATTCAGAGCTCTAGTTACATTACCTAACGCTAAAGGTTGGGGAGCTTTTGGTTTAAAGACAACTTCTGCTGGTATGACTGGAGCTACCATTGTGATGGCATATTTAGGTTCGAATAATGTTACAACGAATATTAATGAAGTAAGTTGATTGTTTGGTTCTCTATCGCATTAACCACCTTGAAAATTCTCCTTTTATTCAACTGCATATTTCACATCCATGATGGTGATGATAATGATGAATTTTTATTCGAAACTAAAAGTATTATGCTGCTTCGACTACTATTCCAACAAGAATTAAAGCAACAGGCACAACGTCATTCACTAACTTTTTCGTTAATGCAGCCATGAATTATACTGGAAATAATTTATATATCCATGTTGTGAGAAGAATGACTCGACCATCCAATGCACCATCAACCTATTTCCAATTCACTGGAAAGAGTACAAGTTATGATTTGCTGTTTGCTCTCCACTCTTCCACAAAGCCAAAGAGTGCTGATTCTTTCTTTCAACATTCTGAAACACTTCACTTGCAACCATTCACATTTTACACACAACAAAATTATTCAATCAATTGTAATGCCACACCAGCAAGGAATATTCCAGTGTTACCTTCTACCCCACCTCCACCTGCTCCAACTCCTGTTACTAATACTACCAATGGAACAACACCAGTAACATCAACATCAACAACAACAAATTCAACACGTAACAATAATACTGCAGTTTCATCATCTTGGAGTATTCACCAAAATGGTGAAAATAGTTTTATTGGAAATTCATTCAAGTGGATTTGCTTTATTGCCTGTTTTGTTACCATGTACATTATGAGAAATGATTAGACTATTTTCCTCAAGAAACAATTTTGTAATTTTAGTGAGATTAAAAATAATTCATTCTTTTATTTTCAATGTAATTAATTAGTGCCCCCTCCAACATTATTACTGGAATTATTATTCTTTGATATATATTGATATTCTAATTGGTCACTATCCTTAGATAAATTAGAGTCTGGATAACTTTGCTTTTCAGTATTATGAATGTTATGATTACTATTATTATTACTATTTTGTTGAGGGTCATCTTGGCTAACTACATGACCTGCCACCTCGTCTTCACTTACAACTGCACAAGCATGGTGATGAGCTTTCATCATGTAGGTTGTACATAAGCCTTTTCCTTTCACTTCAACCATTCTTTCTTCAAATTCAAAACCTAAATCATAAACTCTTTCGTAGGTTGATCGAGAACAGTGGATTCTACCGCCTAAACTTGTACTTTCCATTCTTGAGGCCATATTAATGGTATCACCCCACAAATCATAAGCAAACTTCTTGGTACCAATAACACCAGCAACTACACCTCCTGTATTAATACCAACACGAACATTGATTTGATGTCCAAGTGCTTGACGATTCTCCAAGTTATAATTTCTCAATACTGCGAAAATATCCATTGCAAATCTGAGAGTTCTTTCAGGGTGATCTGATTGAGTATTACCAATACCACCAACACAAAAGTAAGCATCACCAATGGTCTTGATCTTTTCCAATTGATACTTGTCTGTGAGTGAGTCAAAACCATTGACCACAGAGTTCAACATCATGACAATTTCAGTTGGTGTAAGACAACTACTAATAGATGTAAATCCAACCATATCAGAGAAGAAACATGTAATATCATTGAACTTTTCAGCAATGAATGTTTCACCTGATTTGAGTCTATTGGCAACAGCTTCAGGAAGGATTGAACGAAGGAGATTTTCCGACTTTTTCTTTTCTTCTGCCAACAGGGCATTTTGTTTCTTCTCTGAAGTGACATCCTTAATAAAGCAAGTGACAACAGGCTTGTTATCAAAGAGTGTTGAGAACAAGTTAATCTTGGCAGGGAATTTGGTATTATTCTTTCTGATACATTCCACTTCAATAGTTTCTCCTTGAGCATCAGCATTGGTATTATCCTTTGATGCCTTAATCAAATCATCAATAACTTTACCAAGTGTATCTCTGTTAGAGGAGTCAAACAAATTGAATAATGGCAAACCAACAAAATCAGTTTGCTTACAGCCAAACATTCTCTGGGCTGCTGGATTAAAAATTTCAATATCACCACGATGGCTACACAACACGGCACCATCAACAGCAGCATTAAGAATATTCTTCACTTTGGAATCATCATTCTTGGCATTTTCCTTTGTTTCTCTATTCTTGAACATTGTAATTCTTGAAGGTAATGTATGGTACATGATAAAGTTTCTCATTGTTTCTTCAGAGTCCATCAAATCCAAAGGAATGTAATTGAACATAATTCTCACATGGAAAACATTATTCCAATGTGAATCAAATATATTGTAAAGAGCAAAGGAGAATACTAACAACAGCACCGCCCCAACTAGTGAAAAGGCAATAACATATGACACTGAAGTTACAGAGAATACTGAAATTAATGTATCCAAGAATACTAACAAACGATCAGTCAGAGCATCTGCCAACACATAGGTTTGCACTTGATTGGAGAAGAGTTTGAAAGTGGCTGATTTCATTGCAAAAATGTCAGCAGTATTTTCAGATGAAAGTTGAGCATAGATTTCAATCAAATGTTCCAAACCCTTGCATGAATAAATAGTAGAGTTTGATGTGCAGTTTGTGTCTTGCACCATTGAATCAATCTTTGTAGAGATACCAACACTTGGTAACTTGTTATCTTCAACATTACCATAGGCCAGATTATTCCAGCTTGAAACAAGATTTGTTGTGAGTGTTTTCATTTCAGTCTTGTAAGAAATAACATCAGATCCTTCCTTTGATAACTGAGGATCATTAATAGCAAGTCCACTTGGTAAGGAAATGTAATTAAATAATTCACCAACGTTGAATGTTGTTCTTTGAATGGATGAGAGAGCTGTTGTTGCTTCCTTAATATTTAACATGGTACGGTGGGTAGAAATGGTATTGAATGAAGATTCCATGTAGAACATTCCTGAGCACAGAATTGTCACACCCACAATACACAAACCAATGAGAGCAGCACTCATGTACGGTTTTAGAATTCTCTTTGGTAATTGAATAGAGGCATCATCCACTTCAGATTGCTTTCCTAGGTTATGGTAAATCTTACCAATAACATCTTTAGGTACATTCTTTTCCAAGAGTTTAACAAATGTCTTGAGGGAAGAAAAGCTAATTGTTACATAAACCACATAGACAATAGTAAGGACACCATAAAGTGAATTGGATGCTAAAAAGTAAATGAAAAAGCTTTGGTCAAGTACTTCCGTTTTTTGTTGAGTTCTGGAAATAAAACTTTGACAAAAAACATCAAAGGCCCCTTGGAATGCATCTTGGTTCAACCACAAGAACATGAATGGATATGAACTGAGCGTGCTATTGTACTCATTTGGTGAGAGGCCTTCAAAATATTCTATGTGTTTCATCATTGAGTAGACCATTTGGGAAATCGAGACATTACTTGGGTTAGTATTATTAAAGATACCCAAATCGTTTGGATTTTCAACGTTTGGAACAACAATTTGCCTGCTAACAGAAATATAATCAGAGTACATCTCTGGTGTGAATAAACCTTTTTGACCCATTACCCTAAGGTCATCAATGAATTGCTTTGCTTTTGATAACTTTCCTTTCAGCTTGGCAATGAACTCTTCAGTGCTGCTCATATCGAGAGTATGTAATAATTTTAGATTTTCAGATGGGCTGTTCTTGTAGAGATTCAAGTAGGTTTGTTGTAAACGAATATCTCTCAATGCAAGAAGAGGGACCATTCTTGGCTTGCATGCACTTTGCACTGCCTTAATATCACTTAATACCAAGCTTGAAATAACAGAGTCCCATATTATACCTGATGCCAATAGTAAGAAAGAAGCAATAACGAAAATTAAAAAGGAAAGTAGCTGAACATTATGTTGCTGAGGAGTAGCAAGCGATGATCTGAGAATACTTTCTCTCTTCAGTTGAGGATTGTTTTCAACGCCATCCATTCTTTGAGATCCAAGATCAAATTCCGAGGCTCTTTCGAATGGTTCATCTGGATCATCAAATTCATTAAAATCAGCTGTTGAAGCAATATTATTACCCTTCTTGATACCAAATGAGAAGGTTTTACCTCCTGCTTCAGAGAATTTGGTCGAAGATGGAGGTGGATTGTCATCAAATGAAAAGTTTGGAACTATACGATTCTTCTTACTAGCTCCCTTTTTCAAATTTGGTCTGAACTTCATTTTGGCTTCTTCATCTTCAATAGCCATAGCTTCTTGGAAGAGCTCTTGAGCAAATTCCTTATTGAATTTGAATTTTTCCACATAAGATGCATAGTAACGAAGGACAGTCTTGTTATTTCTATGCTTGGCTATCAAATTTTGGAATGTTGATTCACACTCTGACATTAATTCGGAAGCTCTAGTGTTGGTTTGCTCAATCTTGTCAAAATTGATGATATCATTGGTCATTTCCTTCCAAAAAGCTCTGTGCAATGCTGCTAATTCGGACTGATTCTTCTCCATTCTTTGCAAGAAGAATTTCAATTCGTATGGATTAGAGTTGTCAATCATTTCAAATTCCTTTTCTCTTTCAGAAATTAAGAATTTGTATAAAAAGTTTGGCTTTGCTTTCAGGGCCTTCTTTAAAAGTGATGAGGCAAAGACTTGAGCATTGACTTCATTCTTCCAATAGTAGGAAACAATTAAACTGCATGTAAGCAAGAGTCGAGAATCATTAAAGCTCTTTTGTAAAGATGCACCCTTAATAAGACTGAGAGCAATTTCTGGATCTGTAATGTCATCACCCTCTGTTCTATTCTTTGATTTAAGAGAAAATTTAAAGAAGAGATTCAACTGTTTCAATCTATTATCTTCTTCAAATTCTTGATAGACAAGCTGAGCCTCCTTTTCCAGCATTTTAAGTGGAAGCTTTTCAGCATCAGCGTTTCCATCATTGCTTCTTCTGAGAATAGAGGATAATGCCTCAGCACGACGAATACTCACCATGAATCTACCTCTGACCTTTCTATAAATTACCGTCATGTATATTTCCAATCCTGCCATTCCCACCAAGAAACCAGTCATGATCAAACCCAAGGTAAGACCTGCGCCGAGACCAATACCCAATATGGAATTATCATCTGAATTGACTATTGAAGTTATTAATGCACCAATGGCTGCTCCCAATCTAGCCCCTGCAACACCAAAAACAAAAGAATTTTCAGTCTTTCTATAGAATGGTAAAAAGTAAAAAATCAAGACCATGAATACAAGTGTGATAGTGATATGTATCACAGATCTAATGTAGGCATATTGCTGAGGTACCACATACATTAGCATTAATTGAAGTGGATTAGCAACAGACAAAAAACCCATTGGTATATTATTATCACCAATAAAGTAGCCTCCCTTAGTTTGTTCGGATTCTTGTGAAATCATAATTGATAAAAAGTTCAAAATAAGCATTGGTATAAAGGCTATAATCATCAAGACAATGAGGACAATATTACCTGACATGACACATGGTGTGGTATTAAATCTCGAGAGAACATAAATCTGTTCATCATAATTACTAATTGTGTGTAAAGCACTTGTATCACAATCAATAAAGGATGTAAATATAAAAGTCATTATCATACTAAGAACTTGAATAATATTTCCTAGTGTGGTGGCAGCCTTCTTGTAACGATCTAATTGTTTGCTAGATCGAAAGATTGCATGTAAGGCAAGGAAGAAACTCACCACTCCACAAGCTATTAACAAAAAGCTTGCTGCTCCAAGTGCTGCAATAGCACCAAAAGGTAAAAGGTGGAATGAAAGTGTTATTGGATAATTAATAACTGTGAATAACCATTCTCCATATTCTCCCCAATTATAAGAACCTAGTGTTGGAAGAAATATAGAGACCCAAAATATGTACAAGTAGTATATTATAGACAGAGTTTTCCTTTTCCATCCATATTGCTTAACTTCGGATGATTCCATCGAAATCACAAACTTTGTAAAGCCCTCCTGTATCTTTAACCATACTGATGCATAGAGTGAGGAACCTCCAGATGACTCTGATGAAACATTTGAACCTAGGGCAGAACCTTCATGATTTTGGTCCATTTTGTTATTATTGTTGTTATGTGAGTGATGTGGTTTTGAATTTGTGTGTGTTCAGTTATTGTATGAAGAGCCAATCTACAAACAATATATTAACCAACGTTGTTGTGTTTATCCGTTATGATGTTTGTAGATGTTTATAATGTCGTTCTTTTTAAATAAATATTAAGGCAGTTTCGAGAATGGAAATATTTTCATCCCACCCGATGTAATATTTACGATTATCCCTTTTTAATCCATAAGAAGCTACTTACATCTGGACTAGATTGATGACTATTACGTTTTCAAAAAACAATAAAACTCGAACTAGAGGAGAGGTTGAAATTCCTTAATGTTTGCTGTTGAGAATTTTCTCTCCGTTTTATATTGTTTTTTAACTTTCCCTATATTATTGACTGAAAAATACAATTTGATGATTTTCCTTATTGTTCTTCTTCTGTATGATGATAAAACAATAATAATGTGAGATGTTGCTCTTATGGTGTGATGAGTGTTTTTTAACGCTTTGGTTTTGGCAAGTTTGGCGCGCATACAATTATTCTCACCACCACCAGTTTGCATTCTCGAATTGTATTGAATTTGCCCTTACTTGTTCTTGGTGATTTGGTCTCAATCTCACAACATTACTGTTTGAGGATGCTTAGAGGCAAGTTACTGCCAAGGAACAAGCAGTAACATTACCTTTTGGAAAGGTCTGAATGCAGTTAAGTGTTGGTTTGGGAAATTTGAAACAACTTTTTCAAATTCCAAGCAACGAACTGTGGCATAATTATGTACTTATGGAGGGGTTAGTTGGGCGAGCGTGGAAGTTTAAGGAACATTAAGCAGCTTACCAGTCGTAAGTATTGAAAGAAAATTGGAATCAAGCAATACATATTTCTAAAGAAATATGCTTGTATAGCTTGCTTAATTGCATTGAGCTATTTAAGAACAGAGTAAGTGCACTTCCCCATACCGGAGTGGTTGAACATTTTCAGTAGTCATTCGCTCAACAAAGCCAATGAGCCAATGAGCACTGTAAAGAAACTGAACTAGGTGATGAAAATTCCTTCTTTATACAATACTACGTTTTGGTTTAATCATTTCCGTTTAAAGAGTTTCTTTTTCCAATTGAGTAATGTCATTTGGAGCAACTTCAAATGATTTGTTACAATACATTTAACTACAGCCAAACCCAATTTGTGAAAGGCTAATAGACCAATCACCTCTTTATTGATTTTTTTATCAATTTCCTTTCCTGGTTATCACCTTTTTTGATAGAAGTCAATTGCAAAATCTGATTTCAAAGCCACAAACTGTAATGTTTCCTTAAAGGCATCACCTACCATAAGGTTCTCGTTTTGTTATCAGCAATATTCCACAACTGTTCCAATTGTGGAATTATTGCTGGTAACTATCAAGGGTCTTTTCTCGTACAGTTTTATTTTGTCATCCGATTACCGAACAGAATCTGTTGCAGCATCCACAATTTAAATCACACCTGAATTTTCACACACAACCCAAGAAATTTGAGAAACTCAAAAAAACATTGCCTGCTTCCGTGCACATCCATCATCATTGTTCTTGATTCAGGTTTTCTTCGGAATTAGTTTTCACATCAAAGAGTTGACGTAAAAACCACTCTGAGGTATAAACAGTGATGTAACAAGACCAATACAAGAAGAGAGAACTCCATCATAGTATTGATTATATAAAACAAAAGGAATAATAGAACACTTTCTATTCTCAATCTAACTCTTAATTGCCACACTCACAGTACTTAGACTTGTAGATATAACTGTTAATTTTCAAACCTCTCTATGAAAGTAATTGTTGAAAATAATATTAAGGAAGGAATGAATCAATTAATGAACAGAAACAAGAGAACCGAGCCATCCCTACTGTTGATGACTGAAGATTCAAGCAGTGATCATCTAACCATTAATGAATCATCCCCAATTAAATCACTAAATTCAGAACCATCATCATTCTCGGAAGGTTTTTATCATACATCCCTAATCACTACCACATCAGAAGAAACAAACCAATTGAATCATCAATACTCAATGCTTGATAATGCCAGAGATGAGGGTAACAATAATAATAAGGACAATTATATGAGTGTCATTGAGGAAGAAATATTTCCTGAAGAGTCACCAACAATTTTGGGCCCTACACCTCTCAATAATACCAACCCACAAATCGTCCATCTTAATACTTCACTCCCTAAGAATGGATATCCTCTCTATAATTTAGCTCCATCCCTTCCTAGAATGAGCAATGTAAATTCTGTAAATAACCAAAATAGCAAACAAACTGAGAAGAATCAATTAAGAATGAGGGCTGCCCTTAATGGACATGTTATATTCTCTCATCATCCAAAAGAATTGGGAGAATTTTATCATGTGGAGTGGTGGTATTATTTGAGTACTTTTGATCATACCATGATTCCATTCTTTAAACATTCACAGGATGGTGATACTTCTATAGTTCAGATTGGGAATGCAATTCATTGTAGAGATTATCAATTGAAATTGGTCAGTCAATGTAAGGATTTATCATGTGATGATTTGTCTCACTTTTGGTCAACTTATTATTTTGATAATCAACATCGAATTCTTACTCAAAGTCCAGTATCCATTTCAATGAGTCCCTTGTATCATAATGCGCCATCCAAGTCAGTTCAAGGAGGAGGTCATGATAATTCCATGATTGTCGATGAAGAATCTCTTTCAGAATTTGACACCATCTCACAAGATGAAATTCATTCCATAAACTATGAACAATGGATTGAAACCAAGCATAATCATGAAGAACCTCAAATGGATGACAATTTTGAACAAGATGAATTCTTCCCATCTCACAATGATGAAGATTATATGGCAGATATTAGTAACATGTCAAATTCTTTCCACAAAAATGACACTTCTCATCAAGATGAGATAGCCCACATCGCAGACTCAAGAATACAAGATACTCATCCATCCCATTCTGCAAAAGAACAAGACGAAGACAAGCAAGAAGCAATTTCCACAACCTCCTCAAGAACAGATGAAGAAATTATGCTCTCTCTTGATCAATTCATTGAATCTTCCTCTTATCACATCAATGAACAATTCAAAATCATTTCAAGAGAATTTTCACGAATTTTCTTCTAATAAACTCTTTTTAATTTTAAGTGCATACAAATCTAGGAGAATTGTTTGTTGTAATTTGAATATTTGAAACTTGTCTTTATGGAAATTTCTAAAATGATTACAATCAAAAAAATGGCGCAACTGCTCGGCAATTATCACCTCAGCAATAATAGGCTTATGGTTCTTGTTGGAATTTTAATGGCTTTTATATTGTTGATGATGATGAATAATTGTGTTATAGGTGGAATTGTCTCGGATGAAAAACATTCCGATGATGATCATCAGGAAGGGATGAAAATAGGAAGAACAAATAAGTGGATGAATAGAGCAGTGATGGCCTCTACGAATCAAACTGTTGCCAATAGCACAAACCCTATTGTTATTGATAATACTCTGCAATATTATTCATTGATACCAATCTTGTTGATGGGAGTGGTTGGATTGATAGTCTTTTGTGTTACGACAATTTCTACTATTATCTATTGTTGGAAGGAGTTTCATGTCAAGAGGAAACAAGAACAGGATGGATTATCGGGTGCTAAAGAGGACATTATGGATAAACATTCAAATTTTAACAAGTTGAACACTAAATTAATTAATAATAATGAAGATGATCAGAACGAGGAATCATTCACTAGAATTAGAAGACCTCACAGACCTAGCATTACAGAAGACGTTTAATTATTTTCATTATTGTTTATTTCAATTGGCACTTCACAGTGAGTGCTAAAGAAGAACTTTGTACATTATAGATGATCTTCCATAATCGTCTGTTCATGTATTGAACTTGATTAGTCAATTATTATACTCTAATTGATATCACGGTAATCAATGATTGAAATTGATCTCCTTAGTAAAATGTCGGCGAGAAAGAATCAAGTAGTTGAATTGATTGGAAGGCGAATTTGATTTATTGAACAGAACATCCCGTTTGTTGAGATTGGGCAATTTGCCTACAGATTGACAATAAAACTCTTAATCTTTCCTTAGTATTGGTAATTGAAAGCAAGTCAAGTTTGAGTTGTGTTGTGAGAGGAAGCATGGCACTCACCCAAAAACTCAACTTTTCTGGTTCGTTTTCCTTTGGGAATGGTCCAATCTTTTGGAGAATGGCTTGCTTGGTTTCGTCACCAACTTCCATCATGAAAGTCTCAACCATCATGTAGAGTTGGTCATGTAATTGTTGGAGAGACAATCTCTCTGCTTGACGCCACACATTGGTTTGCAATTCAGCCAATGATGCAAAGGAGGTGAGGGGAATATTAGAACTAGCACCTGAATTGAGTGTTTCAGATTGTTGCTGCTGGCCATTGTTACCATTATTAGTAGTACTATTATTCGAGGATGAGCTCACAACAGCAGAAATAGTATCCCTATTTCTTTGAGAATTCTCAATGACAGATATTTCATTTTCAGTCTTATCTTTGAGAATTTGAACTTTGGCACAAATATATCCATCAGTGTCCCACTTTTCCAGAATTTTGAATCGTTCAGTACCAACTGTCTCAATGATACTTCTACCATCTGGCAACATTTTAAAGCTCGTAATCTTGGCAATACACCCATACTTGGCAATGTCACCATTTCTATTGGGTCCACAACAAACCAATCCAAAGCATTTACTTCCACTCATACATCTTCTCATCATGAGTCGATATCTTGGTTCAAAAATGTGCAATGGTAGTACGGTATGTGGATAGAGTACAAAGTCTAATACAAAGATTGGAATGTGATTCACATTGAGTTGTCTTGTCCCAACCTCTTCTTCCATTTCCTTCTTTCTCTCTTCGTATTGAGCTTTACAATACTTTTGACAGAGTTCATTAATAACCACAGTAATTGGATAATCGTATGGCACCACGTGAATGGTCTGTCTACACAGTGGACACTTATCACTATAATCGTGCACTCTACAAATGCAACTTCTATCAAACGTATGTCCACAACTCAACGTTACAGGTTCATAGAATACTCTGTAACAAAGTGGACACTCAAGCTCTTCACAATCCTCGCTGAAATCATAGACAGTATTCGTTCTCTTTCTCTCAGTAACATCTTGATCCAAGGTTGGTTCTTCTTCTTGCTGTTGGAGTTTGGCCAATCGTTCCTGTTCCTCCCTGTACATTTTGTCTTGAATTTGTTTTTCAAGTTGAGCTACATATCTATTGGCAGTATCATTTTGTGGATCATTTTGGAAGATTGTCTTTAAATCTCTCTCAGCTTCTTGTTCCAGTTGCATTGGTAAAAGCATTTCAACCTTTTTCAAGAGTACACTAATCAATTGTGAACGAACTGCATAAATTGTATCATTGATTTGCCTTAATCTTTCCTGATCGTGATAGAAAGTTTGCTGGAAATTCTTAATATCATCAAAGAATTGAAACTTTAGTTTGGATTCTCGTGTTTTCTGTAATAACTGATCTTGCTGACCCATCAAATCTTCTAAATGAGTTTGAAAATTCTTTGCCTTATTAGCCAACAATGAAAGAGCCTGATGTGGTTTCCTCTCTCTCACAAAACCATTCACTCGTTCCATAAATTGTTTCATCTCCTCTGGAGTCATTACAAAAAAGAATAGTTCATTATTAGAATTCAACACTTGCTTTTCTTCTTCTTGTCCTGAATTGTTGTTGTGCTGTTGAATTTTGGCATTGTTTTCATGTTGGGAGAGACATGAATCATGAGAAACTATTGTATCATGATTATTATTGTAATGTTGATGAGGATTTACAGAGTGTTGATGATGTTGTTGTTGATTGGTGGAGGAAGTACTATAGGAACAATTGGTTGTTGGTGAATGTTGTTGTTGTTGTTGTTGGTCTTGTTGATTGGTAGAAGTAGAATTGTTATTAGGAGAGGATGTGGAAGAATAACCTCCATGATAGGCTTGATTATTGTTGCCATCATTCGGAGAGTTGCAATGTTCTTGTTGCTGATTAAAATTCATCATGCGTTGTTGATACTGCTGATTGTTATTATTCATTGATGATGTTAGATGATGATGTTGATAATTATTGTTATTGTTGTTGTTGATTATTAATTGATGATTCGGAGTGATGATGATTATTCATCTTGTTTTTATATTTGGAAAAATTAATGTTGTGTTGTGATGACTTGTTTTAAAACACAACTCTAATGCGCAGAGTGCACTAACAATATACTATTATAAGAAGTTGCAAATTTTCTTCTTCTTCTTGTGTCAAGTATAATTCTTGAGGAGTAAAGTGAATTGTTATGATTGAACAAATTGAAATTCTTTTTTAGATGGTTTGCTAATTGGCTTGCAGATTTTCAAAACTGCTGAACGCACGAATCAAACATTACTTGGACTTGAAGTCCGTCAATTATAAGATAGTTATCTGAGGCAAAATGCATTGTTCAAGCATGGAGAGAGATTCTGAATAAAGGGTATCTGAAAAAATGAGAATCATATTTCTATTATTTGAGATTGAACAGAGATTTTTCCAAAAATTACTTTAACTTGGTTTGTTAGTAGTGGAATAGTGGAAGGAGGATTACAACAAGTAAAATTACTTGGATTTTTAATGAAATTTAGAGTGATAAGTAGTGGTTGTGGTGGTTACATTATGCAGTATAATGATTGAGTTGAAGGGCAACTTGCAGTATTGGAAGAGAAGTGTTTTGTGTTGCACAGCTGCTTGAACATTTCCTTTTTGGATCTTCAATTAGCTCAATGCAACTTTGGTTTAGTCCTTGATTTAATCCTAATCTTTTTCTTTGTATACTTTGTTTGCTGAACAATGTTCAATTAATGGTGGTTGACTAGCAATTATTTCTTGGCTTGGAATTGGGAAAAGTATCATCGATAATAGTCTTATGAAGCTCATTCGAATCATCATAAAGTAGATCCAATGGAGTGTTTCCATCAATATTGACTTCGTGTGCCATTTCTGGAAGTGCTTTGAGTAATGAAAGCAATGGAAATAGATGAATTTTGGAAAGATTATTTCCTCTTTTGCTTGCAATAATATGGAGAATATTGTCATTTCTTTCGTTATTCTTGAAATATTTTTTGACAGCGTCTGGATATTGGCTTAGAAAATTCAGCAAATTTTCATTATAGACCCTTACAATGAGTGGAACTGAAACATCTCCATCCTGGATGAACTCTGCCAATTTTTCAATCAACTGTTGAGGTTGTGTCATCATCAACATGAGAATAATATCATCAATCCTATGATTTTGAGATAATACCAAACCTTTGAAATTTTCTAACAAGTTTACACACTTCCAAATAACTTTCACTGACAAATTAGGGGAGAAGGTCATTGCCGAAAGTTCTTGCAGTTGATTTTCTGGATTCCATCCATAAAGAATCATACTATCATCAACTATTGATAGCGGTTCATACAATCTTCCATTTTGATATTGATTAACCAAGTAGATAATGTATTGGAAGTGTGGATCTACTTCAATTGAATTATTTCTGGGAATGAATAGAGTTTCAACAGGTACCAATAGGTCAGCAAACATTCTTTCGAAAAGTTCCTTCTTTTTTTCAAATGGAAAAATTAATATATTGTGGAAAATGGTGGATATTTGATTAAGGCTGGCATGCTTCTAGAGAAGATTCACCAAACTTGGAAAGTAATTGTTTTTCAATAAATTCAGGGAAATTCATAGAGCTTTCAATTGAAATTTTGTCTTTCAAATGTGCAGATTCTGGAGATTTAAAATTGAAGAGAAGTAATGTTCTCAAATTGCTAAGGGTAGAAAAATCTTGTTGTTGAGAAAATAATTTTTGAGGGGAAAAGGAAACTATTTCTTCCACTGAATCATTAGAAAATCCTTCCAATAACTCACTTTTCACCAATATTAATTTTTTGAGTTCTTTCAAATTTGACAAGAAACTGTGGTGTTTCAAATCGAAAATCATCAACTCTTTAACTGTGGTATTGCTTCCAATAAAATCTGGCGAAATTTCTTCAATTCTTTCTGCATAATTGATTGTTGTTGGTTTAAAATAAGAAAAAGTTGATGTGTTACTTCTTTTCACAGTATTGCTTTCCTCTCCACTAGCTGATTTAAATGAAAAATTTCCAAAAATTGATGAGAAGACTGGTGGCTTTGGTTTCAATATTTCAATATCCTGATACAATAGTAATGCATCTGTGTCTAATTTACACCCATTCTCCACAAATTTCCTCTGTTCTCTAAAAAGTGTAAAGTAATATTTGATACAAGGATCAACTGTTGAATTGATCATAAATTCAGACATTTTCAACAATTTCAGCATCATTCTTCTATTGAAGTGTTTAGAAACTAGTCTCATTTTGTGAATGGTGGTGATCGGAGAGTCAATTCTTTCCTCCTTCTTTCTCTTTTTAATCTTGCTCATGCCAAGTTGTTCAAGTTTCTTATCCATCTTGGCGATCTTCTTCCACTTTGAATAGGTTGGAATAAATTCGATAATTTCATATTTCACACTTTCATCAAGCCTATGAATTAATTCAACATTTAATTCTTGATGTTGGTATTCTGGGGGAGGCACATGATTTGCAATCATTTGTTCGGTCAATGTATCCACCAGATGATTTCTAATATTTTCCAGTTCTTCCCTCGAGGAATTTTCTTCTATTTGCACCAAATCTTCTCTACCCAACAGAATGGCAGCAATATTTGCTATTAGATTATTGTTCATTTTTTTTGTAAAATAAATCTAATGTTTCTTAATTCTGAATATTTAACACAATATCAGCGTATGATATTTTGGCATTTTCAGTGAGTATCAATGGAGGCAAAACAAATGAGGGAAGTTTCATTTCAATAAATGAAATATTCCTAAACCTAATAACTTCCTTTGATTTGTAAAGCAGAAAACTCTTGCATCCTCCAAATAATAATATGTGATTTCCTCTGATTAGATAGTGAGCTTGAGAATCATTTCGCAAGAGTTCATCTTTATCCTTCTCTGAGCAATCCAAACTTAAATGACCAATTCTGCAATTGTAAAGACAATCAAATATACCAACCGTTTCTGTGTTAACGAACCTATCTTTGTAATATCCACCAAAACTGATTAGATATCGACCAGCTATGAGTGCAGTCGCATTTCTACCAGCTTCTGCATCATATATGGATTCAAAATCTCTTGTTTGCCCACTACCATATGTATTAAAATCAAATCTAATAATCTTGGATGAGGTGTAAGATCTATATGAAGAGCCACCATATGAAACCACACTTCCACTTCCTTCTTCTGCATTATATTTCAATAATTGAGAACTGTGGGTGCTTGGTGTAAGAGTTGCACCCATTTCTTTGAGACTTTCCTCATAAACTTCAAAGCATGAAATTGATGATCTACTCTCCAACACTTCTTTGCTTAAATATTTCAGTTTAAAAACTGATGTATGGAATACCAAAAGATCACTTTCTTTCAATTCGAGCCCCATTAACCTTTCCAAGTCTTTCACGAATGTAATTTTCCCATTCTCATGAATTTTCATCAACTTGATACATTCCAATGAATAACAAAGAAAGTAGGGACTATTTTCAAAAACTATCAAATTAATTTCTGAACTCTCCCACATAGCATTGTCCATCACATATTCCGATTCTCCAATAAATTCCTTCTTCCATAAATCAAATATTGCAACTCCACCAGTAACAGCCGAATGTTGTTGGATAAGGAATGCTAAAAGCAAAAATCTCTCATTACTCATATTATTAGGTAAATTGACAAATTTTGATGCTGATAGGACTTGTCTATAAAATAGGTTGTATGGTGTGGTTTGTTGTTGATTTTCCTTGTGCTTGTTTTCTAATCTTACTTCAATGGGAAGTGAATTCTTTGGAAAGTGGACTGAACAGCAAATTTTACCAAGACATTTATTCATTTCTTCATGATCCATCGATGATTCATTGTTTTCCGAATCATCATCATCATCGTCTTGTCTTTTTCTTTTCAGTTCCTCCCCACTTGCCGACAAGTGGCTCATATTGATCTGCTATTTTTCTTTAATTATTAATTTATTTAAATAAATTACAAAAGAAAATGAATCAATTGGAATCAATCATTGCCGATTACCTCTCCAATCATTGTTCTTCATCTCCGTTGGATGATGATGAATTTTCCATTATTAAATTAAAAATTGAAACTCTAAAAAATTCGATAAGCGAAAAGGAATGGAAGGCAATCAGGGAAGATATAAGAGTGGAGGATTTATTTGGTTCAATATATTTGTTAATTTTGAAGGAATTGATGCCATTCCGAGATGGATATTCGCAAGAATTTCGAGATTGCTCACTCTGTCCCGAACGTTACATTAATTTTCAAATCAAGCCTTCGTGTTGTACCTCAAAGTGTACTAAAACTACTTGTGAAATAATTAAGTATCTGGTGATGAATGTTTATGAGAGTGAATTATTGGTAGATAGACAGGCTTCATGTTGGTTTGATGGATATTATGTAAGATCAATGCATTGGTTGGCTCACTTTGGTCAATTATCACTTGTGAGATTTTTGGTGAATGAATGTGGATTTAAGGCACAAGTCCAATCTGATATTGATTGGGTCTCAGATTGGTCAATTAATCAGGCCTTTATTGAAAAACACTTTGATTTGGTTAGAGAAATGTGTAAGGGAGATTATTCCTTCATGTTGAGAGATAGGTGTGATCATATTCCAGCTGGAATGTTATATTCTTGTTTTGAAATGATCAAAATGGAAGTAGAAAACACTTGGGATTATTGGCTATTTATTGTAGAGGAATGTTTGAGGGGAAAGATTACAGATGAAATATTGGATGAAGCAATGGAGACATGGGATAGAAAACCGAAAGATTTTCTGAGAGCCAAACAAGATCTTTGTTTGAGGGAAAATCCAATACGATCTCACAAACAACTTTCTGATATCATATTTGAATTTGAACTTTGATTCAATACAATCGAATAGCTCAATCATGAAAATGAATAACCAAAACTAAACTGTACAATTCTAACAATCTGATTCCAATTCATCTCTTAAACGTGTAACATCATCACCTCTACAAGCAGCTCTCGCTTTAAATCTCATTTCTAATGAGTGTTACCCTTTTCATGGCAGATTACAAATTTCAAACTTTAAATTTACGCTTCAATTTACAAAAGCTAAATTTAAACCAGAAAACTCAAACTTTCAAAATTCAACAAAACAAAAAAAATGTTCATCTCATCTCTGATAGAAAACGTGAGTCAAGGAGGAGGTATTGTCAGTTCCTCGGAGAATGTCACTCTATTCTCATCATCTTTTATAATTTTGATGGGTGTTGTGGGTTATGTCATGTATTTTCTGAAGGATACTTTGGAGGAATTTATTAGAAGGTTATTCTTTTTCATGTTGGATTTGTCGGATGCTGATCAGGAGTTTGTTTGGTTCTTTACCTTCTTTTCATTCCATCCCTATACGAATCATGGTTCTTCACATATTAAACCATATCAAAAGAAGGCCAATAAGGTGAATGATTATGATGATGATCCACTTGAATATGATGGTTTTGATTTGGGAAAGGATGAGGAATTTAAAAAGACCAAGTTTGTTCCTGCACCTGGCTATCATGTAATTTACATTGAGGGAAAGCCATTATTGATTAATATGATTAGTACCATGCCAACTAATGGAAATATTATGAAAGCTAAGGAAAATGTGGAAATTTACAAGCCAAAGTATGATTTTATTGATGCCATTTTGAGAATGATTGTCCCATGCACTGATGACAATAATTGTCCAGATCCATTGACTATGGCCAAGAGAGCTGGTTTGAACACTTCAAGTTTCCTCTCACAAAGATATGATGAGAATGGAAAGGTCATTGCTAAAACTCAAAAGATTTCTTCCAGTAATTATTTCAAGGAATTGATGGCCAATTGCTATTATATCAATACTCTTTATATGAAATCCAAGACAACAATTTATACACAAAATTATGGTAGATGGGCTGCTTCATGTGTTAAACATAAGAGAGATAAGAATTCTGTCATTTTGGATAATGGTGTCTGGGAGAGTCTTTACACGGATGTTGAACAATTCTTGAATAGCAGAGATTGGTATTTCGATCAAGGTATTCCATACAGAAGAGGTTATTTATTATATGTAAGTTTTTTTAAATTATTGGAGGATTTAATTTTTAACACAATATCTATCTCACTAAACTTTCTATATTCATGAATTTTCAATCAATCAAATAACAACAGGGACCACCAGGTACAGGTAAATCAAGTACTATTGGATCTATTGCAGCAGCTTTCAATATGAATATTTGTGTTGTCAATTTGGCTTCTAAGGAATTGAGTGATGAAGACCTTAATGCAATGTTCAGTAGTGCTCCATTGGATGCCTTGATTGTTCTTGAAGATATTGATTCTTCCTTCATGAATTCTACTGTTGAGGAGAAGAAACCTTCCAAGAAGGAAGATGGAGAAGAAAAGGAAGATGAAGAGCCATCAGAAATCAGTAATGTCATTCAAACCAAATCTCAAGTTACTTTCAGTGGTATTTTGAATGCCATTGATGGTATTGCTGCTTAAGAATCAAGAATGATTTTCATGACAACTAATTACAAGGATAAGCTTCCACCTGCACTTATTAGAAATGGTAGAATTGACAAGAAGATTTTCATTGGATATGCCACAGAACATCAAGTCAAGGCCTATGTTAAAAAGTTCTACGAAAAGGATAATCTTTCAGAGGAGGAATTCTCAACTTTAATTGAACAATTCTGGAATAAGATCAAGAACATGTCCATCTGTATGGCTCAATTGCAAGGTTTCTTATTACTCTATAGACATTCTCTTAAGGATCTCGTCAATGCTGCTGATGAATTTGAAAAATTCACCAAAGATGAAATTTAATTTATTAACTTAGTTAAATAGATCATTAAGATAATCAATAAATAGATTGTTCATTAACTATTACAATAGTAATTTAATTAATCAAGTTCTTGACCTTTCCAATGATGTTGGAATAAGAAAACACAAGACGACTAAACAGATTTAAAGAGATTGAAAAATTGATAAATTTTGTTTTTACTGTTTAAACTTGTTGAGCTCTTCTTGAATTTCTCTTAATTGTTATAACTACAACCAGGATAGCAATCAAACCAAATAATGGGAAAACAACAGCAGAAGTGATAATAACTGGTAATCTATAACTCCATCCAAAATAATAAATATTTGAAATATATGGAATAAATTCCATATTTGTAGTAGTGGAACTTGAAGTAGGTCTAACAGAAACATAAACAGTCTTTGCATTAGTATAATAATTAGTATAACTCAATGATGAGTATTGAGAAGTGGAATAAACATAAATTTCACTACTGCTATAGTAACTATCAGCATTAATTGTAATATAACCACTATAGCTTGATGAGGTGAATAAATTGATATCTTTCAATGTCAATGTAAAACCAGATGGAACTGAAATCTTGTAGTATTTTGTCGAATAGAGTGTACCAGTATTGACATAAGTTGCAGAATACAAGGTAGTTGCAGAACTCATTGGATCAGAATTAGCAGCATTAATTGTTTGAGCAGCAATTGAAAGATATTGACAACTTGAAGGAATATTGCTACATGTCAAGCCAGTGGAAGTGACACTAACTGTAGTTTTAGAATATGAATTTCCATCAGCAGAGCAAAAACAAGCAAGAGTGCTTTTCTGAATCAGAACAGAATTTCCATTCACATCATAAAAATTATTTCCACTAGCATATGAATATTGTAAACTAGCTCCATATACATTAGGATTGGATAAACTTGTTACACTGAATGCATACAATGTACTATAACCAGTTGTTTTATAGGCATAGACGGCGTTAGCAATTGAAAATCCATAACCATTCAAGTTAGGCCAAACATTTGGCAATAAATAACTCATTGATTCAACCAATTGACCAAATGCATTACTTCTCAATTGATAATTAAATTGATAAGGTCCAAAAAAGTTTTTAAATGGACCCAAAGTTGACTTTCCATCCTCAACAATTGCTGCAAATCCAATAGTTGCACTTCCACTTGTTGCATTCTGAGTGAATGTATAACCAATAGTAGAGCCACTACTAGCAGCAGCATCAGTCGATTTAAAATAATACGAAACACTTGGATTCAGTGTGAAAATTGCCATACTTTGAGGTCTGACATTTAACATGCCATTCGTACAAATATAAGTAAATGTAAAATCAACAGCAGCAGTAGCACTATTATTTGCAGAATTGACACTATAAGATAAACCAGAAACACCCACCAAACTATATGGTAAAGTATTTAAACGACCTGAATAGGCAGAAGTTGCATAATTGCTAATGGTAAGAGTGAGAGGATCTGTTGAAGTTCTGTTGATATAAACATAGAGGGAACAGGAAGAGGTGGTTGTTGCTCCTGCGAAGGAATAGCTTGCGAAGGGAGAGGTGGTTGTGTATTGCACATTAAAGTCAGATGCGCTGACAAGTGTGAGTAGTGACAGGAGTAAAAGTGTGAAGAAAAATATTGTTCGAGGAGTGTTGTTGGGCATTTTTTTGTTGTGTAATTTGTTGTTGAATGATTTGATTTGAAAATTAAATAGAAATGATCTTAAACTCCACAAATTAGAAACTTAACTAAACTCTTATTAGAATCTTGTTTTATCCATCAAAATCAGAAAATTGTAACATATTGTAAATATTATTTGTATAATAATAAAATTGTTATTCTTCAGCAAATTTTCCTCTCAAACATTCCAAAAATGTCAATGCCAATAAAAAATATCAAGAGAAGTGTTTGTTTTGGGTTGTGGCTTAACTCATATTCATATAGATTGAGAGCTATTGCATATTTAGTATGGATTGGTGGAAGCATTGTTGGTTCGATCTTTGATTCATGTGTAATGTTAAGGGAGAAAATGAAAAGTATTGAATGCATTCAGTGGGTTATGTTGTTAGAAACTATTTTAAATAACATTTCATAAAGATCTTTTTTGAGGATTTGTTCCTCTGGAAGTTTGGAAGTGTGTCTGAGAGTTCTTGGGAACAAACTTGCTGAGAACACAATTCTTCAATTTATGTAAAAGAAAGAATTCCTTCAATGAACAACCAACAGAGAGAACTGAAATGTAATTATTATCAATTTCATGTTAATTGCCATTCTAGAAATTGTGTCAATCAAATAAAGAAGAATCACCTTCCATAATTCAATGTTCTTCATATGCTATTGAGCTTTTTTTACTAAACATTCATTGGAAAAGTATTAAAGTTGACTATTTTGGCATGCAATAAATATGCAGCTGAATTTAGAAGGTGAATTTATTCATCAAAAACAAGTTTGAGTGGGAATAATGCATTCCAAGGACAATTATTCTCTTCCAGCTGTCCTATCTGCTGCTCACTGTTATTCACTTCTTCAACTTCTTGAATGCTGGAAATGCAGAGAAATGATCCATCATCAGAAGATGAAACACTCTCCTTTTGATTTTCAAACGATTTTTGTTGAAACTCAACGTGTTGAATATGTTGGAATTCGTTCGAATTAGTATGTTGAAATTGTTGATTGCTAGCTTGCTTTCTCTTTCTGGTTCTCTTCTTTTTCTGAGATTTCCAAGATAATTCAAAGTAATTAGATCCAAATTCATCATCTGAAACCATCTTTTTCATTCTGAGACATTTTGGAGGAGAAAGAAATTTGTTAGGATGTGGAGGAAGCTTGACTATTTTTTGATATTTTGCATGTTTCGTCCTCTTTTCCAAATCTGTTTTCATGTTATGTGAAACCAAGTTTCCACAATTTCCAATACTTTTCATTATTGGTTTGAATACGTTATGATGATGATTATGTTGAGAAGAGAGGAAAGGAGGTGTGTTAAACATGCATGAATTCATGTTTGAATGATCATGGATTGGACACATGTTTTGAGAGTATTGCAAGCATTCAGATTGATGTTGGTATGGTTGACCTGGATTGGGTTGTTGTGGCACCGTAAAACTATTGCATGTGTGGCAGCTGGCTTGCATTTGATTGTTGTTCACACACTGCAACATGCTTGCTGTATTCGAAAGGTTTGGATGGTGAAGAGATGGTACGTGCATGGTTGATTTAGAGAAATAGTTTGGATGTTGAGTGAAGGGTATTAGTTATCATATATTTGAGCGTTTTTTTTGTGAATAGTTTGGTTTCTTCAAGCATGCTAAGAAAATAAACTCATCCAAAAAATGGGATCACCGTTCCAAATCTGTACATCCATTACATTTCGTACATAAAAACTAAATCGCCACACCTTAAACGAAACTTTCAAATAAGATATACCTGGGCTTTTTTAAATATGAAGAGTCGCTGAGTGCTTGCCATGCTCAATTAATGTAGATCCCTTTCTTCTTTTGTTGTGATGGGTTCTTCATAAAACAATGCTTGTACAATAGGAAATATGTCAGTCTAAACAATCAACTATCAATCGTCGGTTATGTAAGTTGAATAGTTACTAGAATAGTCTTATATATATGTAGAGATAATACGTCTTATTAAATTGTCTATTCCTTTAAGAATCAAAAAGGTACATCATGCATAATATAGTCATATTGAATTCGAATCAATCAACACGTTATCTGAATCTTAATCCATGCTTGATCTTTGCGGTCTTGTAGCCGAAGTAAGTACCTAACAAATCAGAAAGTCCTTATCAATTATAAAACAATAGAAAAGGCCATCCAATTAAGTATGAAATTCAGTCTGAAATGTAATTTCACCTTCTCTTGAGATCTAAAGACCTAGCTGATCATTTCTGTGTATGTAGGAGGAGAAGGATGAAAGTTTTTCCTAATAATGTTCACTTTATTAGTGGACTATAACCTGATGTTGTAAATCAAAATAAAATCCATACTGTTGGTTGGATTTTAAGATAGTCAGCTGCTTCCACATTCCTTAATAATATTCATCTATTGTTGTTGATAGAATAGAGATCAATCTCTTTTCCAATCATTCACATTGAATTATCTGTGCAACAAGTAAATTCCAAGAATTGCAAAGAAAGCAGAACCACCAGAAACCCACATCCAACCCTTTCTATCCATACCATTCTTCCATGCAATAAGTCCAGCTCCAACATCTACCAAATCACAGAACAATCCCATTTGCAAAGCCATCTTTAAAGCTTCAGGATTCTTTGCGTACAACAATGAAACTCCCAAAATAAAGTCTCTGGCACCAAACATTCTTCCAACAAGAACACCCTCTACAGAAGATGGTGCAGCCTTGGTAAGGTGTTCGAGAGTTTGATTAGGAAGGATATAGGTTGAAGCTCCAACTCCCATACGAAGATAGGCAAGTGTTTGAAGAATGGCAGACATTTGTAATATATTGTTGTTATTGTAATATATTGTTGTTGTTTAATGTATTAAATTGTATAATGAATAGAAAATGATGATGAATATTAATGCGCAATTTTCTTCACAATTTTTCAAGTTGAGATTTTTGCGATTTTTTTTAAATTTAATTTTGAAAAAGATTTTACGCGGGAAAGAACTTATTTGGACCTTCACACAAAGAAGAAATAAGAAGAAACTTATTGAAACTTTTCTCAATATATTTGTTTCAATGCAACAACAATAAAATGTTTATTAGTTTTTCAGAATTATACTCATGGTTTTTTGTGGATCATCAAATGGACATGCCAATACTTCACAACATCCAAGAGTTGAATCACTCATGTCGAGATCAGTCATTTCAAAAACATTTTCCTGTTTTTCATAGAGTGGTCTCATGTCTGGATTATCCTTGAATGCCAAGTGTCGAATCCAAAATGCTCTATCAAATCCTTTGAGTAGAATCCATTCATTCTTATGATTGTGCTTAAAATCTGGATCCTTAGTTTCCAATTGTTTAACAAAGAGATCCAATTCGGAGTGAGTTAGGAATTTCTTGACCTTTTCCTTAATGGAAAACTTTTCTCTAAAGGCAGGGTTTAGTTTAATTTCCATCTGGCATCTTCCATATTTACGCATATCTCGCATGTATTGTCCCATTGGACTGTCACTGTTGAGTAGATTTTCCAACACTTCTCTCTTTCCAATACTATCCAAAATGTCAAAGATGAAATCTTGGCAATTACCAGTATTCACATAATTTTTCAATGATTTGCTAGATTTCTTAGGTTTTTTAGATTTCTTCTTTCGTTTTCTCTCGCTATAAATCATGGTGGTATTCCATCGACAAATTACCTCGGAAAGTTTCTTTACAATATCTTCCAAATCGTGAGCTGTCGTAATTTCTTCAATATCTGCTGAAAAGAAACTAGATTGAGAACTTAATTTACGTGGTATACATAGTGAGCTATCTGTCCATTCAAGTTTAAATTCTGAAATGACAAGAGCTGTATGGAACATGCCAAATGCAGGAAGAATTTTAACTGGTGACAAGAGTGGGCTCACTATTTGACGAATAGTTTGTTTCGTCTTGTTATGGTGATGCATATCTGTCACAATCAACTTGATTTTGATGGATTTTTCAAGAGTTGGATTCGAACGCCACCAATCTTTCAAATTATCTTCTGACAAATTTTCAGTAAATGATCCCTGAGTATTATTACTTGTTCCAGCAAATGATTCTGAAAGTCCAGCACTTGTCATGGAAGCTCCAATATTTGCAGAATTGCTCTCAATTCCATGATGACTCAATGTCAAATCTCTTGGAATATCAGCTGCTGCACTACTTCTTGTTAAATTACTTCCTGGAGTTGATTGTTGAATGTTTGAAGGAGTATTTGATGAATTATTGATGAATTGAGGTGGTGTCATTAATACCTGATCCATTACAATACTAGTGGTGAGAGCTGTAATTGGAGTATGATTAGAATGTAAGTTTGGAGTATTAGAAACTGAATTACTTGTTGGTTTCTTGATTGGAGTGTTATTGTTACTATTGGCGAGGTCTAGAATTTCATCTGACCACTTGACTTCCTTCTTATTAGTTTGATTTGAGGAATCGTCTACTGTTTCACTTTGTGAAGTAATATTATTCGAAAGACCTTCAAATACTTTGGCTACATTTTCTTGAATCATATTCGAAGAACTATTCTCAAAATCCATCTGAGAAAGTCCAACATCAAACGAAAGTATTTCATCAAGTTCTTTCTTTTCACTTTCCAATAAATTTTCTTCATTTCCTGAGTCACTTTCGTTCAATGTTTTTTCTGTTGTAGCTTTAGCACTTGCAATAATTTCATAGAATTGTGGAGAGAATAGATGCATATTCTTTGCATTCTTCTTTTTGACCGTATGATTTAAAGTAGCATTCAAGGAAGAAGAATTATTCGAAAGTGTATTTTCAGAAGAAGAAACATTTTCAGTTTTTTCTTCATTTTCATGAATATGTTCATCTTCACCTGCACTGCTCATCATTTCACTTTCTAACATTCTCACCTTCTCATCCCATTGTTTCGTAATTGTATTATCCAAGTTTAGGTAAGTTTCCAACATACTCTTCGGATCAGACAAACACATTGAATAACGTTCCATAATATACTCATCATTATGAATATCTTCAAAAAGCACACAATTCTTAATTTTCGAATAAGTTACCCTTTGCGGAGGTAAAAGATGTGCCGGAGCATTTAAATTAGCATGATTAATTAATTGTTGATACATTTCTTCATCGATAATGATGGAATTTGTTGTGGTTGTGGTTTGTATTGATGAATTGTGAGTGGAAGTTGATGTAGAGTTGTGAGTTTCAGAATTTGTCTGATTGAAAGAGTCAGTTGATTGGTCATGTTGATGGGTGGCAGGTGGCAGGGAGTTGTTGTTGTTGGGGTTATCACCAGCTAGACGGCTAGTTTTGGAACCCATTTAAATGTTGTTGTTTGATAGTATGTTGTGTGTTATGAATTTTGATTTTTTTTTAAATTGTTTTTTGGCGGGCAATGATTGGTGACATTTTTACATGAGCATGTTCATTCTACCACAATCTTATTTAAGGTTGTGGTGATTTCATTGAAATTGGATTCAAAGTTTTTTAAAGGTTAGTTTTTGATCAAACTCTTCACATTGTGGAGTTGGAACTATTCGAAAGTTGTAGCAAAACCTGGCTAAAGATCTCATAGACTGTTTCACAAATTGAAACCCAAGATTGATAAGAATGAAAAAGAGAGAATGTTGGTGATTGGAATTATTGATGAGTTGAATTTATTAATAATTAAGAAATTAAGCAAATCAGTTGCACATATATATTATCATTATTATATGTAAAAATGGTGATTGGAGCGAGAGTGGACATCATCTCCCTTATTAGAGTTATTAGTTTATTGAATCACACACAATATTTATCTTCTTCATCAGGAGATTTAGAATCAGAATTGAAATTTTCCAAAACCATCCTCATTACCTCCATGTAATTCATTCCGTGTTGATGATCTAAATCCAAGAAATGTTAAACTGGGCATTGATTTCACAAGTAAAAACCCCTCTTGTGTGATGGGATTTCTTCCAATTTGCAACTCTTTCAAATGTCGCATTTCACTTATTGAGCTGGCTCCTTGGAATCCAATTTGATTTTCTCTCAAATCGAGAATTTCCAAAAACGAAAGTTTTGAAAGGCACTTGGCACCATCGTTTCCAATACGATTGTACGTGATGGATAATTGTTTCAATAATTCTAGTTGACCAATTTGTTTGGCTCCTTCATCACCCAAATTATTGTAATTAGCATCCAAATATGTTAATTTCTTCAATTTACTTAAATATTTTCCTGATTCACTTGATAAAACATTTCCAGAAATATTTAAATGTGTTAAATTGCATAATTCACTCAAATATTGAGCTCCTTTATCTCCTAAATAATTTGAATCCACACTTAGTAATGTCAAGTTGGTCAATTTGGTCAAATATTGAACTCCTTCACCAATTGAATTATTAAAAAGATTCAATTTGGTCAATTGGGACATTTCACTAATTATTTCAACACCAATCGCTCCAATACTATTACCTCCCATATTAAGAGATTTTAAATTAGTCAACCTCTTCTTCATTAAAACAATACACGATTTTGTTACCTTATTAAATGAAACATCAAGTTCCTCTAAATTTTTCAATTTGCAAAAATGTTTAAAACCCTCCTTTGAAATTTCATTACATGTTAAATTTAAATATTTCAAATTTATCAAATGGTGAATTTCTGAAATATTCTCATCTTTAAAACAGTATGCTTTGGCTTCGTATCTTTGAATATTATTGACTAATTGACTGTTTTTAACAATTTCCAAATTTACAATAGAAGGAGTGATGGAAATTGGTATGTTGCGTTCGATAATTATTCGAAACCATTGTTTGGAAAGTAGAAAACAACAAAGAATACTTTTAGAATCTAAAAATGTTAAAATTTCATAACAAATATCATCGGGAAAGGTTGAATGTGGAGGTGATGAATTGATCAGCGAATCATCTTGTTGCATTTTTTTAAAATGTTTATTTTGCAATTATACTAATATTAACTTTCAATTGTGATATTTACAATGAGAATTGTAATGAAAGCCCAAGAAAGTATTCTGGAAAGTGAAGATTTATTTGTGCCTACCAAAATCATACACTATTCTTCATATAACTTAGATAAATCTACTCTCCACAAGTTTGGAAACTTTGTTGTAAACTCGCTCAATATCAATCTCAACTTGACCCAATGAATCTGACTCTGTAAAATGGCTTGCCTTTACATCTTCTTGTGTCAAACTTAAAACTTGCATGTGAGATAGTGAATGATGGAAGGCAAGAGAGCTACTTGAAGGTTCGTGGCATGATTGTTTGTTTTCGCTTGGTTGTTTGGATGCACCTACCTTATTGACACCATCTGCAGCTGCTTGCTTTTGACGAGGACAAAAAGGAGTAATGATGAGATGAGAATTTTCTGGCATAAACAAAGACCAATAGGATGCACTTCCAGAATTTGTAATAAAAACATCAACCGATGAGAAGAATCTCACCATTTGAATTAATGAATTTTCCTCATTCTTTCCATAGAGTCCTGATGAAGTTGCTGATGAAACATCGAGTGGAATTATTTGAACAGAATAACCCAAGTCAATCATGAATTTTTCCTGTGCAAGATTTTCCAATTTCTTTTCCAATTCTTTAGAGTTGAAAATATTGTTGCTTTCGTGTGTTGTTAATTTTCCTAAAACTACAATCTTGATAGTCTTTTTAGGTTTTCCTCCTCCAAGTAAACCCAAATTTGAAATAATTCTCTTTCTCAAAAGTTGAATGGAAATATCTCTATATTTTCCATAATTTTTACCAAATGAAATAGATCGTTCTCCAACTCCAAATACGAGCTTTTTGAAACATATATCAACTTGATTTCTATCGAGAATGGCTTTTTCCTCAGAAAATATCATTGAAGTTGGTCTCTTGGATTCTGGATCATCCATTGGACAAGGTGCTTTTTCAATTCTATAAATGAGTTGACTGGAAGGTTGTTCAGAGATTTTCATTTCTCTCTTTTCAATCTTGTACGAGCATTTCTGTAAAATAGGTTGTGTAGAGAATATCTGAGTCCACTGCAAAGATTGTTGAATGGCTTCCTTCTTTTTTCCGTGATAGGTAGACATTTCCTCCGCACAGAATAAATGTTTTCCAGTTTTGACATTCACTTGATGTTGTAAATGGACTTGTCTCGAAGGACTAGTTTCACACGAACTATCCTCTTTAACTCCTCTCTCATAAATTATTTCATCCATGAATAAAATAGCAAGATCCTTAACATCCAAATCAAATTTGTAAATAAGCTCATTGAGTGCAATCAAATTATCATTGAAAAAGTGAGCTAAACTTCCTGCTGCATATCTATTCATGGCAATTGTTGGATTTTGAATGAAATTAAAGTCCTTATTAGTCTTTTTGAACATGAAATTCAAACTGACTGATCCTCTCTTTCCACTTCTCCATGTTTGCAAGAAGGAAATTACCTTTTCATTATGTGTAATTCCAAATAATTGTTTGTAAACCGAATCATATAATTCCTGAGTTGTGTAAAAGATCAAATCTCCCTTCTTATTCATGCAAACATTTTCCATTACAAATGATGCTTGTGAAAAATCAATCGATTGTCCATTGCCATGATGCGCCGAATTGTGAAATCTCAATTTACTATACAATTCCTCATTCTGTTGTTTGTGTGAAATCTTATCATTCATAGGATCAATAAGTCCACCCACTCCCGATGTGGATGCATACTGATTCACCACTAAATGTCTAATCCTATTCGTTATTTGTGTATAGTCTGCTCTTTCAAAATTATTTAATGCTGATGAGGGTCCATCTGGCACTACAAGTATATTTTCCTTTCCGACAATTTCACTCTTCGACTTGTTCATCCGAATGGAAACATATCCACAACCCATTAACACTACAAGTACTAGAAAGACAAATAGTAATCGTGCCTTGAGTGAAAACTTTCCAAAGCCAGAATCAATCTTGTATGGGTCCTTCCTCCGAGTATTATTTAAATTATTGTAATTTATTGCATTGTGATGATGATGCTCTGATGTCTCGTCATCCGAAGGTGAACCAAATATTTCATCCAAGTCATCAAGTACTCGTTCTCTTTCTTCGTTAATTTTCACATCAACTGTTGTTGTTCGTTTAGACATTTTTTTGATGATTGATTTGTGAAAATTGATGGAGTTGTTCAACTCTTCTAGATTGTGATAATCAGGTTGAGTGTATTGTGATAATTGAATAATGGATGACTTATTCAATGCTGAAATTAGAACTGTTACCCTGTCTGTGTTCAATCAAATCAATTGAAGAACGAACATCTGTACAATATTCGAAAAGAACACCAACCAGAGCTTCATCCTTGTTGGTTTTGATTTCAGCCAAAAGTTGACCTTCTTTTCTGTCTTCAAGAGTGACATGAGTAGTTGGGTGATTCTCATTCAAAGATCCATGCCACACTTGTCCAATCTTATCGTGTGTAATACAGTGGAGTGTATATCCAAGTTTGAGAGGCAATGTCTCAACAATAACAACCCTACTCGAGGTAATCATGTAGTGAATGCCCTGATAGACTGGAATGAGTTTAACCAAACTGGTGTGAGTAAGGAAAAAGACAATAATGATAGAAATTTCCCACAAGAATAATGAAATAATAATACTCTCCAACAAGACAAGTGAAAGAATGGCCATAATGAACATGATGAAGAATGTTGGAATGACCAAAATCCAAAATATCATCAACATTCTCAATGTACTCTTTCTAGAACGTTTCATATTGTCTGTTGAAGGTCTTTCATAGTAGAGGAGTGTTTCATGTTCTTCAGTGGCAGTACTTCTCATGAGTAAATAAACTGGATGTACCTTATTACCATCATCATTGGTATCGAGTGAGGCAAGAGCAATTTCTTGAAGTTGTGAAGTTGGCTCCTCATCTTGTTGATTGTTTTCCGATAATAACAATGCTCTCTTATCAAGTCTTAAAAGAACTTCCTTGTGTCTTTCTGTTGGATCTTGCAAAATAACATTCATTGAAGAGCTCTCCTCCAATCTGTATGTTGTTGAATCTCCGCTCAACACGAACGGATCCTTAATAACTTGTCTAACAAATCTATCAAGTGAAAACTTGCTTCTTCCCTCAAAGTAGAAAAATCCAAACAGAATATAACCAACAATAATAATTAGAACAATAATTAATGCAAGTGGAATGGCCCAATACAACTCTGCAATGTACTGTCTGGTCATATCCATTCGGAGAGAAATATTAATACTATTTCCTCCAATATTATTAATCTTTTTAGTGGCAAATCTCTCAACATTTGCTTGAATAGCATAGCAAGTGAATGAATCGTCATGATCACTTCCAATATATTCCTCCAGACACTTCTTACTCTCTGCAGATGAAGAAGTCTTACAAAAATCATCCCATAGCACTGATGATAAAACAACCAAGTCTTGTCCATTAGTACTAGCATCATCATGATACAGGGTAACATTGAGAATATAATAATAATAGGTAGAAGAGGAATCAGCACCCTTGTATTCAATCAATGATGGAGCACTCTCATCAATATATTTACAATCATATGATTTGTAGTGTAGTATCGAAGAGGTATCAACAGATAAACACATGGCAATAAATAACGCATTCACAGTTATCAAACATAACAGTAATAAACTCCATAGCCATCGTGGTACTTTAAGAAAAGTCTTTGAAGTCATGTTCCCATAGAGGAGGGAATTATCGGATGATCCCGAACATTTCAATAGGTTCATAACTTTATCCATCTTGTTAATCCGATAGAGTTTGATAATATTAAAAACTTGATGATGATAACAAAAATTTTAGGGTTTGATGTTGCGAAGATTTTTTTGTATTTATTTTTTCGTTTTTTCTTCCAATTCTTTTCTATTTTATTTCTTTCGGCCTTAAAATAGATTCGAATTAAGGAATGAATAGAAAATTGACTTTTTAATTGGTTTTGATGACGAATAATCTCTGCTTATTGGCGCTGTTTTAAAGGGCTGATTTTTGAATTAGAAATGATTTTATTGTTCATACAATTAGTTCAATTAGAATATACAGTTTGTTGTTTCCTCGTTTCGTGGTGTCAAAAATTAAAGAGTTTAAATAATCAAAATATCGAATAATTATTCTATATAATACTCATTATACATTCAATGATGTATTATTGAGTGGATTAACTGTTTCAGTATTTTCCTTACTCTTCTTTTCTCTCTTTCTTTGTTTGGCAAAGAGACAAGTTGAGGCACAGCAGAACCAGCAACAACAGACAAAGGCCATGAAACCACAAACCAGAATTGTCAATACACACAGGCCAAACATTGCCAAAGCAACCATGAGAGGAGCGGCAGCAATATTGTCTTTAAGGGTTGAAAAATCTTGGAAAACTGGCATAATCTTGTCAACTATGAGTTTTGTCGAGTAACCTTCCACTCCTCCTCTAACAGCCAATAATAGGAGAAAAACTGCAGTAAAACCAATGACAATCATTGAAACAACAAATCTATTTTTGGTATCAATCTTACTTTGGGAATTATCACACATTGAGGAAACTGCCAATAAGGTTGCACCTGCACAACATAGCATGACAGCAAGGAAAGTCACTGCTTGTCCAACAATGACCATAATAAAGATTGTCTTATTATTGGCATGGTCAGTTGGATCGTATCCAATGGTTTGCAATGAGTTGAACAAGACAATGGCAGCCACTTCAACAATTGAGAATAAACAAACAAGTGTAAGCATTGGACATGCACAGACGAAACTGAAACATCCACAAATAGTCTTGGAGAGGGATGATTTGTCCTGAATACTTCTTGGACTAGCAATCTTTTCTTGTGGCATTTCTTCATTATTCAATGCAGCAACAGTTCCAGTTCCTTTCAAGGAAATTCCTCCAACCTGTTGTTGAGGAGATATCTCAGTACTTGTATTCATCACTGTCGAATAAATATTATTATTCCTATTGGCATTTGGATCAAATTTCGATTGTGAATAGGAGGGTGGCTTTTCTGCCTTTTCCTGTTGTTGTAGAGCTTGAGCTGCAGCAGAATCCCTCGAAGGTGAAACACTCACTGCATTATATTGTCCAGAATTTCTATTATTCAAATGACTTCTTATTGAATCAGTTGGTGAATGGGCTGCACTAAATCTCCTCAGTGGATCCAAAGCATCACCTCTAATAGCTCCAATAGGTTGTTGTTGAAGGGAGAATCGATTGTGTGCTGCTGGGTTGTTGTTGATTCCTACTGGTGATGGAGTGGATGGAGTATGATGATTCGGTGATGGATAAACATTTGTATTGACAGCATTTGGTAATGTGGAGGCGTAGAATGGAGATTGGTCCATTGCTATGGAAGCTCGGAATGAAGGAGGTGGACCAGTTGGAGGTGATGATGACATTTTGATGGAATATTTTGTTTGGAATTAAATTGTTATATGTATTTGCTATTTTTCAATATTCGAATAGTTTAGAATAAATTCTATGGGAAAGTTTGGATGAAGGCTTGGTTTTAGCCTAATGTTTTATCTTTGAAAGCTTAGGAAGAATTGGGAATTGACAATTTTTTCTTGTATTAAAAATTACGATTTTTGTTTTTGGTGGCATTTCAAGGCATGTCATATGGAGATACAAGTTTACTGCACTTTCGAATAATATGTAAAACAATTGTAGGATTTGAAGGAGGGTGACAAGGAGAAGACTTTGGTTGATTGAATTCGATATTGAAAAATAGGAGTGTTTAATGTCATAATAGTTAAATGGTGTTGACATGTTCTAATTTGGGAACTTTAAAAAAGGAACAAATTCAATTTCATATTTACAAAGTTTTAATAGGAAATCAAACTGATCAATAATTTTGAAGGTGGAATGAGAAGGTGAATGAATTATAGAAAATTCACACAATATTATTGGAAAGATATGGAAATATCTGAAACTTTACAACCAGTGTAACAATCATAGAGTCTATTTCTGAAACGAGAGGGTTTTTCTGAATGTCTATGATCGAAAGCAACACAGCAATGCCAACCTGCATTCACAACAGAATTGTAAGCTGCTCCATTTCTTAATTCTCTTGTTCGAACAGCAATTTCGTCCAAATTCATCACCTGGACGAAACTATACTTTTTGTGAGTGAATGCAGTTTTAAAGTCGCCAAACATTTCAGCCACAAAAAATACATCATTCTTTGCATTGATGAGATAGTGACCTCGAGAAAAACATCCAATTCGAATACAAGAATCCAAGTTCAAAAGGTTTGATTGTTCCATAAAATTGGGTTGACCATCCATGTTAATACCAAAAGTAATTTGATTTAAATTGTCAAAACCTGCAGCAAATACTCGTCCATCCCATGTTCTGAAAACACAATGGAAAAAACCACATTGTACATCAGCAATAGGTCCCATCACTGATTTGGTTACTGATTCAAATTTAGGACCTAAAATGTGATCATTTTCCAGTGTTGAATTTATACCCAGCTCTCGCTTAATATACTCTGAAGATTCATAAACATGAATATTATCAAACTTATCCACTAGCACAATACCTGTGTTTGTAGCACTTCCACACTTGATTTCAACCTGTGGATAATTTAATGTGGTTTGTAATTTCCCACTCAGATCCACAATTTTCCAATCTTTGAATTGAACCAAAAAATAGGGAGAAACAGGTCCTGTAATAATCTTGATCGCCTCCTGTTCCAATGTCAAGAAATTCACAAATTCCAATGTTGATCCCAATTTCAACACATGTCTATTCCACCGATCCACAATATAAAAGTCCGAATAATTTCTAAAATATTGACCAGGAATAAATTGAACCTTCTCAGGAATGTACTTTTCAATATCGACAATCATTCCCTTGCATTCCACCTTCTTAAGGAATGTCATTTCGGGATAATTATACACCTCAAGAGTGTGATTTTCAGTGGTTGCATGTTCGGTTTTATATGTATCGTGAATGGGTCTCAACATCATCAACCGATCATCGGGCAACACGAAACAAAATTTCCGATCACCAGCAAATATTAATTTGTATGAAAAATCGAGTTGAACAAAAACAAAACTCTTTGATACTTGTTCAATTGGAATATCTAAATTGAAATGAATTAATTATTAATTAATAGAGGAATTTAATAAGGCTAAATACTAACCATGTGATTCAAATCCGCAACAGTAAAGGAACGAGCTGCATGATGACATTTTTTTTTTAAATTTAGAAAATTATTCGAATCAAATTCTGATACAATTACAATGAATTGTTTATTGATTGATTTTTTCATATTTCTTGAATTAAAATATGCCATACTTTCCAGGAGAGAGAATATTATTAGGATCAAGCGTTTTCTTTAAAGTTTGAAGAAGAGGTGGAACTGCATTATTGTCTTGTAACCAATTGACTGATTGAATTCCCAATCTGTATGGAACGTAGCCCAGTTTTTGACCTGCGTTCATTAGTTCATGATAGCACACTTGTGCACGTTTCATTTCTTCCTCATTATTTCTATCAAATAATAGAGGAATAGTACCAACGCAACATCTATCCGAAAGACTGGTCAAAGTCATGAGTGGTTCAGTTTTGTGTTTCTTACAAATTTCATTGACCATTGAGGTGAATGAGTTCAAGTCTTGAGGAGTGATTGGTATGAGTGGATTGTACCAAATAATACCAGCTCCATCTTTGGATGGATTCCAAGGTTTATCTGTTGGTCTTTCACCTGATTTCCAATAAGCAATACGAAGACCAGTTTCATTTGGAATACCAGAAAATAACTCTAAAGATTTGGAAAGAACATTCGCATAGGTTGCCAAGTGTGTCTTGTTCACAATTGGAATTTGGTTTAAAAAGCTGGAAGTGGAGTGGACGAAATTGGCAGAAAGAAAGATATTTCTCTTACTTCCATACCTTCTCAAAATCTTCTTGATATCACTTCTTGCAGCTTTGATCACTGCAGAACTGCCATACAAATTACCAACTCCGTTCCATGCTGTGAATTGATTCTTCTTACAGAACGAATCAATATACGATTGTGGTAGCATTCCATCGACTGCTTGATCTTTCGGATAAGGCCCAGCCATAGGCACCATGGCATAGTTATTGATTAGTTTTACAGAACCAATAATTCCATTAGAACATCTCAAGATTTCTTTGGAAGCAGAAACAGCATTCGAAAGGTCATCAAAAAAGAAGAAGAAACTTTCAACCTTTTCTGGTTTAGGATACAAGGCAATCGACATCTTGGTTACAATTCCCAAATTACTTTGAGAAAACAAACCCTCCAAATAAGGACCAGTTTGCCATTTGTAAAGTGTGGAAACATGTTTCCCGCCCATTTTGTCCAACATGGATTCATGGACATTACCTGTTGGTAACACAATTCTCATACTTGTAGCAGCACCAAAATGATCAATGTATGGTGAGATTCCATATCCTCTTTCCAGAGCATTGGAAAGTAAACTACATGTTGGACCAGCACCAGTAACAGGAACTGTATAGTCAAGATTCCTTTCTTGTAAATAATCCAAAAGTTGTTGTTGAGTAACACCTGGTTCGACATGTGCAACACCATTTTCTTCATCCATATCTAATCTTGTCATTTTACTCATCTTTAACAAGACAGTTCTTTGATTAGTGGCAGGAAGAGCTGAGCCATAACCCCAATTCTGACCAGAACTGACAGGATTTAAAGGTACTTGATATCTGTTGGCTATCTTGACAATCTGAACAACCTGATCATGACTTGTTGGATAAACAATAGCTGGAACGTTTCGAATATTTCCAGAGCAATCAGCAAGCTCTCTCGAAAGACTTTCCTCATCTGTTGCCACATTAGTTGCACCAACAATAGAACGAAAGTGTTCCAGAGCTCTTGCCAACAAAATATCACCATTCGTCAAAGAGTCTTTGTTAGTAATCTTGAGTGAAGCTTGCTCGACATGTGAAAGCTCTTCTTTGACTTTCAATGGAGAATGAGTAATAATAGAAGATGAAGAATAGAAAGAGAGTGTATTAGGTGAAGTATTATTGGTAAAAGAACCAATGAACAACAACTTATTCTTATGGACATTCGCTAATTGATTTCGAATAGTTTTCATTTTGTTTTTTAAATTGATTGCAAAGAGTTCACTGGTGTGAGCACTCTATCCCAACAAAAACACAAAATGATTCAAACAAATTCATTTGAGATGGCTATACTGGAATGTTTACAATATTTTTCATTGGTTGAGTAATTGATCTTGTGCACAGCATTGGGAAACCTAATCCTTTCCGGTATTTTGAACAAGATTTTCTCATGAGACTTCT